GTATGTGTCTGAAACAGGATTGCGCAGCAACAGCAACAGGGCTATTTGACCGAGGGGGTCATCGTTGATACACCCTCTTCATTTTTGGTTCCTTCCGTGCAAAAAAGGATTGACCCACACTTGTTCAAGCTATGTTTCCAGACTGTACAAGGTGGTGCCCCATAGTTAGCTAAGTTGGTTTATAACTCCAATAACTATGATTTATGGCAGATATAACTATAGTTAATGGGGTTTATAAACCAACTTATAACTGGGGGGCACCATCCTGTATGCCTAAAGAGATCTAAAGCGTATTCTTGAGATGCAGAACACAGTCCCCAAGATTGATCCCACCATCAAGTCTTTCGGACTGTCAAGACATCATATGACAATAACAGTAAGCAGTTCGTCCCAAGGTTGTGACAAAATCACTATCAACAATTTTGCTCATGGAACCACTCTGAATTGAAATACCATTGCATTTGCAACTCAACGTGGGAAGTGACTCTCTGAGTTCGAGTTCGCGAGTTCGCGTTGGCACCTCGTTGCGTACTCTCAGAGGGGGGGCGCGTGACCGGGTGTTGCGACGTGTTAAAGCAGGCTTTCATCCCATTGTAAAGGCTTGACCAACAGATGATGTGATGAGTGAAGATATGGCTCGAGGATGCTCGAGGTGTTTACAACTTTCTTTGCAGGTGGGTCAATATGGAGTCTAGGCGAGAAGAATCGAAGCATACCCTCTGGTAAACTAACATAGCTATGGAAAATCACATTTTTTCATGGGAAAATCCACTATAAATGGCCATGTTCAATAGCTATGTTTGTTTACCAGAGGGTAATTATACAATATTATATAGTTCATGGATGATGATGGTGTGTTTACGAACTGATATTGATGTAATGCCTCAATCCTGTCACCAAAAAATGCAAAAAAATCATCGGTACTGTTGGTCAGAGCCTTTAGGACTCTACATGTGAGCTGCAACCTCTAATCTGCCAGCTGCTCTCGGCCGGTAGGTTTGGAGCTGGTGCTGCCGTGCAGATTCTGCGCGGAGAAAATGGGGCCCATTTTGACCTCAACGACCACTGGTGACCACTGGTTGATGGTTTCAAATATGGTTTTGTGTGCCTAAAATCCGTGGTTTTTTCGCCTCATGTTTCCGATGATTTTGGTGCCCAAAATCCGTGGTTTAAAGCCGTTTTGTGTGTTTTTTTTCGATAGCCATTGGTAATGGGAAGATCCATCCTTAGGGGAAGCCCATCGACAGGAGAATCAAGGTGAGCATGGAACCAGAATTCACAGAACCCCAGTGCTTTCTGGCTTTATTGATGTTTATTTACCTTCTGGTAAACTAACATAGCTATTGAAAATGGCCATTTATAGTGAGTTTTCCCATTAAAAATGGTGGATCTTTCCATAGTTATGTTAGTTTACCAGAGGGTATGTTATTTGTCTTGGTTCAGCTTTGGATACGCGGTATGGTTAGAATCTGATTAGGACTGATTAGCTTTGGCGAATCCATTAAGGTTCATTGTTTGGGAGTTCCAGACTTGAGTGGAGTAGTTGAAGGTAGTTGACCTATATCCAAATGGAAGGGGAGGGTCCGGCAGAATTTCCGTCAAAGCATCACCATTTTGCACTTTAGTAGACATACCCTCTGGTTATTTAACGTAGCCATGGTATAGATGGCCCATTGAAATAGATGGTTTACCGTAATACCTATTAATAGCATGGTGTATCTTTCCAGTTCGCGAACTGTTAGTCATAACCAGAGGGTATGTCTACTGTACAGTAACTCCAGTTCTTCAGCCTTTTTAGCCTTCCAAAGTTGGACGTTTGGGTCACCCAAAAATCCGCCGGGTCACGCCCACCATTCCGCGCGCCGGGTCACCCGTAACGCCGTAACGCCGGGCCAGGTTCGGATTTGCGACTTTGGGTGGAGTGCAGAGGCGGCTGGAGGGCTCCACCCGGAAAAACCCAACTTACCCTCTGGTTAGTTGTTACATACAATGTGAGGCCCCCCAGTTATAAGTTGGTTTATAAGCCTCAGTAACTATAGTTATAAGTACCATAAACCATAGTTATTGGAGTTATAAACCAACTTAGCTATCTTGGGGGCCTCACATTGTAGCCATGGTATAGATATGTATAGATGGCCCATTTATAGATGGTGTACCTATTAAAACTGGTGATTTTCCATGGCTATGTTCAATAACCAGATGGTAATTCACTGTGATGCACATAATTCAACGGCCATGACGAAAGGGAACCGACAAAAAATTGGAGGTACCGATTCCATATATTTTTGGCCGATTTTTGAGGCCTAAATTTCAGGGGATATACTTGTACCCTTCAAAATATGGCCTTATATATGGTACGGTACCTCCATTTTAGGATCCTGGAATGACCATTGAATTATCCTAGAGAGTAGGTAGAATTTCTGGATGAATCTGGCAATTTCATCACTAATCCTCACTAAAATAGGAAGGTGTTTGGAAACTCCATATATTTCATCTACTTCAAAGACACCACGGTTAGGATGGCTGCATGCCTTTGGCAAGGGAGTATCGTTTGAGCGATTTTATATCTACCAAGCGCTTTGGAAAGGACATGTCGAGGCACCTGCGAATAATTGTATCCCATTCATCAACTCCTTTGATACATTCTTATCACTGTTTTTTGTTGTTGAGGACTACTTCTTTAACAGATGAATATGATCATATCAATCATATCGATATACAATCGAACAACGATGACTATATAATATATGTAATTTTACATGTAGTTTTACATATACATGTGTGGTATATAGATATACACACCATATACTGTACAATCTGTATATATATAGAGATACATATAAGGTGTTGATTTATAAACCCAACAGATCTTCGGTGATATCAGGTGCAGCTGGACAAAGCCCTGCGGACCACGTGTGGAACTCCGCATTACTGGCCGTCGCTCAGCTCAGGGTGTTATCCTCCACTGTAATGTCACCAGTTTCAATGGGGATTTCAGGATCCTAAAATGGAGGTACCGTACCACATAAGAACATATTTTGTTGGGATATTCCCTTACAAAGGCCTTATATAGGCCTTATCTATGGTAGGTACCTCCAGTTTAGGTACCTGCAATGATTTTAAATGGCCCTTGACAGTTTGCGAACTGTAAACTATGGAAGAACATGGCCCAGTTCGATTTGTAAATGTACTTCGAATATCTTCGAATCTTTAGCAGATTAAAACGGTGATGTTCCAGTTCGCGAAGTGTCAAACTACCAAGGGGTATCATGAGATATCCATCACTTGTCCATGATTTTAAGAGCCGTGGATGCTACTTATGCTTGGTTCCAAACCCACAATTGTTCTATCTAGTGATGTTAGATATTAATATAAACTCCTTGTTGTGTTGCTTGAAGACTCAAGTTTATGCTTAACACACTCCAAGGTTGGGTGTCCGCCAAAGCATCCCTGCATTTGTGGGTTCCTGATCGTCAGCCATGGCATGTGGGCAGCAAGATTTGTTGTCAAACTTGACATTGTAATTACCCTCTGGTAAACTAACATAGGTATTCAACATCACCATTTTAATAGGTAAAACATCTATAAATGGTCCATTTTCCATAGCTATTTTGACATAACCAGAGGGTATTCAGCACGTATCACAGGATATAAAATCCTACTTGGTGGCTCATCCCACTTAGTAAGTGGGTTATAACCCCAGTTATAAGTGGACTAACCCTACTTATCCCATTCATAACTGGGGTTATAACCCACTTACTAAGTGGGATGAGCCACCAAGTACCCTCTGGTTATTTAACATAGCCATGGGAAATGTCCCATTTATAGAGGTTTACCTATTAATAGCATGGTGATTTTCCATGGCAAACTGTTAGTCATAACCAGATGCTAAAAACCATCCATGATTTCCTGTCATTCCCTTTTTCATCAATCCTTTGAAAAACCATCAGGATTTGTTTTTATGAAAAGGATGTTTTGAAAAGGATGTTTTGTTTCAATACATTTTTCGAATGTTGAAGGAAATCATTCCACACAACGTCGCAATTGTGAAAAGGCCTTGATCAATTTGTTGTGACAAATCATTCGTCAGATTTACCCTCTGGTAAACTAACAGTTTGCTATTGAAAATGGCCATTGATTTCGTGATTTTTCCCATTAAACATGGTGATTTTCCATAGTTATGTAAACGTTTACCAGGCCGGGTATTGGGAATGTCATCATCCCAACTGACAATTCGTCATATTTTTAATAGGTAAACCATCTATAAATGGGCCATCTATACCATGGCTATTCAAGGCCTGAAATCTTCGAAGGCCTACCTCAGGACCTGTCGCTGATGTCTGGAAACATTGGGACATGCGACATTCATGTTATTAAAAGGTTGTGTATACTGTAAAAATAAAGAAAATTCCATTGATGGTATGAAAAATGTCCCCAAAAAATTGGGGGAATACCTCCCTTTTGGTTACTTTTTCAAACTTTTGATGTTTTGTCGTATGTTGTAACGGAGCAGACAATCAATGACCAACGAAATCGAACCGTGAAGAAACACATGCGGAGACCCATTGGCTCAAGATAGAGTGGTTGCGACTGCAGTAGCTCAAAGGACCGCTTGAAAAGGTGCTCATTTTTTTGCCCCAAAGCAATGAAGTGACGTGTAAGCATTGAAGTGACTACTCAGAAAAATATGATAAAAAAAAAGATTCTGAATGGTGAGTCATGAAGCATCATGAAGCCCAGTACATACCAGATACCCTCTGGTAATTTAACAGTTTGCTATTGAAAATGGCCATTTAAAATTTATCGTGAGTTTTCCCATGACAAAACTGGTGGTTTTCCAGTTCGCTTTTTGTTTTACGTTGACCAGGCCGGGTATTGGGAATGTCATCATCCCAACTGACGATTCGTCATATTTTTAATAGGTAAACCATCTATAAATGGGCCATCTATACCATGGCTATTCAAGATATCCACACTTTGGCCCTCTCTCTCCTCTGGCCATGGGTCCTTTGGGTCCTTTTCGCCTGGTCGACGAGGCGCTGGACCGGACCTCTGGACCGCCTCTGAACAGCGAAAGAACCGGTCATCATCAAATTTATCAATAATGATAGTAGCATGTAGTAATAACTAATGATCATCACAGTGGCATGTAGTAAGTAATAACTAATGATAATCACAGTGGCATATAGTAAGTGATAACTAATGATAATCACAGTGGTATATGCGGCACATAGTAATAACTATGACAATCTAGTAATAATGAAAGTAGTAGTAATAATCATCATCATGCCATTCCGTCTCCTTTTTTTTAATTAGATACACCATGACACAGCCATTGGTTGAAATCACCAAGTTGTCTACTGAAATTTTGATTCATCGTTTAAGATGCTTCAAATATATCTTAAATATGTATTATAATATGTATATATATATATGTGCATATAAATATATACATATATATATATATACATATACATATACATATATATATACATATAATATATATATATATATACACATACAGTGTGTATAGTCCCAATATTTGGTTATTGAATGTTTTTGGACTTCTCCAATGGGCTTATCCGAAAATGGGGGCCCCTCAAAAACCGGACCCCTCAAAAACACACTGGTTTCGAAGATCATGTCAACTTCGCATGAGACTAAACTTTGACTAGACCTTGGTCGATTCAAATTGGAAAGTAACAGCCCCAAATTAGTGATTTCTACTGAAATGGTACCCAAATTAGTAAATTAGTAAACTTTGGTAATTCCAAATTAGTGATTTCACTACTGAAATGGTACCCAATGAACAACAGCCTTTGGGGCTTTGTTGATCTGGACGATGTTGTGATTTTGACGTCGCGGAATGATGGAAATGGGATTGGGATGGCAATCCCGAAATGGCCCAAGAAATCTAACGTGGTAAACCCAATCATGACTGGTTGGTGGTTTGGAACATTTTTTTTTTTAATATATTGGGAGTAATAATCCCAAGTGACTTTCATATTTTTCAGAGGGGTTGAAACCACCAACCAGATGAACTATCCCACTAGCCAACCATTTTGCTAGGGGTATACCCAATCATAAACCTCTATTGCGGACAGAAGAATTGTTGGCTTTACCACCTCCATTTTGGGCTTACCCCAAAGTAGCCACTATCAATCCCTATGCATCCCCATTGGAATTCACCAGAAGCCGCCTGATGGTTTGTATGAAAATCTGAAACCACCCATCCGTTTCTATTCACTATTAATTACATCTATTACCTTTGATTAAGGACATATATATATATATATTGATAATATGATTCTCTATAAATATATATATATATATTATCTACAATGTGAGGCCCCCAAGATAGCTAAGTTGGTTTATAACTCCAATAACTATGGTTTATGGTACTTATAACTATAGTTACTGGGGCTTATAAACCAACTTAGCTATCTTGGGGGCCCCATCCTGTATGAATATTAACTATTACATAAATTACTATTGAAATATGTCGTTGTAAGGTGAACCTTTCGGCAGCTTCAGGCGCTCCAAGTCTCCGTGCCGTCCGTACCCCGCGTCTCTGGCGTCTCTCGCGTAGCGAACGCGGCGAACGCGTGGCTTCAACATGACGAGGTGGGCTGATAGACAGGATCTGATTGGTGGTTTGGAACATTTTTTATTTTTCCATATGTTGGGAAGAATCATCCCAACTGACTAATATTTTTCAGAGGGGTTGAAACCACCAACCAGGGATTTGTCATCTTTATCTGGTTGGTGGTGACTGGAACCATGGAATTTTGAATGACTTTCCAGAAACAGTTGGGAATGGAATCATCCCAACTGACGATTCGTCCATCATTTTTCAGAGGGGTAGGTGGCTCAACCACCAACCAGAAATACCATCTGGTTATTTAACATAGCCATGGAAAGATCCACAATTTTTAATAGGTAAACCCAGGTAAACCATCTATTTCTATGGGCCATTTAATAGGTTGAAACCACCAAGCAGTTTCTTGTTGTTTCTCATGATTACCCTCCTGTAATCAAACGTGGCAATGGAACATTCCCTCTCAGTGGAGGTTGATTTTTTCGGAAAATCATTGAACCAAACGGGGGAGTTTCCGTTTCCAGCCTCGTTTGACAACACTGGAGGGTCGTAGATCATCAAGGTATAATTTTTTTTGACCGGTATGACAAAAATGGGTCTGTAACATTCTGTTTTATCAAAGATGGGTACCCTCTGGTAATTTAACATAGCCATTGAAAATGGCAATTTATAGTGGATTTACCCACCAAATGGTGATTTTCCATAGTTATGTTAGTTTACCAGAGGGTAAACTTGAAACGGAACCATTTTTTCGGTGTCCCATGGGAAGATAACCAAGGTGCATCCGTTTTCAGCTGGTGAATTTTGCTGTGGTGAAAAAAAACCTGGTGCTCAAACGAACACGGTCAGTTCTGGAAAATCCATGAGACATGCCATGTTCGTCCTCCAAATGCTATTTTAACGCAGAGTCTCACATATACAGCATATGTATATATACACATCTGGTTGGTGGTTTCAAACATGGTTTTATTTTCCATTTCATATATGGGATGTCATCCAACCAAATTGACATTGACTTTCATATTTTTCAGAGGGGTTGAAACCACCAACCAGTATTGCATCATATTCCATTTATACAGATACACATCAAGTCACGTCGTATTTATGTGCATATAAAATAATCACAAAAGACACCCCCAAACGATAGGCAAAAATTGGGGATTAAAGCCGTCCAACCTCAAATTTATCCGCTATATATAGACCTGAGTCAGCCTAGTTTTAGACCAACTTACAGATCTTGTATCCAACTTTACCATTGTATCCCCATAACCTGCTTGGTTTTATACAACTTGGTTTCTAAACAACTGCCGACATATCATGTCTTCATTGGTCCGATTTGTGGGCATTCGACCAAATAAAATTCATTGGCCCCCCACCACTCCTGCCAATTCTATGTTATTGATTACAATTATTATATTAGCGATATACTTATAACAAATCCGGAAAAACGAAACAGCAAGCACACAACAAAAAAACAACAACAAATCCAGGCAAAATCACACAAAACACATCTAAGTGACAAAAGCCAATTCAATTGAACCCGAAAATTACAATAATACTATAATTATTATCTAGTAAACCAGTAAATCACAATAATTCCACTGAACCATAGGATGTAATTGGATGATTTACTTCTTTGATCTTCTCTGTTGTTGGATGATCATAAACAGAACTACTTCTAACTTATATGATGGATTGGATGTTGTTGCTGCCTGTTGGAGCCCCCAGTCCTTTGTCCTTTGGACTTCGAACCAACCTCTGCCGAGATCAGCTGAGGTGCCGCAGTCTGCCCGCGCACTACACCGGAACTTCCTGGAGGCGTTCCAGTCGGAAATTTCGCGGGAATTTGGGCCTCAAAAGCCCAAAAACAGTGAGTTGAATGAGGTTAAGAGAGGTTTCGTTGGTTTATTTAATGGCAAATGAAGTTGACTGAGGTTTCAACCTTGAGGTTTGATTCAAACATTGGTTGTTTACCAGATTGGTCGTGACCAATTATTGGTGTATATGCTTTGTAATCGAAAAGAAATGGGTATTTCTTCAACAAAAACATGGGATGCATTTGATATAGTATGACCCAGACTTGTGATTACATGTTCAAAAACAGTAGAGATCCCAATCCCACAACATTCGAAGCTTGACTCTACTATATTTTGCCCATGCTCAATGTTTTTGATGTTATGTAGCCAATTTTTTCCAGAGCTCCAGTGCTCCAGTCGCAGATTTCTCAAATGGTAGGCAACCCAGTTACCCTCTGGTAAACTAACATAGCGAACTGGAAAATCCCTATTTTTCATGGGTAAATCCACGATTTCGACTGGGCCATTTTCAATAGCTATTTAGCATTATTTAGCTATTTTGACATAACCAGAGGGTATACTTCCATGAATCAGTTGGTACCAAAAATCACTGGCCCAAACACGACCTGGTGTACTTTGCCTGAACCTTCCAGGTGGCAAAGTACACCGAGACAGGTGCGCCAAGGGAAGGAAGTGCCACCGGGTCAGCTGGGTGAAAACGTATAAACCAATTTTTGATGGTTTGGAAGACCCCATGTTTGTTTTCTTTTTTCATGTAATTATAGTTATATTTATATATATATATACATATGTAATACGTATATATATATATACATGTATAATTATATATATATACACATTGCCTAATATACCATAATAATATATACTATTTATTTCAACGATAATTATATGGCGATGAATCAGAATCAACATGGGTCTATACCAGCTAAAGTTGGTGATTAATGTACACATCATATCAACAACCGCCTCAAACACTATCATAGTCCAAATAGAGTTGAGGCCAAACATACTTCTTGGGACTCCGGACATGGAGTCAGGCAGAGCTTTCTTTCCAATTTGAGAAATATATCTATGGATTTTTTGTTCGAGTTTTCAAATTTGAGCCGAAAAAAAGGATCCATCAACAATCAATAGGAAATTCATCAATCAATCAACTACCAATCAACAACCCCAGGATCAATCAATCCATCACAATATGCATTACCCTCTGGTAAACTAACATAACTATGGAAAATCACCATTTTCAATGGGAAAATCCACTATTTCTATGGTCATTTTCAAGTTAGCTATGTTAGTTTACCAGAGGGTAACAATCAATCAACAATCCCTCCATTGCTAGTGGGGTCGCTGGCCACCGTAGGTCCGAGCAGAAGCGACAGCTCTTTTCTGTCGGAGCGACAGGATTTTCCCGGGAATCTGGGGGAAGATCATGGGAGACGACTATGGAGATATTAATCATGAGATATCCACAGACATATCTACTCCAGTATATCCTGATAATATCCATGATGTTGTTGATTTTCTTAAGTTTTGTTGATTTTCTGTTTTGTTGATTTTCTTGTGAATGGTTGATATATCATGGATATTATCTGGAACTGGAGTAGATTCTGATGATGAGATATTCTCATGACATCATATGAAATCCCATGAAACGAAAATTCGGAAACCTTGGAGGAGCTTGTTCATTAGCTGGTCCTTTGCTATAAATTGGTGATACCTTTCCAGCTTTAAAAACATGAAGAGTATCCAAGATTCGCCATAATATGAGGATTCAATGCGGATTTCAAGGCGATTTTTGTGCACCAAAGAATGAGGATTGTGGTAGAAAATATGGATCCGAACATGTTTTTGGATAATGATTTTATAACCAGGAATTGTCTTTCAAACATGATTTGGCTAAAGAAACAAGGAGTTAAGAGTGTTTGTCTAGTGTTTGGAATTCATTTGACATGGTTCAACCAAGAAGACATGCAGGTTTGCCATGAATTATCCAACTAACGGCTACCCTAGAGTTTACAACAGCAAAATGGGGCGAGGATGCGTTTTCACCTTGTTTTTCATGGTTTTTTTTTGGGGTGATGATTCCAAACCCATACGATCCATGTATGCTATATATGGTAACATTTACCATCAATATACCCCAAATGTTAGCATATATACCATACATGGATCCTATGGGAAATGGCTTCAAACAATTGATGGGTGGTTCAAAACACATCAGGCATCAAACAATCGATGCGTGGCTCAATGTGTGCCACCAGGATGGTGCCGCTAAAACCGTTTCGGCATCTTTTTTGGTGTTGCTATATACGTTTTATACCCTCTGGTAATGACTAACATAGCGAACATCAGCATTTTTAAGTTCGGTAAACCATCTATAGAAAAAATCACGATTTTTCATACGTAAATCGCCATGAGTTTTGTTGAAACCATGGGGATTTTAGTTGATGGCATCGATGCCAAAAGCATCGATTTTTGGTCATGATTGACTTGAAAGACACGGGGTCTCCTGGGTGGCTGTGAAATCCCATAGAAAACAAATCCTCTATGGGTGATTTATAGATACCCTCTGGTTATTTAACATAGCCATGGAAGCCATGGCCCATAGAAATAGATGGTTTACCTATTAAAAATTAGGATTTCTTGTTGAAATCATAGAATTGGATGATGGGAAAATTGGAACCGGAAAGCCCTATATTTCATGGTGTGATTTGCGGTTCTGTTTTGGTGCTGTCCATCTTTACACTCTGATACTTGCGAGAGTCGATCAATGCCATGTTGGCTTGGGTCGTGCAGGTCCCCCCTTAGACGTAGATCTGACTGACGTTTGACCGTTGATGGAAAGAGCGGTGCTTTGGGTTTGCTGGTACTTGTGAGCTGCCACCTGTAGATATTACAGGTGGTAGCGGAGCTCCAGAGTAGATCCATGGCGTCATCATCCAAAGATGAAGAGCGAACGAAGTTGGAGAGGTTTGACGGGACGGAGCCCTCGACCTACAAGAAATGGAGGAGAAAGGCAGAACTGATGCTGCTCTCACTGCCAACGACCTACGAGAAAAATCGGTGGGGTCCAAAGCTGTGTGAGTACATCAGCGGTGAGGCAGAGGAACTGATAGAACACTTGACCATCAGCCAGTTGTGCAAGGAGGACGGGTATGCCAAGGTTTTAGAGGCCTTAGATGAGAAGTACCAGAAGACCAAGCAGATGGAGACCCAAACGTACCTGAAGGAGTACTTTTACAAGAGCGTGATCAAGCAGGGTGAGACATACAGACAGTTCGTGGTGAGGCTGGAAACGGTGTATCGACACTTGTCAGCTAGCAACATCACGCTGCCCGACGAGGTGAAGGGTTGGCTGTTGTTGAAGAAGCTGGCACTCGATAGTACACAAGAAGCTCTCATACTGACGGCTGCTCAGGGTAGTCTCAAGTACGCTGACATCACGGAGGCCTTGTTCAAGGTGATGCCTGAAGGAAAGTGCACCACGAACCCAAAGGCGAAAGAAGTCTTTATGATGAATGATGAGATGGCAAGTGAGAATCAGTCCAGTCCAGACGAGGAGCCGGACACTGTAGCTGAGGTGTTTGAGGCGGTTGCCGACTATGCCCAGGACATGGATGGCGACTACGAGGATGCCTTGGAGGTCTTTGAGACTTACAGTGAGATCCGGAAGAGGATGCAGTCACAGAAGGTTGCCAGGGGTTTCAAACCCAATGTTCAACCACCTCTTCAGCTCACCGGAACGATGCAAGCGAGGATCCAGCAGCTGAAGGACAGAACGAGATGTCACATATGCCTGAGGCCAGGGCATTGGAAGCGCGAATGCCCGAAGAAGGACAAGGGATCAAAAGGTGGAGCTTTCATGAAAGGAAGTGGAAAGAGCCAGACTTCCAAGTCGGATGGGCATGAGGCGATGGTGGCAGATCATGAGTCCCTTCAGGAGGAGGCCCATGGAGTCAGTCATGAAGCTCAAGAACTGAGAGGCAAATTCGATGAAGTGTTTTTCGCTGAGGACAGCCTCGAGCAACTTGAGGCTTTGATGGTAGACAGTGCTGTAGAGAAAGGGGGGGCCGCAAGTGTTTCAATGTTTTCCAAAGTTTTCGAGGACCATTTTGGTAGCTCAGACCGTGATGGCGAGGAGGCATACATGTGCGAGAGCAGCAATGTGTGCAGTCTGTTCAGTCATGCAGTGCCAGATACTGCTTGTCGTAGAACCTTGGTGGGTGAAGTCACTTTGAAAGGCATTCAGGACAAACTGAAGGAAATTGGAAGGCGAGTCAGGTATGTTGAGGAGAAAAATGTTTTCAGGTTCGGAAACAATGAATGTTTGGAGACTTGTTGGAGCGTGTTGATTCCGGTTAAGTTTGGTCCTAGGCCGGTAGTGATCAAAGCAGCTGTGTTATCTGGGCAGGGAGAGAGAACACCTCTTCTCCTTAGCAAGGAATTTTTGAAGCAGCTTGGAACTAGGATAGACATGTCCTCTTCGATGGTGGAATTCAGGAGTATAGGGGTTACTCTGAGAATGGGGATCACCTCGAAGGGTCACTACGCTATTCCTTTGTTTGATGATGTTGTGCACACTTATGCTTCACACGACACCATGCACGTTGATGATGAACCAAGACCGCTCACAGATACTGCAGCTCCCTCTCAAGAAAAGGTCCGTGTTCCCCCTTCCGAAAAGCCTGACGCGCATCATGTCGATGAGCAAGAGTGCGCAGGGCAGCCAAGAAGTGGACATGATGACAAGCCTGAAGCTGGCGATAGACAAGAAGAAGTACCAGGAAGCTGCCGACAGAGCTCAGGTGCTGGCTCAGAGCTTGGACCAACAACCACATCAGCCCGGAGACGAGAAAGACGAAGGAGAGCAGCTCGGAGGGACGCTCTTGACAACCGGAAAATTCAAGGGGAAGATCTTTCGCGAGGTCTACCTCCAGCAGAAGGATTACCTTGCATGGATCCGCCAGAATGTGTCTCCAGCGGAGACCAAGTTCTCGATCAACATGCTGGAGTTTCGCATGTATGTGGAAAGCCGAGACATAGTGAAGCGAGATCGGATGATGAAACGGGTGATGGTCGAGAAGTTCTCCAAGGAAAGGGCAAGTGCGACTCGTCGCACAGCCACGGAGAGCAGCTGGGACGAAGTGATGGAGGCAGAGAATTTGACCATGGAGGAAAAACAAGTGATCACACTCACGGAGATCCAGCAATACCGCACTCACCTGGAGAACCTGGAGAACAGGATTCATCAGGCCTTGAAAGAGAAGAGCAAGATCGAGACGAAGTTGCAAGAGCTGACGAAGCTTGCCGACAAGTAGAGAGTGAGAGTGAGCCGCCGGGAGAGACATCGGTCATGACAAAGGCAGAGAGGAAGTCGGTTAGGAGGTCGATTGAGAAAATCATGCGTGAGCATCATGAGGTTGTTGATGTGATGACTGTTTGTGATGTTAGTGGTCAAGATGTCATGGAAGTGTTTTCGACCCCTCATATAACTGCCGCAGCACAGAAAATGTCTCTCAGAGCTGACCATGCTTTTGACATCAAGGTTGGGTGCGACCTGCAAAGACCCGAACATAGAAAGCAAGTTCTTGAACTGGTCAAGAGAAAGAGACCCAAACTGTTGGTGGTGTGTCCCCCATGTGGTCCCTTTTCTACCTTGCAACGTCTCACTGTTTTGAAGGGTGAACGGTACTATGATAATCTTAGGAAGGGTCGTGAACTTTTGGAATTTGCTATGGAACTGTGCACACACCAACACACACAAGGCCTGAAGTTCGTTTTTGAACATCCATGGCTTGCGGACTCGTGGAACGAGGCATGCGTGAAAAAGGTCTCTGGGATGCGTGGAGTGCAAGTGATCAAAATGGATCAGTGTATGTTTGGACTTAGAGACCCTGTGAGTAAAAAGAGGTATAAGAAATCTACTGGGATAATGACGGACTGTAGAGAAATTGCTGAGAGACTCAGTAGACTGTGTGACAAAACCCACGAACATGAACCCATTTTGGGAAACGTCAAAACGCCTTTTGGATGGAAGAAACGGAGTGAGGTAGCTCAAAGGTACCCCAAGGCAATGGTGAATGCAATTTTGGCAGGGTTTTTGGAGTATGAATACAACAAACAGAAAGAAGTTGCTGTGTCCACTGTGTATGCGGCCCTGCGGAGATGTCATGAGAACCTTGGACACCCGTCTAACGGTAGATTGAGTGTCATGTTGAAATCCGCACATGCCAGTGAGAGAACCTTGCAGCTTGCGAAGGGATTGACTTGTCCAGCCTGTGATGTGAAAAAGCAGCCGGCATCAAGACCAGTTGCAAAAGAAAGGAGGGCTTGGGAGTTCAATCAACAAGTCATGGTTGACACGTTTGAGGTTGACGTGATTGGTAGGAAGTTGAAGTTGTTGAACATAGTTGATGAGGCCACAGGGTATCAAACAGTTGCACCCTTGTGGCATGGAGCTCAGGCGTCGAATGTGAGGTCCTGCTACCGAAAGTACTGGAAAAGATGGGCAGGATGTTCTAGGAGAGTTCTGGCTGATAACGGAAAAGAGTTTGAGGCCGAGTTTGCACAGGGTGTTGAAAGTGACGGGAGTTTCCTAGACACCACGGCAGCCATGGCACCACACCAGAACGGCATGGCTGAGAGAAGAGGTGGGGTCTGGAAAGAGGCCTTCTACAAAACTGTGTTAGCCGTTTCTCCGTCTGCGAAGCCTGAAGTTGAAGAAATTTGTGATCAGGTCACTTTTGCTGTCAACACCCTTCCGAGGGTCGATGGGTTTTCGCCGCACCAGCATGTTTTTGGGAAAGAAGCAGGAATCCCGGGTAACCTTGAACTGAGAGATGAAAAGGTCGTGGAGTCGTCTGCCCTCAAGGCGGGAGAAACCATGTACGTAAAGAGAAACCATGCAGAAAGGCTGCTCAAAAGGCCTACATAGAGGCTCATGAGGAGGACAGAATACGAAGGGCAGTCAATCACCAAACTAGACCCACGAGAGGACCATATGCACCGGGAGACTTGGTCTATTTCTGGAGAATGTGGCCGCGAGAAAAAAAGGCGTGTTGGCACGGGCCGGGCACTGTCATTGGGTATCATGATGGGAATTCCAAAATTTGGGTGGCTAAGGGTACTAAGATGTACAAGTGTAGTCCTGAACAGCTTAGAAAGGTGTCTCAAGAACAGGAATCTCTGATCAGGATGTTGCCTGAAGACCTGCTGAGCGTTAGGAAGCGTATGCATGAAAAAGGGTCAGGGAACTACATCGACTTGTCAACCCGCGAGAAGCCTCCGGTTCTGGAAGACTCTAAGGAAATGAACGAGGATGACGATGCTGAGATGTTTCAGGGTTTTGGGGGCATGTTGAGAGAGAGAGAAGAGAATGAAGTTGATGAAAGAAGGGTAAGGCCAAGGTTGGAAGGAAACGAGGTAAGTAACGATGGTTACAGTCCCACTTCACTGGCTCAAACCCCTTCACTGGCTCAAACCCCTGTTGATAATCCTGTCACACCAAGTGAAACACCACCAAGGAGTCTTGGAACTGGCATGGATGAACCCCAACAAGAACCTGAGACAGTGCATAGCGACACAACAGAGCCTCCGGGCGACAATCAAGAGCGAGAAGGAAATGCCCCTCCGGGGGTCGGAAGTCAGTGGAGAAATGAGCAGGGACATGAGTACGGACCAGTGAGGACACATCAGCCACTGATGACTGCCATGAGGACAAACTTGAACTTGTTGGATCAAGGTGGTCCGATCCGAAGACATGCACAACAACAGGTCTGTTCGTCACCGCAGCCATTTACCGGTTCGTCACCGCAGCCATTTGTAGGTTCTTCGCCGCAGCCATTTACAAGTTCTTCGACGCAGCCATTTGAAGGGTTTGAAGTAAACATGACCGAAAAGAGGCGAGGTAGGAAAGAGGTGTTTGAAAACGAACTGAAATCATGTCACAAACCTGGCCTTCAAAAGGCCAAACTGAAAGAACTGAACAAGCTTGTTTCAAGTGGTGCTGTGCGCGTGTTGAGCAAAAATGAGAGTGATGCAGTTAGAAATGATCCAAAGCTGAGAGGGCGCATCTTGAAGTCGCGCTATGTCATAACAAAAGCTGACGAACAAGAATTGAACGACTTGACAGAACTCAAGGCGAGATGGTGCATCAGAGGTTATCAAGATCCCGATCTACTTCGGTTGGATACTGAAGCACCTACCTTGAGTAGTGAGGGTTGTGCCATAGCCTTGCAATGCGTAGCTAGCCACAAGTGGACGTTGCAAATTTGCGATGTTGAAGGTGCCTTCTTGCGTGGTGACAACTTGAACCGTGCTGAGGGTCGGATCTTTGTGTCACAACCTCCAGGAGGTATGGAAGGAATGGAGGAAGGAGCCTTGCTTGAGTGTGTCAAGGCTGTGTATGGCCTTGCGGACGCACCTCTTGCCTGGTATCAGTCCTTTACCAGAACCTTGAGGGAGTTGAATTGTAAACAATCCAAGTTTGACGGGTGCCTTTATTATGCTCACTCGAAGCATAAACCGAATCACCTGATTGGAGTTGTTGCCATACACGTGGATGACATGTGTCTGGGAGGAAACGAAGAGTTCTTGCGTGACGTTGTGGAACCGTTGAAAAGGAAGTACCCCTTCAAGCACTGGCATGTTGGAAAGGGAGAGTTTCTTGGAAAGCATGTTGAACAAATGTCCAATGGAGACATTGTGATCCAACAAACTGAGTATGCTCGAAGATTAAAAGGAATTGAAATCAGCACTCAGAGAAAGAAGTTCAGAGATGCTGAGACTAATGAAGAAGAAAAGAAACAAATGAGAGCAGTGCTTGGTGCAGTGAACTGGTTGGTAACAGGTACTAGACCTGACTTGGCCGCGAGTTGTTCCTTGTTGCAGCAGCGTGTGACTCAATCAGTTGTGGAAGACTTGGTTGACACAAACCGGTTGGTGGCTTGTGTGCATGAGCATGCTGACATGAAGGTGAAAATAAAACATATACCCCCAAAGGACATGTGTTTCATGGCTGTGTCTGATGCTGCTTGGGCGAACGCCAGTGAGAAGTTCTCTCAGGCAGGATACATGGTCGCTGCTGCTGACAAGAAAATGATGCATGATGTTTGGGCCACCTTTTCACTTTTGCGTTGGAAAAGCTATAAACAGGATAGGCGTACTCCTTCAACACTTGGTGCTGAGCTGTTTGCCCTGTCAAGAGCCCTAGCCGAAACTCGTTGGAAGCGAAGTATGTGGTGTGAAGCCATGTTTGCTGAGTACACTGTGAAAGAGGACGATGTCTGGGAGAAAAAGGTGCCAATTCTGGCCATTGTGGACAACAAACCGTTGTTCGACCACACACGGGCTGGAAACAACACGAACATCCGAGACAAAAGACATGCCATCGAAATGCTGATTGTCAAAGAGGACTTGAGCACACATCACATACACTTGCGCTGGATTGCTACTTACCAGATGTTGGGTGATATCCTTACCAAGAGAGGGGTCTCTGTGAGTCTTTTGAGTAAGATAATGGATTGGGGAAAATTCATCATCGTAGAGGACAATGACATGCTTCCTAGAAAGGGTCAGAGTGTAAAGAAAAATTATTTTGGGGATGTGTGATTTGCGGTTCTGTTTTGGTGCTGTCCATCTTTACACTCTGATACTTGCGAGAGTCGATCAATGCCATGTTGGCTTGGGTCGTGCAGGTCCCCCCTTAGACGTAGATCTGACTGACGTTTGACCGTTGATGGAAAGAGCGGTGCTTTGGGTTTGCTGGGACTTGTGAGCTGCCACCTGTAGATATTACACATGGTAAAAACCCATGGGTTTCCGGTTAAGATTTTCCCGTGAAAACCAATCCAATGATTATAGGTATTATATGATATAGTTAAATATAATAGATATATGTAATGGAATATACACGCTACTGTAATCACTGTAATCCCTGCCCCTCATATTTTCATGAAAAATCTCAACAGTAAAGCGCAACCCCGAAATGAAGAGATCCAATACTGAAGCGTATTTCTATTTGTTGCAGAGATGTTTAGTATTGGGAGCAAGGAATTAGAACAAGTTATAGGTTGGGCAATTTGTGAGTCGATGGCACGCTGTAGATTGGTGGTTTCCAGCAATCAACGGGGATTCTACCAACAAAAAGAATGGATTTGACATTGGTGAATGGCCATGGAAGGTTCCTGCAAATGCTGCCACACGTGAGGGAACATACTATCCATCGCTATCCCAGTGCAAAATCGACTTTGTTCTACTCGTATGGCAACTAGCCGGTTAGCCATACACAGCTGTATTAAATTTATGCGATGGTATAGCTTGAGACAAATGCTGCTGGTCATTTCAACTAGTTTTCATTTCCCAAAATGTGATGTCATCAATGTGATTATCAAACAAACAGCACACCCCCGTACCAATCTGGGTAAATTATAACGACCTCACTGCGACCTATAATCATGGTTAGTAAGAGGAATCATCCCAAAATGGCCTTAATTCATCTTAATTCAGTATATTCAGTTCAGTGAATTATTATAATTTACCCAGACCAATGTGAAAAATAAATGCGTTGGGACTGTGATCCAGATTCAACTTGAGAAAACCGGGAGTCATTCTACAGGAATTGGGAGTGCTCATGTCAAGAATCAATGGGGACTTTGTCCCTAAGAATGGGAAGATAATATCAGAGAACACCATGTTGAACTAGATTAGTAGAACTGAAATAAAGGTGCTAACCAAATTAAAGAAAACATGTGTGTTCTTGGTTTCACTGTTTTTTTTTTACATTTGTTGCAACCCTGGCCCAGGGGCCAGATGTCCCGCAACGCTGAAGCGAAAAATCCTGACGCCCCATTTGGCAGGATCATTGGACGGGTTAGTTTTCACGGTTGATTTTTTTTGTTCACCGGAAAGCCCCAGATTTTTCATGGTGAAAACCATGGTTTTATATGGGAAAACCCTATATTTCATGGTAACTCCATGGTGAAATCATTGGAAAAACCTGTATTTCATGGTAAAAACCCATGGGTTTCCGGTGAAAAAAAAATCCCGTGAAAACCAATCCAATGACAGGAGGTCAAAACCAACATCGGGGCTTCGAATCTTCCAAGGTGGTTACCACGACTTAAAAAATTTAAAAGATGGTTGTGCCAAAAAAAATGACATGTGTGCACTTGGTGGCTCATCCCACTTAGTAAGTGGGTTATAACCCCAATTATAAATGGGATAAGTAGGGTTAATCCACTTATAACTGGGGTTATAACCCACTTACTAAGTGGGATGAGCCACCAAGTATGGGTCAAAGTTTAAGACCACAAGGACAGCAGACTTTCGAATATAAACTTGACACGACTTGACATTTTCAGGAGAAGCCAGCCACCGAGCCCTACCCCGAGACACTGGGTGATCAAAGGCTGACAACTGTCCGGGGCCGTGTCCAAGGAAATCAATTACCATCAAACCCTACAATGTGAGGCCCTCAAGATAGCTAAGTTGGTTTATAACTCCAATAACTATGGTTTATTGCAGATATAACTATAGTTAATGGGGTTTATAAACCAACTTATAACTGGGGGGCACCATCCTGTAGTAATTCAAGCATTGTTAAACCATGTTAAACCAATGTGGTTCTGGGTAGAGTACTCAATAGCGGGTAGTTGGGAGACCTACCCTCTGGTAAACGTTCACAGTTTGCGAACTTGAAAATGGCCCAGTCGAAATAGTTGATTAACCATTTTTTTTTCGCATGGTGGATCTTTCCATGGTTTTTTGGTTAACGTTTACCATTTTGGGTAATGGAAAAAACAGGCTGCTGCATCCTGGATGATCGGCAGCGATCCCCATTGGAGGTCGGGTCTGGAAGGTCCATCAAGAAGACTCTTCAGAGATTTTTTTTAAACGACAAAAAAACGAAAATACCCTGATTTACCCTCTGGTTATGACTAACAGTTCGCGAACTAGAAAGATCCACAGATCGATGCTATGAATAGTTCGGTAAACCATCTATGAATCTATGGGCCATGGTTTCCATAGCAAAGTGTTAGTTTACGGGATGATTTTCTGGCAGATTCTACAAGGTAAACCACTCGACTGGGGACACCGGACTGGGGAGCTCACCCTACGCGACAAAAACGGTTTTATGATGCTTGGGATTGGTTGTAGCCTCCCATAGTTGAACAGTTTGCTATACGGAAAATGGATGAAAATGCTCCAGTTATGTCCACCCATAGATGATTGACCCAACGAAAATGGTGCTTTTCCAGTTTGCAAACAGAGATCGACCGAAAATGACTAGTTTCCATTGGTACCGAGGAACTGTCGGGTCGAACTGCAACCTGATGAACCCCGAGCGTGTGAACAACCATGGGTCAATTGGTGCCAGGATTTTCTGGGCTCGTTGTGAAAGGTCGGAGGGTTCGGAGTACGGTATACTGAAGTTTTTGCGCAACATGTTGCTATAGTTTATATATGTTTAATTATGTTTATATACCTATATCTCAAACTTGTGTCCCACCATTTTACTGCAAACGTTGATTTTAAGTTGATACTTCTTTGTGGATTCTGGTGTACGCCATGGTTTATGGTAGTGATATGTAGTGATGCAAAGGAGAGCCGGAAAAAAAACGACTAGGATTCACAGTCGCATTAATAACACATATTTCCCATCAAGTTCGATGAAGTTTCGGGATCCATGGCATGGCAAAGGCTGCCGCCCCTCGCCTCTCGCCATGGTGTGGTTACGTAACCCGCCCCTAACGCGTAGCACCAGGATGAATGCCGAGTCCATTATGGGACGAAGAAGTCTCTGGGCATGTAGACTTTCTGATGGCGCCATGCGAGTCCGAGAAATACCGTTCGAATATGCCAAGTTTCAAGGTTGTTTCGATACGGGAATGGCCCAAAATCTCATGAATTTTCATAACGTTGAACATTCTTGAACCCAACAAAATCACCGATTTTTTTGCATGTCAAAAGAACTGTGATCCCTTTGTTGTACCCCACTCTTGAGCAAATAGACTTGATTTTGAGGTCAAAAAGGATGCGTGACATTTGAAAAAGAACTGGCCAATTCGGTCGTCGTGTTGATTGTTTGGCTCTTGTCCCAGCGATTCTTGAGCTTGCCAAGGGCAACTATGAATAGTGAATCTGGAAGGGGAAAAAGGAAACAAGAGGTTAATAAAGGGCGAACCCCTCTGAACATCGATGTTTCTGCCTGGATGCCCTGCTGTTGGCTGAGGAAAGCTTTGTACCACGAAAAAGATCGAGAACAATGTGACTTGGCAGATGGTGAGACTAAGAGAGACTTCTTGTTGAAATCATAGAATTGGATGATGGGAAAATTTACAGGAAACCCCATTATTTGATGGTAAAAACCATGTTTTCCTGTAGATGTTCCCTTAAACCAATCCATTGACAAAATTGTTGAAGGATACAGTGATTTGGGTTTGTTTCCCCCAACTCCCATGGTTCATCATAAAAACCCCACTGCGTTTTTGCCAATTGTGGGTACCACCCTTTTCAGACACATCCATTTCAACTAATCATGGGCTATACAGACCCATCATGGAAAGGTCGCAAGTGTTTTTCTCTGTTTTTTCTGTCCAAAATAGTGCATGACTCATGCAGATCAGTCTGAGTGGCCAGCAGATGTTTGGACGTGCTTCATGCATCATATGCATCAACTGGGTAGACTTGAATAGCCCAGCGGCCCAGCATGGCCCTTGGCATTCCAGTTATGCTTCCAGTCGAACCTTGGAATCCCCATGGCCCATGTGAGTGACAATCCTGGCAGAAGTGATTGAAGCGAGTGCTCCGTATCATGTCCAGGGTATTGATCTATTGATCCCTCACAACAAGCCTTCCCAGGGCCGCCATAGGAATTCCAAGTATGGCACAAGTCCTTTGTTGAAACCATGTTTTTTCTCCGTGCCACTAAGGCTACAATGCACCTCGGCCGAAAACTGAAAACGTGGCTGAAAACTCAAGCATGTGGTTTCTTCATAGTGAAATCCTTATACTTGCTATCAATTTATATATGCCTAGCTGGCCGCCGTGTGTTTTTTTTGGGAACCCCAGTGGGATGAGAAGACAAAAAGCCATGTAGATATGTGATGCCTCAAATCACATGTCCAAAACTGTCAATTCCATTTGGGCACCCAATGGTGTATTCCCGTGTTGAACGAGTTGTGCCAAATGGAGCTTTGAGACGTACTGAACTCAAGTATTTCCCTCAACTTATATCATCAGAACTGGGTTGGACCGGCATAGAAATATGGATGTGCATCTAATTGGTTGTCTCCAAACACAGGGGTCCTCCAAGCTATTGCGAATGCATCCTGCAGTCTGGCATTGCTCTCATTTGTAAGTTTGTTTCTTTTTTTCTCTGAGCTTCATCAAAACATCTATGTCAATCAAGCACAATTGCCGGTAATGTTTTTTCAAGTCAAATCATGCAAAACCTACATGTTTTTTGGTTGGTGACGTCCAATTGTTTGCTTGATTTAAAAATTTAATATGGTATCTCATTTTAGTCAAAGTCACTCTAAGTCCAATCCATTCCAATCCCCAATTCTCTACATAAATTTCTTCGTTCAGAAGTCTCTTTTTTTTTCCAAAGAAATGCCAATCCCGGCCATCCAAGGCCTGTATCAGTCATTGCGTCATGGGCCGCGATGCTGAAGGAAGGGTGCGGCCAATGTGCCCCTTGCAGCCCCTTAGGCTGACGAAGAGTGAAATTCACAGCTGTTGATGGAATAATGTGGCTAATGTGGGTAAAACAATGCCATTTTTACATATTTTTACCATCCCCCAGTCATCACTTAAATAGGTGGTAGAAACCATTCCCAAACGGGTAGTTTATGGCATTGTTTGACCAGCAAAAAACGTACGTTTTTTTGCGGGGAAAATTTGTGTTCAATCCCCTGGAAAAAACTGAAACATATCAAAGGCCTTTCCTCTGGAAATCAATCATGGCTATTGAAAATCGCCCATTTGGTTTGATGGGTTTTCAATTTTCACCTCCATTTAGTTACTTAGTTTGGGATTTTCCATGGGATTTTCCATGGGATTTTCCACCTAGCCACGGCAATGATTGCCAGAGGCTACATTTGTTTTTGTGGGGAGGAGGGGAAACTTGTACTATGTTGTACTACCTGGTTGTTTTTCTTGGGGGGTGGTTGTACTATGTTATAGTTATACTGTTATACTTTCTGGTTGGGGATTATTAACTATTAACTTGCCCATACTATGTCATACTACATGGTTTATTGATGTTTATTGGGGATTATGAATTGCTGCTACGGATACTAAGTATTAGCCAACCTGTATGATGGGATGGGATAGTGGTATTTTTCATGGCTCAATGGGGCTTGGGGCAAGAATGTAAAGCTAACAGGACCACACATTTGATCATGGACAGTGCTTGACCATCGCATTGGTGGGTAACAAATTTTGGTGTTTACCACTTTACCCTGTTGGTGTCGGTTTGTTGCTGAACAGAATTGGGGTGCTAGCCACGAAAAAATGTGTTTTAAAACAACACCCGCATTCCCACATGGTAAAAGCGCTTGAGTGAAGATGTAGATGACGGATGTTTTACTTACCATTCATTCAGCCTTGGTATATCACGAACTTGCACACACAAAGCAACTTCTTGAAACATTCACAAAGGACACAAAAGGCCAGGGTGCGGCAAAGCTCTATGAAGTTCTTTGCATTGAGGCTGTGTTTTCTTTGAATACTTGGTGGCTCATCCCACTTAGCAAATGGGTTATAACCCCAGTTATAAATGGGATAAGTAGGGTTAATCCACTTATAACTGGGGTTATAACCCACTTACTAAGTGGGATGAGCCACCAAGTATCTACGGTATCATACGGCATCCCATGGACACACCTTTAGTTTGCACGTTGTTTTCCCAACCACCAAGGGGTGGATACTCAGTGACTTGGCAGAGCGCAACAGACCATCGCAGGTTACAATACAGGCATTTTATGGGGATATCCTCTGGTAAACTAGCAAATAACTATGGAAAATCACCATGCTATTACTGGATAAATCATGATAAATCAACTATTTCGACTGGGCCATTTTCAACAGCGCAAACTGTAAACGGTTGCCAGAGGGTATATATAATGAACTGTTTTTATGGAGAACAACTATATGGGATCAAGGAAATCGTATGAAATTCTGTGAGAACAAGTGGCGACATGATGGAATATCGACATAGAAGTTAGCCCGGTGAGTCTATGATTACAGAGGATTGTACTGTTCTCCCGAGCCCTGGAATCATGGTTTATTTTAGGGAAATCATCCCCATTCATGGCCTTATTTAAAAGTAGTTAATAGTGGTTAATAATGATAATCAATGATTAATATATCTGGTTGGTGGTGACTGGAACATTTGGATTATTTTTCCCATCATATTGGGAGATTGTCATCATCCCAACTGACGATTCGTCATATTTTTCAGAGGGGTAGGGCTCAACCACCAACCAGACATATATTGGGGAATCCTGTTCTCAACCAGCATTTTGATGGGGAGGTTTCTGAAGGGGTAACGAACACCGCAAAAACATCATTTGGGTGTGTCTGAACATGGTGATAACTTGTGGATGTTGTTGTGCCCTATTTTCACAGAAAACAATTTGCAATTAACACTACTTTGATTTGCAAATGTTTTGTGAAAACATATGATAAGTAGATTGGAATCTACAATGTTCCTTTTAGAATTACATTATGATCAATAGTTTCAAAACCATTTTCCTTATACATGTCGATTCTCTGACGGCCTTGACATTTCGTTGTTTTCTTGAGATTCCAGGTTCTTTAAACAGAAGGGCTCCAAAGAATCCCGAAAAACATCTATCTGGCGTCCCACAACTCATAGATATCATACAATATATCATACTTAACATATACATTACATATCATTACATCAGATATCATAACATAATTAGCATACAATACATCAGATTTTTCATACAAGAAAATTTCATTAGTTATTATAAATATTAGTTATACAGTTATATTAGGCATTTTTTAATCACAGGAGCTGATACTTTTTGGTTGATCTGCTGACAGGAACTCTATACCTTTCCGAAGGATAGCGAAGTCGTGGAGTGAAAAAAAAGTTCCACGGTCGCGATGGGCCAATACGATCCACGTGGTTCGAAAAAAAGGGGCAGTGAATCATAGGTGTGTATAAATAACATATTTTTTTTTATACATAATATGCAACGATTTTATACTATAATATATTATATATACTATGATATAATATAATATAATATAATATATATATATATATATAATATATATATATATATATTGCAGACTGTAGACAACCCACTGATGCAATAGATGCCAATGGGCCGGGCATATGACTTCATAACTTACAAAAAAACGCTCCTTCAGATTGTGAACAATGGGGGCAATCAAACCAGAGAGAGGACGATGAGGAAGATTCATATCCATTCATGATTATCCTGTTGAACATCGATCATACCCGCTGTTAGTTTGTTAATGTTTGTTACGCAATGGAAATTTGCCCTTTAGTTCGATGATTTACTAAGATTTACCTATGAAACCAGGTGATTTTCAATAGCCAGGCGTCACAGCCAGGCGTCGTTAGGATTAGGATTGTCCAGCATTAGTTGCCAGATTATCCTCGAACAAAACCATATTTTCAATGGAGCCTGTTCAATCACTTGAAACATATCAAATAGAAAATTGATAAACATGTTCAATTGAATTGGATCATGTAAAAAAAACGTACCCCAAAATCAAGTTCCAACGGAAAAAAAAAACGGATTCTCAGAGGGTACGTTGCAGGCGTGGTGTTTCGCTTTCCGGTGGCCTTGCAGGACACACCTGTGGACCTGTGGGCTTTGGGCACGTTCGGGCATAGCCCAGAGGGTTTGGGCACGGTCGGGGAAGGGTGTCTCAGGATTTCACCAAAAGTCAATTGTAAAAAACCAGGATCCAATACATGGAGGTACCGTTAGTACCATATAATGTCAACCCCGGATGAGGCTAAACCATGGTTTATGACAATTAGGGGGGTACTCCTCCAATAGTCATTTCATCTGATACTGGAATATGGTACCCCCCCAATTAAACAATCGTTTGGGGTTTATTAATCCAGGGTTGACATTAAGGCCATATTTTGTGGGGTATATCCCCTTACATAGCCCTGAAAAATTGGCATTGTATATGGAATCGGTACCTCCAATGAATCGCTTCCTGGTTCCTGAAATTGCCATTGAAAAATGGGAACTTCATGAAGCACCAAACATGCAGGATGGTGCCCCCCAGTTATAAGTTGGTTTATAAACCCCAGTAACTATAGTTATATCTGCCATAAACCATAGTTATGGGAGTTATAAACCAACTTAGCTAACGAACTGGGGCACCACCTTGTGGGGACCAAAAACTGACCAAAATAGGGGGATTTTTATGCAGACATCTGGGATTTGACCAACCGGAAATGGTGATTTCACCGGCAATCTGGGCTTAACCACCAAGAATGGGGGGGACACACGATGAAATATCCACTTACCCTCTGGTAATTTAACATGGCTATTGAAAATGGCTATTTATACTGGATTTTCCCATTAAAAATTGTGTTTTTCCATAGTTATGTTAGTTTACCAGAGGGTAATACAGAAACTGGTTGGTGGTCTGGAACGTTTGGATTATGACTTTCCATTCAGTTGGGAATGGCATCATCCCAACCGACGAACTCATATTTTTCAGAGGGGTAGGTCAACCACCAATCAATGGATTGGATTAGGGGAAAATTTACAGGAAAGCCCCATATTTAATGGGAAAATCTATGGTTTCCGATTAAGATTTTCCCGTGAAAACCAATCCATTGAACCAGGAAATTGTGTCGTTTCGTGTTGAGTCAACACAAATCTCAGACCATCGGTTTTCATCGGGTTTCTGAATATTCATATGGTGCAGAATAGCCAAACCATGATTCGCACAACACAAATCACAAACCAACATCTTCTCTTAACACAACCACGCCACTAATGTTTGATGAAAAAGTTACCCTCTGGTTGTTTAACATAGCAAACTGGACAAATTGCCCATAGAAATAGATGATAATGGCATGATGATTTACCTTTTTCGCATGATGATTTCCCAGTTCGCTACGTTAGTCATGAAGAAATACCTAAGAAATACCTAAGAAATACCTAAGAATACCTAAGAAGAAATACCTTTCAGAATACCTCTCAGAGGGTAAGTCATGAAGAAATTTCCCTCAGAAATACCTACCAGTGATGTCCATTCATCGCGTGTTTGTCGAGGTTGATCTACGAGCTTTTGGTGGGCCATGCTCCTTTCTGGGGCTCCGTGGAGGACTTTCTGTGGCGAGCCCTGAGGCGGAATGTTTTTAGATCGGTGAGTTACGGGGTCCCCTGAAAGGGAAAAAGATGGAGAGAAGTTAGGTAACCCTATATATATATTATTATATACTATTATATATTATATGTATCTATATGTATATATATACATATGTAATCATACTATTTTAACATTTGATAGTGATGTATTAAAACAAAAAACACTACTAGACTAGGAACTTCGAGTTTTTTTTGGGTAATCTGCATGTGGTCTCTATGGCGAACGTGGCAAACTTGTAGTCCCTGGTAGTCCCTTTCCTGTTTTGCAATCCCCATGATGGGAAGACCCTTCTATAAATCTGGGTAAATTTCATCACGACCTCACTGTTCTCCCTCACTATAATCATAGTTAGTAAGGGGGAATCATCCCAAAATGGCCGTAATTCAGATTAGTGAAATATTATAATTTACCCAGATAAATGGATGTTTAGATATATGGAGCTTGATGGGTGATTGGTGGATTGCCGGCCAATCAACCTACCATTCATCCCGAGTTACACGTTTCTACTCATTTCAATAAGTAAATCATCGACATATGAGGTGATTTTCCAGACCCCGGTGATACATAAGTCTTTTAAGTCTTCCAACCCGGAACTTATATCAAGGAAGTATATTATATACCTACATATCACCTTGGTGGCACAAATTTCGACACATCCTGGGCCCTGGAAGCTCTGGAAAGTCGATAGTCCATCCATGAAAAACATCTGGATATTTTCAAGAAGTGATGTTTTCGTGGGTAGGGTTTCTTAGTGGGAAGTAACTACAGTTATAAGAACCACTGTGTTTTTACAGTATCTACATTTATTTTTGAGCCATTACTACAGTAAGTGCATGTAACTACTAACTACAGCTGGTGGCAGACAAAAGTAACTTAGTCATAGAAGTAGTTACTTTTCACTAACTAGTTACTAAGTAGTTACTTTACTTGGTAGTTACTGTAGTTACTTTTCACTAAGTGACCATTCATACAATGTGAGGCCCCCCAGTTATAAGTTGGTTTGTAAGCCCCAGTAACTATAGTTATAAGTACCATAAACCATAGTTATTGGAGTTATAAACCAACTTAGCTATCTTGAGGGCCTCACATTGTAGGCCACGTCTTTCTCTGCCACTTTTTGCTGATCGTCAGCAACCCCAGGAGATTCGACAGAAGGTCCTCTCCGTGGACATCCGCTACCCTCCACAGCTGCTCTCACCGGAGGCCTCACTTCAGCATCTATAGACCTACTAAGTAACTGCCACCTACTACTACTACTAATAATAATAACAATAATAATAACAATACAATATGTATATATATATATAATCAAAACGACAATAATAACAACACTAATAATCTAGTATAAAGATACGTAATTATCATACGTCATAATAAAACTATTCCCATTAACAGTTGTTGACTGCATGCAAGATCAACAGTAGCTTACACCCCTTTTCAAGCTGATCTCAAGCCCCGTGAGTTTGAGTGATTTATCTCCACAGATCAGTCAACGAACCATACTTTTTGTGGCTCATCCCAGTTAGTAAGTGATATCATGTTATATCCCTAGTTATATCCCTAGTTATATCCCTAGTTATATCCCTAGTTATATATATAAATAACATCCCTAGATAATATCATATAATATATCCCTAGTTATATCCCTTATATATCCCTAGTTATCCCTAGCTATATCCCTAGTTACATCCCTGGTGATATCCTTAGGTTTCAATCCTTAGTGATTTTCGCTGAGTTTTTCTAACATCGGAATCTGGGATGAGCAGAGATCATCCCAGTTAAACACGTGGCGTTACGGGATGAGTCAGCAAGATATAGAAACAAACGGGAAACGATATCATTTAATCTGGGTAAATTATAACGACCTCACTGTTCTCCCTCACTATAATCATAGTTAGTAGGGGAAATGATCACCAGATGGCCTTAATTCAGGTTAGTGAAATATTATAATTTACCCAGATTTAATATCAGCAAGATACCAAGTTTTAGGTAACTCAATGATAATATCTATATATCTCATTAATACTGATGTTACCATTTAATATCCTGCAATGATATACTTAGTATCATTTAATGAATTATCCATAATAGAGCCATCATACTATCATGGAGTCACTGAAGTTGTCACTTATTATACTAGTATGAAAAAACTATGACATCATGGAGTATTATATAGGTTTATGCCATGGAGTCACTATTAAAATGTATTAAAATGTATTGGATACTCCATGGCATGTTGTGATATAATTGCATATAAAAACCTCTGCATTTAGTGCTCCCATGGCATACCCATTAGTTGGATTGGTTTACGGGACATGTTTGCAGGAAACCCCCATATTTCATGGTAAAAAACCATGGTTTCCGCTTAAGATTTTCCCTTGAACCAATCCAATTGAACATTGGTAAGTAGATCCAGAGACTCTCTACCTGTCTCGATACATAGCCCAATGTAACATCGAGGTATTACCCTCTGGTTATGACTAACAGTTCGCCATGGTATAGATGGCCCATAGAAATAGATGGTTTACCTGGGTTTACCCATTTAAAATGGTGGATCTTTCCATGGCTATGTTAGTCATAACCAGATTCAATGGGAATTCCAGGATCCTAAAATGGAGGTACGTTAGTACCATATTTTTGGCCATATTTTCTGGGGATATCCCCTTACATAGGCCTCAAAAATAGGCCTTATATATGGTAGGTACCTCCAATGAATCGGTTCCTGAAATGGCCATTGACAGATGGTAATTTATTTGATGTACCCTCTGGTAATTTAACGTAGCTATGGAAAATCACCATTTTTGATGGGAAAACTCACTATAAATGGCCATTTTCAATAGCTATGTTAGTTTACCAGAGGGTACCCATGGTTGATGGACCCCCCCGTTTTCCACCCCGCGTTTCAACGCCAACGCCAGGCCGTTCAACTCTTCCACCTGCTGCTCCGTAGAGATCCTCACAGCCATTGACCCAGACGGCAGCACCATCGTCCACTGGATGATTTCGGGGGACCCCATTGACTTTGGAAACCTCCATATTATATATATATACATACAACATATATATATATATATATGCATATACACAGAATATGAATATACATATATATATATGATACAAAGGGTAATAACAATAATAGTAAGTCTAATAATTATCATAGAATTAATTAATTATAGGTTTACTAGCCACCTAAGGTTGGTTAGTAACGACTTTGAAGGCTTGGTGATCGCAAGATCCCACTTTCTGTCATATCAACCAACAATCTTATTTCATCCTTGTAGTTTAGCAGTGGGATGTAGAAATCCGTATTTAACTGTTGATTTTATCCCAATCTTTTGTTGATCAAAAACTATCAACACCAATTCTTGTGGGTTAAACCCATGTTTTTTCCCCAGTTAAATCTATTTAACCCATGTTTAGATCTCCAGTTGACCGTGCCGGCGTCATTCTCAGGTCGGATCCCTGCTCGGCAATTGCTACAGGAGAACGGATGGGTCGCTGGGTCAATTTTTTTGAAGACAAAAAGGGGACCACATATTTTCGTCATTTTTTGTCCATTGTTAGTGACCCTCTGGTAAACTAATAGTTTGCTATTGAAAATGGCCATAGAAATCGTGGATTTACCCATTAATAGCATGGTGATGTTCCATAGTTATGTTAGTTTACCATCCGACTTTGGGTTACCTTTAACCATCCAAATGGTCATTAATTTAGTCATTAGTCATTAATGGGACCATTATATAAAGTATGAAAAGTGTTGGATGAGTCAAAAATTAAGCCCTAATGGACCACATATTGTTGTATATATGATACATGTTTAAGTACTACAATTATTAACATGTGTTAACCATCCAAGTTTTGGGGTACCCAATTTTGACCCATACCCAAAATGGGGATATCATCAAAATGTATATTCACGTACGTAGACAGACAAAAACAGCACAGGTGTTCTTTCAAGGTAACGAAGATTGCACATGTTCACAGTTCATGATGTTTATGAGGTGAACTAGCTGAGGTCCATACCTGTGAGGTGCATAACTTTTGTGGTGAAAAATATGAGACCTCAGGTCTCATATAGATTAACCATTATTAACCATCACTATCAATCCATGATTAACCACTATTAACCACTATTAACCATAGATAAACCATAGATATCCCATTGGTTCCCTTGTTTTAGGGATCCAAACCCCACATGAGGTGAACCTCAGACTGATCGGAATCCTTGGAGTCCTCCTTTTTTTGGTTTTTTCAGCGAGGGAAGAACGAATAGCCGTGTTTTGGTGAAGAACGACGTCGCGAAGACAAAAAGACCATGTATATAGATGATACAAATGGGTATGGGTCAAAATTAGGTACCCCAAAATTATGGATGGTTAATACTAAACTAGACATTCACATTTGTGGTCCCATTAATGGTCTTCCATTTTGACCCACATCCAAATGATGATATACATGGTGATGATGTATCATGTTATTTCATGTTATTTCCCCCATGTTGTGATGATATAAATGATGGTGAAAGACCATGTTGATAATGGGGAAATCATCATTTGTATCATCTATCCAGAGCTGTGTCAAATAACTAGAGGGCAGATATTCATAGATTTCTGAGGTGTGTAGTTTTGGGGAATTTGGGTGTTTGACCACACACCAAAGGGTGTTCAGATTTTGGTGACAAACCCCAAGACTTGTAGACGTGGTTCGGTTCTCATTGGTTATCATTTACTGATCCCATATAAGCTCATTGGTTATCATTCACTGATCACATATAATTCATATATAGTGGTGCCCCATAGATAGCTAAGTTGGTTTATAAGTACAATAAGTAGGACTTATGGTAGATATATCTATAGTTGATGGGGGTTATAAACTAACTTATAAATGGGGGGGGTACCACATTGTATATATATATAAGATGGTTGACAATGCTACTATATGACTTACTCCATTGGATGAGTTGGGAGTGTTCTACTGCCCTATACTTGGGATGCTTAGAACCGAGGTTCAGCAAGGTTTGGAGGCCTTCAAAGCTGCAGGCACTTGGTGATGTACTAAGCAAACATGGTATGATCTCAATGGGAATTTCAGGATCCGAAAATTTACATATGGTATTTACATAGAACTTGATTCAATCACTGATGAATGGCCATGTCAGGTTCCTAAATTGGAGGTACCGATTCCATATATTTTTGGCCTATTTTTGAGGCCTATGTAAGGGGATATCCCCAGAAAATATGGCCAAAAATATGGTACTAACGTACCTCCATTTTAGGATCCTGGAATTCCCATTGATGATCTGTTGGGTGTATTTCACAGTTTGGCTTAAGATGTAAAAAATGTGAGGATATGTGGCTGAACCTTGCTATGGCTTCTTTTTTTACATCTATATTAAACTATATTATGTATTTTATTGATTAACTGTTAGTTCATTACTGTGGATGTAACCATTGACCTGTAGAACTGTGGCTCACCTGTTGGGTTCCCATCCCGTTCTTTTGAAACACCACCATTCTATGCTTCCAAATAATGTGTACATACCAAGCATGATTTTTAGGGGGTGTGTAATATCACTCTGTCAATTAAAAAAACCACATACCAAGGTAGAAATTCTTGAGGTCTATCTTTTGGTGGCTGTCAAAGGTATAAATTCTTGACCTATTCCAGACGTTTTGGGTCTCTCACTTTGAAGAGATACATGTCTTATTGCTTATACCATCTGGTTATTTAACATAGCCATGGAAAATCCCTTATAAATCTGGGTAAATTATAACGACCTCACTGCGACCTCACTATAATCATGGTTTGTAAGAGGAATCATCCCAAAATGGCCTTAATTCAGTTCAGTGAATTATTATAATTTACCCAGATAAATGGAGGTTTATAGCTGGGAAAATCATCTATAAATAGGCCATTTTCCATGGCGAACTGTTAAATAACCAGAGGGTATAGGTCCCATTTGTCGTTGGTTGAATCTGCCCATCGTTGCTGGTGAATTACCCTCTGGTAAACTAACATAGCTAGAGAAAATCGCCATTTTCAATAGGTAAATTAACTATAAATGAACTATGTTCAATAGCTATGTTAAATTACCAGAGGGTAGGTACTTTCTTGATTTTCGTGAACTCTCCATAGGTGTTATTGAAATCCTGGCAAATGGGTATGCATGTACATGATATCCATCAATCTATGACTCTAAGATAATTAATAGGACAAACAAACTAACATATTTTGCTGTTGGATATATTATGTCATTATACAAAATATATCATATAAAGTAATTCATGGCAATCTATTGCAAATCTCTGATCATACTATTATAAAACACATCCATAGAGATTATGCCGGTAAATCATTTCAGAAGCAGCGGCCAGGTCGCACTGAAGCAGCCTCCCCAGCAACAACGCGTGACGTGGGTCATCGCTGCTTAGGTCGGAGTGGCAGCGGGAGAGGGCTGTCTTGGTGTATGTGGGGATTGTCTGAAAATGGGGTACCCTCATGTACCCTCTGGTTATGTCAACAGTTTGCTATTGAACATGGCCCAGTCGAAATAGTTGATTTACCCATTAATAGCATGGTGATTTTCCAGTTCGCTATGTAAACGTTTACCAGGCTGGGTATACACTCAAATAGCCACTTTAGTGGAGAAGATGACTATGAACTATTGGATTTCGGGGGTAGCCCTTATTTTCACACACAGCCATGTAGGATTTGGGGAGAATGGTCCTTTTAAAGGCGGGTTGTTTCTTCTGGTTGGTGGTTTCAAACATTTTTTATTTTCAATAATATATGGGAATAATCATCCCAACTGACTAATATTTTTTCAGAGGGGTTGAAACCACCAACCAGATCTACATGCATGATCAACGATCATTATTAATAACTACGATCAACTATCGTAAACAATTCTCAAGCTGTCCATGAACCACTATGATCTATCATTATATAACTGTCGTGAACTATAATTAGCTATCATTAAGTATTATTGGCGGTTCTTGGCGATCATTGAACTATGCTTAATTAACTATTTTTAAGTATCATCAACTGACTATCAATGACGATCATCAACTATCATAAACTATCATTAATTATAGTATTAACTATAATCCAGTACATAACACAGGAATTGCTATACATATACTATAGCAACCATTAACAATAAATTAACAATATATTTGCTATATATATATATATGCCTGATTCATCGCATTTTCTGAAGCATTTGTCTTACGGACCTCGGTGGTGCAAACTTAGTGATGAGTAGTAGCCCTTTGTGGCGTCTTCAAGGTAGGCCCTGGAGGGGCTGCTGACACTATATATATATATATATGTATAAGCCTTATATCACTGATGTATATATATATATGTGTGTATATATTAATATAACCCTTAGATAATTCTTCTATAATGGTATTATTCTTCCAAAAAATCCTTTGATAATTCTCCTATATCCACAGTATTTAGGCATGATTATAACCCATTAATCACCTTAGATAATATAATATGTATATATAACTTCTATAAACCATATGTATTAATATAGAAATTGCTTATACCGTGGATATTCATCACTTTCTCTGAGACATAGAGATGGGTTCCAGCCGGCGATGGCGCTCTACCGATAGAGATACTGTATGGTACATCATCATACACCCTGATGTGATATATAGTGATTTATATATATGTATATATAATGATATATATATATATTATACATATTATATTTATTTATTTTTTTTAATAAAATACTATATATTATATACTGTATATATTAAATTATATTACATTGTATCGAATTCTATAGTATTATATTGTATAATATTATTTTGTATATGTTACATATATATAATATAATATATATGAAATAATATAATATAATTTTCTATATTATATAAGATAGAAAAACTATAATATATGATATAAGATAAGCAAATATAATATAAGATAATATGATATAAGATAATATATAATATAATAGAATTTGATATAATATAATTTTAATATGACCTAATATTATACAATAAAATAAAAATCAATAAAATATAATATAGTATTATTTAATATTTTATACCATATTATACTATATTTTATTATATTATATTATAATATTAGATATATATATATTGTTTGGACATATCCTTTTTTGGTGATTCGTTGGGAAATATACGAAGAGCAGACGAAGCAGGTCCCACCTTTTCTCCGGGACGGGACCAAAAACCGATGCTGCTGATTTGCCTTTCCGATCACCTGGCACTGTTTATACTTGGCATATTATATATAATATATTAGAACCATAGTATACTATACTTGGTATGTTTATACCATATTATACTATTAGAACCATATAATATACTATTATATATATATTATACTTGGCATATATAGAACCCCTTTTCGAAAATATATAATATAGCATGTATATATATACGTATATATACTTGGCTAATTTATATAATAACGTAACTATATGAAAAAAAAACACAATTTTCAACAGGCAATTCATCATATAAAAAATATGCTAATTTTCCATAGATATGTTAGATAACAAGAGGGGGAAATCTAAGATGAAGGCTATGAATGGCCTTCACATAGTCATGGCTATAGACAAAACTAGTGGTCAAATCCAGCATATCCCCAACGTTGGAGCCGGTGCTCCTCATTCCAGCAATCGACATCACGACATTTGGTGTTGCCACCAAAAAAAAGTAAGTCTACCAGGATTTAGTCTCATCCGGAGTTGACATTACTTGGTGGCTCATCCCACTTAGTAAGTGGGTTATAACCCCAGTTATAACTGGATTAACCCTACTTATCCCATTTATAACCGGGGTTATAACCCACTTACTAAGTGGGATGAGCCACCAAATAGTTTAATCATGTTTCTTGTGTATCCTTACGATGAGCATCCCTGGAATGGAGTTTCCTATGTTGGTCTTGATCAGGGTGCATGGCCAATGCGCCAATGAACGAGTGGAAGTATTGAAAAGATGGCCTATAGAATCTAGAGGACCATCAGAAAACTCAGGTTGTTCCTCTAACCAGGATATAGAAACTATAGGATATTTGTTCCCTATATGAAGGGAAAGCATAGAAAACTAACCTTCTAAGTATAGACATAGTTTCCTATAGTTTCCTATAGTTTCCCTCCATCCATCGGCTGGGGACCTCTCCAGGAGCCTCCATGGTAGACACCACCTTGAGCCGACAGAAAGAGGTGCCTTGACACGGACTGACACCACCAAAGCAGTGGGTCAAATGGGGTCAACATGTAAAACCTGTGGTTGGGATTTGTCATCGCAACTACAGAGATGGGGCGTGAAAATTTGTAGTGACTGGTGATCTTTGCAATTTGCAATGAGGGTAGCCAGCTGTGCAGGGGTAGTTGAGACTGGGAAGGTTAGTGAGTTTAACACGCTGTAACTTGCTTACAATGATCCCAGCAGACTTTCATGCATTGATTTCGTTCATCTCCCAAAATGTTTTGCAGATCTTGGTATTTTTTTTTTTGAGACGTACCATGAACAACATATAACTACAACATGTTTCCAACATAGTTTTTATGGCCTGAAGAGAGACTTTCCAGCCGCATTTTTTTCGCTTCCTGTGAAAGGTGAATGGAATATTTATTCGCTATGAATGGATAAATTCTATGTTATATGACTATAATAATGATACTATAGTCATATATATATATACACATTTATTAGACTAGTAGTATAGACAGTACTATATTCATAGAATTGGATTATGGGAAAATTTACAGGAAAACCCTATATTTGATGGTAAAAACCATGGTTTCCTGTAGATTTTCCCTTAAACCAATCCAGTGATATATGATATATCTATTAGCCTATAGCAATTCTATATGATATTCTATATGACATTGGAGGCCGTCCCACTGGCAAACCGCTGCGTTTTTGGGTTAGCCATCTGTAAATGGGAAAGCCATGGTGTGTGGCCCCTCCTTTTTGGGACTTACATGGACGAAACCTAACTTTCAGAAAGCTTATGAACCACTTAGTAAGATTCGGATGATCCTAGAGAAGTACGGGACTTACATGGACTTACTAACTTTATAGCTGAACCACTTCTGAACCACTTAGTAAGATTCAGATGATCCTAGAGATTTATAGTATAGATTAGTATAGTACTAAGCACCAGCGAACAGAGCTTCAACGCGGACTCCGCAACGACTCCAGATACTTCGCTCCAATCGCTGTGGCGCCTTTTCCACGGTGGTGGCGCCACAGATTTCGCAGCCAGGGGAACCTGGGGGAACCTGGGGGAACCTGGACAGCGACGCAGCACTGGGAAATCATTGGCCAATTTTTTGGGGAAAATAGGGGTAGAATGGGATATCTGGTTGGTGGTTTGAAAATGGTGATTTACCCATTGAAAATGGTGATTTTAGATTGGAACCATGGAATTTTATGACTTTCCAGAAACAGTGTGGAATAATTTATCATCCCAACTGACGATTCGTCCATCATTTTTCAGAGGGGTAGGTAGGTATACCACCAACCAGATATGAATTGGATATTCACACACCAAAACTTGTTTTTTCTGGGAAAATCTATGGAACATCTCTGGGCTAGCATCTTTTTCCGATTTTTAACGTCTTCCCACGGGGGCCAATCGGTTTTCGATTTGCCCTTCAGAAAAAAACATGGCCAAGCTGAACCACGCTGCTTGCTGCAAATTGGGCTGCAAATGATTCCAGAAGCTGTTGTCAAAGCATATTCTCGACATTGGAACCCCAAGAAGAGAAGTGAAAATTGCGAGGCAGCTATGGAATAGACTATTGAATAGACAGGCGTGTTTCAAGATTACAAGAACGACAGGACTGGAAGTCAAGTGAGTGGACATGAAAAATGGAACCTAGTGAAAAAGGAACATGATAACTAGGTCAATCTTACATGGATACTTTAATCCTTTAGTCTTTTGGTATTAATGGGAATATCTACTAACCAGCAAAGTTTTTTTTTTTGCAGGGTATCTGAGATTGGCAATGATAATACTCTTCCACTTCTTCTGTACATATGGATTTGTATCAGGATCATCAGGCTATGAACAATTTCAAAATGTTGTGCAGGTACCCGAACACTATCAGATACATTTTATCAAATAGATAATATATATCCACAAGGCCACAAGATCTTCGGAACTGTGATACTGGATGTGTGATATTCTAAGCTATAGAATATAATATTATATATGAATATTTATAGCCCATATTATTCATTTTCATCTTATCTCTACAGTACTCTTCAATGATTTGGAATGTTTGCCCACAGCGATTACTGCGCCTGCGACTTACCCTAGGCCTCCAACAACGCCATGCGCTGTGCCTCTCTCTGCTGCGTTGTTAGATACTGAGGGGCTGGCATGGAAGGGTGACAAAAGGTGTTCACATGTGTATCTAGAGAATTCATCTACAATAAAGTTGCTTGAAGGTTAAGTAGTTATCCATTACTGTATGTCATCATGTGTGTTGTGTTAAACAGAATATAACTTTGGAGGTGGATTGATTCCACACTAAAATCTGGTTGGTGGTGACTGGAACCATGGAATTTTGAATGACTTTCCCATCATATTGGGAATTTCATCATCCCAACTGACGAACTCCATCATTTTTCAGAGGGGTAGGTGGCTCAACCACCAACCAGTTGATGGTTAAAATTCTCATAATGGTTAACCATAACCACCATTATTAACCATTATTAACCATTATTAAGCACTAACCAGATGACAATGGGGGTAGGTGGCTCAACCACCAACCAGAAATATACCTTCGGTCATGGCTCAAAACTTTAATCTTCATCCATGGAAGATGTGTACGGCAAAGCCTATCGTAGATCATCCTCTCCCCCTGAAATGGATGGAATGAACAACTATTATTTATCTATATATATATAAATTATCTATTATATATCTATTATATCTATGATCTTTTCTATCATCTATAATGAACATCTATTATGTAATTATAGTTCATTCTAGTTATACAAACCCAGAAAAAAACCCTCCAAAATTCGAGGTTTGTGGCCTTGGGTCCCACATGAAACGATCCATTCTCATTCTTCAGGCCCAATCACATGGCGGCCATGCAGGCGGGTCATGTTTTTCAAGGCCCTGTTGTGTCAGCCACGGCCGTCACGTCCGTGACATGATGGCCTTGTGTCAGGCCTCAGCCGCCAGTTCAGTTCTGCTGAAACCAAGGCAGGAATAATTCACCCAGCACTTGACTGAGCATTGGGTGGTTTACATACCCATGACGGATCCATGGTGCTGCTATATATGGTAACATGGATCCCATCCATATACCCCATTTATGTTAGCATATATACCATACATGGATCCTATGGGATATGCATGTTAATATAATGTATATACAAAGGAATGAACCGTCGAATCCCTGGTGATGACGTTTTAATTATCATTTCTAGCTGTTCAACTTTTTCTTCTGGTTGGAAGGTGTTATACATTTACACATATTTACACATATAAATAAGTATATATTCATAAAACTGTTGCTATTAAAGTTTGAAAGCTCGCTTGTAGCTTGAGAACAAGTCCAGCGATGCAGGATTTGTTGTGAACAACAGCACGCTGGCAGCCGCTGGACCTGTGGCAGAGATACCATGAGATAGCTATTGTAGTAGATGAATGTTCAAATATAGCCAGTGCAATGTTTCAGACTGCGCAAAAAACAGGTGGAGAATCACATTTTGCTTTTTTTCTGGGAGGTCCATGGTGTCATGGCTGATGATTTTTGGTAGCCGTGCAATTTTTTGTTGGAAATGGCCGTCAGTCTGTACCAAGCCCATTGGACATTTTTTTCAGATTGTTCCAATGTCAACCCTGGATGGATCTGAACCCCAGGTCTAGGCCATTTCATTGGGAAGGTACCATTTTAGAAAGTATCATTCATCATGACTATTGGGGGAATAGCCACCTAATTGTCATAAACCATGGGTTTAGTCTAAAAATTGGCTTGTTCCAATTTTTTCCAGAACAGATCATGGAATAAAATGGAATAAATGGAGGCAGCGTGGTCCGACGATCAAGAATCGGTGGATAAAAACCCATCCATCTGGCGGTCCTTGCTGGCAACACATTTTGAGTTCACCATGACAAAAATGCGTGGTTTGAAACAAGACTAATCACATATAATGTCACATATAATTATCATATCCTGAAAATACCTCAATCAATTGCTATAATGTTGGTTCCTGATTAGTGTGTGGCCCCCCCCAAAAAAACTATATCTGGACTCTCTTTAAAGTAGAAAAGCAAAACAATTCTTCCCAAAAGAAAAACATATCCTCGATTAAGTAAGGATTTCAATTGGCTACAATTGAAATCTAATTACTATTGTTTTTTTTGCCGATGAAGTTGTGGTATTTGTAGTACTTGTAGTACTTGTAGTACTTGTAGTACTTGTAGTACATGTAGTACATGTAGTTGTAGTACTTGTAGTACTTGTAGTACTTGTAGTACTTGTAGTACTTGTAGTACTTGTAGTACTTGTAGTACTTGTAGTACATGTAGTACTTGTAGTACTTGTAGTACTTGTAGTACTTGTAGTAATTGTAGTACTTGTAGTACTTGTAGTACTTGTAGTACTTGTAGTACTTGTAGTACTTGTAGTACTTGTAGTACTTGTAGTAATTGTAGTACTTGTAGTACTTGTAGTACTTGTAGTACTTGTAGTACTTGTAGTACTTGTAGTACTTGTAGTACTTGTAGTACTTGTAGTACTTGTAGTACTTGTAGTACTTGTAGTACTTGTAGTACTTGTAGTACTTGTACTTGTAGTACTTGTAGTACTTGTAGTACTTGTAGTACTTGTAGTACTTGTAGTACTTGTAGTACTTGTAGTACTTGTAGTACTTGTAGTACTTGTAGTACTTGTAGTAGTACTTGTAGTACTTGTAGTACTTGTAGTACTTGTAGTACTTGTAGTACTGGTAGTACTCGTAGTACTCATAGTACTTGTAGTACTTGTAGTACTTGTAGTACATGTAGTACTTGTAGTACTTGTAGTACTTCTAGTACTTGTAGTAATTGTAGTACTTGTAGTACTTGTAGTACTTGTAGTACTTGTAGTACTTGTGGAAAAGCTGTTCTTTAATAAGGGTTTAATATCCTTTGGGAAAGGCTTGGAGTTTGAATTTGGCAATTTTGGAACAGGCTTGCTTCCCTTTTGGGCTTCCAAGGGCTGCTCTGGCACAGCTTGCTGCAATAGTGAACCCAGCAAACAAACCTACTAAAGTGAAATGGAGCCTCTCCTGGTCCAGGGCCTTGGAAAATTGTGGACAAGCTGTTCTTTAATAAGGGTTTAATAAGGGATTGGTTCTTTTGGGAAAGGCTTGGGGTTTGAATTTGGCAATTGCCTTTGGAAAAGGCTTGCTTCGCTTCTGGGTTTCCAGGGGCTGCTGTGGCACAGCTTGCTGCAATAGTGAACCCAGCAAACAAACCTACTAAAGTGAAATGGAGCCTCTCCTGGTCCAGGGCCTTGGAAAATTGTTGAAAAGCTGTTCTTTAATAAGGGTTTAATAAGGGATTGGCTCCTTTGGGAAAGCCTTGGAGTTTGAATTTGGCAATTGCCTTTGGAAAAGGCTTGCTTCTCTTCTGGGCTTCTAGGAGCTGCTCTGGCACAGCTTGCTGCAATAGTGAACCCAGCAAACAAACCTACTAAAGAGAAATGGAGCCTCTACTGGTCCAGGGCCTTGGAAAATTGTGGGAAAGCTGTTCTTTCATAAGGGTTTAATAAGGGATTGGCTCCTTTGGGAAAGGCTTGGGGTTTGAATTTGGCAATTGCCTTTGGAAAAGGCTTGCTTCTCTTCTGGGCTTCCAGGGGCTGCTCTGGCACAGCTTGCTGCAATAGTGAACCCAGCAAACAAACCTACTAAAGTGAAATGGAGCCTCTTCTGGTCCAGGGCCTTGGAAAATTGTGGAAAAGCTGTTCTTTAATAAGGGTTTAATAAGGGATTGGTTCTTTTGGGAAAGGCTTGCAGTTTGAATTTGGCAATTTTGGAAATGGCTTGCTTCCCTTCTTCAGGGGCTGCTCTGGCACAGCTTGCTGCAATAGTGAAACCAGCAAACAAACCTACTAAAGTGAAATGAGGCCTCTACTGGTCCAGGGCCTTGGAAAATTGTGGGAAAGCTGTTCTTTAATAAGGGTTTAATAAGGGATTGGTTCTTTTGGGAAAGGCTTGCAGTTTGAATTTGGCAATTTTGGAAATGGCTTGCTTCCCTTCTTCAGGGGCTGCTCTGGCACAGCTTGCTGCAATAGTGAACCCAGCAAACAAACCTACTAAAGTGAAATGGGGCCTCTACTGGTCCAGGGCCTTGGAAAATTGTGGAAAAGCTGTTCTTTAATAAGGGTTTAATAAGGGATTGGTTCTTTTGGGAAAGGCTTGGAGTTTGAATTTGGCAATTTTGGAAAAGGCTTGCTTCCCTTCTGGCTTCCAGGGGCTGCTCTGGCACAGCTTGCTGCAATAGTGACCCAGCAAACAAACCTACTAAAGTGAAATGGAGCCTCTCCTGGCCCAGGGCCTTGGAAAATTGTGGAAAAGCTGTTCTTTAATAAGGGTTTAATAAGGGATTGGTTCTTTTGGGAAAGGCTTGGAGTTTGAATTTGGCAATTGCCTTTGGAAAAGGCTTGCTTCTCTTCTGGACTTCCAGGGGCTGCTCTGGCACAGCTTGCTGCAATAGTGAACCCAGCAAACAAACCTACTAAAGTGAAATGGAGCCTCTCCTGGTCCAGGGCCTTGGAAAATTGTGGAAAAGCTGTGCTTTAATAAGGGTTTAATAAGGGATTGGCTCCTTTGGGAAAGGCTTGGAGTTTGAATTTGGCAATTGCCTTTGGAAAAGGCTTGCTTCCCTTCTGGGCTTCCAGGGGCTGCTCTGGCACAGCTTGCTGCAATAGCGAACCCAGCAAACAAACCTACTAAAGTGAAATGGAGCCTCTCCTGGCCCAGGGCCTTGGAAAATTGTGGAAAAGCTGTTCTTTAATAAGGGTTTAATAAGGGATTGGTTCTTTTGGGTAAGGCTTGGAGTTTGAATTTGGCAATTTTGGAAAAGGCTTGCTTCCCTTCTGGGCTTCCAGGGGCTGCTCTGGCACAGCTTGCTGCAATAGTGAACCCAGCAAACAAACCTACTAAAGTGAAATGGAGCCTCTCCTGTTCCAGGGCCTTGGAAAATTGTGGAAAAGCTATTCTTTAATAAGGGTTTAATAAGGGATCGGTTCTTTTGGGAAAGGCTTGGAGTTTGAATTTGGCAATTTTGGAAAAGGCTTGCTTCCCTTCTGGGCTTCCAGGGGCTGCTCTGGCACAGCTTGCTGCAATAGTGAACCCAGCAAACAAACCTACCTTGACTGAGCTATAGCGTTTTTGAGAAAAAATGCCTCTCAGCAATTACAGTTTTTTTTGCAAAAAAAAGGGCTCTCCCAATTTTTTTTTGCCACAAAAGCGAACCCTCCAAACAATACATGAGTTTCAGAATAATTTGGAAAAAAATTGCCACAATAGCGACCCTAGGTACTAATCAGGACCCAACATTACAGTAAGTGTTCCCACTTGCACCCAGTGGAGGCCCTTGCAAGTTGGTGTGCCGGGAACTACAGGAAGTCAGGCGGGGTGCGCAAGCGCATCTGAATGGATCTGAGTGACATGTGGGGTTTCCTAAAATAGGGGTACCTCCAATCATCCAAAATTAGACAATTTTAGTATTGAAACCCATGGTTTTGGGGTACCCCCATTTAAGGAAATTCCCATGTTGAAATACTTTGAAAGTTGAGAAACCAGGTTTGAAAGTTGTGAATGTTTAGTATTTGGATGTATTAAGATGTATTAAGCTGTTTCGGGCTCACTCAGTTTTGACCCTTTTGTTCTTTGACCCACTATTTCAATGACACCGGCCTTGACGGGCCGTCTTGGACACCGAAAATTGATGGTCTCTATACATACATTGATTTCGATTCCATGAGTAGTTCCAGGATAGAAAATCCATGAAAGTTGGTATATCCATTGGTGCTCCAAACCTTATATTGGTTTTGATATCTTTCCACCGAAATAAGTAGTCATGTCTGTGTATATATATATATATATGTGTGTTTTTCTTACATCTAATAAGTAGTCGTTACATCCATGAGATTTCGATCTTTTCAACTGAGATCAATTAAGTCCCATTAAATCACCATTAAAACCCCAATCACATCCCATTGAAACACCATTACCATCTGGTAAATTCATATAGACCCTGAAAACAACTCCATTTGTAGTGAAATTTAATCTGCCAACCCCTATCTGGCAGGGTCGTCATGTTAATTCACTGGAGGATAGTATATATATATGTGTGTGTGCATACTACATGCAGAAATTCAGGTTAGTGAATTATCATGATTTACCAAGATTCATGTATATATATATATATGTATACAAATAATTATATTCCCCTCTCCATAGCAAACATAGCCATGGAAAACCACGATTTTTAGTACGAAAACAATCATAAATCATCGAAACAAAATGGCCATGGCTTCCTATAGCTACGTTCAATAGCCAGTAAACCGACATAGCTATGAAAAAAGGATCATTTATAGATGATTTACCTATTAAAATTGTGATTTTCCAGTTCGCTATGTTAAATTACCAGAGGTTAATATCTACAATTAATTATATGATAGTTAGAATTACTATTATAGTTACTACAGTTAGTATCATATGTATATTATTATTATTATTATTAATATTATCATTATTACTATATATATATACATCCCAAGGTAAATAGCCAGAGGGTAATATCCCAAGGTCAATGGAAAAAGCTCATCGCAGGTCTCGCTATGTGGAGCTGTTTGGGTCTCAGTGAGGAGCTGTTGTTGTTTTTTTTTTTTACCATGTCAAATGGGGGGAAATCATCCATCATGTGCTGATATTGTGTATATAGATATATGATTATATATGATTATATGTATAAATAAGTGATCTGTATATATACAAACTATATATATATACAAAGTGCTCATGATATCTACACACTGGGTGTACAATGGATATATATTCTTAAAACATTGATAAGTGCTATGGGTCAAAGGTTGGATTAGAACCCATCAAGTGGGGGATGGTCATAGCACCATGGCACATGTTTAAGCAACGTTAAACATGGTGGGACAAAACCCAAAATACTATGGGGATATCCACAATCATGGAATCTCTACATGGGATTACAACACCAGCTTTTGGGTTTCCGAAATAGCAGTTGGGGGACCCAAAAAAAATCATCCGTATACGATTCTCAATAGCGAAACCAGTGGTTAAGAGGGGTCACCATGAATTCGGAAACTAAGATATGTATTACAGATGTTGTGATCTTCCATCAACTGTCATTTTGACATTTTGAATACACACATCTCAAACTGATTGGTGTTTATGGTATTCATAAATGATTTAACATCGCGGTTCCTAGCGTTCCGTAGGACTTTTACTTGTGCTTGTTGATTGGTAATGTCCCGGTTGTACCGGTGACCACTGGAAGCTCAACTGAAAAAGGGGAGCTGGGGAGCCGGCAACCGGTTGAGAGCCTGGCTGATCTCCTGATAACTAGATCAATAGCAGTGAACCATTGATCTGGGCAGATTATAACGACCTCACTGTTCTCCCTCACTGGAAATCATGGTTAATTTTAGGGGAATCATCCCCAAATGGCCGCAAAATTCAGGTTAGTGAAATATTATAATTTACCCAGATTGATCTAACAAGGCAATTCATTAGATGCAATGGGGGTGTCCTAATGGCTGGGGGTACCAAAAAAATAGCTGGACGGTTTATAAATCATGGAAAATCCGCACCCAAAATGGATGAGAACTGGGGGTACCCCTATTTTCGGAAACCACCAAATCATGATCATCATGATCATATGACAAGTATTAGCATATACCCTTAATCAAAGATAGGAAATTCACCCATTTAGTTCGTGATTTTCCCATGAAACCCTACATTTACAGGGAATTTCCCATCTAGACATGTTTGATTAGCGGGTATTCGCAACGAATCACCATGCAGGTGTTTTGTATTTGCCTTGTTTTAGCGCCCCGTTTAAAACCCGCAAGGTCTTCACAAAAATGTGCAGCTGGGTCTCAGGTCGGTCCGAGTTTGTGCTTCCTAGGCACCGCTAGGTGCACGGCTTGCGCTTGCGACCATCAAATTGAGGGCTGAGAAATCCCTATGGTTAGTGGAAAAATATAGGCAACATATGGGTATGGGTCAATAGCCATTTATAGTGGATTTACCCATTAAAAATGGTGATTATCCATAGTTATTATGGATCAATACCTATATACATACCATTTTTAGGGGAATGAACATCCATAAATCCCAGCTATTTTGATGTGAACAGAAGGGGTACAAGGTTTTGACACACTGCCATATGAGAAGCATCATGAATCATGAAGCATCAATAAATGAGGGGATTTTTTCCATTGCAAGGTTTGATGATGTCATGTCTAAACAGAAAACCAGCTGGAATGCACCCAACACACATTCTCTTGGATGCTGATTAGAATGCGTATCCTCTTTCTGCAGATTCAATTCATTGTCACTACATGGAAACGGCTGACATTTTTGTGTGACCTGTGATGTTTTTGCAGTCATGACAGTGACTCTGGATATGCGTAAATGTAGGAAGCAGTGTTTGTTCATGATATTTCCAATATATTTCTGGTTGGTGGTTTGGAAGTTTGGAACATTTTTTATTTTTCCCATCATACTGAGAATGTCATCATCCCAACTGACGATTCGTCCATCATTTTTCATAGGGGTATATAGGTGGCTCAACCACCAACCAGATATTAAGATCATTAAGCATCAATATCCCATTTTCATGATCTCCCCATGGTTGACGAAATCATATTTTTCAAGATGGTAGGTATACCACCACCAACCAGACATAATTTTTCTGATCAGGATCCGAACGCCTTAAGATTTGATCAGGTGAAGGTGAGCTGAGTGGCGCCTGAAAAAGATATTCAAAAAAGCGATTCCATGGCGCCGACGGCGATAGAATGTCGTCTATTTCTTAGTTGATCTATGAAAAATCGATTTCATTGGCCAGAAATGATGATAATGATTGCGATTTCTGTGAGATTTCTGTTACTTGCCACACAGCTTGCCCATGAATCTCTGGCCAGACAGCTTCCCACTTGCCAGAGCCTTCGTTTGTTAAGACCGTGAAGGTGGAACCCCGCAACCACGAGTGTTGGCGGATTTTTCTTGCCCACAGTTGCACACTTTCATGTTCTTTCATGGGATTTGAATGATGAAAAAACAATGCCATGATGATATATGATGATTAGAAATCACCATGATGACGTGACATATCTGACATATCACTGCATCTTAGAGCAGGATTCTACATGATTTTACTTCAAATCATTCCCATCTCCTGGTGGGGTCAGAAACGTCACCACTGGAGATGCAAGAAGCAACTATGGGGATGTATCATGACGTACCTGCAAACCATAGGGAATCAATGGGGACACCCTCCAGTAAACTAACAGTTTGCGAACTGGAAAATCACCATGTTCAAAAGGGCAAAACAACTATAAATCACAATTTGCATGATTTTTCCATAGCTATTTGTTAGTTTACCATAGGGATAAGGGCCTATGAGTGCAAGCCGGTAATTTTTCGTGGGCACGTAATCAACAACGGTCAAATAATCTTCAGAGGTTGCCAACGTGGCTGACCACCAGCCGCAACTGGCCCAGCGGGCCCTGTAACATATGCCTCTGTGGCAAAAATGCTGATGGTTGGGCCGTGGTGTGGGTTGGATGGTCAGCTCTCAACACATGGGCCTTGTTATAGCGACCTCAATGAATCTCGAAATGGGAGTCAGAAAGATATACAGTAGTATGACATATACTATATATATATAATTATATATATATATATATAGTGTTTTGGATTTTTGGGAAATATATCGAAGCAAAGTATGGGATGTTTCCACAGCAAGACAAGAAAATCAAACATTGGATAGGGACCTGTTTTTTGAACATGCACATTGATAGTCTAGTGTTTCTGATGGATTGGAGCGGGCTACACTCTCATTCAGATGATTCAGGAGCCCCGCATTTTTTTTCGGTCTCCTAAACAATTACCCTCTGGTAAACGTTTACATAGCTATTGAAAATCACCATTTTTAATGGGAAAACTCACGAAATCAATGGCCATTTTCAATAGCTATGTTAAATTACCAGAGGGTAAGCATATTATGCATATACTATGCATATTATTGCAGATTGCGGGGGAGGTAACGTGTCCAAAGTCCTCGCCGGCGGTGACACGGAGGTGACTGCCCTCGGATGTCCGAGCCCAATGCTTTGCCCTTTTTTTGCGTGAAATAATATGAGAAATAACTAGAAATAACTAGAAATAGCTAGAAAGAAATAGCTAGAAATAACTAGAAATAGCTAGAAAGAACTAAGAAATAACTAAAAACAATGCATTTTTCAGATATTTCACTTTTCCCAAGTGATCTTTGATGGTACACGACGTCGCAGCGTCGCATCTCCATTTTTCGGCTCTCGCCGCGTTTTCGAGTTCGCCCACGGGCTACGAGGTGCTCCATGGATCCCATCAACAAAAACCCCCAATCAATGTTAGCATTTTTCTACCAGCACCAGCCGGATCCGTCATGGGATATATATATATATATTTATAAATACATACTTAATATGTACATATATATATACATATATATACATATATATATACACATGTGTACATATGATGTAATTCTATATTGTATTGCATTATTGCATCATAACAATGACATCACCTTTCACAGAACGGATCGAATTGATAATTCCGCAAGAGCACCCCTGCATTTTTCACACGTCCTTTTCACATTGGCATTGGTTGGTTCCTGATAGAGGGGTTTACCTCCATTGAACAACTAATGAGTAGATGGATGTGTATTAGATAGTTTGTATCAAACTTACCCTTTGTTTTATTTCCCGACCATAAGAACATTATTGAGAAACAGCTACTTTGTTGACCTTTGCTTACATTTAAAGATATTTATGGGTTTGTTTGAAAATAGGATGCCCCAAAATCCCCAAAATTGATGGTTTCTGATATTGTTCCCCATTAAAACGGCAATTTGGGAGGGTATCGCATTTTCAAACAAAACCACACATAGATACATATAGATACATATAAGATATTACTTTCTTGACTGCAGAATCTTCTTTCAACTGTTTCATAATAACCCATGACGGATCCATGGTGCTGCTATATATGGTAACATGTACCATCAATATACCCCCTTTATGTTAGCATATATACCATACATGGATCTGGGTAAATTATAACGACCTCACTGCGACCTCACTATAATCATAGTTAGTAAGGGGAATCATCCCAAAATGGCCTTAATTCAGGTTAGTGAAATATTATAATTTACCCAGATGGATCCGTCATGGGTAATAATTGAATGTAGCAAAGGTCGTCAACAAAAATCGACAGGTTGGCTTAATGGAGACTTAGCCATGCAAGCCGCTGTTCCATTACCAACTCAAAAAAATCCTCTGGCTATGTCAGATAGCAATGGAAATAACCCATTTATAGATCATTTATTTATGATGTACCTGTTAAAAAATGGTGATTTCCCATATCAAAACCGTTAGATTATCAAATCTTAGCATATCCTTTAGACAATCTACAGAAGCTAAGCTTGAATCATCCCTCAAGAACATAATTTTCAACATCCACTGAATCTAGTTCCACTGCGGAACACATACATGATCAGAATTAAATTGATCAGTTCATAATTGATGATATATATATATAATTATATATATATGGTTCCTCAACATTTATGGTTAAAGTTATAATGATACAACCAGTAATTGATGATATCCATGGTTCCATAATTCTTGCACGATGGCTTCTCATGTCCATTCTTTATGATCACTGTCATAATCACCAACTAATCCCAACGATCAGCAACTAATTCAAGGTCCATCATGATCCATCATGATCCATTCAAACCTGGAAACACTTAACATATGGATTTATGTATCTATGCTGTATCACGATTCTTGGATGATAGTATATCATAGTGTTAAATTGATGCGTCCCTCAGGACTCGTCATTTCGATACCAGGCCACAGCTGAGTCAATTAAAAGGCAATATCAATGACTTGGTGTTCCCTTTATATCGGATCCAAGGTCAGAATGCCCAGGAAGAGATACAATGGGAGGGTTATTAAATACAATCAAAGTAACTATATCAACTGGACATAGTTGCATTGTTTGATACAATGTTTTGAAAATAATACCAATTGAGATACCCTCTGGGAAACAATTTACATAACTATGGAAAATCACCATGCTATGGGAAAACTCACTATAAATCAATGGCCATTTTCAAGTTCGCAAACTGTTGACGTAACCAGGCCGGGTAATATCCCGAGGGATTTCAAGAACACAAAGATATGGACGTGAAACCTGAGTCATAGGGCTACCCCGAAAGCAATCATCGAGCTTGGGGATTCTGTAGATTCCCCATAGAAACCCAAAGATATATCAATGGATATTCAGGATGGTGCCCCCCAGTTATAAGTTGTTTTATAAACCCCATTAACTATAGTTATATCTGCCATAAATCATAAGTTATTGGAGTTATAAACCAACTTAGCTAACGAACTGGGGCACCACCTTGAAGTTACCAGGTCGGATGTCACGGCTGAGTCATTCGGATGTGCAGCTCAGCGTCAAGGACGGATTTTCGCAAAAAAGAAGGTGAAATCTCCCAGGAGTCTGTGCGACTGGTGAGAACAACGACTGACTTGAAGTAAGATGACTTAAACCCTGCATAGTGGTGCCCCAGTTCGATAGCGTTCAGTTGGTTTATAAGTACAATAAGTAGGACTTATGGTAGACATATCTATAGTTGATGGGGGTTATACACTAACTTATAAATGGGGGGTACCACATTGTGGTAAATTAACAGTTTGACCCTAAAATGAACATCACCAATTTTTAATGGAAACTAGTCTTCCAAGCCCGTTTTCTGCCAGGGTCCACCTGTTAATTTACCAGAGGGTAGCCTTTAAATGGAAGTCCCTGGGAAGCTATGGTGAAGATAGTGAAGATGACATGGGATATGTTATGAATCAATGAAGAGATCAGGGGGATCAACTGGCAACATTTTCCGGCCACATCACTTGGGATATGCTGGGATTGTAACGGTTATCACAACCATGCTGGGCCATGTCCGGTCCGAAAGATCACTCCAGGAACTCTCCATTCTTAAGGAAGTATTCTTCAGGAACTATCCCTCTGTTTTCAGGAACCATTCACCCCCAAGTCTGTTTTCAGGAACTCTTAACCCATATGAACTCCCCAAAGATGGTTTGAAACCAAAACGCAGTTGAAGTGATTCATTCAACTTGTCCCAGACTTCAGCCTGACTTCCAGGAGTTCAACTTGTCCCTGAAGGCACTGGGCAAGTCCTGGCAGAAAGCGGCCTGGACCTTTAGCCAACAGCCTCGGAAGCAGGTAGCACCTCGGCGTTTCACGGGAAATCCGCGAACGAAATGGAGCTTTGAGTGGGAAAGTATGGAAAATCATTGAACTACTCATGCCATTCCAGCATATATGTGGGAATATGTGGGAATAATACAGCATATTCCACATATTCCAGCATACTTGATTACTTCATTGAACAGTATGGAATATTCCAGCATATTCCAGCCATGTTTGATGAAACCGGAGATTTCGTCATATCTGCGCAGATTTGTGTCTCCTTCGAAAAAATCTGTAGAGAATCCAATCACCTGCCACCTTCCCCCCGGCTGCGCCTCAAAGCTAAGGATGTCATTTCCTACAACTCCGTCTTGGCAGCTTGTGCGAAGGCATCTGCATGGCCCCAAGCTCTAGCGACGCTTGGTGTCGTGGCGCTGTTTGTGTGGCGTTGCGGGACGATTGGCCGATAGCAGCTATTAGATGAGAATGGTTAAAATGCTCGCCCCGGCAACTATCTGGATAGATGGGAAACTGTGCTCACTCCTATGTGTTTTTTCTTCCTCCATACACTTGATGGGTGATTCTCTGGTTTCAGAGCATCTGGAGTCCATCTCACATCACTGAGTAGCACCCATAACAACGTTTAGAAAAGGGCTCACATGTATCGGTTCCGAATTTGTTCAGAATGATTCCAGGGTTACCTGATGCAGAACCGCACACACAATTGCCAATGTACCGCAACCCTATTGATTGAATGCAATGGCTAGCGGCTAGATATTTATGATTTGGGATTATTTGGGATGTTCGCAGGTATATTATTATAAGAGTGGAATGAGCTCGCCCATGCTTATACGATCTTATTCATATTGCTCTCTCTCTCTCTGTCTATAATTAGATATATATATATGTAACAATATATGCACTTTTATATCATACTATGTATATATATATAGATACACATGATACACGCACGCACATACACACAAAAAAGCACAAAAAATCGGGTGAAGGGCGGCCAGACATCTCCAGGATTTTCCGCGACCTCTTGGGCGGTCCCACAGAACCAGATGCTCGGCATTGCTCGGCGATGGTGCTTCCCTCCATGATTTACTACGTTTTTTTTTCTGGAAATGGAATATACGGCTATGGATCAATACCTATAGATACATTTTTAGGGGGATGAACATCCATTTACCAGCTATTTTGATGTGAACTACAGGGGTACAAGGTTTTGACACACTGCCATACTGGGAATATGAGTGGTATTATGATATGGTATGATATATAGATATTTTCTGGCATGTTATTGGAAAATCACCAACTGACGTTGGTCAATGGTTTGAAATGCTTCCAGTATGAAGGGTGATAACTATGAAACATGGGATTAGGAGTTGTAATCCACTGTACCACTATGCCAAACCACCACATGTTCGTGTTTTCCAAGGGTCGCAGCTAGAATTTATTTGAACTTGGAAGTGTGTGTGTGTGTGTGCGCCTCACATGTGTTTTTTACGTGATAAAACTAAGAGTAAACCATCCCCAGTCGTCGCCATAAAATTATGGATGGGATTCAACTCAGCATTCCCAGTCCTGGGAGTTGTCAGCGCAGCCAGGGATGCCCATTGAAAATTACCATCTGGTTATGACGTTCACAGGGCCAGCGAACTGGAAAGATCCACCATGCTATTAAGAACGATAAACCCACTATGAATCTATGGGCCATGGCTTAACCATGGCGAACTGTCACAAATAACCATAGGGTAACCATTATTAACCACTGATGAACCACTATGAACTTGTTGGTTGTATACCAATTATTAACCAGTATTAGCCAACAGTTGTCTTCAGGATGTGTTTCCTACATATGTAATACTGGTAGTATTAAAATTAGTTTCTTCAGGAAGTATTAACCATTATTAACCAGTATTAACCACTATTAATTATATGGGTATGGGTCAAAAATTAATAGGTACCTGGGATTATTAATAGGTACCTGGGATTATTATTAATTATTAAAAAATCCCCACTATTAGCCAACAAGATAAAAATTGGGTTTCCGTGTTAAAAATCCCCCCAGTTCCTACAGGATGTCTTCTCCTACAGTTCCTTGATCAATGCTTTCGCTCGCTCGAATCTGTGGCCGGAAGCCCTAGAGCTCTTGGAATCGCTCATGGACTCAAGGCGTCACTTGGGATAGCCGGCCTGTTAAACTAACAGTTTGAGTGGGGAAAACCATAGGAAAACCATAGGAAAATGATGGAAAATGGAGGTTTACCCTCTGTTAAACATACAAAAAGCTATGGAAAATCAACTTGTTTGATGGGTAATTCAACTATAAAAATGTGGTATTTTCAATAGCTATATACCAGAGGGTATGGAAACTCACGTGGATGGGGAAAGAAAGAGAAATCACGCATGATCAGATTTTTGTGGAACATACATGGCCATTTTTTGAGATTTCTGCAGTTGAGTTAGATTTTACGACATATGGCTGGTTGGTGGTTCGGAACATTTTTTTATTTTTCCATATATTGAGAATCTCATTATCCCAACTGACGAACTCATATTTTTCAGAGGGGTAGGACTCAACCACCAACCAGAGAAGGTTTCACCGGTGAAGCAAAGTCAAGTTCCTTTGAACGCCAGCCTTAAGAAGTTTTGCATGGTGGCCCCCGCGGTTCCTGGCTAGGGCTCATGGTTGCAATGGTATGGCAACCGCCTGCGGACTTTCTGATAACTCCCTAAGCACTTACTCTTTGTGCTGGTCAAGTAGGACAGGTTAATTTGTGCAGTTTTGACTCAAAGCCATGCACTCTGCGCTTACCCTCTGGGAATTCAACATAGCTAGTGAAAATTGCCATTTATGTTTGATTTACCTATCAAAAATGGGGACTTGCCATAGCGCTGTTAGTTTACCAGAAGGTACTTGTTTTTCATGAGCATCTTCAACACCGAAAACCTCGAAGCTGGCACCGCAGGCAGCGGCTCTCCGTGGTCCCCTTCAACTCCGCAATCAGTGCATGCAGCAAAAGCAGCCTGACAGCAGCGTCCGGCAGCTACTGACAGTTCATAGATTTCATAGCCAAAATAGGTCATTTTCAATGGAGTTTAAGCGGTTTAAGGGAACATTTACAGGAAAGCCCCATGATCTTAATGGGAAAATCGATGGTTTCCGCTGAAGATTTTCTGGCTCAGCAGGGTGGCTATTGTCAAGCAGAAAGTGTGCCTTTCTGCTATTGTATCCCCGGTTTGTTGAGACGGTATCCAGAAAACCTATGGAAACAAAACAAAACTGGTTGGTGGTTTGGAATATTTTTTATGACTTTCCCATCATATTGGGAATGTCATCATCCCAACTGACGAAGTCATATTTATCAGAGGGGTAGGTCAACCACCAACCAGAAACATCTCAGTTTTCTTTGATTTCATCATAAATTGGTTCAAGGGAAACCACTTTGTTTTTACACATCTTCTCTCCCCGAGGGGGTCCCCCCAATGGCACCCAGGTTCCCCGTTCTTCTTCGAAATGGATCCCAACTCTTTGCGGTTGATGTTGAAAAAACGGGTGGCCCGGCCGTGGAAAGGCCTTCCTTCCAACGCCGCAGGTGCGCAGTGGCTCTTTGCTCTTCGTATCTTCCACCAAATCACTGTGCCCCAGCGAGTTTTTGTCAAAGTGGGAGGGGAGATGCAAAGTTATGATTTGCGGATTTGGTGAAAAACTGCATACATCATCATACATTCCCACATACATTTACATTTCCCTCTGGTAATCAAACTACTATGGGAAATTATCATAAATTATCTATACATTGGCATTTAAATGGGAATTTCATCTACAATTTTGAGGATTTGTCATTGTAATGTATACTGTAATTACCAGAGGGTATACAGTACGTATTTACCATGTGTTCACATCTACAAATGTACTGGTACATTCATGCTTGTTTGCAGCATTGTTCCTTTGCAAGCCTAAAAAATGTGTCATAAATATCCGCACACAGTGGCACACAGTGCTTCGCAAGCCAAGGTAAGTTCATTGGAGCCTACCTTGATCAGCTACAATTCGATGATCAAAAGCTGCAGCCAAGCTGGATCCTGGCAAGATGCTTCGCAGCTTCTGCACTTGATGATGACAGGTGGTCCTGGCGGTCCTGGCCGTCCTGGCGGTTCTAGCTGGCGTATCCAGCTGTGGCACAATGATTCATCAAATGTTCATCACATATTTCTATTATTTTCTATTATATATTTAATTAATATATATATATATATATATCATATATATATATTATATTCATAATTTCGGCTTCAAGGTGCCAATCTCAATCCAGCCTTTTTAATGAATCCAATTTTTTTGGATAGGTTTCTACGAAAATGACGACTTCACCCGTGGTTCCTGGTGCCATTTTGTTGCTGGCTACTTGGTGGCTCACTACCCACGAATCGTAAGTGGGTTAGTTCACCCCAGTGATTTACATGGGATTTTTGTAGGGTTAATCCACTTATAACTGGGGTGAACTAACCCACTTACGATTCGTGGGATGTTCGCCACCAAGTAGGAGCTGTGTTACCGGACCTCATCAGCCTGAACTCGGTCATCGATGCCTGTGGCAAATCTCTAGAACCTCGGCAAGTTGATTCAAATGTTCTCCGGTTTTGTTGGTGACTTTGATGCGTTTTTCCATGGTTTTTCAGGTAGATCCGGTTGGTTGGTTGATTCAAAACGACCCGTCCTAGGCCTGGGAACTTGCTTTCAGTTACCTGCAGATGATCTTGAACATCTCCTTGCAGCTCGGTCCTTATTAAATGGCAGGAAAGTTAGACATGTTATGATATGTTAGACCCTCCGTGCCAGAAAAAAAAAGTTTTATACCCCAAAATGTTTTAACCATTATTAACCATTATTAACCACTATTAACCACTATGATTATATATAGTATACTTTTTATTTTTTTTCGGGTGGTATTTGGAGGGCCATTCACGGAAAGTAATTTTCAATCGTGGTGTACGCCTCGACCGGGTCGTAACTTTTTTGGGATTCATGGTAGAGATAATATATCGAACTACTTCATGGGTGAACATATGTACTATGCTTAATATAATGGTTAATAATAATTAATGGTTAATAATGGTTAATAAGTTAATATGTACTATGAGTGTAATAACCATAACATATGTACTATGAATAACCAGTAACTAGTAATCATAGTGGTTAATAGTGGTTAATAATGGTTAATAATGATAATCAATGATTAATATACTGGTTGGTGGTTTGGAACATGACTTTTATTTTCCATGTCATATATGGGATGTCATCCTTCCCATTGACGAACTCATATTTTTCAAGATGGTTAACACCACCAACCAGATACTATGTACCAACAAACATAGCCGGGTGACATCACCTTGTCGGGATGATTTCAGGGAACGGAAAGCAGTGAGACCCTGAGACCGAAATTTTTCATCGCTCCTAGATTCGCATATCTGGGAACTTTGGTATGTAATGTACCCTATAGTTGACATTACATCAAGATAGCTGGTAGATTCTGGTCGCGATGTTCTTCCACCATCATCCACCCAGTCCAATATAGTGTCATAGGTTTTGATTTATCCCAGCCTTGGATGGTAACCCCAAAACATGAACTTGGATGCTTTTAAGCCAAGTGTTGTTTTAAATGAACAATCACTACAGATGAGCAGTGTTCGAAACCCCTGTTGGTTGATGACTATAGAATATTGCACAAACCAATATTAATTGGCGGGTTTATCAGGCATTAAGAGAATCCCGTTCTCAACCAACCAGCATGAAGGGACGACATTTGTGGTTTAGATTACTCTGCTCAGATGTTTGCAATCCCTTTCCAAGCCTTTGGATTCTATCATTGGATGTTTCCTAAAATTCGGCTATCCCCCAAATCATCCAAGTCATTAGACCATTTTGGATCATTTTGGTATTAAAACCCATGGTGACCTGGGGATCATTGGGGATCCACCATTTTGAGAAAGCCGCAAAAACGAATCGCGCAGGACGCCAGATGAGATTACCATTTCCAGCATCATGAACGCCTGTCCAGGAGACCAATGGGAAGTGGCGTTTCTCGGAGCGGGGATGGCGATGGGTGAGTAATGTGATAGATCCAATAGCAACTTTATGAGCATTCATCATTTACAAATAAACAGCCTAAGACATATTAAACTATGATTTTATAAAATATAAACATATATATAGAATTATATATATATAATTTTATAATATATATATATATCAAGTCTATGATTAAGCTTGCCTTATCATCAAGTTCATAGATGGACAGGGTGGCGCTCCAGGAGCTGTTCTCGCAGACACCTTCTGTGTTTTTTTGGTTTCCCTTGGCTAACCACACATGGAATGTAGCATCCCACTAAACAATCATGATCAATTCAAAAGGGTATCAATGGTTACTGAAGGAATATAGGCGGAAATCATTGTTTAAGATCGTTTAAATGGACATGTCATATATATCACATATATGTATACACGATACATATACATGTATCTAAATAGATAGATAGATAGATAGATAGATAGATAGATAGATAGATAGCTAGCTAGCTAGCTAGGTAGGTAGATAGATAGATAGATAGGGAGGTAGAATGGGTAGCTAGGTAGCTAGCTAGGTTGCTAGCTAGGTAGCTAGGTAGGTAGGATAGGTAGGTAGGATAGGTAGGTAGGTGGGTAGATAGGTAGATAGGTATGTCAATCAATCATCAGTTGACCTTCCTTGTTTTAACCATTACTCAGCCACTATCTTGCCTTTCCTGAGTTATAGTTGTTGTAACTTATAAACCATATTTAACAATTAGTTTATCTTTTTCCTGCCACTATCTAACCCATGTTCCTAGTACTTCCCCATTCATTTCCTACCCAACTGAGTTTTTTGAGGCTCAACCTCTTTGAGACATCCAGCGTCGTCAAGGATGTCGTGGTGTTGAACGCGTTGATGCGAGTTTTGGCAGATGCGGGACAGTGGTATCATGCCTGAAATTTGCTGCCAGATGGATATTTGAGATTATTTGAGGAGTTTCGACAAAACCCCAATTAAGGAAACGGCTGCATCACCATTTCTGATCAATTCTGGTGTCGTTCGAAGTTCCAAGGGTCACTATATTTCCAACTTCCTTAGTTTTATGCTTGGCGAATTGCTGGTTTGATCTATTTAAGTGTGCTTTAAAAAAAACTATTTTTTGCAGCTAGATCCCCATGAAATTCGCACACGTTGGGTGGGTCGTTGATCACCTTTTACCCTCTGGTAAACATACAAAAAACTATGGAAAATCACAATTTTTAATGGGACAATCCACTATTTCTATGGTCATTTTCAATAGCTGTAGCTATTTTGACATAACCAGAGGGTAATCGGTCGTTGTGGATCCTCGGTGCGATGGATCCACAGATCCAGGTCACAATCTCTACAACTCGTGGCCAACTCGAGAGATCTGAGACCAGATGTGGCCACGTGGCGACCATTGCAGGGAAGTTCTTGGAGGATGGTGGGCTGACCCTGAGCATATGGGATAGGATAAGTATACTTGGTGGCGAACTACCCACGAATCGTAAGTGGGTTATAACCCCAGTGATTTACATGGGATAAGTAGGGTTAATCCACTTATAACTGGGGTGAACTAACCCACTTACGATTCGTGGGATGAGCCACCAAGTATATATATATATCCCCCATAAACATCCATCATCAATCATCGACTTCAGAATTTTAACTGGGATTTTTGGCGGAGAATTAGTCCCAAATAGTGACTCCAACGCTTAAATTACCACTATTGACTCAGCCACTGTTGCCAGTCTCCCCATATTTGTTTTCAATGTTTCATAATGATGGCAGCGGTGCTTTTTTTTTTCTGGTTAGACGGAAAATCAAGACAGCTTCATTATCAGTATATTTACACATGTCTTGATGTTCTTAATTTCTTGATTTAATTATCATTTCAATGTGTCAAAATTGTAAGTACATACCATACTATAATATACTATACACAAAATAGACAGACATGTTATGTTTCTGTAAAGACAAGTGACCAGAGTGCCCAGAAGCTGCAAGTCTGCAACGATTTCGATCTTTTCCATATGATTTTTCGCATTTTCATTTCTCATCTGGTTGGTGGTTTCAAACATGGTTTTTATTTTCCATTTCATATATGGGATGTCATCCTTCCCATTGACGAACTCATATTTTTCAAGATGGTTAAAAATGTTAAAACCACCAACCAGTCATATATTTTCAGATTTTCTCATATACAACTGAGGTTAGCTATAGCAGCCTCATGACCGCCTGTGAGAGGGCTGGTCATCTGGCGAAGACCATGGAGTTGCTGGATGAATTTCCAACGAAGTTTTTCGGCTGTTGATGAGGACGATTCAATCATCAATTGAACCAGTCATCATTACTGAAACAATCATGACACTTAAAATACTGTAGATGATTATGAATAGATTGAGACGGTTCATGAATAATGACACTTAACATCTATGAATCATTAATTCATTGGTTATTATGGTTATTGAAACACTTCTTACACTTCATCATATTCATGATTATTAAAACAATTATCAAGGTTATTGCATCAAAAAATGGAGGGATTTTTGTGTTTTTTTCTTCGGTGACCCTGAAGAAAAAAAACCAACGAGATCCTCAAGATTCGCCTGAACAGTCTTTTCGCAGTCTGAAGTATATGATCATATGGTGATCTTTTGTGCAGACGTTGATGATCATATGATGATCATATGATGATCATATGATCATATGGTCTTCAGATATGTTCAGATCATAACATTTCTGGTTTTCCGCAATGAAGCATATGATCAATTGTCATTGAACTTTCGTGTCCATGCCGTTTGACAGATGAACACTTTTTTCAATTCTGTCACAGAAAAAAGGATCTGAAGGGGCTGAAAAAACCACCAATATGGAGATCTCGTGGAACTTGACATCCAACATTGAAGGGCAATGTCTCTTGGAATTGAGGGAAAACCTCGTTCCCAGTTTGACTAATCTCTGAGCCTCCAAGCTCGCCGTTTCATAGCATTCTGCCAGACTTTGGAGTCTTCCTGAGATATGTGCTGTCACAATCTGTCACAGGTCCGACAGTTTTTGAGACTAAGAGTTTCACTTCACCGGTGATCCTTCAAGTTTCTTTTGGCTGCGATTTGTTCGAGTTTCGTTCTTCCGGCATCTCGAATCTCGATCTTTTTTTTTCTCACTACCTTGAGGCACCTTGAAAGGAAGTTCTTACAGCCACTACAGTAGCCACACGATGTATGCCCCCCTTGCCATGTCCCTGACTTGGCAGAGGCGCTTGCAGCCCAATGTGGTGTCTTACACAGCAGCTATCAGCGCTTGCGTGTCGGATTGGCCGAAAGGCATGGAATTGCTGCAACGGTTGCTCTCTGAGACCCATGGCAATCGTGCCGTTCGTGGCTACTAGTGGTAAAATCATGGTAAAATCTGATTGGGAGATTGGGGTTGTTTCGAAATAGAGGGTACTTGGTGGCTCATCCCACTTAGTAAGTGGGTTATAACCCCAGTTATAAGTGGATTAACCCTACTTATCCCATTTATAACTGGGGTTATAACCCACTTACTAAGTGGGATGAGCCACCAAGTACCAACAATAATGATATTTTTTACGATTTAAGTCGGAATATGAAGATCAACCAATGGATTTGGGGTATACCTTATATCAAGAATGTCAACATCACATGGAAACCAAAGCTGGTTGGTGGTTTAGAACATTTTTTATTTTCCATATATTGGGAAATAATCATCCCAACTGACTAATTAATATTTTTCAGAGGGGTTCAAACCAACAACCAGAAAGAGACTGATTTGCTACAAATTGAAAGTCGGAGGGATAGTTTGAACATGTTAGAAGAGAGGTTGGTAGATGATCAGATTCAGTACATATATCTGGACAACTATTTAAACACGACCTCACCGTGACGTCATTGCAATGATGTGTAACGCCTGTAACTATCCGAATTTTTCGCAAAATTTCAGGTCGGTGAATTATTGTCATTGATCCAATTCATCCATATATATATTATATTATATATATATATATATTATATTATATATACCTGGGGCACCCTATAGCTACCTATTCCTGTCCAAGGTCTTAAATTTTATCTTTTATAGATATGGTCAAGAATTCCTGTCCGGGACGTGATTAGTCGTAACCATGTTTTAAAGAGGTTTTTATGGCTAATATTCAAACATGTCATATAAAATCAAGTTCTATATATATATAATATATGTCATAACTATAAAGATTATATAACCAACTATCCAACTGGATGTTTCACGGGATCTTTGGTAATTTCATGGATACTTTCAATTACCTTTGTTTATATGGAGACTTTCACATGAACCCTCTGGAAGAACATTGCCTGTAAAATTGAGGATGAAACAACATCAAACTCCATGCATGAACCCTGTCTATATATGCTTCTTGATATTGGACCAATAACTGGATCGGAAACCTAAAAAATATCTTCTTAGTTGGTGGGATGCCATCCTTCTTAAACACCCAGACCAATCCCAACGCTGAGGAGCCTCATCTGCCCAGCATTGCCCAAGTTTTTTTCCAGGAGCTTGGCTCAATTGACGGATGTGCCACGCACTTTGCGCACGAGTGTCAATGGATGGTTCTAATTCAGGTATCAAACAGCACATGCAGTAACAAGAAAGTTTTATGACCAACGAGTTTTCAACTGAATTTATATATACATTGTATTGATGTTGGAAGCTATATACATCTCTTATACCACAGTTATAGAACGTTCGCTCCATGTCTCAACCACTGGCTGCCGTTGCTCCAAAGCTGATGCCGAAGCAGCCAAAGTACCCCTTGCTTGTTTTTGGTTGGCAGGGTGCTGCTCTCTATTAATTTGATGGGAAAAAATGTATCGGATCTTGGCCAGGAACATTATATACATATATAGATATATGGAGGGTGCCCCAGGTATGCATTAATTATATGTTATATAATATATCATATAGCGTTGATCTGCCATATTTCCATGCTTGCATGTTTTCAAATTGTCAAGTCTCCTGAGACTTGTTGATCTAGAATGTTCAAAAAGAACATTAAACCATGTTGTGGAGCAACAGGCACTGTAGCTTTGCCAGCCACCACTCATGATCTCATCGCGACATCACATAGCCAGTCCTCCGCAGGCGGGGTTTTTGCTCAGTGCACATCAGGATTTGACCATGGATGGGAGATCTGAGGTGGGCCGTTCATCTGGCCATGGTGGTGGGGCCAGTCGGGCTAGCTCCCCGGGTTCAACAAGATCTACCAGGAATGTGGTGGGTTCCTACTCCTTAGATGGGATTCCCGTTGAATGGGACAACCACCCGGCCATCAGAGAAAGAATCAGAGAGCAGTGCAATCTTTGTTTGGCCTACGACCATGAAAATGCATGTGGAGACTCGGGCTACGTGAATGCCACCATTGAAAATGTCAAGGTCAACGCACCGGTTCTTGAACCCTTGGCAACCAGGATGGCAGCCAATTCACTGCGGCTTCCATCCATAGAGCACCTAATCAAGGCTATCTCAGATTTCTTCATCTTGGCCAAACTTTCCCGAAGTGATGAACATTGCTATCAAGAAGCATGGGCAATTCGCCGTCTCATAGGGCGATTGAAGAAGTTCACTTACCGAAGTTGCCCTCCCCAGGACCCTGAATGGTTTAATTCATGCACTTGTGTAAATAACCACTTCAATCTTGATTGGCTGATGTGTCATCAAAAAAAATTATCCCATGAATCTCGATCATTATCATTAATTGTCGATTGAATGAAGCATCAAATCCCGTTCAATCCATCAAAATACATAAATCTATAAACCCATTTGTCCTTCAATGAACTGCTCCGCATAGAGGATGAGGAGATCAAAGGCCTTGTGCAGGCTTTGGGCTTCGACTGTGAGGCAAGCTTCAGCGTGAAGTGTGGTTGGAACTCAATCTCATTCCTCACGCAATTATCACATGTATGGTTTGAGGCCCCAAGCAATTCAAAAAAATGTGGGTATATAGTTTATATTTGGGACCACATTGAATATCAAATTTCTCTTGTATATAAAATTCAACCTCAAATTTTGAAACGGTCAAATATAGATCGATTCTTTAAGGGTCTGAAAGCTTCAAAATCTAATGGCTTGGAAAGCAATGGGTGATATGATCAAGTATCCTTGGTACTTGGATTTATGTGGTGTTTTTTTATTGCATGTGCTTTACAGGCATACCTCCAACAGCGAAAACACACATGATTCACCGTTCAACAAATAATCCAAAGTGGTCTCTCAACTGCATCGTGTGCAGGATTGGCAGCCTACCACGGCAGCTCTTGATGATGCTGCCATTTCGGGATCCAGTGCTGGTGAATCCCAAGATACCCAAGGATCTCAGGTAGCAGAGTCTCAAGACAAAGCCCCAGTGAGTTTCAACCAGAAGCTTCAGGAAATTGAAAATGACAATGATGATACGATGCTATATGAACTCAACCAGATCATGGATGATCTCGCAGAAGACCTCCCTCCAGTTCCAATTCCTGGACCGGCCCGGCCGCAGGTGCTGGCTGAGCGTCGCACTTCTGTTTCAGAGAAGGAGCTGAAGGATAAGGCACCTGAGGAAGCGAAGAAGGCAGTGGCCACCCCATGTCGGAACAAGAATGTTGGCCACCCCCAAAATGCTGCCAATACCGCACCCTTGTCTTTGCGTTCTTTGAAGGCCCACGAGGACTTGGGGACTAATATGAAATAACATGGTTTTATTTTCCATTAATTGGTTTCAATCAGTTTTTGATGTATCAAGGGATTTCTTTAGATAATGATTGCAAATCCATGTCCCCATAATTGAACATCAACTTCTATTGGATTATTGGATCCAATATTTTCTTTCTATAGATTTGCATTTCCCCCATGGGTCCATATATAGCAGTATCCATGTTTTGATCCCTTTGCTAACTGCCATTGCAGGACTTGGCAGTTGTTGATATTTCTTCGGATGAAGAATATGCCAACGGCATTTCTGGGGGAAAGCCGAGGGATGAGGAGATCAATCTGATTACGCAAGCCTTGCTCCAAATCAAGGGGTTTTTTGGCAGCAACATCTCTGCCATGTCTTAATATATTGATTCTTGAAGTGTATATATAGATAGAAGGGATTGAAAATTACATTGAATATATGTTTTAAAGATGTTGGTCGATCCGATTTAGTCACAATGAATTGTGTCACATGTGATATCCGACATAAATTGGATAAATGAAATATAAATAAAACACTCCAATGGTATATATTGAAACATGGTCATCTCTAATGCGTCGCTCCACCAAACCATGATCTTGAATAGTCTTGTGCAGTATGACTCTTGACCTCATGAAACATATATGGATTCATGCCATGACATCCCTTATATATATAGACATCTCTATAAGTTGTTCACCATTATATGGTATATCGTCAATGTGGATTCGCGTAATTTGGCCCCATAACCAAGTTTCTTCATTCAATTGACCCCAAGCAGTATGAGTAATGAATGCACAATCCACTTGGTGCCACCTGATCATCATCCCTGTCCCTCAGGCTGACCGAGGCAAAGGAATCCCAGGGTCCAACAACACCTGCAAGCAGGGCATGTATCTTGGTGTCTTCAACGGGAATGGATTGGATGTCCTAATCTATCTGTCTTGCGATGATTTATATGTTGTTTGTGCTGATGATTGTATTTATGCAAGCACATATGAAGTAACGGGATGGTGTTTAACACATCTTACGTTATATACAATAGTCGGAATTAAGTGCATGTGTGCCATAAGGTTCAATGGTGGAGACTGGAGATCACCAGACCACTGAGACCATATTGGTGACGACCGGTTCCATGATGCCTCTTGCCAGTGACCATTTGGAGACTCAGCTACTATGTTCTCCATCCCAGCTCATGAGTACCACCACAGCCATGGAGACGATGAATACAGTAGATGAAATTGACAAGACCAGAGAAGAAGAGGCCCCCACATATGCGTTATAAAACAATATGATGAGATCATGGGTCCTAAGTGATATAGGGATAAATCCATGCAATGATCTATAATTTGTTTCATCCAGCAAAAGCCAACTGTTTTTTTTGGCACCCTCTCCCTATAGGTGCTGGCAAAGGGAAAGCTGGACATTGAAATTCCCGACCATGAGGTGGTCACACGCAGACGACAGTTTAGAATGAAATCGGAGAAGGCTGAGAAGAAGAGAGAAAAGAAAGCAAAAAAGAAAGAAGATGATGCAGCAAAACAAACCACAAAGGAGCAGAAGAAAGCACAGAGAGAAGCAACAAAAAGCAGAAAAAGAAGCAGAAAAAGAAGCCAAGAAGAACAACAAAGAGAAAGCCAAAGAGAAAGCCAAAGAGAAAGCCAGAAAGGAAAAAACAGAGAAGAAAAAGAAGGGCCGATCAAGCAAGGAAAAAAAAGCAGAATGTGAGAAAGGATCCAAGAGACGCAAGATCAAGTCTGCAGGTTCTGGCAAGAGCAAGATTCCCCAAGATGAACCTCCCCGAGATGAGCCTCCCCAAGATGAACCTCTCCAACATGAGCCTCCCCCAAATGAGCCTACGCGAGGTGAGCCTCCCCGAGATGCAGAGCTTCCCCAAGATGAACCTGCCACAGCCACTGCAAGTGCCACTGATGAGCCCAAGACTCGTACGGTGCAGAGCAGGAAGATGAAACGTTTGAGACGTGTGTCGGACTCATGGACAGGTGAAAGCTTTCATGTCACTGCTGGTGAAGGCCCAGTGCAGGAATTGGAACCCCAGGCTTCTGAATCAGAAGATTTGCCGAAGAAGGGGAACACAAAGACTTCGGAGAATGAAGAGAAGAAAGATGATTCAAAGAAGACCTCAGGTAAGAAACCAAAGAGCAAAGCAACGCCTAAGAAGAAGGCGAGTGGGAGCAAAGATTCAAAGGCCAAGGCCAAGGCAGAGCCAAAGAAGAGCAGCAAGAAGCGTTCCAAAGAGGCTGTGGGCACACCCAAGGCAGCCAAGAAGCCCAAGACAACAGACAGAACGAAACCCAAAAAGGAATACGTGGTCTGTGAGGAAGCCAAAGCCATTGCCCTTTCCACTCTTGAGGAATGCCGGAAGACACATTGCACACATCCAGGTTTTGAGGTTCCCAAGCCCACCAGCGGGATCGACTTTGTCCCCTATTGGTCTAGGGGGGCAGTTGGAATCAAAGTCTTGCGCAAATACATGAGCAACAAGAAGGCCCAGGAGACGGGCAAGTCAGGAGGCAGTGCCAAATCCCAAATGGCCTATTTTGGCAATGCTTGCCCATGTTGCTATGCAAGCTATAATGTTGCAAAGATCTACGTTTCCAGGTTGCAACTGAATGGTCTAGATAAAGGGCTTGTGGTGGGCTGGAGGGCTTTGTTTATATATAGAATCTTGAGAGGAACTATAAAATAGTATATAATATACATATATGTACCATGAGTACTTGAGGGGATTGTTGAAGGTTGTTTCCAATTTTACATGGTTTTTGATCTTGATTTCATAGAAGACAACTTCCTTATATAGAGTGAAGTCTGGATGTATAATGTTGATCAATAATTTCTTTGGAGGAAAATTATATATATAATTCTCATTCCTCAATCAGGCCTATACGATACATATCCATTTCTATATAACACAGACATTGCAGAGTTCACAATTGTATATATAATTTAAAGACTTGTTACACAGTTCCATGACAACTCCGACTGAAACACTCTTGATATGGTCAAATTGGATAACCAAGGTTGCTGAGCTTGAGAAAGAGATCAAGAAGCCCAAGCCTGACGTTTGCAATGATGGTCTCAAGGATCTGAAGCATCGGTTGAATGCCTCGCTGGACTCTGCGCTGAAGGAGTGGGGTACCAATGAGCCCCATGCCAACAAAACATCTTGATTGCCAAAGGCATCGATGATATGTAAGCCATGGATGGGTCATCGATCAGTGTTGGCCATATGATCGTGTATATATAAAAACCACAATCATAGATTTGCCAATGGTTTCATACACCATGTGTTTATATATAGATTTGCCCAGCTCAATGAATAAAACACCTTGGGTTCAATTCATTTAGGGACTATGTGGATCTAATCTGGTGTGGCCCAACATACTGCTAACTGGGTTGATGTTCGATTTGACCTGGCTTACTGAATCTGGGGGTTGTGCCCATATGTTGACAACGATGCATGTCCCATATCCTTCTAATTCACCTCAGTTGTATATAATCATGATATTCAGTCCTCTTGAACAATTTTGTTTTTGTTCTGCTTCAACCAAATTCATGACAAAAGAGTGCTTTGCATGGGATTTGGATCGTTGAGTGCATATGATGTCTGAAACATTTGGAGCAAATTCGATGCTCGATGTTGCCATGTGTCCAGTTGACACATGCCCTCCAAATCTAGGGTTGTTCAATTCTGTGGAACGCCCACAAAGCTGTCTATCTCGATCGACAAAAGGGTTGTTACAGTGACTGCAGCTGCAAAGCATTGAAATCACATTACATGGAAATACTCATGAGTTTCAAAACACATCTACATGTCCAGTCCATGCAAAAATATTTGAATCTTTGAGAGCATGAAAGCCTTCTGTTGAGCGTCACAAGTGTTCGCACCCGTCGTAAATAACACCAGCTGTATGAAATATGCAAAAAAATCTATATACAGATAAAATCATGGAGGATAAATGATTTTGGATCAGATTTCTGTATAATGGCATTTCATATATATAAGATATAAACCATACATCAGCCCCAAAGTCCACCCGGGTTCTCACCTTCAATGAAGCCAACGCCTTCATCGTGCCAGGTTCCAGAATGCCTCGGCGAAAGTTGAGAAAGATCTTGAAAGGTAATGGAAACTCAGCGAGATTTCTGGCCAGTCTGACAAGAGGTGGGCATGGCTCGCTTTTTAGAAATGGTTTGTTTCTCGATCATATATTATATATACTATATAGAAGGCTATAGAGTTGACACAGGTGATTAGGTCTGCGTGATCTTGAAGTGCGTGGATCATGCCTCTTTAATTCCAGAGGGTTTGAAGTATATAGAATTGCACAAGAATGCTTCATATTACCAATCATGGATCCATCTGAACTTGTTAAACGAAACCTGCATGGCGCAGTGAAATATCTTTATAGTGATACGTGATATATACCTTCACCTCTTTGTGCATGTGTGCTTTGCGAATGCACGTATATACATGCAGCCACTGAAGCGGATCAAAGAGAACCCCTATAGGTTTTGGACAATGGCCATTGTATGTAACACAAATTTGACTCCACTTCACATGAGCCGTGATTCACTGTGCACACACAAATGCGCATGAGTGTGAACGATATGCACAATCTCATCCACATTGCAGCTTACACAGACTGCCAACCATGGTGACCGGACGGCAGAACTTGGGGGAAGTTGTGAAGCGCCTCATTAAGATGAACATTCCCAAGGTTTCATGGCTGACTTTTACGACTCCATGATTGGAAATGTTGAAGTATGTTGAAGTCTTGTGAGTCTATCCTTCTTGATTCAATTCTTTCATTAATCAGTGGATATATTGATCTGTCGAAGGACCTGTAAGTATATATATATATAATCTGAACCCATGCCTGCAGAAACCAGAGTGTGTCTTGTTTTACATCATGAGAAGCTAAGGCATTCGTTTGGCTAGTGCTCCTTGTCGGATTCTCTTCAAACCTCCCTGATTTCAAAGAGGTGCCCACCAAGTACATGCTGACATGTCAAAAGAAGCTCGGTAAAGTCATATAAGTGAAATTGTATAAGGTTCATCATGCACATATATACTAATATACCTGAATTTCCCATGGTGGTTCATGTGCATATAATACCCAGGTTCCCCCACAGTCTCTTTGTCTCCAGGACCTGTCGTTTTTGGAATTCTTCTGCGGAGAGGGCCGGGTTTGGAAAGCGGTTTCAGCAGAGGCTGGATCGATTGGGATTGACATCAACTATGGAAATCCCGAAGGTGGTCACACAAATGCATTCGATATCCTGACTGTTTCTGGAATTGCGTGGGGTCCTAAGTGCCATTTTGTGAGACACAATTCATATACATCAAACCATGTTGAAGATATATATACAAGTGCATGGCATCCTTCAGAAACAGTTGTTTGACTCGGGGTTGCAAGATGGAAATTTGTTGTTTTTTCTATGCCAAGAATTTAATGATCAGCTCAGGATGTATGTCCATTTGATCCTGTCATGCGGTGAATCCAACTTCACGACTGTCTGGGCAACCGTGTGTAGCAGCTGGGTCCAAATCAACTGCTTCACAAGTCAACGCTCGCGACTTCTCCCGGAGGGTGATACGAGTCGCCGCTACATAGAAGAGGCAAACACCATGATGTCAAGGATAGCTGGCAAAAAATGGCATACTAGTTTTTCTTATATATATATATATACATCATCCTCTGAATGTGTGTGGCAATTTATTTTTGTTTCGATATCTCCCAATGGAAATGGACTATGTATGAATATACATGCAACCTGCCTCAGCCCAGGTGTGTATTGTTGCTGGCTTTAGTGGTTGCATGCGGTGGCTCATTTCTTTTGGAGCAACCTGGATCATCGGTCATGGGGGAGTATTACAGATTCCAGTGGTTCACTACAATTCTGGATGTGGCTTGGCCCAATGATGATATATAAACTATATATAATAAAACTTTACCCCATGCGCAGATATTGTTCAATCGATCAGTTCAGTATATATAATTATATACATAATGGGCTGCGTTGCATTTGTTCATGCATGATGCATTCTTATATTTGACGACACTTTATCCATCACTCAAACATTAACGTTTATAGGTCCAAGCCATCCATGATGGATCTAACGATGCAAATTCCTTCACCTCCTGTTGAATTTTCTTGACCCTCAACTCCCAGCAGCTGACCTTCTCAGGTGTACCACTTCAAATGGCACATGGGGCACTATGGTGCACCGACACCGAAGCCTCAGCAAGGATGGACTAACTCTCGCCAGTTTGCAAAGATTCGGAAGGGAAAGTGGTCCTACTCAGACAACGCACCATCTTCCGTGAAGACTGTTAAGAAGACCATTTGCAAAACTTCGGGCAAGTCATCCTACTGCGGAACCCCTGAGCTGAAAGCTTCACAGTCTGGGACTTATATGCTATTCCCCAAGGTGATATTTAAATGATGCATTTGTCGACCAAAGATATTCAGCATATTCAGATGCCCATCTTCATCTTATATAAGAAAAAACAGCTAGTTTTGGTTCCCAAACATGATTGATGGGTTTACCAAGGACCTACCCACAAGGATTCGCTGAGAAGATCCGTGAATTGCATCAAGAACTTGTGGGAACTGGTGAGGGGATGCCTGTAGTGGACCCACATGAGTCTCCCCAAAAAGCTTTCGAAACTATGACATGGTCAACCTGGGAGGAAGCCAAATTGGTACAGGTCCTGAGGTATTTAAGGGGCAATCGTCATTTGGATGCCCCAGCTTCATGGATCAGTGTTTTTCCAAAGCCGTTTGAGATCCTCCATAAATTGGAGAAGCAAGCAAATGCTGGCTGATTACAGGCTTCAGTCTGCGCAAGGTTTTTGATGATCCCAGCTCAACACCCATGTCAATCTATATAGACTATCTATGATGTTTCAAAAATCCAACAAAAATGGCTGAAATCAGAAATTTCCCAAAAAATCACATTTTAGAGGGGGACGTGAATATCCATGCTATGGACGTGAATATCCATAAACCGTTCGGATTACGTTCAGATTACGTTCAGATTGCGTTCAATTACGTTCAGATTGCGTTCAGTTTATGCAAATATTACGTAAAAAATTACGTAATTTTGCGAGCTTTTTTTAGGTTTATTTTGGACTCATTCAAAAAACATGGAAATCATCAGGATTTAGTGATTTTTGTCAAGAAATCCAAAGGATGATGTGGTGTTACGCTGGATCCCTCCCAAATTTGTCCAAATTCATTGTGAAGCCATGGTATGAGCCGTGGAATGCAAGTGAAATTCTTGCAAAAATAGGGTTGGGCATCCAACTTTGTCAAGATCTCAATCGTGATTTGGTGATTCATGAACCTAAATAGAATTGAAGAGTTGGAATTGGAGATTGACAACTTTTCACAGGCAGTATATGAACACATATCAACATATTTTGTATATATATGAACCCAAGTGCACTGAGAATGTATTTTCTCAGCATTTTGGCTGTGGCAGGAGTTAAGTGAAGTAGCTGTACTTGGTATAGATGTCACGTGACTCCCTAGTGACTTCAATGCCCACTGGAAAGTGGAGCTGTGAGTCCCTTGAAACAGGGATCATGGAGGCAGCGAAGCGGTGTGGCCTACACATCCAACCCTCACAACTTGAGCAGGTCGGGATGGCATGGTGGGGATTCCAGTGGCCAACCACGGGTATTTTGATCAAGAAGTTTAACATCAATTATAGATCCCCAGCAAGAAAAGCCAAGTAAGGACCATGTGATACCATGGTATACCATGTGGGTGTATATATATATAGTTGAACCTCAAGTATACATGCATGGTATATATAATTTAAAGCCACTCATGGACTTCACCCCAAGCAGGTCTCAAGATGTGTGGCGCAAAGAATGGCTGACCAAGCCGTTACTAGCTTGCATTCATGGATCAGGGATGGCGAGATATAGTATGGCATAGATGGATTACTTTGGTTCATTGAGCTCGAGGAGAATTAATTATTGCAATTGTGACAGTGGCTATTCAGAGTTACCACGCATAAATAAAATCTCTATTCATATATATATATATATATACATCGGTTAATTTGAACCTGTCCAATTCCATATCATGTATATAATCTTATTCCATATACCAAAGGCTCCAGACTGCTCACCGACCTCATCTGAGGCTCCTGGCTGTTTCACGGCTGTCAAGATGGAACCAAAGTCACCTGCAAAGAAGGTTGCCGAGCAAGTTGGGCAGGTGGCTGGTGCAGCATCAACTGCAAATACCAGTGGTCATGTTGCTTTATATTTCATATATACACGCTTTTGGACCAATAAACCTAAGGCAACATGCCCAGCACATGCCGAAGGAGTTGACACATCATCCCAGCAAACTATCCCAGGAGTTGCCTGGCTGGGACTATCACATTTTCATGAAATTATATTATATACATGCACATGTATATATGTTGTGGGACATGGAACACCAATGAAACATCTCTGTGGGACATCGTGTTTTAATCTAAGGATATTTTCTCATGTGCAAAGTGGACACCTTCTGTGCTTCCACCTTCAGCTACGACTCCAGTTCCACCTTCACCTTCACCCTCTGAGACGGAGGTCGCAAGGTTGCGCCAGGCAATCAACTTGGACCATCTTTTTACATGCATGGGAGAAAACATAATTTGATGTACTGTATATGACTTGGGAATCTTCATGGCGGTATCAGGGATCTTATATATATACATAAATGGTTCATGCCCCACTGGAAGGCAATGGAACAACGAATTTAAGAGGAGAAGAACACGAATAGGCTCTTGATGGATAGACTCGCTCATTTGGAGAAGCAAATGGTGGAGTCACAGGCCAAAGACAAGACCCAGGAGAGTGTGCCCCCTCAACCACCTACTGATACAGTTTCTTCCAAAGTGGAGGACCTTCTTTCCCAAGCCATGACCCAAATCCAGAACCTGGAGAAAAAGTTCGATGAGCAGTCCAAACCCACGCCTCAGCCAGCTGCCAAGGCTCATGGGGAAAAAACAGCACCGGGAAGCTCAGCCCCAGGTTCTCCACAGCCGGATCATGATGGGGAAGATGAGTCTGATGCTGAATCATCCGATGATGAGTTCATTGTCACCCCTTCTGGCCACAAAGTTTCTTAAGCTATCATTTGCTGATCAACGTTTTGCCATTCAACATACATTGGTGGATTAAGTCATATATTGATATCAAATCAATAAGATCCCATGCATGCACTCTATCCTTTCAGCATGCAACCCTTGACAGCGTTGCCTTCAGCAAAACTAAGGTTGCTCTCTCAGCCGACGCCTTACGGATGAGGACCCGGCGACTTCTCGAACGTAAACCGTCGGGAAAATACCTTGTGGATCCCGCTGTGACGGAACAATACAAGAAGGGAGGAGAGGAGAGGGAGCAATTGGAAATGGCCTTGCTCGAATGTTTGTCGAAACACGGCTTGGCCCGTACAGCCTACAAACGCGTGAAGGTGGGGGGTATATAGAAAAATAATGAAGAATATATATATATATATATAACCCAAACCACACATATATAGTTATATAGAATATATAATACACAAGATTATATGTTGAGGATTTATCTATATAACAGGCATTGTTTAACCATCAGGACCACCACTTTACCAGTTCCCATTGTTTGATTCCACCAGGCCGATTTTTCGGCAAAGTGCCGTTTGATCAAAGAGAGGATGGAAAGCCGTGAGACGGAAATCTTAGGCCGATGGATGACCGAGGATGAGATGCGACAGTCTAAGAAGTGGAGCAGCACTTCCATCCGATCTATGATATCATACTGCAAAAAGTTCCCTGAAAGCCTCTTGAGGTAGCAAGGGAAAACATGGGCAATCATGAACCATGGGCAAACATATTTATATATGTTAATTTGATCATATACATTTTTTATACAAGATAATATGCAATTTGGTTATATATGTTTTTATAACTCTACATGTGCTGTTTGATTTTAATCTTTGGGTTACCCGGAAGAATCCCAAAGCACCCTGCTGGCAGACCTTGGAAGTACAATGAGAAAGTCAACCAGTACTACATCATCTGTGATGATCAGATCAGCCAAAAAAAGGAGAAAAGACCATTGAAGTGGACGAACATGATTTGCCTGAATCTTGGCCCTGTAAAAAAAAGAAAGCCTATAAATGTAATATACAACAGGCCCCCAATGTGGATCGATCATGTTTCCTGTTTGAACATCATTATTTTCTCACACATGACAGTCTTTGAGATTTAAAAGAAACACAAATAAATCCCATTGACTAATTGTTTCCCATTGTAAGTCCAGCCGGTTCCCCATGACGATGCTCAGGACAAGACCTCGAAGACACCACCCGAAAGTTTGCCGCAGAAGCTGGTGAAGATTCCAGAGCCTGATGAAACTCCGGAAGTGGTGGGCTCTCAGGACAGGGGAAACCATACAATGGTTGACAATGCAGGTTTGCAAGTATTCTTTCACGCCATATCGTTATATATTATAAATAAATGTTCATGTATATAGATATCGTTCAGGATTTCATCACGCAATTTTGGATTGGGTGTATCTCTCATGTTCCCTGGCCAGCCTGTTGCGGACCTAGAGACCTACATGCAATCTTTGGAAAAGAAACAGCAAAGTGTGGAAAAAATGGTGGCCAAACTTGGTGCCTGTAAAGAAGATGCATGCAAGAAGTACTTGGGTTGCAGTCTCATACTTTTTTGTTTGAAAAAAGTGCATGCAATAATATACCATGGATTTAAAGTCTAAACTATAAAGGCGCTATACAACAAACATAGCCCAAAAAAAGAAATCTCCATTTGTATCCCTTCGTTCTTTCATCTCACCCAAGGTTGATGGAGAGCTTAGACCAGCTGAATGCCAAGATGTTGAGCAGCTACGAGTCTTTGGGAAACCATTTGACCGAGCTCAAGCTTGATCACCGTGAAGGAAAACTCCCCAGTGACAGGCTGAATCAGCTGCTTGGAAACATTAGATCATATATAGGAAATAAAAAAACACATAACTTTAACCCCATGGAGGTCCAGTGTCATGTGGTCGCATGTGGTCAATACAAGGAAATGACTCTCATGGAATTTCAATTCATGCTGCTTTGGATTCAAACCCAGCCACACTGGGGGATGTGTGTCGGGGTTTGTCCTGGCCAATTTTCTGGCCTTGGGGCTTTGTTTCTTCGTCATGGATGGCGATGAGCCTTGTGATGATGCAGAAGATTGGATACTTGAACTACTCAGATACAACAGAGAGGCCTGAACTGTTTCTTGAATTCAACAAAATACAAAATGATGTGCACTAATGGGTGTATGCATGCGTCCTCATATCACCGTCTATATACTGTCATTTCATTTACCTCAATTGGTCAGGCGGTCCCGCCGTTGCCTACAAAGAGTTCTCATCAAGCACAAGGCCAATTTCTATATATGCAACATGCATGATGGAAACAAGGATTCATGTGATAAAATCTTTGCTGGATCGATTCAGTAAGATGGCTAACACCCAAAGAAATGATTATGTCATGGACAATGGATGATTCACCCCAAACAGGCCACACTATAGTTGATAGCTCCCATGCCAACCCATTCCTGCATGGTCAGGTGTGCCTTCCAGGCCAAAGGATTTGAATCACTGGCAGAACGTCCTGCGAGACGATGTGTTGGCACTGACACGGACCAGGGAGTGCTTTTCCATGATTGAGGGTGATCCTATGCTGGGGTATGACCTCCCAAAGAAATCTTGCACTTTGCCGGGTCAGGTCTTGAAACATTGCTACGCAGTTGTTGACAAGGTTCTTGAAAGTCAATACCCTTGCATCTACAAAGTGGGCTTCACACACTGTGCTTACTTCCGACTTCACAATACCAAATTTGGGTACAAGCATGAACGAGATCTGTGGCAGAAGATGATAGTCATCTATGCTGCGAGTGAACCTGTTTCCCCTGGCTTTGTCGAAGCAGCAATCATACAAAGACACAAAGGATTCTTGATTGCATTCACTTTGGGGAAGGATCAGTGTCATGCAACAATAATGCAGGCAACATTCCACGATATTGTTGTATATATATGATCGGGGGAGTGACCGGGGAGTTATAATGTATGTAAATTTCACAACGTTACAAAACCCTCTTCGTTCAGGACAAAAAGGTTGCCGAAACATTCGGGATGGTGGTGAAACCATCGATGCTGACAAGTTTGGGCCCTATTTGGTCTACATCATCTTCCGATCGTTCCGGATACCGCCACGCTGCAAGTGATGACCTGCTATACTGATGGGGAAAAAATAAACTGAGTTCTTTGATATATAGCACCACTGCAAATAACCTTTTTCAGATGGGATTATATATTTATTTGTTCTGGTTTGGCAACTTGCCCTGCACATATCTCATCCAAGGCTACTGCAAGAGGTTGTCACGGTGAAGAATGATGTGCGTTCACAGCTTCTGGGATTCAACAATATAATTCTTGCAAAACATATAGCTATATAATTTGTGATTTGTGTTTGTGTTTTCTGACTGGTGGGCATGCATGCAACTATATTTATTTGGGATCCATTGTTTCGTCTTCTCAGGTGCTCAGCCCTGATTCCATTGGAGTCACGCTACAGGACAGTCTTCACCCAGAATATGTAGACCATATCTTTCAATTCATATATCTTCGATCCCAAAAGGTTCAGTTGACAAATATATAGATTAGCATGCATGGGGTATGTTGGACTGCACATGCAGGACTTTGAACAAGGACTTGAAGTTGGAATCTGAAACTGCGCCGAAGCCAAAAAAGAACAAGCCTGGGAAGGGATCAAAGGCCAATCCCAAGAACAAATCCAAAAAGAATAAGGGACTGCCTTCCAAAAAGGACAGGCATGCACGTGGGTCGAAGGCCCAGGGTGCAACTCCCTCGGAAAGCGATGCTCCTGCCGCTTCCAAGCGTCGTCGCAAAGGGGCCTAGGCCATAGAGCACATGGGATTATCAATTGGCACTATATAGTTTTTTAGGGCTGGTGACTCCCAACACTTGTAAACATGCCCTTGAAACCAAGTTGTTGGTGCATGTGAAGTTGTTGGTGCGAAGCCTCCATGTGCGTTGGCTTTTTTTGGATGGGAAAACCCTGTCATGTGGAGAACCACATGTCTAGATGTTGAAGATGGTCGTTAAAAGCTCTGGGGCCAAATGAGCTTGAGTTTCAATACTTTGTGGCATGTCCCATATTGTCTCATCATGTCCGAGATGTGATCCAGTGAAGTGTGGAAAAAAAACAAAACTGCCTGGATGAGATGGGATCGAATGGTGTCATTCAGTCAACAACAGGCCATTCAACGATTTACTTGTTCGGTGTTTCTCAATCATCATTCCCCCCAAATAATATAGATCCTGTCATGCCCTCCAATTCACAATTGATGTGGGAACCAAACCAAGCTGAGAGTGCCAGGTCCCACGCATAAAGCAAGACGCTTGGCATGGAAATATGGCAAGGGAGCAACTCGGCTCAACTAGTGTGCTGCCATAGATGGTGAACCAAATTGTTCCTGTTTCAGCCTACATGCATGCATGGAAACAAAATTTCAAAACAGATGATCGATCAAAATCAGGGCTGATCCATGTATGCTTGTGTCATGACTGACATGCATGGCGCATGAAGATTGCATGAGAACATGTTTGAAGACCCAGAAACAATAAAATGAAAACCTTCATATTGTATATGATCGAAAAAAACTTGGGTATACCCCATATATATATATGCTATATCCCATATGTCATCCATGATATGTTTCAATTATATATATAAAAGTATATGATCTGTTCAAATCTCAGCCATCCCCAGGGTGATTGTCGTGACATCATCGCTTTTGCAGCTGCTGACAAGAGGGATGCGCAGGAGCGAGGCATGCCCCAGGACTGCCCGATTCTAAGTGCCCTGGCCACAATCAACCCAAAGAAGTCAGACCCTGGGATGATATATAATTCGATTTGTTTCACCTGAAGGCTTTCATGTTTTGACCTATGATGTTGATTTGTGTTCCCAACTCTTTTCCAAATTTGGGTACAATGATTTATTTCATGTCTTATAATCTTAATTTATTGTTTCTGCTTGGTAAGGAAGATGGAGTGCAGCAAGTGTTCGCCGACAATAACATGTACTACCCGGTGAAAATAACTACGGAAGAACATTCACCACTGGAGGATTTTGACTGGATCCGTCCTACTGACTTTTTCCGGAGTTTCTACAAAATGAACGACTTGGGCCATGTGCTTGGAGGTCATAACCTGAAAGAAGCCAAGCCCATCATTTTGGACTTCTGGAAAAAATACAAGGATGCCTACCCCCAACATCAACTGTGGGATCACATCGCAGCCACTGGAAAGGATTTGGCAAAGTGTCTGCCATGCTTTCTGCATGGAGACGAAGGCACTTCGTTTAAGAAGGGTGGTATTTTCATCTTCAGCTTTCAGGGGGCCATCGGATTTGGGTCGTCCAAAAGGTCCAAAGAACTTGAAGCGAGGTGGAGGGCTTTGGGAGAAGGGATCCCTCTCAATTTTTTGAGAACGGGGTTTCAGACACGAATGCTGATCTGTGTGTGTCCCAAGGACTTGGTGTTGAAAATTCCCGAATTAACTCATTTTCAAGTGTCTATGTGGGGTCCCATGCAAGAAATTTTTATATGTTATATGCATGATCGATGTGTCAAAGCTCCTTCATTACTCATAAAAATCAAGATATACCTTCCAGGATATGTATTCCGAAGACCGACGGGTGTGGAATGCGATGTTTGAGATTGTAGCCAAAGACCTTCGAGACGCACAACAAAACGGAGTACACATGGATGATGGTGAAGTCATCTACCCTATTGTTCTGGGAAACAAGGGGGACTGGAGCTACTTGGTTCCTTGGTTCTTTACTTTGATTTGGAACTGTTTTTTTTGAAAATGGCTTTGAACACATTCAATGGTTTCAAACTTATCACCTGATCTTCATATAGAATCTTCAGACATATATAATGTTGCACTTGGATATTTATGCCTGCGCCGGCATAGGTTGAATCTGCCCACCTTGAACGCTCATATCGGAGGGCGCCGAAAGGTGCTGGTGACAAGGGTGACTTTGGTGTGGCAGGGCCTGGGGTGTGCCACCTGTGCACATGTGGCCAGGGTACTGACTGGGAAAACTTGACGCTCATTTGAATGATAAATACTTTAGTCTCGATCCTTTTGTTTTACTCCTCAAAATGTCTGGAACTCTGTCTGTTGGTGTGTATATGAATAAACGATTTTGTAGAGGGGGGAAAGCAATATAGATGTTTTGTGCAAATCATTACATATATGTGTTTCTTGAACCTATATATGAAAATCAAAAAGATTAAAACCTGTGGGTTTTGTGACCTTCAAATGTATCCCCTGTGCCAGCCTATCCGTTCCATGCAAGGAAAGCAGCAGAGAAAGAGATGGATCGAGTACGTACTGAAGAAATGCCAATGCCATGGGTCCAGGAGTGTGCCCTCACACGCTACCTACTGCATGATGGATCAATCAATGGCAAAACAAAGTTCCATTGCATGGATATATGGCATAATGTACATCTTGGTGTGGGAAAAAGCTGGGTAGCATCGGGTGTAATGATGCTCCAAGAGCTCATACCAGAAAGCAACGTGGACTTGAGAATAGCTGAGATTGCAAGATCCTACAGACAATTTTGCAAAGCAAACAAAATTGACCCTGTGCTGAAAAAAGTCGACATCTTTACGTTTGGAGGTCGAGGCAATGTGGAGAGAAATGGAAGTTGGAACAAGGCCGCTGTCACATCCAATTGGATGCTTTTCCTGGAAGATTACTGCCGGGAGAGAGAAGACTTGATCAAAGATGACCAGAACCTGAGAATCTTTGTTTCCTTTCTGCATCAAAAAGAAAACTTGTTTTTGCCTATATACAATAAATCTGAAAGCTTAAATTATCCTCCAGGGGCCCCAAATAGGAAACAAATATGGATTATGGATGTTAATGGTGAATGTTTTATTTTTGTAGGCCCTTCACATTTATAGTTTTCTGCCTTTTGAGGCTTTTGGAACGGAGCAGCTAAACAGCTTCATTCGTGGCATTTACTCCAACGACGTATTCATTCCCAGCTCTACCAGCAAAGAGTTATGTGACTGCCTCTATAACTGGATGCAGGCCTATTCCTTTCTTGCTCACCAATCATTTCAGACGGGTCTGGCAATGTATCCACTATACCCTAAGCTGCACGCTGTGCACGAAATAGGGCACGAGATGCGGTGGCAGGAACGATCTTGTCAATTTGTATTCAACCCTGCCACCACGAGTTGTTCGATCGACGAGGACATGGTGGGACGGACTGCTTTCCTATCAAGACATGTCTCACCGAGACAAATCATCAGGAGGACACTCCAACGGTATGTGTGTCACATTCAAATTCTTTGGGCCCGGCTGTGATGAAGAAAAAAACCAAAGGAGTGGAGCGAGGGTGAGTTGGACACAAGGTATGGGTAAGGTATGGGCCAGTGTGAGAATGTGAAAAAAATATTACAAATTATGATGGTGATATTGGTTGTGATTGAAGACTGTTTATGTGTTCAGCAACCATCAAATCACTGTAGCAACATGTAACATTCTATCAACTAAAATCCTTATATATTGATATATCTTCAAAACGTGACATACCAGCTGGGGACGTGAATTAGCGTTCAAGGTCATGCTGGGACGTGATTATACATACAGGGCCGTGATTTCAAGCAGAACCACCCAAAAGATAACAATTAACAACATGGATAAGAATAGGTTTCCTGGAGGTGCTCCAGGTATATATATATATTATATTATATGTATATAATCTTCCATGATGACATATATATATATATGACATGAGCCGCTCACATGTTGTGAAGCCTGAGGAACCTGCAGCCCACCATTGTGACATACGGTGCGCTGATCAGTGCATGTGAGAATTCTGCTGAGTGGCGGAGAGCCTTATGGTAGCTTGGATGCTAGGTTAAGGATGTTCTTCCACCGAAGATCTGGATATGTCGGAATTGGCTATGAACATTGATATTCCAGACATGCCTCATGACCGTGTTTGTTTTTGAGTGGCATGATTTTGCTGGTATTGTTTTGAGTTTGCCTTGAAACAGCTTCGCACAACCCATGTGGGTGAATTTTTGGTCATTACCGAATTAATTTGGGTTGCGATACCTGGGCTGTACCGTACTCTACCCCATCAACGATTTTGTGATATTTTTTCTTAACAGCGGTATCTAACGTGTTCTAATGTAAGGTTTGCGTCGAAAGACTAGCCGCTAGCCCCCGAAAGTGATTCGAGATACCTTCAGAGATACCATTGATTCAGGAACTACATACCCGTAAGATTCACCAAAGAGCGGTGATTTCCATTGTCTATCAAGTTTCTTGAGTCATACTTGGTAGTACAGAGAGTCACCAAGTGCCGCCCCTGCCAGTGATAACAAGTTGATAAAGACAAGTAGATGCCCTTGCAGTGGATTTACATCGATCTACCATGAACTGCTTGGTGGCTTGGAACATGTTTCTCCTTTTTTTTGGGAATCATATAATCCAACTGACGAACTCATATTTTTCAGAGGGGTTGAAACCACCAACCATTGAAAAAAAATATGAATGAATTTAAACAGTCAATCCAGAAGGACAGTGGAATCTGCTCGGAACATGTTTTTTTGTCGGCTACTGCTACTGCTACTACTACTCATCTTCATAATCGTTATTGCAAGAATGTGATTTCCAAGATGCACATCCAGTAAGGGGTGGTTTTACACACACCGCTTGTGATGCAGGCAGGGCCAAGAACGAAAGCATAGGGCTTCAGAATGCTTCAGACAACTCATAGAGCTTTGCTTGTCGCGGCCCTTGGACAGTCACCTCCTCATCATTCCAGCAAGGGGTTTGGAATTCCGAGCTGGTTTCGGGAGTTTGTTCCGCAGTTTGGCTCAAGATCAATCAATTGTAGAAACTGGTCCGTACGTTACACTGGTTTCTTGACACATGCTTCAAATCACTGTAGCTTTGCCAAGCGGTTGCAGTGAGAAATTCTCGATTCCGCAGTCCTCCAAAGTAAGGGACTTGAGTGTTCTGGCACAGAACTCCTTTCAACGTGGTTTCTTGAGGCTTGTGGCTGCAGACCATCGCGCATTGGATCCTACACTGACTCTGCAAGCTGCGGGACTTGAAGACGGAGACTATTTGACGGCTATTGTCCTGGAGGCCAAGCTGGCGGCAACAGCATCAGCTTTTGCCTTGTTTTGCTCTGGAGGTCACCGAGTTGTCACATGGGGCGATCCAGACTCTGGTGGTGACAGCTTTGAAGTCCAAGATCAGCTCAAAGGTGTCCAGCAGCTTCAAGCAACTCATTTGGCATTTGCTGCGATCCTGGCTGGTGGGTCAGTCGTGACTTGGGGCGATCCACGCTTTGGTGGTGACAGCTCTGAAGTCCAAGAACGGCTCAAAGGTGTCCAGCAGGTTCAAGCAACTGATCGGGCATTTGCTGCGATCCTGGCTGATGGGTCAGTCGTGACTTGGGGCGATCCAGACTCTGGTGGTGACAGCTCTGAAGTCCAAGATCAGCTCAAAGGTGTCCAGCAGCTTCAAGCAACTCATTTGGCATTTGCTGCGATCCTGGCTGGTGGGTCAGTCGTGACTTGGGGCGATCCACGCTTTGGTGGTGACAGCTCTGAAGTCCAAGAACGGCTCAAAGGTGTCCAGCAGGTTCAAGCAACTGATCGGGCATTTGCTGCGATCCTGGCAGATGGGTCAGTCGTGACTTGGGGCGATCCAGACTTTGGTGGTGACAGCTCTGAAGTCCAAGATCAGCTCAAAGGTGTCCAGCAGCTTCAAGAAACTAATTTTGCATTTGCTGCGATCCTGGCAGATGGGTCAGTCGTGACTTGGGGCGATCCACGCTTTGGTGGTGACATCTCTGAAGTCCAAGATCAGCTCAAAGGTGTCCAGCAGCATCAAGAAACTAATTTTGCATTTGCTGCGATCCTGGCAGATGGGTCAGTCGTGACTTGGGGCGATCCAGACTTTGGTGGTGACAGCTCTGAAGTCCAAGATCAGCTCAAAGGTGTCCAGCAGCTTCAAGCAACTCATTTGGCATTTGCTGCGATCCTGGCTGGTGGGTCAGTCGTGACTTGGGGCGATCCACGCTTTGGTGGTGACAGCTCTGAAGTCCAAGATCAGCTCAAAGGTGTCCAGCAGCTTCAAGCAACTCATTTGGCATTTGCTGCGATCCTGGCTGGTGGGTCAGTCGTAACTTGGGGGGATCCGGCCCGTGGTGGCGACAGCTCAGCAGTCATAGCCCAGTTTGCATATGTGTAACATATTGTAACATTGTGTAACCATGTTGGTGCAAAGGCGCCCTTCACTGCAGAATCCCACAGTGTTATTGATCGGCTTTTGGAAGTGTGAAAAGTCCAGCATCAGGAAGCGACGAGTACTTATAGGAAATGCAGTGTCGAATCCAGTACGACACATGGACATGAGGTGTAACATTGGATTGACAGTGATGCAGTTCAACAATGATGGGCATGGATACGAGTTATCCAGTCACTGGCCTCACTCTATTGAGGCAATCGAAAGTTAAAGGGGATGACTCACCACAACCATGTGATATCGTATCATTTTCAGCACAGAATGATGCATAATGAGATTTAGTGTTGATCATTGTCGATCAACTTCCTCCAAACGGCCAATTTTGTGGGGCCCCTTGTCAGCATAGATGTGATTTCCGCCCTATTGGTTGATGTTGGTTGAGAGCTCAGCCTCATTAAACAACCTAGGTCAAAGATGATACCCACAGGTAACATGGCAATGAAACATCTTCCATCTATAGATACATTTTCCATTAACACTCTATTAATAAGGGGACATTGCCACGTTTGATTACCAGAGGGTAAGTGGTATGCACACCAGCCCATTTTTTTTTGCCAACAGGATATCGCTTCTCATCCCAACCGGTCGACGGATATCACAATTATCATGCTATGAAACGAGGAATAGGATTTGTCCAATGAGGTCAACCCTTGTTTTTGGATGTTTTTGGTACTAAACTTGAGACCCACTTGAAAATGAGGTACCACGAAGTCCAAATTTCGAGGGGCTATCTCATTTGGAGCAAAGCCAGGTGAACAGACCCGGCTGGGACATAGCAGACTGGGCTTGGACATGTTTGGTTACAACCCATGTTTAGATACCCATGTCAGATGTTCTCAGACAACTTGATAGAGACAAGTGGATGGAGACAAGTTGATAGAGACAAGTGGATAGAGACAAGTGGGTTGAGACAAGTTGATAGAGACAAGTGGATAGATATGGATAGATACAAGTTGATAGAGACAAGTGGATGGAGACAAGTTGATAGAGACAAGTGGATAGAGACAAGTTGATAGAGATAAGTGGATGGAGACAAGTTGATAGAGACAAGTGGATAGAGACAAGTGGATAGAGACAAGTGGATAGAGACAAGTTGATAGAGACAAGTTGATAGAAACAAGTGGGTTGAGACAAGTTGATAGAGACAAGTGGATAGATATGGATAGATACAAGTTGATAGAGACAAGCGGATGGAGACAAGTTGATAGAGACAAGTGGATAGAGACAAGTGGATAGAGACAAGTGGATGGAGACAAGTTGATAGAGACACGTGGATAGAGACAAGTTGATAGAAACAAGTGGATGGAGACAAGTTGATAGAGACAAGTGGATGGAGACAAGTGGATGGAGAGAAGTTGATAGAGACAAGTGGATGGAGACAGGTTGATAGAGACAAGTGGATGGAGACAAGTTGATAGAGACAAGTGTATGGAGACAAATTGATAGAGACAAGTTGATAGAGACAAATTGATAGAGACAAGTTGATAGAGACAAGTGGATAGAGACAAGTGGATGGAGACAAGTTGATAGAGACAAGTGGATGGAGACAAGTTGATAGAGACAAGTGTATGGAGACAAATTGATAGAGACAAGTTGATAGAGACAAATTGATAGAGACAAGTTGATAGAGACAAGTGGATGGAGACAAGTGGATGGAGACAAGTTGATAGAGACAAGTGGATAGAGACAAGTGGATGGAGACAAGTTGATAGAGACAAGTGGATAGAGACAAGTTGATAGAAACAAGTGGATGGAGACAAGTTGATAGAGACAAGTGTATGGAGACAAATTGATATTGACAAGTGGATAGAGACAAGTGGATGGAGACAAGTTGATAGAGACAAGTGGATAGAGACAAGTTGATAGAAACAAGTGGATGGGGACAAGTTGATAGAGACAAGTGTATGGAGACACATTGATATTGACAAGTTGATAGAGACAAGTTGATGGAGACAAGTGGATGGAGACAGGTTGATAGAGACAAGTGGATGGAGACAAGTTGATAGAGACAAGTGTATGGAGACAAATTGATAGAGACAAGTTGATAGAGACAAGTGGATAGAGACAAGTGGATGGAGACAAGTTGATAGAGACACGTGGATAGAGACAAGTTGATAGAAACAAGTGGATGGAGACAAGTTGATAGAGACAAGTGGATGGAGACAAGTGGATGGAGACAAGTTGATAGAGACAAGTGGATGGAGACAAGTGGATAGAGACACGTGGATGGAGACACGTTGATGAGACAAGTGGGTTGAGACAAGTTGATAGAGACAAGTGGATAGATATGGATAGATACAAGTTGATAGAGACAAGTGGATGGAGACAAGTTGATAGAGACAAGTGGATAGAGACAAGTTGATAGAGACAAGTGGATGGAGACAAGTTGATAGAGACAAGTGGATAGAGACAAGTGGATAGAGACAAGTTGATAGAGACAAGTTGATAGAAACAAGTGGATGGAGACAAGTGGATGGAGACAAGTGGATGGAGACAAGTGGATGGAGACAAGTGGATGGAGACACATTGATGAGACAAGTGGATAGAGACAAGTTGATAGAGACAAGTTGATTCAATAGAGACAATTTGATAGAGACAAGTGGATAGAGACAAGTTGATAGAGACAAGTGGATAGATATGGATAGATACAAGTTGATAGAGACAAGTGGATGGAGACACGTTGGTAGAGACAAGTGGATGGAGACAAGTGGATGGAGACACATTGATGAGACAAGTGGATAGAGACAAGTGGATAGATATGGATAGATACAAGTTGATAGAGACAAGTGGATGGAGACAAGTGGATAGAGACAAGTGGATGGAGACACGTTGATGAGACAAGTGGATAGAGACAAGTTGATAGAGACAAGTTGATTCAATAGAGACAAGTTGATGGAGACAAGTGGATGGAGACAGGTTGATAGAGACAAGTGGATAGAGACAAGTTGATAGAGACAAGTGGATAGATATGGATAGATACAAGTTGATACAGACAAGTGGATGGAGACAAGTGGATAGAGACAAGTTGATTCAATAGAGACAAGTTGATGGAGACAAGTGGATTGAGACAAGTTGATAGAGACAAGTGGATAGATATGGATAGATACAAGTTGATAGAGACAGTGGATGGAGACAAGTGGATAGAGACAAGTTGATAGAGACAAGTTGATTCAATAGAGACAAGTTGATGGAGACAAGTGGATGGAGACAGGTTGATAGAGACAAGTGGATAGAGACAAGTTGATAGAGACAAGTGGATAGATATGGATAGATACAAATTGATAGAGACAAGTGGATGGAGGCAAGTGGATAGAGACAAGTGGATGAAGACACGTTGATGAGACAAGTGGGTTGAGACAAGTTGATAGAGACAAGTGGATAGATATGGATAGATACAAGTTGATAGAGACAAGTGGATGGAGACAAGTGGATAGAGACAGGTGAATGGAGACACGTTGATGAGACACGTGGATTGAGACAAGTTGATAGACACAAGTGAATAGATATGGATAGATACAAGTTGATAGAGACAAGTGGATGGAGACAAGTGGATAGAGACAAGTGGATAGAGACACGTTGATAGAGACAAGTGGATGGAGACAGGTTGATAGAGACCAGTGGATGGAGACAGGTTGATGAGACAAGTGGATAGAGACAAGTTGATAGAGACAAGTGGATAGATATGGATAGATACAAGTTGATAGAGACAATTGGATGGAGACAAGTGGATAGAGACAAGTGGATGGAGACACGTTGATAAGGACAAGTGGATGGAGACAGGTTGATAGAGACAAGTGGATGGAGACAGGTTGATAGAGACAAGTGGATGGAGACAAGTTGATAGAGACAACTTGATAGAGACAAGTGGATGGAGACAAGTGGATAGAGACAAGTTGTTAGAGACAAGTGGATGGAGACAGGTTGATAGAGACAAGTGGATAGAGACAAGATTGATAGAGACAAGTTGATAGAGACAAGTGGATGGAGACAGGTTAGAGACAAGTATGGAGACCAGTGGATGGAGACAAGTTGATAGAGACAAGTTGATAGAGACAAGTTGATAGAGACAAGTGTATGGAGACAAATTGATAGAGACAAGTTGATAGAGACAAGTGGATGGAGACAAGTTGATAGAGACAAGTTGATAGAGACAAGTGGATGGAGACAAGTGGATAGAGACAAGTTGTTAGAGACACGTGGATGGAGACAGGTTGATAGAGACAAGTGGATAGAGACAAGTTGATAGAGACAAGTTGATAGAGACAAGTGGATGGAGACAGGTTGATAGAGACAAGTTGATAGAGACAAGTTGATAGATACAAGTGGATAGATTTGGATAGATACAAGTTGATAGAGACAAGTTGATAGAGACAAGTGGATGGAGACAAGTTGATAGAGACAAGCTGATAGAGACAAGTAGATGGAGACAAGTTGATAGAGACAAGTGGATGGAGACAAGTTGATAGAGACAAGTTGATAGAGACAAGTTGATAGAGACAAGTGTATGGAGACAAATTGATAGAGACAAGTTGATAGAGACAAGTGGATAGAGACAAGTTGATAGAGACAAGTTGATTCAATAGAGACAAGTTGATGGAGACAAGTGGATGGAGACAGGTTGATAGAGACAAGTGGATAGAGACAAGTTGATAGAGACAAGTTGATTCAATAGAGACAAGTTGATGGAGACAAGTGGATGGAGACAGGTTGATAGAGACAAGTGGATAGAGACAAGTTGATAGAGACAAGTGGATAGATATGGATAGATACAAGTTGATAGAGACAAGTGTATGGAGGCAAGTGGATAGAGACAAGTTGATAGAGACAAGTTGATAGAGACAAGTTGATAGAAACAAGTGGATGGAGACAAGTTGATAGAGACAAGTGGATGGAGACAAGTTGATAGAGACAAGTTGATAGAGACAAGTTGATAGAGACAAGTGGATGGAGACAAGTGGATAGAGACAAGTTGTTAGAGACAAGTGGATGGAGACAAGTGGATAGAGACAAGTTGTTAGAGACAAGTGGATGGAGACAGGTTGATAGAGACAAGTTGATAGAGACAAGTTGATAGAGACAAGTGGATGGAGACAAGTTGATAGAGACGAGTTGATAGAGACAAGTGGATAGATATGATATGGATAGATACAAGTTGATAGAGACAAGTTGAAAGAGACAAGTGGATGGAGACAGGTTGATAGAGACAAGTGGATGGAGACAAGTTGATAGAGACGATAGAGACAATTTGATAGAGACGACGGCAGGAGGCGGACGGAGGCGGACGGCGGATGTCGAACAAAAAGTTAGAACCCCAGATAGTGATGTGGGGGAAACAACATCTTCTTTCTGACTTTTGGGGAATGCTAAAAACCCTACTGATTTAAAACCCTACTGATCTAGGGCTGGCGAAGTCGCCATCCTGATTTGAGGGTTAAACATGAACCCAAAGGAACGACACAAATCCTGGCAACAGTTTGGTTGAATGGATGATCATCCCCAAAATTCGGTATTTCACAGCTTCGGAATGCCCAAGTCCACGTTCAGGAACATCTGCCTTGGACGATCTAGCTCGCCAGTGTTTTGAACCATCCCAAATCAAACATTTTTTGTTTCCTGAGCAGCTGTCAGAAGCTTCCGTCATTCCATGAAATACCATGTTTTTGAAAACATCGTTGGCTCAGACTTCGAAATTTCCCCACTTTCTTTTGATCATCCCAATCAATCCCAGAAAAAATGAGCCATATTGTTTCACCCAGGTCTTTACCCACTAAAAAACACCATCAATCCCAGTGAATTCCCATGCAAAAATCCAATCATCCCAATCCATGACAACTTCATCCATTTTGACCCAGGCTTCTTCCGATCTCCCAGGTGTTTACAGCAAAGCCATCAGCACCGCCATTCTCCCAGCGTCATTTGCTGCGCCAGTGCCTTGAGCGCGTGCGAGAAGGCCAGCGCCTGGCAGAGGGCCCTAGATCTCTTCGAGGAGGGAGGACGGGTGGCAGGAGCGGCCCCAAAAACCCACGGACAAAAGGTGGAGAAATTGGGGTGAACTAACCCACCAAAACATTAAAAAAAAGCACATGGAAAACTGGAGATGAATTCATGATTCATGATAATTCATGATTGAGCCAGTAAAGACTGGAATTAGATTGGAAACAAAGGAGAACGTTGTAGTTTAATTCAAGAAACAACAGCCAGTATACATGGTTTCTGGCAAGAACACACTATTTTTTTTTTCGGGTGGGCTTGTGCTCAAGAAGTTTCAGGACAAAAAAAGGGGATTTCAGCATCAACTGATGAGTTTTCAAATATATCATGGGCAGTTCCAGGTCTGAAGCCAGGAAAAAATTGGATAGTTATCCTCTTGTGATGACTAACATAGCCATGGAACATCACCAGTTTTAATAGGTAAACCATCTAAAAATGGGCCATCTATACCATGGCTATGTTAAATAACAAGAGGATAACGAATCAACCAAAGATGGGGTATGCTACCATAATTCAACAGGTGGAAGAACTAACATAGTTGGATCCCCCAAAAATGGTGTGTCCAATACACATGGAGGTTTCCTAAGTCATGGTACCCCTAAATCATCCATGTTATTTTTCGGATCTTCCATGCTAAACCATTCAGGTATTGGGGATTCCACATTAGTTCTATGAAAACCCTCAAATGATTGGTTTGGAAACACCAGCAAGAAATGTGGACGTTTTGTGGACGGTTGAGGATAACCATGCCCTCGTTTTGTAGGCTATGTTCAGAAGTAGGGGTTTCCATAGTCATGTGGGTACCCCAATAGCTGAATGGTTGAGAATGGAAAATCCGAAAATTAGATGGATGAGTTGGGGGTACCATGACGTAGGAAACCTCTAATACTTGTATGTGTTCATTCTTTACCAGCAAGGATCTGAACAGAATAGCAAGAAACAGTGCTAAGAATATACAACGTCAACACCTTGGAAGTTTGCAATTTAAGTGGATCTCAGACGCAAGATGGGGATTTTTTGAGCAATAGAAAAGTGCTTTTTTCCGACAATGGACAGGAGAAGACCAACAACAGTTGAAATGTTTTATGACAAAGAACAATTGGAATAGAAGAGCAAGAAACAGATCGTGACCAACAGGAAGTCGGATATGAGAATTTGTATCAATTTGTCATGTGTGGATCTGCAAATGTAACAAATTTAAGCTCGACAGTTGATTGTCAACCCAATCTGCATCAGAGATAACTGGATGTCATTTTGTTCCACACATCCAGGGAATCCTTGAAACTATGGACTCAACTGTCATGACATTTCTGAGTTTGTCTGAAAATCAGGTATCTCTACATGCACATCCGCAAATCATCATTATCCATCATTATCCCCTTCCATATTTTGGCAATTTTTGGGGTACACCGGGTACACCATCTTTTCAGACCCAGCTACTGGTCATGTTTTACCTGGTGTCCAAAAATCATCATCAAACATCAACCTGCATCTACCCTACCACTCTCTACCAGCCAAGCCCTTAGGAGGTTTTTCGCCTTGAGCTTGAAACCAATCTCATCACCTACAACGCCAGCATTTCTGCTCTGGAGCCCTGGCTCGAACCGGTGAGGATCCGTAGGAAACAGCCCTGAAATATCCTGAAATGGACCTAGGCCCTATAGAAATGAAGGTTTCCTAAAATGGAGGTACCCCCAAATCATCCAAAGCAGACCTTTTTCGTTAATTAAAACCATTGAAAAAACCCATGGTTTTGGGGATCCATTTTAGGAAACCTCCAAATGGTCCCAAAGATGTGTTGAAATATTTCCTATGAAACCATGATTTCGTTTTCTTCAATGAGGGATGAGATGTATAGTCAACATTAATCTGGTTGGTGGTTTGGAACATTTTTTATTTTTCCAGATATTGGGAATAATAATCCCAACTGACTTTCATATTTTTCAGAGGGGTAGGTATACCACCAACCAGAAAATGTGGGGATGATTACATACCATTTCCCCATATTTCCATTATAAACCACCAACCAGTTCAACCAGTTATGAATTTTTGGGTTATGAAAGTCTCAGTCGATCTCAGTCGCAAAAAATCCTCCCGTTTTGATACGTTTCCATAATGGTTAAACATAACTACCATTATTAACCATTATTAATCATTATTAACCATTATTAACCACCATTATTAACCATATATTAACTACTGTTGCACAAAAACCAACCAGATAGTCAACATTAGTAGATGGAACCATGTGGCTAGACGACGCCACGGAGCCCAAGAGCCCAGACAGATTGCGACAGAATTCTAGATACGTTTCAGCCAAAATATCAGCAACAAAAAGGGGGACAGTATATATATATACACTGTATATACATATATATATAATGTATATATATATATATATATCTAAGCCCTAGCAGTAGGATATGCAAGCTCCAACAGTAGAATAGTCTTTAGCATCTAATTGCAATGGTGACCAAAATCCGGGAAATGTTCAGCCGCGATGAGGAACGCAACTCCTTCTGGCAAGGGGCTTTAGAGATGCTTGCAAAGGTCAGCGAAGGGTTGCCCGACATCCTGGCTTAAACGGTCTCTGGTAGACTAACATGGCAAAACATGGTTTTGGTAATGGCCCATTTAAAGTTGATTTACCTATTAAATCCTATTAAGATGGCGAGTTTTGGTGAGTTTCTATAGCTATGTTAGTTTACCAGAGGGTACTTGGGAATCCAATGGTGGTTTGTCCAACTTACTACTTGGGAATCCAATGTTTTATATACCCGTGTATATATATATTTTTATACATACATATTATTATATAACTATATACGGTAATATAGCTATATAGATTATGAATTTAACCAACTACTCTGGTTCTGAGAGATGGTTGTCTTCGAAAGATTGGGAGTTTCCCTGTGTTTGCAGATGGCAAGACGCCAAGCCCACACATGTTGCTCCAGTATTGATCGTCCAGGAACCAAATTTGACTTTGTCCTTTTTCCTTCCACAAATGGATATCTACCATAAACCATAGTTAAAGCACTTCTATCTCAACTGAACGCTATCTTGGGGACCCCATCCTGTACTGTATCTTACACATCAACTTGTGATTTCGCGGAGTGGTAGAGATTGCCACACTGGTATGAAACTGCAATGCCTAGTTGTGATTGATTTCCATCAGATGGTGTGGTACGCGACTGCAGCAACTTCGCGACTGAATGATGGGTAGTCGCTTGGAGAGACCAGTAGTACTGTCAATGGCCATCTCAGGAACCTAAATTGGAGATACCTACCATATATAAGGCCTATATAAGGCCTATGTAAGGGACTATCCCAGCAAAATATGGCCTTATATGGTACTAACGTACCTCCATGTATTGGATCCTGAAATTCCCATTGAAATGATGGGTAGTCGGTTGGAGAGACCAGTAGTACTCCAGGTGAATTCCAGTCGCCTCATCCCTGATTGCGTCACCTATGGCGCCAGCATCAGCGCTTGTCCCTTAGGCCTGCATTCAGTGGTGCTTGGGAGATTCAAAATGGAGTGAATGGCTGTTACTAGGTCAATCTTACATGGATACTTTGATCCTTTAGTCTTTTGGTATTAATGGGAATATCTACGTTCACCAGCAAAGAATTTATTTTTTTGCAGGGTATCTAAGATTGGCAATGGTTATAGCTATGTTTAATAGGATTATATTAGGTCAATAACTATGGTGAATATATGTTAATCTTCATTAACTATGGTTAATAACTATGGTTAATAGATGTCAAACTTCATTAACTATGCTTAATAACCATGGTGAATATTTTATATAATAACCTTCATTAGTACCCATTATGAAAACTATGTCATATCACGTGGTGACTGGCAGGTGAACAAGCTTCGCGATGGATGCAGGTGCTCCATTTGTTGTCGCAGGTGCGTGGATGTTTATTGGGTGCAGTTTGGGTGATATTTATAGGTTATATATATATATATATTTATATTTATATGTAGTGTATATATACATAACTCTATTTAGTTTTATAAAAATAGTATATATATAACTTATACATGTAATTACATTGTAGTATAGCTATATTTATATCTATATTTATATCTATATCTATATCTATATATCTCTATTGTTTATCTAAATATATTTGACTATGACAATAAACCTCATGTGAATTAGGATATGGGGCCCTGATAACCATGGGGACATATATCCACGGCCCGTTCGCTGGAACTGCATCTCTATGTAGTTGGCCCACGGCGCGTAGACGGCCCTGTGTTTTTGTAGTTTTTTGCACATTTTGTGGGGAGTGGGGTGGGGTGGGGCTAATAGCGTCATGTGCTTTGCGTTCTCACACGCATGCTGGCTTGGATACGTTCTCCTGCAATTCCATAGGTACTCCTCAAATTAACAATTTCACTTTGGTAAGTATGTCCTGTTTGTTGAAACATGTTTCCAACGTTGCAGGGGCACAGATGTTAGAGAGAAGTTTCAAATTTTAAAACGCTTTTTGCCAAAGCCAATGTGCCTAAAGTACAAAGACAAAGGGCACAGTAAGATGCACCCCGGTGTTCCTGAGTATATACTGTGTATATATATATATATATATTCTGGTGTTGGAGACAAAGTCTTGGAACAACAGCACCCAAGAAATTTCTAGCAAAGCTCGAAGAACTGCTGTGGGTCACCATGGAAAGAAAAAGCATGCGGAACCGAATTAGTTGCGTCAAATCCAAAAACGCTCAAAATTAACACCTCGTTGTGGTAGAACTACATGTTTTGCAACTTTAGAATGGAATAGACACTGTCAAAGCAAGAAAAACTGGATGCATGGGAAAACCACTGTAACGGTGTACTTCAAACAGTGCCGGTGTACATTGAAACTCACAAAACGCCACGGCCGTCTATGCACCGTTGTCCTAGTTTCTGATTGCAGCGGACGAGCATCTCAAAAGAGCTGCTAGCTCAGTTTTCTTTGAACTAAGATGATCTAAAAGATAGATTGGGGACAGGTACAGATCCACAGGCACATATTGCGATATACATAGTTGGTGGATATTGGTGGGTTGTGGTAGGTTCATACAATAGACCAGTAGAGTTCCGGTGGGTACTGCTGGCAGATCAGGCTTCGAGAAATGATTTGGGTCTTTTCAGAGACTATGGAAGAAGGAAAAAATCTAATCCCTTCCCCTGTTTGCGTAGAGTATATGTGTTTTAGGTCCCAGGACTACAAGAATGTTACTCCAACTGTGATTGGTATGCAGTCAACTTGGAAAGCCCACTGAAAATTTGACAATGGCTTGAACTCTCTTCCCTTGCTCCCTAGGCCCTTGTGTTGCTCCCTGCAATTTACAACCATCCCAGTCAGCCCATTGGGAATTGGCTGTGGAGAATCATAGGGATATTCATGGGATATTACTGGGATATTAATGGGAGAATGGAAGTATGATATAATGAATGGGAGAATTTTTAGGGACCCGTTGGGAACTGTTGGGAGAATTTTTATAGGGACTATGGAAAAGAATATGGGTTCACCAATATCAAGAAATAACTAACTCAATGGGAGAACTATTGATCATGGTTCACCTTTTTGGGACTATGGGAACCCATATGAATCCGAAAAAAATCTTCCATGGGAGAAAATCACGAAAAGACACATTCATGGTGTTTCCTGAGTTCCCTTTGTAACCAAGTTATAGGTGAGATAACCCTGAATGGGGACTAACCAGTTGCGATCTGTGCGATGATATATATAATTATATAATTATATATACACATAAATATACACATACGCAGTTGATCATAATTGGTTACTATTGCCCAAATATTACACATCTCTGGGTAAATTTCATCACGACCTCACTGTTCTCCCTCACTGGAATTATGGTTTATTTTAGGGAAATCATCCCCAAATGACCGCAAGATTCAGGTTAGTGAAATATAATATGTCACCCAGACATCTATATATTGTCTATATCATATATTGTCCTGTTCTTTCCCATTCTTGGATCATGAAACATCATATTACAGAGGACCTGATATATATATATATATAACATATATCCATGTATATCATATAACATATTAAAATAGTGGTTAAATCCGTTCATGTCATATTATAATGTTACCATTATTACACCTTATATGAATATAACTGGATTATATATATATACAGACGTGTTTTTTTTTTAAAAAAAAATCTGGATATCATTATAGTCATGTTATATTGATTATTGATACGTATTATGATATGATTCGCTAAGTAACTTACAAGTTAAAGTGATAATACTATGTCCTTATATCATTATCAGATGTTTCGCACTTATTACTAAATAACTACATAACTTGATTCGATTTATTTAAATCAGCATCAAATAAGAATTCCATATAAGTAGCATAATGATAATATGTATATATATATCATTATATCATCATATTAAGTATTGATATTTATATCATATCGATCCTTGTCACGAACTAAGCAAGTTCCGTTGGGTCCCGGGACCAGGTGGAGCATCAGTCGCTTGAGATGGACGTCGTGATGCTGGGTGCAGCCTTAAGGAGCTGTGAGAGATCGGGGCCGCGATCGTGGCAGCCCCTTGGCCCAGATGGCCCAGTTGGCCCAGAAAACGCCTTGGCGTTTTCCACCTGGAGTTGACCAGCAAACCATGGCCCCATTAGGATCGAGACTATATCTATATATAATTATATATGTATATATATATATACAAACAATCTATATATATATAAGTATCGATAAGTTTGATCAATTACACATAGAAATTGTTTGTTTTTTTCAATATATGATATTTATCTTAGCAAATTATATTTTGTAAACTATAACTGCTGCTATCTGCTCGGTGACCTCCAAGAAATTAGAGGGGTTCACCAACAAAGACTGGTACTGATGGTGATGCCCAAGTTCCTTTTTTGAAGTCGGTTTGAACCCTAATATCCACATATTTGTTGGGTTTATGATAGATATATGATATCTATAGTTAGTGGTGGTTAGAAACCAATAAAACCATCATTGGGGTGCACCAGCTTGTAAAAAAAACTATAACCTGCACAAGCCACTTTTTTTTGTGAGATATCCAGTTGGGAGTATTTACCAAGCCTGCACTAACCACCCATTAGCTGTCTGATAAGCTGTGAACCCCGTTGTCAAAATAGCAAATGAGCAACCGGACAGTCAAACTTGGTAGACAGGCATGGAACTTTCCTCAAAATTTGGGCATATGTTTCTAGATATTAAACATATTTAAAAATACCATCCACAACATCAATGAGATTGATTGTGAAGATGGCGACGTCTTTGCCAACAAAACCATCAAATATAGATGTGCATTAATGTATGACAGACATTTGTCTCGTACTGGTTTGATATGGTTTGATTATCTCAATCATCAACAACACCCATTGATGACCCATAGGATCCATGGTGCTGGTATATATGCTAACATTTGGGGTATATTGATGGTAAATGATACCATATATAGCAGCACCATGGATCCGTCATGGGTGATGTTTAAAAACCAATTTTAGCAACAAGTTCAACCTGAAATCGCGGATTTCATCTCAGTTCAGTCTGACTGACCACCCCAAATTGTTTTTGTTTTAAACACTCTTCAGGTGGATTTTTTTCATAGCCCAAAAAAATATCTAATTATAATTCATTATACATCTATATTATATAACATCACGTGTATATATATATATTAATATATTGTATACTATCCCTGCAAGTCGGAAGGTCAAGTTTTACGAGGTCTTTTGCAAAAGACCAAGTTTTACGAGGTCCTCTGGTTTACTTGGTTTTATAGAGCTCAGCCCTTTTTCCCATCAATGCTGAATTTGACTTGAACCCCATTTGAAACTGTTGATGCATGATTGGGAAGCATTCAATCACCTACAGATCATAGCCCCGAATGGGCCTTTCCAAGTTGCAATGAACAGCCACTAAGGCTGACATTCCGGAGCATATGCAAAGCAAATTCGTGGCGTTTCCCCTCAAGAAATTATATGTTTGGCAGAAATTTCCACACTGAAAAAATGGTTCCTAGGGTTTCACGCTCGCTTCACGCTCGGTTCACGGTCATAGTTGGTCTTTTGCCAGTCATAGTTGGTCTTTTGCCGGTCATAGTTGGTCCGGTTCACGCTCGGTTCACGCTAGCGATTCTGGGCCCCTGATAATTCAAAAACCATACGTTTGTGGTGGTTCCAGCCCTGGACTCCCAATGATAAAATAGTGTGGGGTACCCTATGATAAACCGCAAATTGGATATTTGGTCGGTGAAGGGATGTGGCTATCCTGGAATTTAGGTCAACAATTATGGGTTTATGCATCTTATATATTACTGTTGGACATCCATGGCCATCATCTTAACTTTGGACCCAAAAGGTCCAAGTAATAGTAGGTCCTCATCAAGTAATAGTAGGTCCTTTTCAGCAAAGTTAAAAGGCCAAGTTTTACGAGGTCTTTGACCTGGAGGGTATTATTATATTTGTCAATTATTATTATTATACATATATATATATATGCCATTCTATTATTCCCACTATGTAAACACTCTGACCCCAATGTTATCCATAACTATGACTGTCTGTCCATACTGTATATCAGCCACAATAAACCTTATTAACTAGCGCAAGCCTTAGTTATTCGAGTTATCATCCAACTTCCCCTCCGGCAATCCAATTCTAGATCATTTCCCATAGATTAGGGAAGATTTTCTTATGATGTTTCCATGATTTTCCTATGTTTTTCCCAGACACCTTTGTTTTTTCCATGATTTTGTCCATGATTTTCCAATGTTTTCTCATGGTTTTGCCTTCCAAGGCGTAGCCTAGACCTCCTGTTCTCCCGCGATCTTCGAAACGTCATTGGCCTCGCATCGGTCATCAATGCCTGCGGCAAGCCGCAGGAGATGGGACGGGGCTGGATTGACACCTGGCTATTTTTCTTGGCGATTGAATGGATTTTTATGGTGATTCTACGGTGATTTAATGGTGATTTAATGGGTTTATGATATGGTGATTTAATGGTGATTTCATGGGATTTCATGGAATATAATGTGAATTTCATGGGATTTTGGGAATATTACAGGATTTAATGGGATTTGGGGTAACTTATAACGACCTCACTGTTCTCCGAGCCCTGGAATCATGGTTAATGAGAGGAATCATCCCAAAATGGCCGCAAGATTCAGGTTAGTGAATTATCATAATTTACCAAGAATATAATGGGTTTTCATGGAATGTAATGTGAATTTGATGGGATTTGGGATTTTTACAAGATTTGATTTTGATGGGAATTTAAGAGGCAACACTGATAGCCAACAAAAATTGGTACTGGACCAGCAATAGTTAGCAGAGATGGGAATGTGATTGGGGATATAAAGTGATATAACATGCGGGTAAGTTGGTGTGTCTGAAAATGGTGAATTTTACCAACAGAAATGGTGGCTTACCCATACAAAAAAAGGTGCTTTAACTGGGATATTGTGTGGAAATTGAGTATGAATGGAGGATGGAGGATGTTTTCTGGGCGATGTTGACTTACACTGCCAACAAGTATCTAGGTGCATTGCAGCATCTGAACATGGACATACCATAAAATGACGTCGTGTTAATGGGCAATGTGATGATTAAGCATCAAATTTGAGGCTATTTTCAGGGAAAATTTGGGGATCCGGAATATGACCATCATGGTCAGCCCTGGGCTTATCCATCAATTTGTGTACCCCAAAATCCAGTGGTTCAACGGGAGATGTCTTGGGGGTAGCACCTGTCGACATGTCTACCTTTGGAAAAATGGTCGCGAGTTGGACGTGTTTGAACTTGCTTGGTGTTGTTCACCAACACCGGAGTGATACCCTCTGGCCCTCTGGTAAACGTTTACATAACTATGGAAAATCACCATTTTTTATGGGAAAACTCACTATAAATGGCCATTTTCAATAGCAAACTGTTAGTTTACCAGAGGGTATATCCTTCATTTTTACCCAGCATTTCTCGTTATGAAACAACTCACCTGTTGTTTGGGGCCCCTCTCTTTTGTGGGGATGTTGACAATGTCAGGCGTGGAGGGTTTGGTGCTATCCACATGGGCATGTGACCAATATCATTATTACATGTTTCTGTTACTGTATCATCATTGTCATTGGATACTGTTACTGTATCATCATTGTCATTATTAAATTCATGTCCATTGAAACAAATTGTTGCCTCGTCAGTTTGTCTGGTCACTGCCACATATTTCTTCGTTGCAAGTCCGTTTTTGGTTAGTTATATCCCTGTATGGTTGGGTTGGAACCCACCTTGGTTGTTGGGTAACATCCCAACTCTGATCAGTTCCAACCCACCTTTCAGTTGGTTGGCCGGATGGGCCGGATGTTTTTGCAGGAAGCTTTGGTGTTCTTGCCCCAGTTGCTGGAGGAAGTGTCTGAACATGTCTGGGCCCGAGGCTGGGGATGTGGGATGGGGTAGCTGCTGGTGCTATAGTGGAGCATGATTGTTTGGGTTTGATAGCTATATATATATATACACATGTTATATGACATCATTTACCCTTTGGTTATTTAACATAGCCATGGAAGCCATGGCCCATTTATGGTGATATCAACTTGGCTATGGTTTACCTATTAAAATAGATATACATAGATGGTTTACCTATCAAATGGCCCATATTCATAGATGGTTTACCTATTAAAAATGGTGATATCTTTCCATGGCTATGTCTGTTAGTTAAATAACCAGATGGTAAATCTGGGAAAAAAGGATTGACATCTTGAAGACATCCCAACAGATCTTTTCGGAATGTTCGTCATGTTGGGATTTGTCAATGGGAGATCTCCAGGATCCAATACATGGAGGTACATTAGTACCATATGTTTGGCCATATTTTGTTGGGATATCCCCTGAAATTTAGGCCTAAAAAATAGGCCTTCTATATGCTAGGTACCTCCAATTTAGGATCCTGAAATGGCCATTGAATTTGAGTAACAATTATGTTTTGCGCTATTTCAGGTATTGGCCCATACCCAAATGGGCAGGTACGTAGATGCTTCAATTAAAAAAAGTGAAACAAACTGTACTTTGCCCCACATGTCATGTATTGAATTTTGGTCACCTTTGGTAGTTTGAGCTTCCGAATATGATGATATCAAATTATGATATCAACTTGGCCTCCTGAATCGTTTCTCAAACATGTGTAAAACAGCAGGGGGTGGTATGAAGATTGGAAGCGATTCAGCCCATCTTCTCGTACTTTAGGGATATTTTCCCAAGACTGAGGAATTTTCCGCACATCCACAAAGGACCCAGAAACTGAGGTCGCCACACTTTGGCAGCTTCGACCACTTGGGGCAAAATGATGGCACCGCTGCACTGCTTCACCTGATCATCAAACACGTTGCCCCAAATGGCGACCACAGGTGGTTTTCTCCGGCAGCAATGATGACCTTTGAAGGATCCGAATATTTGAAAAAAACAATGATCAAAAAACGATCACTGGTTGGTGGTTTGGAACCATGGAATTTTATGACATTCCATTAATATTGGGAATGTCATCATCCCAACTGACGAACTCATATTTTTCAGAGGGGTAGGTATATATACCACCAACCAGATCAAGTTTGATCACTGAATTGAGAATGAAGGCTCAGACTATCCGACTATCCAGTGACTTTTCGGCTGGAGCGGCAACATGAAGGCGAGCCAACCACAGAGAATCACAGTCTTTGCATGGCTTTTATGGAGGGAGCTGTGATCAGACCGAGCTGGCTGAGCGAGCTGTTTGTATACCCTGGATCCATCTCTATGCAACTGGAAAATCCTAGAAAATCCGTGAAATCGTTTGAGAATACTTGAAGTGAATAGGAACTCAAGATTTTGATCCTATAGGTACAAGGTTGAATATCAGTATCCATAGTCCTTAATTTGGAGCCAAGGAGGGGACACGAATTGAGTTTCCAAACTGGTGAGCCATGGCTTTCGGTGACGTGTTGTCGTTCACACATGCAGAAAGCGCAGAAAGTGATGAGATCGACGCTGCTCTTGGTATGCAAATTTCTGCGGGGATTGCTGGGAGTAGGGGACGCAATTGGGTGACAAGGTTTATCAAGGTTTGCAGATACTCGGACAATAGATATAATATATGTCTGGTGTATGCATCATATTATGTTTTGCTTTCCATTGTTTTGACACGCCTTCATCCATCATATTGTGTGCTGGCTAGTATTTCCACTTGCCTAGACATGCTGTGTGGATGGTGTGTGGATGAAGTCGTTCAGGGATGTTCAGCCTAGCGACCTAGCAACTGGCCAATTAATTATGCTGATTATATTGAGGGTATATTCGCCTGTCGACCAAAATCCTAGATCTAGGATATTCAGCTAGGCACCTCCATCGCTGCAATCCAAATTGAGATCCCTGCTTCGAAATCAGGCTTGGTGGGGGGTTATAGCAATTATAGTGATTGCCCTGCATATCATGGAATATCATGGATCTGACCTGCAAATACCCCGTTTAAACGACTCGACATCTGAGTACTGCAACGTGGCAAGAAATCTGGCCAGGAAAAACGCCGATGCTATTCATGGGGAAATCCTACGATTTCGACTCAACCATTCTCAGGTTCGCAAACTGTAAAAATTTACCCTCTGGTAATTTAACATAGCTATTGAAAATGGCCCATTTATAGTGGATTTTCCCATTAAAAATGGTGATTTTCCATAGTTCTGTTAGTTTTCCAGAGGGTACCAGGCCGGCAAAATATCCCATTAATATCCCATTGAATCGGTCTAAAATCCCATGAGAGTAATTTTCAAACATCGGGTCCTGATGACTCGACTGAAGAATTCCGAATGAATCATTTCCAACCCCCACAAACATCCTGGAATTTCAACTCTAAAACTAGTGGACTTAGGGGTCCTCTGTAAAATATGTACTTTTCAATGGTTTTTACAGTCCCTTCAGGACCATTGTGCCTTAAAAAAACTAACAAGCTTACTAACATGTACTAACCCATCCCCAACAACACAAGGTGGTGCCCCATAGTTAGCTAAGTTGGTTTATAACTCCAATAACTATGGTTTATGGCAGATATAGCTATAGTTAATGGGGTTTATAAACCAACTTATAACTGGGGGGCACCATCCTGCAGGACCCAAAAAAGAAACTTCAACCACAAAGTCATCCATCCCCATGAGGTGGGTTTATTGCGCGATGACCAACGGACCCAATGGAGGTCAACTCACGACGGATCCTGCAGGTTAATAAGGACAGCAGCGATTTAGCCATGGAAATAGGCATTTCATCTGGGTAAATTATAACGACCTCACTGCGACCTCACTGGAAATCATGGTTAATAAGGGGAATCATCCCGAAATGGCCTTAATTCAGGTTAGTGAAATATTATAATTTACCCAGATTTCATGGGAGATCTCAACCATCAATTTTTCTTTGAAAAGCACTGTCCTTTGCGGAACAACAGTCACTAGAGCTTCAAGAAAAGAAGAGGATCTGATTGGTGGTGACTCGAACCATGGAATTTTATGACTTTCCATTAATATTGGGAATGCCATCATCCCAACTGACGAACTCATATTTTTCAGAGGGGTGGGTATACCACCAACCAGGGATTTACTCAAGACATCTCAAGACGACAAAGTTTAGAAGGGCCAAATTATCACAAAAATCCGTAAAAAAATCGATTTAATCATCACGAAGAGGGTGAACCAGGTAGCCTCTGGTAACCGTTCGAATGGCTGAATGGCTGACTAAGGAGGGCCAAGCGTGGCGAATGGTTGGTGAATGGGGTGTCCTTTGGTCATAAATAAATGGGCTGTAAATTGAGGGGTATCATTCAAGTAGCAGATTATGACTAATGGGGAAGTACCCAAAAAATTAATCTCCTAATTAATAAACCAATATAAACTATGGTTTATTAATCCAGGGTTGACATTATCTTTGAAATTCCGGCAATTTTTTTAACCGAGGTTGACAGGGTCGATTGTGCTTCAGGGATCATGACTGGTTGGCACGAAAGGATTGGCGTAGGTGCAGAAATCTTTCATCCAACATGTTCGAGGTATTACAAGTACATGCATGATCATTTATAGGTATGCTCAAAGTGAAACACAGTTAAACATGTTAAACATCCTATTCCTAACGGTCAGCAAGTTGGTATTGTACCCCACACTGCACATGGATTATAACCCATGATCCGGATGGGCCCCCCAATTCTTTGGTGCTGCTGTCCACCTCGTTTTGGAGGAAATGGGCATGAAATAATGTGACAAAGCCAAGAATGACATTGTGACCGGTGGTTTCCTTTGTATTATCCAATCTAATATCCAATCCGCTTTGAAATGATGATCAATGGAGTGACATGAAGTCCAAATTCAGCCGCCTTCACAGCTGCGGATACCTCCACAGGAGATCTCTGCGTGTCGGCAACAGAAGAACTGGCAACGCGCGCTGGTCTTGTTGAAGGCTGCCGAAGCAGCACGAGCCTCGGCGCGAATGTCTCTGGACCATTGAGGACCTCAGGGGAAGAGTTCAACTTTAAAGATTTCGAACCAGTGATTAATGTAGTAAAATTTCCGCCATAATAAACAACTCCAATGATTGGGGGATGGGTTTCAATCCCAGCCATTGGTGTTTTGCATCCTTGGACGGTTTATGGTAGGGTTTAGCACCGCACAGCTGATGTGGCTATGATTTTGAGTCAAGAATTGCAGGAAGAGAGTTCTCTTCTTTTCAATCATATTAATCATGTATCATTGGTGTTCCGCAACTTATTAGCCATTCTTATCCCATGTTTAACCATAGTTTGTACTTCCATTTTTTCCGGTTCAAACTGGGCGAACGTTCCCATGGTTTCTGTCAGGACTGCAGCCAGATGTGATGCTTGGTAGCCTGAGTACCCTAAAAAATCGCTGGAAATTGGTCGATTCACAGTCCACCAAACATGGTAGCACACGGTACCCTCTGGTAAATTGTTACATAGCTATTGAAAATGGTCCTTTTATAGTTGATTTTCCTATATTCACATGGTGATTTTCCAGTTCGCAAACTGTGAACGTTTACCAGGCCGGGTACTGTATATATTCGGTGTGAAATGATGTGTCAAAAAACGATATGATATGGGTTTTAATCCATTCCCAGCATAAAATGGCAGGAGTTGGTTGAGTTGGGTCTTGTAAAAACTCTTGATTTATATAGTTCGCTAATAAAAACCTCCTTGCCCATAGGATCCATGTATGCTATATATGGTAACATTTACCATCAATATACCCCCAATGTTAGCATATATACCATACATGGATCCTATGGGTTTGGGTATATTAAATTATTCGGAGCAACCCTGAACACCCTGAAAATCGATTTGGATTTAACCACCAATTTCACGTGATATGGGAATGTAACAGGTAACATGATGGACATATCCAGTATCATCATCACCAACTACCATGGGAGATTTACCAATATGGCAATGTAACATAAAATAACATAAAATAACCAACACTATGGAGTAAATATGTGTTTGTTTGAGAATGGAAGTTCATCTAAGTTGGACACTGCAAAATAGGCCGCTGAAGCGATGATCATCGATGGCATTGTGGCTGTTGGGGAGAAAAACATATCCATTTTGATCCATTTAATGCACGTTTCTCGTGCAATTACTATATATATATATATACAAACTATAGTTGTGTTGGTGGTCTATAGTTTCAGTCACTTACTATATATATATATATATGTGTTTTTTTCCTTGTATTATCCCATGAAAAATCCTCAGACGTTTCAGCATGGCACAGATCTGACACCTTCTTTGTTCCACCGAGGATCACCTTCACTGGCGTTATTTCTGCCTGTGAAAAGTCCTCCCAGTGGATTTCCGCCTTGAGGCCGAACTCCGGGTGCTGATGGCGATGCGGTGCGGATACATCCAGTGGTGTGATAGGTCTCATGTAGGTCGTAGAGTTTTGTAGAATATTATTTATATATATAATTATATACGTATATATAAATAGTTATATTTATATTTATATACATTTACATATTATATATATTTAATTATATATAATAAAACTGGAAAGATTTCAAGGAATTGTGTGTAATGTACTTAGACATACCGACATCATATCACAACCAAGCAGGCCCTCAACATCCAGATAAGATGTGACCAATCCTAGCAGATAAACATACCTTCTCCGGGTCAAAATTGTTGGATAGGCTACGGGGGTTCTTTGCAGTTGTGAGGCTTTGTCTGAAGATGTGGTATGTGGATGTATATGGTATACCCCCTAGAATTGCCATGTGAAAATAGAGAACATCGTGAGAATAAAAACATGAAATGTGATGTTTTCGCTTCAATTTTCAGACCAAGCCACAGAAACCCAGAGCAACCAACTTATCGTTGGGGGATGCGACCCATGAACTGCTCATCTATGGGAGTTATTTGTTGATTTTCCATAGGGATGGATTGCGATCAACTGAGACTGAGATTTCAGATATTTAATTGCCTGCGGCAAGCCCGCCGGCCATAGCCATTTGGTGCATAGAGACATTTTATATGAGCCTTCGGCGTAGTCGCAGACCGTGGCCTGGACAAAAACAAGGCCAGTGTGTGTAAAAGCATCTGTGCGTCAAAGCTGCGGTGTGTAAAGGCTTCTGTGTGTAAAAGCATCTGTGCGTCAAAGCTGCGGTGTGTAAAGGCTTCTGTGTGTAAAAGCATCTGTGCGTCAAAGCGGCGGTGTGTAAAGGCTTCTGTGTGTAAAAGCATCTGTGCGTCAAAGCTGCGGTGTGTAAAAGCTTCTGTGTGTGAAAGCGTCTGTGTGTATAAGCGTCTGTGAGTAAAAGCATCTGTGCGTCAAAGCTGCGGTGTGTAAAAGCTTCTGTGTGTAAAAGCATCTGTGCGTCAAAGCTGCGGTGTGTAAAAGCTTCTGTGTGTGTAAAAGCATCTGTGTGTCAAAGCTGCGTGTGTAAAAGCTTCTGTGTGTAAAAGCATCTGTGCGTCAAAGCTGCGGTGTGTAAAAGCTTCTGTGTGTAAAAGCATCTGTGCGTCAAAGCTGCGGTGTGTAAAAGCTTCTGTGTGTAAAAGCATCTGTGCGTCAAAGCTTCTAAGCGTCTGTGTGTAAAAGCATCTGTGCGTCAAAGCTGCCGTGTGCAAAAGCTCCTGTGCGTCACAGCTGCGGTGTGTAAAAGCTTCTGTGTGTAAAAGCTGCGGTGTGTAAAAGCTGCAGTGTGTAAAAGCTTCTGTGTGTAAAAGCGTCTGTGTGTAAAAGCTGCGGTGTGTAAAAGCATCTGTGTGTCAAAGCATCTGTGCGTCAAAGCTGCGGTGTGTAAAAGCTTCTGTCTGTGAAAGCGTCTGTGTGTATAAGCGTCTGTGTGTAAAAGCATCTGTGCGTCAATGCTGCAATGTGTAAAAGCTTCTGTGTGTAAAAGCGTCTGTGTGTAAAAGTTTCTGTGTGTAAAAGCCTTTGTGTGTAAAAGCTTCTGTGTGTAAAAGCGTTTGTGCGTAAAAGTTCCTGTGTGTAAAAGCTTCTGTGTGTAAAAGCCTCTGTGTGTAAAAGCGTCTGTGTGTAAAAGCTTCTGTGTGTAAAAGCCTCTGTGTGTAAAAGCTTCTGTGTGCAAGAGCTTCTGTGTGCAAAAGCTTCTGTGCGTAAACTTCTGACGAGTCGAAGTCGGAGTAGGCGTCGGAGGAGGCGTAGGAGTGGGAGTAGGAGTTAGTAGTACCAGTGGCAGTAGTGGCAGTAGTGGCAGTAGTGGCAGTAGTGGCAGTAGTAGTAGCAGTAGTAGTAGTAGTAGTAGTAGTAGTAGTAGTAGTAGTAGTAGTAGTAGTAGTAGCAGTAGTAGTACTACTAGTAGTAGTAGGGAGGGGGAGGGGGAGGGGGAGGGGACTTTGATTCAGACGAAGCAAAAACGCGCGGGAAGAGAACAAAGGAACAAGTACAAGCCAAGAACAGAAACAAGTACAAAACAAGAACAGAAACAAGAACAGAAACAAGAACAACACCTCACAATCAGACACGCCGGCAGGCCGGCGGATTTCAGGAGGCTCTGGATACCTCTCCATGGAAAAAATACCAGGCTATGGCAAGACGTGCAGCGGTCGTTGCTTATCTAGGGAAACGCCTCATTTCTGAACGCGGAAACTAGCTCATTTTAGAACGCGGAAACTAGCTCGTTTTGGAAAGTGTGTATCGGTCTGGTTTCTCCAATGTTTCCTGGTTTCCTGGTGTCCTTTCCCCGGTTTCCGGGTTTTCTGGTTTCCTTCCCTCGGTTTCCTGGTTTCCATCATCATCACCGTCGTCATCGTGATCGTCATCGTCATCATCATCATCATCACCATCATCATCATCATCATCCTCCTCATCATCATCATCGTCGTCATCATCATCATCACCATCATCATCATCATCATCATCATCATCATCATCATCATCGCCATCGTCATCGTCATCGTCATCGTCCTTGACGTCGTCCTCGTCGTCGTCATCGCCATCGTCATCGTCATCGTCATCAACATCATCATCATCATCATCATCATCATCATCATCATCATCATCATCTCATCATCATCCCATCATCATCATCATCATCATCTCATCATCATCATCATCACCATCATCATCATCATCACCATCGTCATCATCATCATCATCACCATCATCATCATCATCATCATCTCATCATCATCATCATCATCATCTTCATCATTATCATCATCATCCACATTATCATACATTGTCCTCCTACTCCCCCACACTGTCTGGGGCCTTTTGCCGGGGATAATTTGGTTTCCTGGTCTCCTGGTTTCCTGGTTTCCCGAGGTTCTCGTTTTCGGGCGTCGTAGTTTCCTGGTTTCCTGGTTTCTGATTTCGCAGTGTCAGTCTTGGCTTCCTTTTTGTTCCCCAAACAGTGTGTCCACACTAAGGGGTTCTTAAACTAGGCGCAAAGGCCGGTGCTTGATCAGGGTGATCACTTTCGGCAAAAGCATTTTTTTGTAAATTTCCGTGTTAAGCGGCTCTTGTGAAATGTTGAAATGCAATTCGACGGCGCAGCCTCTCACAAAGCGCGTCTGCATTCTGGGCTTGGGCTGACTCTGGGGCGCAGCATTTTTCCTGTAAATTTCCGTATAAAGTGACTCTTGTGAAACGTCGAAGTGCATTTCGATTGCGCAGGCTCGCACAAAGTGTGGTTCTAGGTTCTGGGCGCGACGTTTTCCTGTAAATTTCTGTATAAAGTGTCTCTTGCGAAATGTTGACGTGCATTTCGCCTGTGCAAGCTTGCACAAAGTGTGGTCCTAGGTTCTGGGCCGTAGCATTTTTCCTGTAAATCTCTGTATAAAGTGGCTGTTGCCGGTGTTTTTGTCTGTTTGTATGTTCAGAAATGATCCAGTTTTCGTGTTCCAAAATGAGCCGTCTACCGCATACCAGGCTATGGCAAAACGTGCAGCGGTCGTTGCTTCCGGACGCCATTCTGTGCGGTGCGACAGTGAGCGCTTGCGCGAGTGCGGGGCAGTGGCAGCATGCCTTTCAGCTGCTGCTGGAGGTTGAGGTGTCGCTTGGGCGCGTTTGTCGGGGAACCTATGGGAACCTGAAACCCAAAATTGGGATTGGACTGATTGGACCACCCCCCAAAATTCGGACTTAAGAAGCAAAAATGTTGACTTAATGATTTAAACTGGGCATTTTGAATTAGGATCAATGCTTATAGTATAAATTGAGCTACTTTACCCATGACGCAGGCGCAGTGGTTGGGGGACAACCTAAGGAAAAAAATTGGTCACTTTCTGGGGTACTTGGGATTTGGCGGAGCTGATGCACCGATCATTGCTACGTTTTTTTCAGGAGCTTCAGCTGCAGATAGACCTCATCATCTACAACTCAGCCATCACGTCCTGTGAGAAGTCACTGGAAGCTCAGTGGCTGCTGGGTGGCACACAATGGCAAGTGGAGCTTGAGGGTGAAAGATGTTTCACCACTTGGTTGGTTCTTCTTTGGTTGATCGAATAGTCGTTATCATAATAGATACATGCATGCATATCTATAAATATATGAGAAAATAAAACTGATATATTTCTGCTATAAACCATATTTCGGATAGGGAATCTATGGCTTTAATCGCGTCGTACGAGCTCACCACTGTTTGTACCACTGCTCAATTGCAGACGGTCTAGCTCCCCAAGCCACCAGCAATACATGTGTGGTGAATGTAGGGAGGATTATGCGAGGACAAGGAAGCTGCCAGACGCAAAGCAGCCATGGGCCAATGGGACATTAAGTCAGAGCAATGCGAAGATCAACACAAACGAGGGATCACGGCAACACAAACCATACTCAAGTAAACTTGACTAAGATCAAGAAAACAATACCGACAAGAATCCCATCCTCCTAATCTCAAATACCACCGAAGCAAAACTCTTGTTGGGTATCGGATTTGTTCATTTTGGAGACCCAGATGGGTATTTCTTATGACTGGGTGGTGGATGGGACTACTAAAACAATGTTCGGATTGGGAACATCATCCCAAAATAGCTGAACTGTTCAGGGTAATGATAAATTTTCTGTAATTTATCCAAATATCGAGTGCGTATGTATATGTATAGAAAGACTATCATACAAATTCATAAACAACAATATATGTATAATAATATATATATATACAGATAGAGGGATTATCATATATTAGTGAAATGTTACATATATCTATATATATATAATAGAGACTATCATATAGATTCAAAAACCTGTGATTATGTAAATGGATTGGTTTAAGGGAAAATCTACAGGAAACCATCGATTTTCCCATTAAATATTGGGTGTTCCTGTAAAATTTCCCCTAAACCAATCCGTTGATTATGTTGATTCTGAGCATGATTAGCAATCAGTAAGAACAATGACAATCAGTCAAGACTTGGGGATCTATACAGCCAAGGCAGCAGGCATTGATCTTGCTTGGTGATGCTGAGAGAAGGAATCTGCAGCTGGATGCGGCTCAGCAGCAGAAAACTCGGGGCTTGTTACCTGGAAGTGTTGGAAACGCCTCATACAAGGTGGTGCCCCATAGTTAGCTAAGTTGGTTTATAACTCCAGGGGTTTCCATAAATGGGGGATCCCCAATAGCTGGATGTTTTTTTTGACACCTGGAAACAACATGCTTGGTTTGGTTGGTTTAGGGCTAGCCACAATATATCGCCAGACTATCATCATTCTTTCCATACAAATTGCAATTTTGGTGGTGCACCCCATTTTCAGACCTGATATTGTCGAGAGGAGTTTGGTTTGAAACATTTCATTTGGGTATTCCAAATTTGTTGGAAAGCATCAAATGCGCCAAATGGGCCACAGATGTAGACATGTGGGGTCATAGCTTCGGTCATGTTTCTCCCAATTGGACTTTTGAATGCTAGCACACAACAATAGCTGCAACTCGAATGCGACAATGGATGAACGATCTAAAGTATTGGTCGTTTGGGTTTAAAGTAGTTATATACACACAAGAACTATGGACTCGGACAGCACGCTCTGGTTATGTCAAAATAGCTATTGAAAATGACCATAGAAATAGTGGATTTTCCCATTGGTAGCATGGTGATTTCCATAGTTATGTTCGTTTACCAGAGGGTACTATGGCTGGTTGGTGGTTTCAAACATGACTTTTATTTTCCATTTCATATATGGGATGTCATCCTTCCCATTGACACATATTTTTCAGAGGGGTAGGTATACCACCAACCAGTTTGTGCCATCTGAGTGATTACTATAAGTCAGACAAAAAATTGGCATGCTTCGACCATTTTGAAGCAACATGTTTGCAAGTTTAATGCCTACAATGCTCCAAATCTCCAGCTGTATACACAATTCAGTCTTGTTTAGCATGTTTCAACCATTTCAACCAGCATTTATCATAATGTTTGGCATGCTTCAACCAGCACTAACAAACATGCTTGCAAACTAAATGCTTATCTGGTTGGTGGTTTCAAACATGTTCCATTTTTCCATGTATTGGGAATGTCATCATCCCAACTGACGAAGTCATTTTTTCAGAGGGGTAGGTATACCACCAACCAGCATATTATTGGGATACCCTCTGGTAATTTAACATAGCTATTGCAAATGGCCCATTTAGTTCCCTGATTTACCCATTAAAAATGGTGATTTTCCACAGTCAATGATTTTCCAGTTATTTCAGCACTTTTGGATGTTTGGCCTTCTAAGGTGATCAGCTTCAATGCCGCCATCAGTGCCTGTGAGAAGTGTGGCCAGTGGCAGATGCCTGGCACCTTTTGTGATTCAAAAAAGGGCAGTTCACCATGAAAAATGCTGGGTTACCCTCTGGTAATTTAACATAGCTATTGAAAATCACAATTATTAATGGGTAAATCCACTATTTCTATGGCAATTTTTAATAGCTATGTTAAATTACCGGAGGGTAAGCATAAAATTCATGGCGGCTTCAGTGGTTTCACCAAGGGTTTCACCAAGGGGATTGAACGGAAAACAAAAACAGACTTCAACAACAATGATCATGGTGATTTCAGCAACAGTAGTTAGGAGGTTCGTTTCAGCAAACACTTGGGGATTTGATTTTTAAGATTTTGCAGCTTGAAATGCTTGACGTTTTTCATGGGTTGCATTTACCTAAACACCATGCAGGTTTCTACCGTGCTACCCCATGGTACTTCGCCAGTAAATGCTCCGATAAACAAGTTGGTCGTGGACCGAAAGACCTACGTAGTGTAAATGAAAAACAACAAAAACACAGCATAACATGACATGGTTGATTGCTTTGCTGGTTTTTATGAACGATGGAATGCTCTTATTGAGTCTTGTTTGAAGTCCATGTACCTGTCACCTAGAGTGTTAGTAATCCTATTGATGATGTCGAAAGAATTGACAACCACAAGGTGGTGCCCCCACAGTTATAAGTTGTTTTATAACCCTAGTTATAAGTTGGTTTATAACCATAAGTTGGTTTATGACCATGTCAATATACCATAAACCATAGTGACATTGGAGTTATTTGTACGCACGCACCAACTGAACGCGATGAATCGCGAACACCATTGGGCACCACCGCACGCAAGAACTGTTCTTGGTCATGACTTCCCCGTCTTTTTTTGGAATGGTTCCCCAATAGCCAGCCCCTTACTTTTGGGACATAGATGTTTCCTTTTCCCATTGGTTGGTTAATAGAGGGGTTTGAAGATTGAAACCCCTTTGTTACAACAGGTATGTTTCTATGATGATAGATGGGATTAACCAGCTCCCGGCCCAAACCTATTTTTACCAAAAGGACACTATGGTTTTGGGATGGTTTGGGTGAGCATCGCTGAGGATGGCCATGATTCTCTTGCAGGCGACGCCCAGAAAGGATGTGATCACCTTCAACTCAGCAGCTGGGACCAACCTGACAAGGCAAGCTATCCACATTTAATATCATTATACTATATACACACTATATATATATGTGTGTGTTATGTGTATTATATATATACTTAATATTATATACTGTATAGATAAGTATATATAAATATAATTATATTTACTGTATAGATAAGTGTATATATATAATTATATTTACTGTGTATATTCATATACATAAGTATGTAATTTGTATATATATATGTATACATATAGTTTTATCATGAAATAAAACCATTAAAACCAAGTAAGATGGTGATTTCCCATCCCAAACTTAAGGATAACCATTGCAATCAGATTCCGTGGTGCAAAAACTGTCAGTTTACTTTGATCCAACACTTCGACCAGGTGATTGAGATGTGGCCTTCGTGGTCGGACAAAAACATACCCTCCGGTAATCAAACAAGGAAGGTTTTACAGTATATAGATAGGAACCATCTAAACCCTCCGAAAATGGGGAACCCTCCAGTTATAGGAACCATCTAAACCCTCCGCAAAGGAAGGCCCCTATAACTGGAGGGTTTAGATTGTTTTATAATGTTTTATATAGATGTTTTTTTTTTGCGGAAAAATCACTAAATGGGGGATGTTCCAGCCATGTTTGATGACACCAGAGGCTACTTATGTTGAAGACCTGCATCAGACCGACCATCCAATCTAGAAAGTGTTCAGTAAATGGGTGAAGGGTAGACCTTTCAATCCACCGAAAACCATGGTGGACTTTCTATGGTTGTTTCAGAATGTTATATAAGATATGATGCTAAGTCGATGTTCGGCAAAATATCACAGAAACCTTTACATGAGAGGTCCTTGTGAACTACTTCAAGCGATTTTGCGTGATTTTCATGTAAAGCGACCCTTGTAAATCACAGATACAGCGAGAATTGTTGCATCATGACCGCCTTTGTGACCCTTAGTTTTGGTCCCTTCTCGTAGTAGATCATAGGGACAGTGATGACGGACCCCCCGATTTTAATGGAAAATCTTCAGACACCCCAGCCCTATATTTGGCGTTAAAACCATGGTTTCCTTGAGATTTTCCCACAGCCAATCCATGAATACTCCCATGAAGTCTTCTTGAATCCTGCACCCTAATGATATTTCATTGAAATCCCAATCAATACCATCTGGTTATTTAACATAGCGATGGAAAATCACAATTTTTAATAGGTAAACCCAGGTAAACCATCTATAAATGGGCTATTTTCCATGGCTATGTTAAATAACCAGAGGGTAAATCCCAATTAAATCTCATGAAATGCCAACAAGTCCCATCAAAATCAGCAGATATATCTGCTGAAACTCCCATTAAAGTCCCGTAAAATCCCAATCAATAGTGGTTATAGTGGTTAGATCCATTGAATCCCATTGAAGTCCCATTCAAATCCCATTCAAATCCTATTGAAATCCTATTGAAATCCTATTAAGTCCCACTCAATCCCATCAAATCCCATTGAATCCCATTGAAGTCCCATTAATTTTTTGATTTCAGTGAAACAATTTCAGGAGCCCTGACCTGCAACCGAGGCCATTAGCGCATGTGAGAAGGCCAGCGCCTGGCAGCAAGCGATTCTGATCCTTGGATGAACTGTAGTTCGCCCTCAGATGCCACCAAAACTGGGAATTGACCCAGCCAAAATGAAAATTTCACTATCCAAATGACGTTTGTTGATCCACATGTTACACATGTTCAATGATCAATAAATTTGCCAACAAACATCATCATTAATGTACACATTTCCAATGATCTTTAAGTTTGTCTGCAATAACCATCATTAATGTTAGAAATGTTCAATGATCTATGAGTTTGTCTACAAAAAGGATCAAAAAGGGACATCATTCCCCCTCGATTGGAGTGGCCATACATGGGGGGCATGACTCATATTGACCAGGAGTTTACTGAATGTTCATGGGAAGCCCCACATTGTCAAGCTCATGACCTTGGAACGTGTGTTTTTGTGTTTGATATGTACACATTGTGAACATGTACATAAGATGCTCACAACACGTATGGAGTAGATGAATAGATTAATAAGCAAATCATAGCATATGCATATATATATATATGAATAAAAACAAATCATGTAAATCGATCGATTAACAATTAAACTAAGTACATAAACAATAAATAAATGAATAAATCAATCAATCAGTGAAAACAAGATAGATAGATAGATAGATAGATAGATAGATAGATAGATAGATAGATAGATAGGTAGATAGGTAGGTAGATAGATAGATAGGATAGATAGGATAGATAGGATAGATAGGATAGATAGGATAGATAGGATAGATAGGATAGATAGGATAGATAGGATAGATAGGATAGCTAGGATAGATAGGATAGATAGGATAGATAGGATAGATAGGATAGATAGGATAGATAGGAGCTAGATAGGATAGATAGGATAGATAGGATAGATAGGATAGATAGGATAGATAGGATAGATAGGATAGATAGGATAGATAGGATAGATAGGATAGACTAGATAGGATAGATAGGATAGACTAGATAGGATAGATAGGATAGATAGGATAGATAGGATAGATAGGATAGATAGGATGGATAGATAGATAGATAGATGGATAGATGGATATATAGATGGATAGATAGATAAATAGATAGATAGGTAGATAGATAGAGATAGAGATAAAGATAAAGATAAATATAAAGATACGCAAATATAAAGATAACTATATCAAGAAAAGTAAAGAAAACTAACGTGAAGATAAAGAGAACTTTGTAAAGAAAAGTAAAGAAAAGTAAAAGTGAAGATAGGTAAAGAAAAACATATTTATACATGATATATGCTTAACTTCAAGTTGATCGGCGACCGCATTTCGTCCACTTTTCACTGCAGGTCCCTGGAGTCGCTGGAAGCTCAAGGCCGAGTCCGCGGCTTGGGCGGTGATGGTAGATGTAGATAGAGATCTATTGTAGATACCATCTATAGTATATTAATATATATAGTATATTTATATATAGCATATGTATATATTAAATCTATACAATGAATAGTGTATATGTATATATATATATACGGTTAGTATAATATATATATATATAGGTACAGTATATATAGTATATTATATGGCTATGTAGATATGTACTATATATATATATAGAATATAGTAGTTATATAGCTATCTATCTATGTATATATATATACTATATGTATATATATATATACTATAGATATATGAATATGGGTAAAAGCTGGTTACTGCAATACTTGGATGGCTAATACTAAACATAGACTTAAGTGACTTATGTAGATCTGTTGACCTTCAGGTCTTATTTTTTTCCATGGAAACATGTAGATATATACTCTGGATGGATGCATGGATGGAGACGGATGATCTTGGGAAGCGTAACATTGGATTTGAATGTGCTGGGATAGAACTGATAGAGTGAATAGAGATGAAGACATGGTCTAGCAGGGATCTATATAAGCAACAACCTGAATGGGAATGTCGCCATTATCCTTATATACATATATATCATCATATATCATATATTATCATATCATATTATCATATATACACATGATCTTAGATATTATTGTAATATATCCAACCTTTTGAATGGATCCAATCTGCTGTATCCAGTTCATCCATGCCATGGCAGGTCTCCGCCCCAGCACCGTGACGTTCGCCGCACTGCTGAGCTGTTGCGAAAAGGCGGCGCTGCCGCCGCGCACCGGGGCGCTGCAGCTGCTGCGGAGAGCGCACCGAACGGCGGTGCGGCTCAATGCGGTGGCCTACAACGCGGTGCGGCGGTGCGGGATGGGGAGGGCCATCAAAAATGGATAACTGGTTGGTGGTTTGGAACTATGGTAGATATAACTCTAGTATTCATGGGGGTTATATGTTATAATGGTTTATAAACAAACTTATAACTATGGGGCCCCATCCTGTAGACTATCTGGTTGATGCTTTGGAACCATGGAATTTTATGACTTTCCATTTATTGGGAATGCCATAATCCCAACTGACGAACTCCATCATTTTTCAGAGGGGTAGGTGGCACAACCACCAACCCGATGAAAATGGTGAATGACCACTGGGATGGGAGTTTGGGATGGGATATCAGGGATATGTATATATATATATATATGTAGTTTTGGATCTTGATCTCCACCGATACAGAGATTGACTGGGAAAAAGGGGAGTTTAAATGGAACAGGACTCAGGAATGGATTGGAAATGAGATTATGAGCAAACACTGATAAAAAAAGGATATCATCAAAATCCAAATAATCCATGTCCCCAACTTCCCCAACACTACCCCCGCTAGAACCCCGGACTCTGTAGTGATTTTGTTCATTTTCGGATTCCAGTATTAATGTACCTATGAAACATGGCCATTTTCCATGGGTATGTTAGATTAGCAGAGGGGATTTAGCAAGGGGCTTTGCTAAATCCCATTGGGGATGCTGCTCTCCACAGTTCGTTATGAAAGGCGATCAGCAGCTGCGAAAAGTGTCAACACTGGAAGTGGGCTATGGCTTTGTTGGAGGATGCCGCAGGGCATGGCTGGACATTTTTGTGGACCATTGTGGTGGTAGAGTTTAGGCACAGTTGTTGCAGATCAACGGGCGTTTTAAATGGAGTTGTGACCTCCACATATTAGCCCACCAGGGCATAGTGACATTTCTGTGAATGTAGCAACCTACTGCTGGATCACTGCAGACAAACCATCTTCCAAAGGGCCGTCTAAGGTCCCATTTTTGGCTTGTCTGTGTTAGTGGGGCTTCACATAGGATAACAATAGGCCAATTCTTCAGGCCAGGTCCAGCCATGAACCAGTGTGGTTCCTCAGACCAAAATGGGGTCCCCTTTGGGGTCCAGGAAATGGATGTGTTGATGATCCAAAAGGATGTGCCTGGGGCATCGAGTTCTTGGGGTCGTTAGTCAGTCAACTTGAGAATTTTCAGCGATGTGTTGTTGTTTTTTTTTTTTCTGTAGATGGTCCGTTTTCCCAGATTGCATTTAAATATATTTAAATCGTATCAAATCAGTTTTGCATCATGCAGATGAATGTTTTTTGATGTATGACTGTATCTGAACTTGAGGATTCCATTTGTTTAGACCATGAGTATGGTTGGACAGCCAAAAAGCTGCAGAGTCGCCTGAATTTCGCCTTGGCAGCCTTGGTATATTCGTTTTCACCCTGGCAGCCCTCTGGTTTCATGAAACATGGCTGGCTAAATCCCCCATAAATAGAGCTTTACACAGTAACTGGAAAATCATATAAACTTTATACAGTAACATGGCCATACCTATGGAAAAACGGTGGTTTTATGGGATTTTATAGTGATTTAATGGGATTTTATACTGATACAATGGGATATTAATGGGATATACCCACTGGTAAACTCACAGTTTGCGAACTTGAAAATTGCCATTGAGTTCGTTGAATTACCCATAACAAATGTTAATTTTCCATAGTTTTTGTATGTTTACCAGGCCGGGTAACTGGAAAATCATCCATCAATGGGGCCAACAAAAACAGCAAGCCATGTTACCGAAGGAAACATGGTATGATCCCGCAAAGCTTCCCATGGCAAGCCATGCCCCACTCCACATATTGTCGACCTAGTGGCCCGGTGGCTTTCTCAACCCATGCAGCATCTCAACGATGAAGTCAAAGGATTGTCCTCATATTTTCCGCTACAATGTGAGGCCCCCGGCCACGATAGCGTTCAGTTGGTGCAAATAACTCCAATAACTATAGTTTATGGTACGCAAATAACTATAGTTACTGGGGCGAATCTAAACCAGCTTATAACTGGGGGGCCTCACATTGTATGTATGTAGTTGTACACATACGTGGTGCTCTGAGTGATCTGGTGCTCTAAGTGATCCGCTTTCCGGTGCTCTAAGTTATGTATGTGTATAGTGTTTATATATATATATATATTTATATTACCCTATATATATATATATATAGTTATACATATATACACATACTTATGCATACAGATGCATACTTATGCATACAGATGCATACACTGTACTTGCATGTACCATCATATGAATCATATGTGTATATATATATTATAAAAAACAACATGGTTTGTACATACTATATTTATATATATATTATTGTCCCGAAGGCCATGTGATTTTCTGGCCTAAGGCCATCAGCTTTAACTCTGCCATCAGTTCCTGTGAAAAGTGCGGCCAGTGGCAAAGCGCCTTGCGGCTTCTCTACGAGGCGATTATGGAGGCCGCGGGAGGCCGCTGGCAACTGTGACTGCTAACATGGCCATACCTATGGAAAAACGGTTGTTTTTTTTTTGGATTTTATAGTGATTTAATGGGATTTTATACTGATTCAATGGAATATTAATGGGATATATCCGGCCTGGTAACTTAACACTTTGCGAACTTGAACATGACCATTTATACTGTAGTTGATTTACCTATTTAAAACATGGTGATTTTCCATATGTTACTTTACCAGAGGGTATCATCAATGTTTCTTAAACATGTTTTTGCATGTTTTTAACCATGAGTTTTGATATCGAGGTGTCCTAAAATAGGGATACCGGGATACCCCAAATCATCCAAATTTGAACATCTACCCTCTGGTAATTTAACGTAGCTATTGAAAATGGCCCATTTAGTTCGTGGATTTTCCCATTAATAGCATGGTGGATCTTTCCATAGTTACGTTAGTTTACCAGGCCGGGTATTAATAATACTCGTATTGAGCAAGGCGTAAGTTTTTGGGGATCCCCCATTTTACGCAAGCTGGGGATATAGCCATTTTGGCCGATTGAGATTTTGCTTGATTCTTAATTAGTAATTATCAAACATAGAGAAACACGTAAATAAATAAATAAATACAAATAAATAAATAAATATATCATCATCATCATCATCATCCTCATCCTCATCCTCATCCACTCGTATGATTCAATGATTGTTTGGTTTATGGATTATATAATTAATGTCAACCCCGGATTAATAAACCCCTAGATTGTTTAATTTGGGGGGGTACCATTTCAGTATTGGATTATGAAGTTTTGGAGGAGTACCTCCCTAATTATATAATAAACCATGGTTTTAATTTATCCGGGGTTGACATTAATTAAACCATCCCATTCAACAACCATGACTCAGGTTAATGATGGTTAACTATTCTGATGGTTAATGATTACCACCCTTAAACTATTCATCATTAACCATGGTTTATTGTGACGATTCCAAGATTCCAAGATTCCAAGATAATCATTAAATGATCCAATGAATTGTGATGATTCCAAGATTCCCACAGGCCGAACAGGCTGATGGGGACGATCTGATCGATGTGGTCTCCTTCAATGCAGCGATTTCGGCCTGTGAGAAAGGCCAACAGTGACCTGGCCGACCTGGCGCATCATGGGCGCCCATAACGGGCCGAGAGGCCCTCGGCCTAAATGGATCACTGGTTGGTGGTTAATACTGTAATGGTTAATAATGGTTAATAATGGTTAATAATGAGAATCAATGATTAATATATAACTGGTTGGTGGTCTTGGAACCATGGATTGTTATGACTTTCCAGAAACGGTTGGGCATGGAATGTCATCATCCCAACTGACGATTCGTCATATTTTCCAGAGGGGTAGGTTGAAACCACCAACCAGGATAGATCATTTAGCAGCAAAAATATGGTGATTTAAGGAGTAAAAATATGGGCATGGTTGATATATTCAATGGGATGCAATGCTGAGTTAGTGCTGATTTCATGGGTTTTAGACTTTAGCTAAGTTGACACAAATAACTTGGTAAAGGATAGCGTAAAGGGGATATCAGTTTGCAAAGCAACTTATCACTGGGGCGCCTCGTTCAATCTGAGAAGAATTGGAGATTGTTTTGGTTCAACAATCTTGTAGATACCCTCTGGTAAACTAATGTAGCTCTGAAAATTCACCATTTTTAATGGGTAAATCAACTATTTCTATGGCCATTTTCAATAGCTATGTTTGTTTACCAGAGGGTATATCCATCATTAGTAACCCATTATTAACCATATATTAACCATTATTGACCTATTATTAACCATATATTAACCATATATTAACCACATATATATAATTATATATATATAATATCCCCAGGCTTCAGCTCCCCCCAACGCCTTGACATCCCCAGGTGGCCCCTAGCGCTGCTTCTCCTGACCTCCCTCGAGACGGTGTCGCTGGCGGACGTGGTCAGCTACACTGCCTGCATTGCGGCGGCGGAGAAGGCAGCGCAGTGGGAGATACTTGGCGCTTCTGAGATTGATGAAAAATATCGGGGTGTCTGGATTATATATACTATATATATTTATATACACTATATATATATACATACATATACATATACATTTTTTTATATTTCAAAAAACATATATATACTATATATGACATATATATATATATATGTATACACACTTGTGTATAAGATGTATTATGTTTTTCGAATACATGTACATAATATACATATATACTATTTACATGTCATAGTGTAGAAACTATATTACTTTACATAGCATCATATAGATAAGATGTTACAAAATGTAAATGTATACTACGTAATATAGGTTACCCTGAGGGTCTTGTGTTGTATGAGGAAACTCTGTTTGAGACCTACTGAGATGGATATGTTCATTCCTTTGTGACATTGTGCAACAATTTTCAACACATCAAATCTGGAAAGTTCGCAGCTGTTTGATGCTTGATCATCATGTCTTCCCATTTAAATACGTATACTTATAGCGCGGACAATTCGGGCGTGTCCCCGAGAGTGATAGCTCGGCGTGAGCAGAGCTGATCACACAGACAAAGGGTCCAACAGACAGCTTTGTACACACATCACAGGGGGTAGGTGAGTTTGCACCTACCCCCGGCCGTGGTATTTCTGCAGGCTGCAGACCAACAGGGAGGCAAAGCATATGTCAGCTATGCCCACCAATCCATTAACTAACCAGGAGTCAGCACTTCATTTGTCTAGATGCCAACTTGGTTGAAGCAAAACAGGGTTGGAGCATGAACTAAGAAAAAGGAGAAAAGCGATGCTGCACTCGTTGCCTGGGTAAAAAACACAAGTCTGCGCGACCCAGGCGCCTCACGAAATTGGCACCTGCAGTGTGAAGGATCAGCACTGCTTGCAGGGCCGACTCAAGCCACTTGTCTCAGGCCGCTAATTCTGTCTCAAAGGCCAGGCAGTGGCAACAGACTGAGGGCGTTGGCTTCCAAGCATTTGAAGAACCGACATAAGCAGGTTGAAAAACGTCTTCTCAGCCACGGCTCAGCACCAAGCATGTGAAAAGCCAGCTCTAGGCATTGACAACACAGTTTTCACAAGCACGGCCAGCTACCAAACACTTGAAGTACCATCATGGCGCAGTGTTGAGGTAGTCTGCTCAACCGCTGCCAGCCGACAAAGATGCCAATCGCCAGGCCCGGGCATGGGCAGAGTAATTTGCACAAGCACAGCCAGCCATCAAACACTTGAGGTGCCATCATGTAGTCTGCTCAACCGCTGCCCGTCCACAAAGATGTCAATCGCCAACTCCGGGCATGGACACAGTAATTTGCACAAACAAGTTCAGTTGCCAAACGTGTGAAGCACCTTCATTGCGATGGAGCATGGCAGACTCAAGCATGCACGGTCTTCGCCCAAGAGAACATCAGGAATAGGGTGCCAGGCGCTTCGAGCACCAGAACGACCAAACTCCATGGCAAACTAACCGGATGAAACTACTCCCAGGGATCTGCCGACTCAGCCGCACTAACTGGAAAGTCCTGGGCCCGTGGCTAATACGTATACTTATAAATGGCATCTTCCTGGAAGGTTAGTCCGCCATTTCGTTGAGGTTTTTCAGAGAAGTACTTGGTGGCGAACTACCCACGAATCGTAAGTGGGTTAGTTCACCCCAGTTTTTTGAGTGGATTAACCCTACAAAAATCCCATGTAAATCACTGGGGTTATAACCCACTTACGATTCGTGGGTAGTTTGCCACCAAATAGTGAGTCAATCAGCCAGTTGCCAAGGATGGCTTTGAGCCTCTTGGAGCGAATGCAGGTGCCGGGAAAAAACTGAGGTCGAGATGTCACTTTTTTCACAGTTATGGCCCGAAATACCAGTTATAACTGATAAATGGCCATAACTGTAGAGCGTGATTCAAGCCAGTTACAAAGTGGGCGGATCCTCAACAGTTATGGCCATGGCTATCAATTATAACTGGTTATTTCTATGGGATTATATATTCTATAAATGAGGTTATAAGTACTTATAACTGGTAAAGGGCCATAACTGAAAGTAAGCTCTGGATTGAGGTTTTTGCAGATCATTTGGCAACTGGAGAAAAGGCTTTTGTTGTGCTCCTTGACAAGCTCAATCGCGTCAATCCCAATTTGCTCCTGTCCAACTAAGATATATATATATAAGCCATTCTTATGGCCTGTACCTACACAAATTGATCAAATTTGATGGTTGAATCTTCCCTGTATGTTTGAGGGGGGTGTACAACTCATTTTAGGCGACTTCCTGGGGGATCCATTTGATACCCAAATTATTGTTAGAGTTGGTGATCTTGGAAAAGCTCCATGGTGCCCCCGCTATTACTTATGCATTTTTAGGGGGTCCTGTAGGTATTCCCCTGTGCCTGCGTATTGACAACCCTTGGTTTTTCTACATGTTGGCTCGCATGTCTCTTCTGGGTTGCACAACGATGATGACGACGACGACAACGACAACGACAACAACAACAACAACACCAACAGCAACAGCAACAGCAACAGCAACAGCAACAGCAACAATAACAACAGCAGCAGCAGCAACAACAACAACAACAGCAGCAGCAGCAACAATAACAACAGCAGCAGCAACAACAACAACAACAGCAGCAGCAACAATAACAACAGCAGCAACAAACAACAGCGGCAGCAACAATAACAACAGCAGCAACAAACAACAGCAGCAGCAACAATAACAACAGCAACAACAAACAACAGCAGCAACAACAATAACAACAACAGCAACAACAGCAGCAGCAACAATAACAACAGCAGCAACAACAACAAAGAAAAAAATGTTGATGTCCAAGATGTAATACAACTGTATAACAGAATGTCCTGCTTTCGATGCAGACATGTCTTTCTCTGAGAGGTGCAACGCCTCCAACCCAATGTGGTCACCTACAACAGCACCTCGTCGCTTCGCCATGGGTGAAGCACTACAGTTCCTCTCACAGATCCATGGTAGCCACGAAATGATGTGTTTTTTTATTGCTTAAATGTAGTGTAAAGATACAGCAGGCTTGAATTTTGGATAGATGATGATAGATGTATGTCACGTTGCGAGTTGTACGCTCAACTAAAGCCTTGACTTCATCTAAAAAAAACAAAAAAATGTCTCTTCTGAAGGTGTTTTTCGCGGATTCTGATCATGGCAACTCTTTGTTCACTTGAAATAACCACAAGCGACGTTGGATCATGTTTCCAAGGCCCCGGAAAGATTCATGGCACGCTGGATCTGTTCACTCGCCCGTTGTGTTATCATGGCAATGTCATGGCAATGTGAAATCCACTACCCATGACGGATCCGGCTGGTGCTGGTAGAAAAATGCTAACAATCATAGGGGGTATATTGATGGGATCCATGGAGCACCATATTTATATATATATATATAGCAGCACCGTTAGGATCCGTTATGTTTTTTTTGAAAAAAACATTGAAATGGGAAAATGGTCCATAATTCTGGGTAAATTTTATCACGACCTCACTGTTCTCCCGAGCCCTGGGAATCATGGTTAATTTTAAGGGGAATCATCCCCAAATGGCCGCAAGATTCAGGTTAGTGAAATATTACAATCTACCCAGATAATTGAGCATTTTCCATCTAGCCCATCTAGCCATGTCTGATTACCAGAGGGTATCAGAGGGTAATAGTATACCCCACTAACCACGACTCACCAATTCTGAGAACATGCTATACCACTTGAGGTACCATCTCGGCATGCGAAAAAGCCGTGGAATGGCAACATGCCTTGCTGCTCTTGTCTCAGGCGACAAAAACCAGGGGAGAAGCGGAGAGTGGAAAACCCCTTCGAATCTGCTGATAATCCACATTTTTGCATCCTGTTTTCTTGTTGGAATAGCACCTGTGGGGGGTATAGCACATTTTCACACCCAAATACACCAGTCGTTTTGCTCCAAGAGCCGGAGGCAAATCTATGGAAAATCATGTTTTTTCTCAGCGGATTCTTGATGATCAACCCCCTAAGAACTCCTGCCCCAATCGAGATCATAGTCCAAGGCGCAGCTAGGCAGCTAGGCGCGCTTTTCAGTTGTAACATGGCATTTTTTGTCTGATTCAATCCTGAGGTTTGGTTTCGAATCCCATTTGTTTCACAGTTTTGACATCAGATTCTGATCGTTTTTCGTCGTAAACCATCCCATTTGGGGGGATCCATTTATCGATCCATGGCAGCGGCTGATGATATCCCTGATACCCCGGAGCCTGCTATAAAAGGGTCGTGGCAACGACGGCCCATGATTAGTATGCTCTCTACCGCGGATTTTTCCGTTCAGTTTGGCTGGCTTCTGACCTTGCTGCTGGAATGGATAGCTGAGTATGGCTTCAATTCCTCTGTAAGTAGTTGAGTCCTCATGATGGCCCATTACACATTCTTGATCATCAACCTCCAGTTATTCTCGGTAAAAATACACATTGATAGTCAAACTCGTTACGTTTTCCAAGTCAAATCCCAGATGTTTGTTGGATAAGTCACCACATTATCGATAGCTGCAGATAGCTCATCTTGTCGCCATATACCGTCTTACCTTCCTATCATTGTTGCTTAACCAACTCTTTTTCTCGCTTGAACCTTGAACGCCCCAAAAATTCTTGGTGAAAAACTTCCCATTTTTTGTTGTTTTCTTCTTTCCTTGGTGAAAACCTGCAATTTTTTGTTGTTGGTTTCTTCTTTCCTTGGTGAAAACCTCCCATTTTTTGTGGTTTTTCCCACCACGTCACTGGAATAAAACCAGCACTGAAAACCCCGCTTTTCAGGTGGAGATGATGCACCATCTGCGGCCCACAGAGGTGACGTATTCCGCCGCCATCAGTGCCTGCGAGAAAGCGGCACCGCGGCGGTTGGGTACTCCCGTTTATGGATGGTTTATGTTATGGAAAATCCTACTAAAATGGATATCATCAGGTCTAGGTTAGAGGATATAAACCTATAATATCCTAAAATGGTTGGCGCACGTTTGGCCAATGGCTTAGGACAAATCCTACAATGTGAGGCCCCCCAGTGATGCGAACGTTGGTTTAGATTCGCCCCAGTAACTATAGTTATTTGCGTACCATAAACCATAGTGAAATTGGAGTTATTTGCACCAACTTAGCTATCGAACGGGGGCCTCACATTGTACTAAAATGGATGAGAACTGGGGGTACCCCCTTTTATGGAAACTTCCATAGTTAATTACAATTATCAATGAGTCTGTATTCACACAGACACACCCACACACATCTTTCTAGACAAATTGAATTGTGATGTGTATTCATATAGATAGATGGATGGACGGACGGATGGATGGATGGACAGACAGACAGACAGACAGATAGATGGAAACACTTGACTATCCCATAGGTAGGGTCTTTACAGAACCAGCAAATGGCTAGCCCTATTGACAAATTTATACTCACACAGACAAAAAAATAACCGTGGCCACAATCCAGGTCCGATTCGCTGGGGATGGACAGCAGGATGGGAAAGTAACTTCCGTGAAACTCTGGGGTACGAGGATATATGGGGAGATGGCTTCTATGTGAACATAACTTGTTCAGAATTGCAAGGGTCAAGACTCAAGACTGGTGATTGTTTGTTCTCTTGTGAGATGGATATTTGGCATCAAATGCCATCAATAGCCGTCAAGAATAGCTTTCTGTGCCCAAGAAAGCCACCCTCTTAAGTCAAAGAATAAAGGTGGCATGACCCCTTCACCAGGTCTTGTGACCGACGGCCACTGTTACTTTCCAGCAATCTAAGTCTGGCACGGTGATCGTGACCTATAGTAGATGGTGACCTATTTTTGGACGGGTGGCTGACCCAGAGCTGGCCTCTGGGCCCCTCGAATGATGGAATGGGAACCTCAAATCATGTTAGTTTTCTAGTCTTCAGCTTTGGAACATCAGGCACATCGCATGTGGTAAATCCAATGCCACAAGCGACTACCATTCTGGGGATGGTTTATACCATCCCACCCATAAAAAATGGTGATTTTGGGGATGGTTCATGATTGAGTTTTTAATTTACCAGATTGTTCCACATTAGGTCCATGCTTTTAGAGCCACGACCTTTTGCCTCTTTCCTTTCCTGCAGATTTTCTGAGGCAAAATGGCAAGAAGCGATACAGCAACTTGAACGTCTTGAGCAACAGCGGCTGCGTCACAGTGTAGTGCCTTGGTAGGCAGAAATAGCTGGGATTGATGGATGTTCATTCCCATCCCTAAACCATCAGTGTTCCATAATTGGTAGGTTCATTCCCATTTCATATGGGATTCAATCGTATACGTTTTTTTGGTTTCAACCCATCCCCAAGTGCTCCGTTATGGATGCAGCCATTCGTAATATAAAGCCATTGTGTCATTGTTTGGAAGGACATATTGGGAGCAACATCCTCTATATGTTATGATCAAACACCAAGGGTTCCTGCAATGTGTCCAGCGATATTCCGTTGATCCAATTGACTGATGGTGATACCCATTGATGATAGCTGTTTCCATCGATGATATGCCATTGACGATTCCTTAGAATCTCCCATTGACAAAAATAACCAGTATGTTCCCCAAAATGATTGTATAATCCCAAAAATTAGTGAGTGATACTATGTATGATCCCAAAAACTCCTACCATTGATGATGGTATCTGATGATGGTGATATTCTATTGTCCCAAAAAACATTTCCTTGATAATTTCCCATTCATAATGGCCATCCCATTAAACATTTCAGAACATTTCCCAGCATGATTCATCAATACTGATTAATTATTATTCATCAATACCCTTAATTATCTCATCAATGATTCCGTCAGGGCCGTAATGATTCAACAGTAATGATTATCCCAGTAATTGGAAAACATGATTGTCAAGTATTAATGGCTATCCCAGTAGGATCCATTCATAATGATATACTATCCCAGTAATGAAGGAAAAATGGGGTATAGTAAATCCCTGATTATGGTGAAGGATTTTCAAGTATGACCCTCTGGTAAACGTTTACATAACTATGGAAAATCACCATGTTAAAGGGAAAACTCACTATTTCAATGGCCATTGCCAATCACTATGTTAGTTTACCAGAGGGTAACAATAGTGGGTTCATGTAAAAAACAATGATTATCCCAGGCTATCCCAGTAACCCAGGCATCCCCAGAATCTGGGGTCTCCGCGTCCATCGAACAAAAAAAAAGGTGGCCTTCAATGCAGCGATCAGCGCGTGTCGCATGGCCGCGCAATGGACCTCAGCGTTGTCTCTACTGAGTCACATGGTGCCGTGGTGTTGTCGGATCGCCTCGGGTTAACTCGAACTAAATGGACGCCATGGCCCATTTAGGTAACGGTTACCTAAGATGCGGAAAAAAATCAGGTCGCAAAATATTATATAGTTTACCGGACGGTAGATTTATCGAAAACATGATTTTAGCATCAAACTGCGTGATTCTACTCTAAAACGCGTAGAATTGACCAAACTCGCCATGGGAGATTGAAATTGAAAATCATGGGGACCTAACTGACTAATTGGGATGTGTCCAAGTTGAGTTAGTAGAGCGCATGATTTTCCCAATTTTCTCACCCAGATGGCTCAAGATGGCTCAAGAATGGTTGGCGCACGTTTGGCCAATGGCTTAGGACAAATTATACAATGTACAATGTGAGGTCCCCAGTCCCCAAGATAGCTAGACTCCAATAACTATGGTTTATGGTACTTATAACTATAGTATTCATGGGGGTTATAAACCAACTTATAACTGGGGGGGCCTCACATTGTAGGTTTAGATTATTTTTCTTTTCACTTCAACCCGCGAAAAAAAGAGAGCGAAACGTGATGAAGCGTGTTTCCAGGATGGTATACATAGATAATATATGATAAAAATTGATAAGATTTACTTGATGTTTTCAGGTTTCCCAATTTTCCATTTTTTTCGGGGGGTTACCAAGTTGTACTCAAAATTTATTCTCCAAGGTGGGTTTAAATTCTCCTGCAGGGCAATTTCCCATGTGGCTTCTGACATCATGTTTCTTGATATTTTTTGTATAATGTGGGTAAAACACCGCCATAAACTACCCATTTGGGAATGGTAAACATACAACCTATAAACATGGTGATGACTGGGGGATGGTGGTTTATGGCATGGTTTTACCCACATTACATGTACATATTATGACATGTGCAGGTTGTATCCCACTGTGTTTGTCTAACGTTGTCTAGCGATGGGCTTCTAATCCCATGACCGAAGCTGAGGAGCAGTTGAAACTTGAACGAGATGTCGTCAGCTACACTGCAGCAATGAGTGTAACTTGGCCTGGAGTGGAATGGCCTGGGTGTTTCCTGAATCATGGTAATCATGGTACCCCGAAAGTTCTCATTCATTTATTTTTTTGAATGTTCTATGAAATTTTCATAAACCATCCAGCTACAAGGTGGTGCCCCATAGTTAGCTAAGTTGGTTTATAACTCCAATAACTATGATTTATGGCAGATATAACTATAGTATTCATGGGGTTTATAAACCAACAAACATCACTGGGGGGCACCATCCTGTATGGGGTACCCCCAATTCAGGGAACCCCTACCTACAGACCAATGGAATGATGCATCGCCGAGTGAAAGTTCGGAAGTGATTTTGCGACTTGCATGTTTTTCAAACCCACAGTTATGGCCATTTCTTAGTTATGACTGGTTATTTCTATGGGATTATACATTCTATAAATGGGGTTTTCTTAGTACTTATCACTGGTATTTCGGGCCATAACTGCAATCACTTGTGACCTAGTCATTACCCTCCAGGATTATTCCATGACAACAAAAAAGGTGCGATGCAGTCACTAAAATCCTCACGCTAAGCTCGAGTTTCATCCTGTCATCCTGCATGCACGAACCATGAAACGACGGGTGTTTACAAAACGCCAGGATTTTTTTTCAACGGGCCATGGATTGAGCACGCAAAATCCAGTGGTTGAAATGCTAACCATTTTTTTTTTCGCCCAGTTGCCATTTCAGGGGCAAACACCTCAGTTTTCATTCATTTTATCATTTTCACACCCAGATCAAGTGGATGATTCGATAAGCTGTTTTTGAAGCAGCTTTCTGAAGCATTCATCCCACCTGATTTTCTAGGCCACTGGATGTTAGGATTTTCCCAACATCTTCAGATACAGTTCCCGGGCCCGTGCGGCCACCGGGGGGCCAGCGGGGCCAGGTCTTCGAAGTGGCCGGGCTCTGGCAACTGGCTCTGAGTCAGCTGGAAGATTTGCAGCGGCAGCAAGTTGAGGCGAATGTCAAGACCTACAACTCCGCCATCAGTGCCGATGGATCAGATGGCTGCCATTTTTGTGCTGGGAATCCTCGATACATGGTGGTTTAATAGATGTTTTTTCTGGAAAGTCCATGATATACCCTCTGGTAAATTAACATAGACCCTGAAAATAAGACATTTTTAGTGGAAACCAGTCTTCCAACCCCTATCTGCCAGGGTCTATGTTAATTTACTGGAGGGTATATGGGGATTGTCCATTGCGATGTTTGACTACCACGACATCTGGATCTATATCAACTCATACCACGACAACTGATTTTCGCAGAAAAACTCCAAGAAGTGACGGCCTGGCATTGACCACGACCTGGTTTGGCCTCCAGTCTGAATCTCCATAAACATCATAAACCACCACAGTATGGGGCCCCCAGTCGATAGCGTGAACCGTTGGTTTATAAGTGGCTGAATTCAATGGTTTATGGTAGATATAACGAACTAGTTACTGGGGATTATGTCGTGGTTTATAAACCAACATTCACATCACTGGGGGGACCCTATCCTGCATATTATATATATAATAGGTAGCCCATCTATGGTTTATAAACCATCCTATCCATAAATCACCATGTTTAATAGGTAAACCATCCATTAGGGGTATCATTTCAAATTCTCATGGCTTAACCCTCGTCCCAGGAGTAGAACGCTAGAGCTTTCGATCGGATCTCGCTTCTCGTGGCACCTTTGAGGTGCCTGTGAGAAGTCCGAAGAGTGGCAGAGTGACTTGCTGACATTTTTCGGCATTTCGGTCCATCCCGTGGGATGACACCATTTCATGAGTAAAGATATGGGTTATATAATTTTAACATGTTATTATTATTATATATATATATATTTGTTTTTAATAGTAAAGTTTATATACTAACATTTACCATTTACTAGTACATATATTTACCATAGTTTACTGTTTTCTATTCATGAGTTTGCTTTACAAGTCATGTTAGTCAATAGTAAACCATAGCACATTAGACTACATTTAGCATCATTTAGCTACCATAGATGGGTGGTATAACTACTGTATAACCCATCTAAGCCATCAAAATATGGCGGGTTTAGGATTGCTTTACTAACAAAACTCTTATATTATAGTTATACTCTATCAGTTATATAACCTATATAATCAGTATATAACATTATATAACCAATTTTTAGTACTTATATAACCAATATCAGTATTATATAACCTATACATCAAAGATATTGTTTGGTCGAAATGCTGCTATCGATTTTGAAATCGCCCATGGTGTGATAGGGATATGGGAAGCCACGCGAAGGGCGGAGTCACAAGCCTGGCAGTTGCATATGAGGGTTCGCTAGCATTACTTCTTGACATACTAACCAGTTGCTAAGAAAGATCGTCACCGAAGTTGAAACGTTGTAAACCCAAAATTCTAAGGTGTACAACGATTCATGAGGATCGTTTGAGCTTTAGGAGACATTTTGAGATGTAAACAGAGCACTAGCTATGGTGACGCAGCGCAATAGTGATCAGGGATCCTGAAAGGAATGTGACATAGAACTCACCGGTTGTTTGGTCTATGGTTAGTCAACCTTTACAACTTTGGTTCAGAATGGAAGGAGGGCCCAGAAGGATGATCTTTAAAATCCACAAGTTCCTGTACTAAATGGTAGTTCAATCCCCCCTCTGATGTCATAGAAACACAATAAACGCAGTAAAAACCATTCTGAAATCGCCAAGAACTCCGAAAATCTTGGCTCCACCCCAGGAGCCTTGCAGCTTTTGCAGCTGCTTCTGCTGCAACGTTTGGCAACCACCATCAGCTTCAACGCCAGCATCAGCGCCTGCCAGGCGGGGCCTTGGAAATTCGGAGCAGCCAGTGACGTGATGTGCTGGTGTTATGGTGAGTATATTGCAACATCATGCAACATATATATATACATATATATATATATTGTTGATATTACGGTTGAAGTTAACCATATTTGGTGGTTGTAATATGTTCTAAGCAACAAATGTTGAAGGGACTATTGAGTTTTGCAAGTGAAAATAGAACACCAAATTATATAATGAATGGTTGTTTTGTTCATGGCCGTACGTCATCTTAACTATGATAAGATGTGATTTAACGCCCACACATTGAGAGTCACCAACAGCGGATTTGTTCAGCAGAAATGATGAGATTCCCAAGACTGCCGGGGTAGGATCATGCCACCCACTCTTTAGTCATGTCCACGAGTTTTCTTCATACAGATCAGCATGGATCATTCCCCTGCTGGAGGCAGCAAACTGGCGAGTGGCCCTTCATTTGCTGCGAAAATTGGAGAAGGATCCATCTCTGGAACCATCGGCCGCTGTTTTGATAATTCGGATGAGGTGTTCACTGGTGTCACTTCAGAGGCTGCTATATGTTGCCAATGGCTACCAGGATTTTCCTCCTGGAATAGACAAGGCGGTGGATTGCCATCATGAAATTATGACATCGTCTTCTGTTGGCAAATCGACTGATCGTATTCCAGCAGAATTCAATAAAACCCAAGATCATTTCCGATCAATTTCCATGTTTTTCCTGGAAGCAACTTCCCATTTCTCTTGGTTGGATACAGTAGATTACCACAGTTCGATACAGTTTGGTGGTTGACATTCTTGGAGCTAGGTGCCTCAACTACCAACCATATCATACTTGGTCTGTTGGTTACGTTTTGTCTCTTCGCCAGATTGGTCAGAGCAGCTCTCCGTAAGCCCCGATTTCGCAAACCATTTCCCCGACATCCAAGGCCATTTCCTTCAACGCTGCCATCGGCGCCGCATGCAGTGCTTCCCGCTGGCAGAAAGCCTTGAGTTTTCTCAGTGCAGAGACGTGGCTTGAAGAAATCATAAGAAATCATAGAACCTCCGTGGGGAGGAAGGTCGCAGCTGCTTTATATTCATGTGGTAGACCATGGTAAACCCAATTAATGTCAACCCTGGATTGATAAACCCCAAACGGCTGGTTCATTGGGGGGGTACCATAAAGAAGTAGTGGATGAAATGACTATTGGAGGAATACCCCCCTAATTAACAAACCATGGTTTAGTCTCATCCGGGGTTGACATTATTAGCCTCCAATTCTGGAGGAGGGTCCAATTTTGAACACCAGCTCCACAATAGGCTCCGCTAAGTTGCCTAGATAGATCTAGATAGGAAGGGTTCCCCAATCCTTAGCTAAGTTGCTTTTGTTCAGTAAATTAACTAGGGATTATGGTATGTTATGTATATCTATATATAGCCATATTTATAGATATATAATTATATGTATAATTCATAATTATACGTGCATATATATATATATATACATAGTTTATTTATAATTACTGTATATTATACATATATACATTGTATATACATATACATCGAACTAGTTAGATGGGAGTATGAACCAACAAACTCCTTGGGTGGCCGCCGCTGGCGGACGCAAGCATGTTCATCCCATCACCGTTCTGGGCTGTCAAGTCGGTCAAAGGATAGGTAGAGCCAAGTGGTGGTCTATGAACATATCATAATATTATATGAGTTATAATCCATGGTCTAGAAGGATTATGGTCTATGATATGGATAGGATTATTATTATATATTTCTCTTTGTATCATATCTTAGATAGGTAGATAGATAGATAGATAGAGAGAGAGATAGAGAGAGAGAGAGATAGATAGATAGAGATAGAGATAGAGATCGAGATGGAGATGGAGATGGAGATAGAGATAGAGATGGAGATGGAGATGGATATGGATATAGAGATGGAGATGGAGACGGATGTAGATATAATAGTTTTTGTGAGGTTTCATAGTTCCCATGCCGATGTTTTGCTTGTTTTCAAAAGGTGTAATGTCCCCAATGACTTCCCAGAAAACGGGTGGGATGTCAACCATCCCCAAATGGTAGGTTTATGGCATGTCGTCTAAAACTTTAATACACCAAGTACAATATATCAATATACCACATGATTGCTGGTCATACCCTCTGGTGAACGTTTACATAGCTATGGAAAATCACCATGCTATTGATGGGTAAATCAACTTTCGACTGGGCAATTTTCAATAGCTATGTTAAATTACCAGATGGTATACCAAGCTAGGGTCAGTTTTAGTCATATTGCTTGGTTAAATCGGAATTGCTACACCTGGCTAAACCGGGTTTTACTTTGAGAGTTGTGTTTAAGAATTGTGGCTCAACCACCAACCACCCAATTCACACGATTGTGGGAAATTGGCAGAAACAACTCTAGGGATATAAATTATATAGATATATAGATGTATGTATAAAAGTCTCATATCCTATCCTCATATATTGTACATTTATTATATCCTATATCTTTGAATAATGAATCCCACATTATTGACTGAGTACATATCTTATATTATCCTATCTCTATATATATATATATACAATATCAACATAACTATGGAAAATCACCATGCTATTAATGGGTAAATCAACTATTTCGACTGGGCCATTTTCAATAGCAGGTCTGCTGGGTCGGCCGTGGCGTATCAAGCGCTCATGGCTGTGGTGCCCTGGGCCTTGGCTCTGCGACTCCTTGAGGAGATGGACGTGTCGAGACCAAAAAGGGATGGCCATGGGTCCTCCGGCCATATATATATATTTTTACATATTTATATAGAAATGATATACATATATATATATATATAGCAAATGATATATCATATGACATAATTATATACATTATGATACGTATCTATATTATGCTAGCTTGATAGTATCTATATTATGTTAGTGTAATACATCATAGCACATATGAATGTGATGTGTATATATATACACACTTATATGTACATATATACATATGTACATATGTATATATATTTACATATCATTTCTTTCAAGAAAACGATGATTATTTTCTGAAACCAAGAAATCTTGGTTGAATGACCCTCTGGCAATGGAACACCATCATATTGAATTCAAATTACTATAGATTGAAAGATGGTAAGAAGAGTGGTAACAGTTACAGAATGGGGATACTAGTCAGCACACGCGCTGGCAGTTCACCCATGATATGGGATAGTTTACCGCAGTGCAAACAGTGCACATATCATTGCACTCTTCTGCCTTCTCAGGATAGTTCTTTCCTTCAAGACAATCAACACCCTCACAGAAACCCTGATCTGGTCGGGGATCTATTAGAGGCGCTTCATTCTGATTGGTGGATGAGAGTTTATACATGTACATACCTATATCCATATGTATTTATATCTGTTTGATTGTTGAAACCAGTTGAAACCTGTTGAAACCCCACTCTTCATGGTGGAACAAAAACACCTTTTCTCGTCCCATCTCCATAGATGGTCCCGACTATGTGGAAATCCCATGAATCTCTACTAATCGATGGTATCTTGAATATGATCAATGGGAATTGATCGTAAAATGGAGCTAGGTTAGTACCATATTTCTGGCCATAAAAATTGGGGGTATCTCCCCTTGCAGAGCCCTTATATATGGATATATATATATATATATGGTAGGTACCTCCAATCAATCGGCACCTGAGTCATGGCCATTGATTATGATCCAGACACGCAATGGTTTCTCACCACCAGATCGGCAATTTTTTGAGGCCCAAGCTCTGTCACGCAGTGCCACAACTTATGAAGTTCTGATTCTCCTGCTCTCTGAGGCCAGTGGGCCAGGGGCACTCCGAAGGGTCCGTGGCACTGGCATGAAATCTTTAAGGAATGCCGAAGATGAATAGGAACTCTTAAGGAGTTTGATCTTAGCATGTCCTAGCTGCCTGGGTTTGAACATGGAACAAGAAGAAATTATGTAGATTGACTTCCCAGCTGGATAGCACATCGGATAGCAGTCTCCGCTCACAGGTGTTGAGCCCGCTGTTTGACCTGGCTACCTTTACCCTTTTTGGATAAGATCTCCAGTCTCAAGATCCATATGTTCAGAAAACATAGGTGTAAATATTGGAGTTACGAACTATCTCTGTTGACATTTTTTACATTGCACACATAGCTTTGGTGTGTCCCAAAGTATTTTTTTGGCATTTTCTGCAGAGCAATATTGTTACATACAATATACTTCACAAACATTTCACAACATTCCATAATCTTGGTATTTCACATTATATTTCAATATTTCATATCACTACCAAAAGAAAGTGTTTGAGTCGTTATCCAAGTTTGAGAGTTTGAGACTCAAGTCCTTAATGTCCCAGTGGGTTCATACATATATATATATATATACATACATATGTATAGGTATATAATGTATATAATATACATACATATCAACTCCTGATGAATGGACCCTGGTAACCCACATGATAGTCCGTTTTTCCCCACCTGCCAGGTGAGGGTTGTTAGATTTTATGTCAGTTGCCTGCTCCTCTCCTCCTCTCCTCTCCTCCTCCTCCTGCTCAACCGCGACCCTCGACGCACAGTGTTCTCTGTCGGACCTCAACCACGACCATCCACGCCCAGTGTTCCCTGCCGGACCTCAACCACGACCATCCCCGCCCAGTGTTCCCTGCCGGACCTCAACCACGACCATCCACGCCCAGTGTTCCCTGCCGGACCTCAACCGCGAGTATCCACGCCAAGTGTTCCCTGCCGGACCTCATGTAGGAAGATATGGGACAAAGAATGTGCAGAAGAAAGTTAGAAAGAATGTCAGACAAGTATGTTATATATTACTTGCAAACTCGCGCGTGTGTGGTAGAGTGACCGGGGCAATGCCACTTCTTACTTTGCAGGTGGCAAAGTTTGAAGCAATCAGTTTGAACAGATGACAGGGTCACTGGGGTGGACAGAGACATTTCCACTTCTGTACCTTTGGGCATGTTTGGGCATGTTTGGTCATGTTTAAGCAAACCTGTTGAGAGCTCTGGAGTTTACTTCACATGGCCCACTGACATGTTTATATCCTGTTTGACAGACTGACATGCACAATGACCTGCCAGGTGAAACAAATGATTGGGATAGTTAGTTGGGCAAAAGTCCCGTGACAAAAGCTTCAGACAAAAGTGGTGTCAACAAGCTGTTTTGAAATGTCATGGTGGGGATCACTCGAAGCAAAGTAATTTTCTTTGTATGTCAATATTTCACAATCTTTCAAGAATTTCATATCACTACCAGGTACCCTGGGCTTTCTACCGATGTAGAAAAGCCCTTTTTGTGTTCCGAACGTTGGAGCCGAGCCCTGAGGCGAAGTCGTGGCGCTCGTGGTGTTTGGCCCTGCAGCTGGTTGAAGAAGCTGCCAGGAAGAAGCTTCTGAGCTCCGTGATGCTGAAGTGACCCTGGGGAGAGTCCAACAAAAAGGCGTGGAAAATCAATGGGAATTTCAGGATCCAATACATGGAGGTACGTTAGTACCATATAAGGCCATATTCGGAGGGTATATCCCCTTACATAGCCCTTACATAGGCCTTATATATGGTAGGTACCTCCAATTTAGGTTCCTGAAATGGCCATTGAAAAAATGATGAAAAATGATGAGCTCCCCGGATCGTTGATGGAAAATACCCTCGTTATGAAGGTGGTGCCCCAGTTCGGAATCGCGTTCAGTTGGTGCAAACAACTCCCATTTCACTATGATTTATTGCAGACATAACTATAGTATTCATGGGGTTTATAAACCAACAAACATCACTGGGGGGCACCATCCTGTAGAGTAAACGTTTTGGTAACTATGGAAAAACATCGCCATGCTATTAATGGGTAATTCCACTATAAATGACCATTTTAAATAGCAGACTGTTAGTTTACCAAAGGGTAGTTCATGGAATGTTTAATAAAGGAGGATGGTCATATCTTTTGGGACATGTTGTGATATCTGATATGGAGTCCATTAGTTTTAATGGAATGTGTGTGGGATATCTGGGATATTTGGGGGATGGTCATGATCATTGATTTGCTGATTATTGTTTATTTTCTCAATGGGAGATGCATCACTTGGAATCTTCTTTGGAGAATATGTCAAAAATGTTTGGGGGGGTTAATAAGACGCACACCCGAGTTGATGGCATAGTTTATGCTTTATGTTCATGGGATATATTGTAAGATAGATTTGACCAACAGTATGTTTTTTGTTGCAGTGTAAATGGTGATTTCATGGGAACTGAGTTTGATTTAATCATCAAACATGGGGACATTCATAGGAATATTTCATGGTACATTTTTGTCATTACCCGGGAAACATATGGAAAAATGTTAGAAGAAGCGTAAGTCAAGAAAATGTTGCAGCGTCATGAAGATTTGATATACAGTAATTAGGGTTAATTGTCCTGCAATTTGCCCTGCAATGGACAGATGTCCTGCAATGCTGAAACGCGTTACAGTCACCAAATATGTTGATTGGAAAAATTAGATCAGCAGTGCCTGAAGCAGCACACAGCAGACCACGCCACCTAGTAGCAGTGCCACTAGGAAGAGTTCGAGGGAATAGTCCCCTGCATTTGATTTGACCGGAGCTTTCCTGGTCCTAAATTCCTTTGCAGGAGCTTTTTGACCATGGCTCGCGAACCATTCATGATTCTTGGGTTCGCCTGAAAATGCTTAGTAATTATACGGGCAAACACCTCGATTTGCCCGCGCTTGTGAGCGGCCATCTTCGTATGTGCTGAAAACGTGATAAAAATGAGAGTGTTTTTGCATCATGGCTAACTTCATGTTGTATATCGGCACGCACAGCATAGGGACCTGTGCGAGTCTCTTACACATCATCATCATCATCATCATCATCATCATACCCTTATTGAAGATCTTCAATGAATGTAGAAGTTTAACGGGGGTGGGAGAATTAAACCCTTATTGAAGATCTTCAATGAATGTAGAAGTTTAACGGGGGTGGGAGAATTAAACCCTTATTGAAGATCTTCAATGAATGTAGAAGTTTAACGGGGGTGGGAGAATTAAACCCTTATTGAAGATCTTCAATGAATGTAGAAGTTTAACGGGGGTGGGAGAATTAAACCCTTATTGAGATCTTCAATGAATGTAAAGTTTAACGGGGGTGGGAAATTTATATTCCCTAAATACCCTTGTTGATCTTCCCAATTGAATGTAAAGTCTAACGTTTGATATCCCCAAGTGTACAGCATAGAAGGGGTGTGGGCGAATCGGGGTGTTTGCGCGTAATTATACCATTTATACCTTCCAGAAATTGCCAAAAAAATGTGGGAAAAGGATCAAATAGAGTAGTGAATTCTGAATGATAAGCTTCAGACAGCCAGCCACGTCGGACGTGGTAAAAAAAACATACTGATCTGGGCGGCCTCACCGTTGCCATCACAAAAAAATCCCAGGTGCGGGCTCAGTGCCATGGGAAAAGCCATGGGAAAATATCACCAATAATTGGTTCATACTAAGACCACAAAATGAAGATATTTTCACTTTAGGCACTTAATGAAGATATTAGTAGTTATATGAACTTATCATAGAAGTGTTTTTTCTTTATTTTTACTTATTTTCACTTATTTTTCAATGTTTTTTTGATGATCAGAATTGTAGACGATGCATTTTTCTGTTATATATTTTTTGAAAATAGTTGTCGACCTTTTTGTTTCCTTTGGAATATTTTTTTCTTGCCTTTTTTCATTGTTTTTTTCCATTCTTTTCAGGCATCATCCTTTTAGAAATCACCCTTTTCAGGATTTATCCTTTTCAGGAATTATCCTTTTCAGGACTTATCCTTTCAGGATTTTTTTTATTCAGAATGAATCCTTTTCAGGAACTATCCTTAACTGGAATCTTTCTATTCAGATTGATTTCATTTTCAGGAACAATGCTTTTCAGGAGTTATCTTCTACAGGAAATGGTTCTTCTACAGGAATATGCGCGGCTGCGAGTGACACAAAGAATCTTGAAGTACATCTGTGGAGAAATCATTCAGAGGCAAACGGAAAAAAACATATAAAGGATGCTTCTTGGAAAGAACAATTGCTCTTTTGATGTGTCTTCTTCAATTGTATACGACTGCCCAGAATGAGATCTTTCACAACATGAGGCTTCGGTTACTACTTCCAAACTACATAATTCAGGGATGAAGATGGATACCTAATTTGGAAAATATTCTATTATATTTTTTTGTTGGTAAAAGATTTAAAGCTAGCTGGCTTGCTTTTTGTTTTGAAAATGTATTTTCTATAATTGCTATTTATGTTTTATTGTTCATATTGTTCTACAATTTACTTTCTTTTGATTTCGCATACTTTGTTCATACGTTTTTTTTGCTGAGATTTTGGTGGTTGATTAATCGCAGGGAATTATTAATCCTAACTTGACATTATTATAAATACTTACTTATCCTTTTTTTTCTCTATAAATATTTCCTGAATTTTCTGAAATTTCTGAATTTTCTGAAATTTCTGGATTTTCTGAATTTTCTGAATTTTCTGAATTTTCTGAATTTTCTGAAATTTCTGAAATTTCTGAAATTTCTGAAATTTCTGAATTTTCTGAATTTTCTGAATTTTCTGAATTTTCTGAATTTTCTGAATTTTCTGAATTTTCTGAAATTTCTGAATTTTCTGAATTTTCTGAATTTTCTGAAATTTCTGAAATTTCTGAAATTTCTGAATTTTCTGAATTTTCTGAATTTTCTGAATTGTTTTCCTTTTAATTTAAATTGTAAATTCTGAATTTTCTGAATTTTCTGGGTTTCTGAATTTTCTGAATTTTCTGACTTTTCTGAATTTTCTGAATTTTCTGGGTTTCTGAATTTTGTGAATTTTCTGAGTTTTCTGACTTTTCTGAAATTTTTGAATTTTCTGAATTTTCTGAATTTTCTGAAATTTCTGAATTTTCTGAATTTTCTGACTTTTCTGAATTTTATGAATTTTCGGAAATGTCTGAAATTTCTGAGTTTTCTGAATTTTCTGATTTTTTCTGAATTTTCTGAATTTTCTAAATTTTCCTTTCCAGGAAGTATCCTGCAGAGAACTATTCCCTACAATTTTTTTCCTTTCCAGGAAGTATCCTGCAGAGAACTATTCCCTACAAAATTTTCCTTTCCAGGAAGTATCCTGCAGAGAACTATTCCCTACAAAAGTTTTCCTTTCCAGGAAGTATCCTGCAGAGAACTATTCCCTACAATTTTTTTCCTTTCCAGGAAGTATCCTGCAGAGAACTATTCCCTACAAATGTTTTCCTTTCCAGGAAGTATCCTGCAGAGAACTATTCCCTACAATTTTTTTCCTTTCCAGGAAGTATCCTGCAGAGAACTATTCCCTACAAATGTTTGCCTTTCCAGGAAGTATCCTGCAGAGAACTATTCCCTACAATTTTTTCCTTTCCAGGAAGTATCCTGCAGAGAACTATTCCCTACACAATTTTTCCTTTCCAGGAAGTATCCTGCAGAGAACTATTCCCTACAAATTTTTTCCTTTCCAGGAAGTATCCTGCAGAGAACTATTCCCTACAATTTTTTTCCTTTCCAGGAAGTATCCTGCAGAGAACTATTCCCTACAATTTTTTTCCTTTCCAGGAAGTATCCTGCAGAGAACTATTCCCCACACAATTTTTCCTTTTCAGGAAGTATCCTGCAGAGAAATTGTCCCTACATTTTTTTTTTCCTACCATTTTTTTTCCAAATAGGCGCCTTCAGAGAATTGTTCTTTAGCAGCATATTCCTGTTCAGGAAGGTTTCGTCAGAAAAGTAGTGCTCTGAGACAATATTGTTTCGTCGAAAATCAACATTCCTGCGAATCTATCAAACACACATAAAAATCAAATTTCACTTCTTATCACTTCTTTTCGCTTATTTTGGCTTATTTTTGACTAATATTCTACTATATTTGCTTATATTTTCCTTATTATGTTATAAGTTCACCTAAAAATTTAGTGGAACTTATAACAAAATATTTTTGAAAAAACAATTTGAACAAGATATTAGAAGGATAATAGTAACTTGTAGTATACTTATAAATTCATTAAGTGCCTAAAGTGCAAATATTTGCATTTTGTGGTCTCAGTATAGGTTGGTTTACTTGGTGGCTCATCCCACGAATCGTAAGTGGGTTATAACCCCAGTGATTTACATGGGATAAGTAGGGTTAATCCACTTATAACTGTGGTTATAACCCACTTACTAAGTCGGATGAGCCACCAAGTAACCATGGTTGATAATCGTGATCAATTAATGACAAAAGGTTTCACAACGAACTGGATTCCTTCCAGTTCGAGAATCAGGTTCATCTGACCACAAATAGATTCGGGACGCACCTTCGATACATACCCCAAGTTAACATTGCGGGGAACACATAGTACGGATCGACAAATGGGACAGATGGTGTTCTGATCATGGGATGCTGGGATGCTTTCATAGTGGCAAGACAAACCGTCTTATGTTTGAACAGATACTGGTTGGTAGTTTCAAACATGGCTTTTATTTTTCATAATATCCGGGATGTCATCCTTCCCATTGACTTTCATATTTTTCAAGATGCTTAAAACCACCAACCAGCCATCATAAACCATATAAATGGATAAACTCCTTATTGAACCTATAATAAACCCCATTTTCCATAGGAAAAATCCATAGTATGTGAACTCCCTGTGTTTGGTTCCGAGTCTTCACACTCCAGGTATTGTTTGGGCGCTTGTGAAAGGGCCAGAGTTTGGAGACCTGCCTCCATGCTGCTGTCTGCAGCGGCAGAGACGGCAGGGACGCTGCAAAAAAGGCCATTCGGAAGTGGTTTTGCCTTAAAAGCTACCCTCTGGTAATTTAACATAGCTATTGAAAATAGCCCATTTATAGTGGATTTACCCACCGAAAATGGTGATTTCCATAGTTATGTTAGTTTACCAGAGGGTAGTTTCAACAGCTCAGTGGGGAAAACATGGGAAAACATGATTCTCATCAATTTACCCTCAAATCATCATGTTGATCATGTTTAACCGTCGGTTGACCAAATTTATTCTGGTTGGTGGTTTGGAACATGAATTTTGTGTTTCCATATATTGGGAATAATAACCCTAACTGACGAAGTCATATTTTTCAGAGGGGTAGGGCTCAACCACCAACCAGATGATTATTAAGCATCATTAACCATACAATAACCATTAATATTAACTGTATATTACCAACCAATGGTAGGTTGAAACCACCAACCAGTATTGGTGCCGTAAATTTCAGGCAAAGCTAACCAGATGGAATGCCACAGACCGGCCTGTCCATACTCATGGGAGACTATGTAAATTTCGAGCGTTACCTTAGAAAATATATGGAAAAAGGATGGAAATCCATGGAAATCCATATATTCACATTCAAAAAACATTGGCTTTTGTGGATTTCAGTGCTCTTCTGTGTTTTTCTGCGAGTCATGTTCCCAAGTACAAATGCTGAGAAAACATCTGTGCAACTGCAGAGATTCATGTAGAACCTGTTTCAGATTTTCTAGTCCAGAGTTTCAGCACAAGAGTGTGAAATTTCCTGGAAATTTACATTCAGCCGGGGTTTGGGTCCAGTATGATTGGTTTTGGGTCGACTCTTGAACAGATCCGGTGGATTTCAATCACTTTGGATCCACTTTGGACGGACCACGGACCACGGAGACATTTGAGACAGCGAACTCGTTTTGCTACAGTATCTTTGTGAATCAGAACATCATCTAAAAAAAAAACCATGCGCTTGCACTGTTATTGTGGGGAAGTTCCATACTTGTTACTGGCCAGTTGGACAATTTACCATTTACGGATTTTTTTCCCCCGTAAACTTCCATGTGGGGGATTTCCCCACATTTGAGTACACAAGGGTCGATCCCCCATATGAGCCCCGAGAATGAATCCAGACCAGGGGTTCCAAGGGAGCATTTAAAGATACTTAAAGGGATTCGTGCAGAAACAAGCTGACGCCGCCCGTAAAGACGCGGGCTCTTCTTAAATCATCCTTCTCGGATGTGCTCCAAGACATGTGCCACAGCTGTCCAAAGGTCTTTGCCTTTGTTGTATCTGTATTGCCAGCTGTAAGTCCACTGCCAAAGACATTACACGAACGTTAACATCACCCCATCCATCCCCATACCCAACCCAAGCAACGTGATCGACGTAGTGTGCAGAAAGGGTGCAGGTTCACAAGAACATTAACATCACCCCACCCAGACCCATACCCACAAGAAACATCGGACGTTACAAAAACGTTAAAAGTCCCCGCGTCTTTATGGGCGGCGTTAGCATAAACAAGATTTGGTTGGCGCCACGCACCATGTTACATTGTGAAATTTGATGTTAGCACTTAGCGCTGTGTCTCAGAACTTGCCCCAGTGGATTTCTCGATGTCTTTGGTTCAAGTCCACGTCTCACCCGATGACCAGCACGAAAACAACGGATGTCTTCGCCGCAGTCAACTCATCAAGGCGTGACACAAAGACTTGAATCATGGACACCCCTCAACATAGACGGGGCGGGGCACAACACATTCAAATCATGAATGACCATGGCTTAGTATTGAAACCCATGGTTTTTGTTGTGGCCACTTACATGACGGATGAGGCCGATGGGGGTCTGGGTATGGGATGGGTAGTATTACATGTGATGGAAAATCACAACCCAAAAAGTGAATGATTTCAGGGTACCCCCATGACTTTGGAAATGTCCAAACAATGTCATAGATATTAAAGTCTATTGATTGTTGCCATGTAATCCATTGTAATACTAGGCATCACCCAGTCAATAAATCAAATTCTTGTCGGCACCAGACCCTGTCTTGTCGGGAATACATCATGGACTCCAAGAAATGCAATCACATACCTGGTTGGTGGTTTGGAACATGAATTTTATTTTTCCATATATTGGGAATGTCATCATCCCAACTGACTTTCATATTTTTCAGAGGGGTAGGTATACCACCAACCAGATACTGTCGACCGCTTGAATCGTACCTTGTCCCGCCATTTTTTTCCCTAGCCTGGACCCTAGCAATAGCGCTGGGCCTGGATCCTCTGTGAGACCAGGATTTTTTTTGCGACAATGAGACACGTCACGTAAAGCTGTGTGTACATGGGTATGTATATTATCTGTATTCTTGTACATATATATATATATTATATAATTATATATACAATATACGTATACATACATAATTTTTTATATATACTAGTAATTATAATTATATACATTTAACTAACAACTGTATGTTGTTGTATATTATACATATCAAATCATTGGACGAACTTTGTATTCCGTTTCACCCAACTTACTTTGACCCTGAAAGTACCAATCAAAGCTTGCAAATATAGATACACGTATATAGAAACAACTGCAACATGTCGATTTTTAGATTTGAAAACGACCCTCGAGGTAATATGTAGTTCAGGTTCCGAGTGGTACTAATTCTGCCCTGCTCGTAGCCGTTTTCAAGTGCCGAACGTGTGACAGCCATCGTGCCCCGCACATTGAACTTTATCGTGACTCGTCAAACTGCAGACTCTGTTTAATTGGGAGGGATTGATGTCAGCTGATTGGAAGTTTGTTCGCTCAGTTTTTGTGCTTCAATAAATTATGGGCCTGGGTCAGACTTGGATACCCTCAAAACGCGATGATTTACTTGCTATACACTGCTGGGATTCATCAATGTGTGTGGGTTGGGGCCTGGGGTATTAAAATTTGACCCGAATCCCAATTGTTGAGTGTTTGTATGTCCATGTCAATGTTCACCTGGCATTCTGAAACACTTTTGAGTTTTATTCATCTATTCATTTATGTACTGATTATTTACATATTTGTTTGTCATTGCTTTGAACAGTGTTATCAAGGATTTTCAATCACCAAAAATGTTGCAAAACAAAAATCCTGAACCAAAAAAATACTGGTTCCATAGCCGGATCGGAGGTCTCACCAATGAAACTCAAAGCGAACCATCGTTTTTGTCTCTTTTTTCCAGTGGCTGTGGAGCCAGAGTGGAGCCAGCATTGAAAAACAACTCAGTTAATGAAGTCGCTTATTTTAGTGTGGTAAACCATGGTAAACCCAATAATTCATTAACCATCCCCAATAAATTTCAATAGAGGATTTAGAGGATTAGTATTTCCGAAAGCTCCTGCGAAGGCTTTTTCCCAAAGAACTGCTGAAATCAGCTTCTCACTCCAGCTACATAACACCTCCTACATCCTTTGCATCACCTACAGCATCTACATCAACTTCATCTACATCACATACATCATCTATGTCAACTTCATCTACAACACATACAGCATCTACAGCAACTTTTTTCCAACGGTGCTCAATCTCCACATATTATTACAAAACTGTTACACAGAAGTCTTTGCACATGGGAGATTACACAGGAGTTCTCACATAGGAGTTCTTACATAGAAGTTGTTACACAGGAGTTCTTCTACAAGAGCTGTTACACAGGAGTTGTAACATAGGTAGGTGATCTACTTGTATCTGAACTCCTACAAAACTCCTATTTAAACTTGCCTGCATGTAAAAGCTCTTCTCTTTAAAGATTCCTGTGTGTAAAAGCTTCTGCGTGTAAAAGCGGTTGTGTGTAAACGCTCCTCTCTGTAAAGACTTCTCTGTGTAAAAGCTTCTGTGTGTAAACGCGTCTGTGTGTAAAAAGCTTCTGTGTGTAAAAGCTCCTCTGTGTAAAAGCTTCTCTGTGTAGAAGCGTCTGTGTGTAAAAGCTCCTCTGTGTAAAAACTTCTGTATAAAGGCATCTCTGTGTAAAGACGTCTCATGTGTAAAAGCTTCTGTGTGTAAAAATACTTTTGTGTAAAAGCTCCTGTGTGCAAACGCGTCTGTGTGTAAACGTATCTGTGTATAAGAGTTTCTATGTGTAAACGCGTGTGTGTGTCAACGCTCCTATGTGTAAAACCTTTTCGGTGTAAAAGCTTTTGTGTGTCGGAGCTCCTCTGTGTAAAAGGCTTCTCTGTGTAAAATGTAAAAGCTTCTGTGTGTAAAAGCCCCTCTGTGTAAAGACTTTCCTGTGTAAAAGTTCTGTGTGTAAAAGCTCCTCTGTCGAAAGACTTTTCTGTGTAAAGGCATCTCTGTATAAAGAATTCTCTGTGTAAAAGCTCCTCTGTATAAAGGCTTTTATGTGTAACAACTTCTGTGTGTAAAAGCTTCTGTGTGTAAAAGCTTCTGTGTGTAATGCAATGAGTCTGTGTGTCAGAGCTTTTCTGTGTAAAAGCTTCTCTGTGTAAAAGCTTCTGTGTGAAAATGCCTCTGTGTGTCAAAGCTGCTCTGTGTAAAAGCTCCTATGTGTAAAGACTTCTTTGTATAAAGGCATCTCTGTGTAAAGACGTCTCTGTGTAAAAGCTTCTGTGTGTAAAAAACAACTTTTGTGTGCAAAAGCTCCTGTGTGCAAACGCGTCTGTGTGTAAACGTGTTTGTGTATAAAAGCTTCTGTGTGTAAACGCGTGTGTGTGTCAACGATCCTATGTGTAAAACCTTTTCGGTGTAAAAGCTTTTGTGTGTAGGAGCTCCTCTGTGTAAAATGTAAAAGCTTCTGTGTGTAAAAGCCCCTCTGTGTAAAGACTTTTCTGTGTAAAAGTTCTGTGTGTAAAAGCTCCTCTGTCGAAAGACTTTTCTGTGTGTAAAAGCTTCTGTGTGTAATGCAATGAGTCTGTGTGTCAGAGCTCTTCTGTGTAAAAGCTTCTCTGTGTAAAAGCTTCTGTGTGAAAATGCCTCTGTGTGTCAAAGCTGCTCTGTGTAAAAGTTCCTCTGTGTAAAGACTTCTTTGTATAAAGGCATCTCTGCGTAAAGACGCCTCTGTGTAAAAGTTTCTTTGTGTAAAGGCGTCTGTTTTTCAAAGCTCCTCCGTGTAAAATCTTCTCTCGCTGTGTGTGTAAACGCGTCTGTGTGTAAAAGGTCGTTAGTGTAAACGCCTCTGTGTGCAACAGCTTCTGTGTGTAAAAACTTTTGTGTGTAAAAGCTTCCTGTGTGTAAAGACTTCTCTGTGTAAAAACTTTTGTGTATAAAAGGTCCTCAGTGTAAAAGTTCTGTGCGTAAAGACTTCTCTGTGCAAAAACTTTTGTGTAACTGTAAGCATGTTTGTGTGTAAAAACTTCTGTGTGTAAAAACTTCGGTGTGGAAAGGCATTTGTGTGTAAACGCGTCTGCGTGTAAAAGCTTCTGTGTGTAATGAAATGCGTTTGTGTGTGTCAAAGCTCTTCTGTGTAAAAGCTTCTCTGTGTAAAAGCTTCTGCGTGAAAATGCGTCTGTGTGTCAAAGCTGCTCTGTGTCAAAATGTCTGTGTGTAGAAGCCCCCCTGTGTCAAGACTTCTCTGTGTCGCAGGTCTGTGTGTAAAAGCGCCTAACTTTGTGTAAAGACTTCTCTGTGTAAAAACGTCTGTGTGTAAAAACTCCCCTGTGTAAAAGTTTCTATGTTGTGTAAAAGCTTCTGTGTGTAAAGACTTCTTGTGCGTAAGGGCCTTTTTGTGCAAAATGTTCTCTGTGTAAAAGCTTCTGTGTGTAAAAGTTCCTCTGCGTAAAAAATCCTCTGCGCAAAGACTTCTCTGTGCAAAAGTTTTCGTGCAATTCCCTTGCGTCATCGCAGTCATTTGAATAGACGCCGTGGGGACACACAGATATACACATGTTAAAAACAATTTCATAATCATTCGTTGGACACTTGCTAATTAGCCATTATGCACCCATAACCTCATTCATTTTTCATCATCATTCATCATCCTTTACCATCATTCATCTTCATATCCTCTCTTCCATCCTGTTTTGATCTACTCCCTCCGGCTTTTCTTTCGGGCCACACTGAGGTTTAGTTGGGTGTATCCCATAGGTGTCGGCCCAAAAGCCCCTTCCAGTGGTACACCGGACCTAGCTAATGCTTGGGCGGGGTTGCTGACTTAGGGATTTGTCCCCACCTTCCTTGGTTGGCTCCTCACCATCGTGCAGCCATGGATCTGACACTGGAAACAGACATCCTACGTGCAATTGATGGGGCACATGTTTCGGTGATGTGTGAAACAGCTTTCAGATACCCAGGAGTTTCAGTTTGCTGCTCAACAATTCATAGAGCTACCTTTTTCACTTCGGTTGATTTGAATCCAGCTCTTGGTTCAGCAGTCCTTCTCAATTTCCAGAAGCGTACCATTGGTGGCAAAATCTGGTTGGAACCTTCAGATGGGTCTCATTTCTTCCAAAGGCAAAACCCAGATCTCACGAAGCAATTGACTATGATTGAAACGTGTGCAGGGATTGGAGCAATGGGAGTGGGATTCAGCCAATGTGGCATTGACACGGCATGCTACAATGATTACAACCCCAATTTTTGCAAATGGCTCCGCACCAAGACAAATGTTCCGGTAGTTGAGGGCAACATGACCAGCCCCAGCACGATCCATGCAGTGCACTGTGCAGCACCCAGTGCACAGTTCATTTCCGGTGGTGTGGCTTGTCAACCCTTTTCAGCTTTGGGAGACCAATTGGAACAACATGATCAGCGCAGTGAATCATTCACAGGTTTGCTTACCATGGCATACTTTTTCAAAAGCTTGGTGATTTTCATGGAATGTACCAAAGAAGCACTCCAATCAACATGGGCTCAAGAAACGTTGAACAAGTTTTGCCTTCAAACTGGCTACATGTGTCAACAGGGGTTGTTGCAGCTTCACCAGATTTGGCCTGCTTACCGCACCCGATGGTGGGCAGTACTGTTCCATCCAAGCCTGCATGTACAGAGCATTCCGCCTGTTCCAAAGATGCATTTCGAGCCGAGCATAGTCCACTTATTGCCATGCCTGATGCAATTGACTCCAGAAGAAATCGCACAGCTTGAACTGAGCATCCACGAAACTGCCATGTTCAGCGCCCAACCCAAAGGAATTCTAGGGAGTGTGATTGACTTATTCAAACCGATGCCAACAGCAACCCATTCCTGGGGAAACCAATGCCAAGGTTGTGCTTGCGGCTGTCGATCAGAAGGTTTTGCAGCATCACGCCTTCGACAAAAAGGCCTGTATGGCCTCCTAGTTCCTATGGGGGGGGAAATTCTTTCCAATCAATTGCGTTTTTTAGCCATGAGACATTTGCATCCGCAAGAAGTGGCAATCCTGTGTGGGTTGTTTCCAAGTCATGTTTCCCCACATGCAGCCATTCCATTGAAGTTGGACCTTGCAGGAGTAGGACAACTGGCATCCCCCATCCAATCCACGTGGATTTGTGCCCATGTCATGCATGCAATGGGGATACAAGGTTTGGTGGATCCCCAACCAACACCACACCAAAGATTGGGGAACCTGTTGAAAGCTTTGCTTCAAGAAAGAGACCAGTTGGTTAAAAGAGATACTCCTACCACATCCATGCAACTGTTCACGCAGGGTTTGGAAAGCATGTTTGGGGATTTTTCCGCAGAAGAGTCACTCACCCAAGAACTTGCCCGCACGATTGATCACTTCGACGCCCAGGATGACAGGTCAGACAAGGATCAGGCTGTCGAACCGAATGCATCACCGGTGAGGCCTCCAGGGCCAGAGCATCCGAGCATGTCTTGGGAAGGATTTGGCCGAGTCCCAGCATCCGAGCACCAAATGAGTGAAGCCAATTCTAGTGCATCCGCTGTACAGAGAGGATCAGCCGAAGCTGACCATGCATCCGTGCCATCATGTCCAGGTGTGTCAGTCAGGTCAGCCAAGGGTCCCATCCGGTCAATGTCCAGTCCCCAGGAGTTGCATCATGTACCAAGTCATGAACCCTCCCATGAGACTTTTCATGCCATGCCACCTCTCCCAGTAGAGGCAGGCCCCACCCATCCCCATGCAAAAGCAGAAATACCCGACCATGCACACAGTGCTGACCTTTCAGCACGAACCATAGGTTCTCCGGCCATGACACGCGCCCACCAAGGCAGTGACGATCACAGACAAATCCAAAGCATTGCCATGCATGTCGACTCAGCCAGCATGAGCAAAGATGAAGGCTCCCAGACCAGTGGGAGAGAGCAAAGCAATCTCCACCACCAGAACCCCCAGCCTAGCTTAGCTGCCGTTCCCGCCCATGTCCCTTTTCATGCCAAGCCCCATCTCCCAGAAGATGAGGGCCCCTCCCAGCCCTTTTTCAATGCAACAACACAAGAAGAGAACAGAAACCCAAAACGCAGGCGCATGCACGTAGCCACACAAGAGGCTTACAGTCCAGCTGGAGGTGTTGCAAGTTTTGCAGCCAAAGAGAAGGAGTGTGTCAAGGAGACCAATCCACCTGAGCGTCCGAAAGCAAGGAAGCCACAGGCTTCCGATGCCATGTCAAATGCAGAAGATCCCGTGCCTGCCGTCAGAGCGGAATTGGAACGAGAGCCAGAACCTGAGGCCAGTATTCCAGAGCATCCGAAACATGAGCTGCCAAAGGCCACAGGAGTCAAACATGAGGAGGCCAAGCCAAAGTCAGTCATCACAGTCCTCGTTGGCATGATTCATGGTAACATGCATGAAGTACAGGTAGTCAAAGGCACCACCGTAGGTCAACTTGTCTTAGCTGAAGGTAGAATGATCGATGAGAGAGTCACATGGAGACCGACGAATGCGATGGGCCTCCCAGTACCCATTGCAAGTTTGCTTGACCAGGATGATGTCGTTTTCTTGAGCGACATAGCACACCCTTCGCCAGTCATCAAGTTTCATGAACATCAGTTTGCATGCGGATGCCCTGACAAGCAGGACCGGCTTCATGTTCTATGGAACCAACAAGGCTGGGTAGCGACTGATGAGATGACCTTCTACCTTCGACTGTTGCAAGACTGGGGATTACCAACAGCACCGCCAATTGTAGCTTACAATTGTTGTGACCTCAATGATTCATTGGCAGAATGGGTACTCACAGTCAGAGAAAAGGCACACCAAGCACAGAAACAGGTCACCATGCGCACAGCCATACTGTTGAATCAACACTGGACACCGGTCATGATCCAAGCTTCACCTGAAGCACTGGCAATCCACACGACACCTGCAGGTCAGGAGTTACTCCAGACATTGCCAGACATCGTATCTTTTGATGAAGCAGAATGGCATTGTGACACGGTAAGGTCCAAGTTTCCTTTTGACTGCGGGTTCCAAGCATTTGCCTGGCTTCAGGGGTATGCGTCCGGAGGCATTGCAATGCCCATGTCAGTCATCCAAGCCACAGCCATGCGACATGAGTTTGCCAAGCACTGCCTTCATCAGGATGTTTCTTTTCCGTTTGCATTGGGGGGAGTACAGGATGACAAGCATGTTCCAGCCTTGCAAGCTTTGGTCGAGACACATGGAGTTTCTCCACTAAGGTCGCAGTCGGTAGCAATGCACTTGATCGCAGTCTTAGGTAGTCAAAGCATTGGCCACACGTTGCAAGCCCCAAAGCCATGGAAAGACTTGAAGACAAAAGCCAACATGCAGAAGCCACCAATCCAGATCGTCCTCACAGATGAACTGCAAGCAGCAGTGGCTGACAGAGTCAAGCATGGACAAGTGATTGGCAAGCGCAACAACCGCAAAACTGTTGCTCAGGCCAAGGCTCCTATCGTCCTACGAGCCGACAAGATAGCAGTCCCCGATGGCATTTTCCAGCAGAGTGATGGTGTACAGATCGGACAGCTCACAGTGCATCAAATCCAAAGCAATGCCAAAGGTGTAGTAGTAGTCAATGTACAGGATGCACTGCCGTTCTTCCAACTCAATGAACCAGTCAGCTCGGAAGGCGTTGCCTTATTGATCCTGGATCACCAAGATGACCGCATTCCTGATCATAAGCAAATTGTCAAGTTTCCAGCTCACTTCTGTGACACTGATGAGCCCATCTTGGTCACAGCAGCGATGTTGCAGATTGGAAGCAAACCAGTGCAGAGACATCGCCCTGACACTTGCGTGAAAATTGATGAAGTTCCGACTCAGGTTGTACGTCTGCTGACCTACCGTGACCAAGCCAAAATGGACTGGGCCTCAATCGTGGAAGGGCCAATGAAAGCACTCCTTACTTTGGAGACTCTGGCATTCCTAGAGCAAGACCAAATCTTGGACATATGGGATCGTCAATATCTGGACAAGTCCTTCAAGAAAACGCCAGCAAAAGATGCCTACCTTTTTGCCGCCACACTCCGATTGAAAACAGGAGCTGCCCAAGAGCTCTTGGCATTGAGCGGCAAAGATGGACTTTACAGTGAGCCGAGGACAAACAATGGAAGAGCACCAGACTCCACTTTCAGAGTCATTTGGCTGCCCAGGAAAACTTTTGCCGAAGCCACTCTCATCAACCAAACAACCCATCAGAAGTCCTGGCTCGTGCGAAGTGGAGACCGACTTGGCTTGCGTGTCAAAGAAGAGGATGCATCCGATGTCCATATGCAACACCGCCCAGAAGTTAGCTACTTAGATGGTACAACAGTGATGGAGTACAAAGTGGGGCCACTGCCATGGGGTACGACAAAAATGGGCCTTCAAAAGGCATTCAAACAGTGGCAATGGCCAGCAAGGCCGGGGCAACCACAAGGCCAATCCAATGATGGGGTATTTTGGTCAGCGCAAGCTACACAGCACCCATCCCACTGGGTCTTCACCATGGCGCATGGAGATGTCCTGATATCCCATAAGGATCCCTTGAAAGCTGCAAAGACCAACAAAGAGAGCTCAGTGATTGCATCGACCAAGACCCTGAAACAAATGGCCACTCCTATGAAAAAAGTGGTTGACCAAGGCAACACAGATCCATGGCTGAATTTGACCAATGATCCGTGGGCACAAGCCCCAACCAAAGCCCCCACACAGGCTCTGACATCCGCCCAAATTGCACAGATGCAGTCTACCATCGAACAGAACATTCGAGATACGCTTGCCCCAATGGAAGATGCAGCGATGGACGGAGCTACCGACTCCCGAGTGTCAGCCTTGGAAGAGCAAGTGAAACAGCTCACCACCAGTGTGGGCAAATTGACTGGTAACATGCATACATTGCACAATCAGCAACAGCAATTGGGCACTCAGGTCCACAAGATGCAGACTCACATGGACCATCAACATGCATCGCTGCAATCGATGATTGATGGAAAGCTTGAAGCGCAGATGAGCCGCATCGAGGCTTTGTTTTCCAAGCGTGCCAAGACAGCAGAGTGACAGGGGCGCAAAGCCCGACACATATGTGCATGTCTGAGCACTGAGCTCTCTAATTCACAAGTTTGGCACATCCGAGTGGATTCCATTTTGTTCCGCCAAGGGGAAGCGACCAACCCCGGCCCATGCGAAGACAAACCAGGTTTGGTCATTGGGTCTATCAACCCAACCGGGTTGATGCACAAGAGTGCCTTTTTCTCAGAACTCCCTGCTAGCGAACATGCTATTTGGGGTGCATCCGAAACGCATTTGACACAACAAGGTGTCAACAAATTCAAAGCTGAACTTAAGTTCAACAAAAGCGAATTCAATTTTTATCCTGGGGCCCCAGTTCCCCATTTATCATCAGCTCCTAGTTCACTCGGTGGAAAGCAGACAGGAGTAGGTTTTTTCGCTACGATGCCAACCAAGCCAATTGCCAATTCTTGGCCAAAAGAGATACAAACATCTTGTCGCTTATTGTCCCACACTTTCAGGTACTGCGATCAATGGATCCATGGATCCGTCTTCTATGGCCCTGCAAAGGGTGCCGAAACAGCTGCAGTTCGAGCCGAAGCGGATAACATGTTATCCCATGTAACCCAACAACTTGTTTTTGGTCTCCAAGGCAAAAGGTTCATTTTAGGCGATTTTAATCAGTTACATGGCCAATTGCCGCAAACAGAAATTTGGACCAAACAAGGGCGGCGTGAAATACAGGATCTTGAAATGTGCCGGACTGGCAAACAGCCACAAAACACATGCAAAAATAGCACCAGGAAAGACTTTGTTTGGATCAGCCCTGAGCTACAAGCCTTTTGGGAATCCACCGGGGTAGAAAATTTGGCGTTCAAAGACCATGCTGCTCTTTACGCTAGGTTCAAGCCTTTTGGTAAACCCGAGAAAGTGCCACTTTGGAGGAAGCCCAAACCAATTCCTTGGAATAAGCTAAAAGGAGATATGCCGGTAGGTACTTTTGTTTTCAGACCAGAAAATGCTGACACCTTCTGTTTAGATTTGGCACACGAGTTTGAACAACGGGCACATGCCATGTCCCTCAGATCCACGGGTCAGCCATTACACGCGTGCCAGAGAGGACGCTCCGCTACCAGCTCCACTGTTCTGGTCCCGGAATCCCAGAGCCTGCTTAAACCGGGCAGACAAGGAGACCTCCAGCCGCAATTCCATGGCACCCATGCCACTTATAAAAGATGGTTTAAACAATTGAGGAGGTTAGAAGCGTTTGCAAGAAGCACTCATGCCAATCATAACCTTTCCCCAAATAAGATAATCCATGTAACCAGAGAGTGGAGAGCCATTTTGAATGCACCAGGTTTCCCGAAGGGTTTCCAACTGTGGTGGGCATGTCGCCCACACAGATACCCAGGGGTCCCATATGACCTACCCAATAGTCCCTTGCCGGCAGACCAAGCAGCCTTGCTTTGTCAAACTTTTGAAACTGAAGTGCGTGCACTTGAAGAGGTCTTGATCCAAGAGCTGAAAGCCAAAGCCCGAGCGTCCCATGAGGACAATCCCAACAAAGTCTTCAGGGATATGCAGAAGCCACAGGTGCCACCAATCCAAATGCTTACTGATATCTCTACAACCACGGTCACAGCAGTGGAGCCTGACGAGCAAGCCTTTTGTTTTGATGTGCCAGCCCATTTTGACCCAGAAAAGTCACTCTTGACACCACACGGTCCCATGAAAGCCATTGTAGTCGAAGAGGATAAAGTTTGGGTTGAAAACCTTAATAACCTTCAGCCAGGAGATGAAGTCACCCAAGAAACCCATATAGGAGACCTCACCAGCCTGTTTGATCGTTTTGGGGATGACTGGGCTGCCCGTTGGGACAAACACAGACACACCCCAGAGGCCTTCTGGGACCCATTGCTTGAGTTCATTGACATGGCCATACCAGCGCATGAGCCCATGAAGTATGAACGCATCACTGCAGACCAAATACGACATGTGATTAAAAGCAAAAAGCCCACGGCGGCAGCTGGACCAGATGGATGGAGTAGGCAAGACATACTGAGAATGGCGCCTGACCTTCTCCAGTCGATTGCCGACCTGTTCCACTGGATAGAAAATGGACACCCATGGCCACTTTCTTTAGTAACAGGGGTTATCCACGCACTTGAAAAGAAAGCAGGAGCATCCCAGGTGAAACACTTTCGTCCCATAACGATATTTTCCCTCATATATCGTGCGTGGAGTTCCGTGCGTTCCAGGCAAATCTTAGCTTTCTTGACAGACCAGGTCCCACTGAAGTGTTTTGGAAATGTCCCCAAGAAAACAGCCAAAGATGTGTGGTTTGGAATCCAAAGACAAATTGAAGACCACTACTTTGACAATACACCTTTGACAGGTTGCATGCTAGACTTGGTTAAAGCCTTTAACCACTTACCCCGCCTTCCAGTGATGAAAGTAGGTGTCACCCTGGGAATTGCACCACAAATTTTGCAAGCCTGGACTTCAGCCCTGCATGTCATGGAACGCCGGTTCTATATCCGAGGGGCCACAGGGCCACCTTTGAGATCATGCAGTGGCTTCCCTGAGGGGTGCGGCATGTCAGTAGTGGGTATGATGCTAATCAATGTCATCACAGACCGATGGCTCCAAGTGCGAGTCCCCAGGTGCACCCTTTGGAGTTATGTTGACAACCTGGAAATCACAGCCTCCAATGCAGACGAAGTGCAACAGGGCTACGCTGAACTGTCCAAAGTGTTAAATATGCTGGATATCCCAATAGATACGGAGAAAACAATCTTTTGGTCCACACAGCCAAAAGAAAGAAAAACGCTAAGAGAAACTGAGTCGTCGGTAGTTTTTTGGACCAGAGACCTAGGTGGTCACGTTCAATACTCCCAACAAATGACCAACTCTATCGTGACAGGTAAGATTTCCAGTTTCCAACCTAGATGGAAAGTTCTTGCAGCGTCCAAAGCCAGCTATCGCCGTAAATTGCACGCAATCAAAGCTTTGGCATGGCCCAACATGCTGCACGGGATTGCATCAGCCTTTGTCGGAGCCAACCATTTTGATGACCTCCGTACAGCAGCCTTGCGAGCCTTGGGGGAACATAGACCAGGTACGTCTCCAGTCCTCCATCTTTCGATGGTGTGTCATCCGTCATCCGACCCCGGGTTTTATGCCATATGGATCACGCTGCTTGAAACTAGAAAATACATCTCAGTGGAAGCAGCCAGTCCAATTTTAACAGAAGCCAGCAAGTCTTCTCGTCTCCATCTAGGTCCAGGCCCTTGTCACCTTTTGCTTAGGCGTATGCATCAGTTACATTGGCACTGGCATCCCATGGGGAAGTTTATAGATGAGCATGGGGAGCAGATTGACATATGGCATGCACCAATACAAGAGCTACAACAGAGAGCATGTGAAGCGTGGCAAACACAGATAGCTGGCACAATAGCGGCACGAAAAACCTTTACTGGCATGCAACACACACATGCCATGCTGAGTAACAGAAAGCAACCGTACGATCACATGGACCGAAGCCTCCTCAGAACAGTTATGAACGGCACCTTTTACACCGCAGATCATCTGCCCAAAAGAGATGAGAGCCTATCATCTAGATGTCCATTCTGCGGAGAGGAAGACTCAGTTTTCCACCGTAACTGGCAGTGCCAAGCCCTTGAAGAGGCCAGAATGGAATGCCCGATGGATGTGCGAACTCAGATATTGAATCAGCCGCCAGCCTTTTTCAATCATGGATGGGTTCCAGCGCCTCCTACACTGCAGGCATACCGTGAAAAGCTAGACGTCATTCCCAACACACCCATACAAAATGCAGAGGTGCACCTGCCAAAAGGTACACTCGACCTTTTCACTGATGGAGCGTGTAGGGGACCCAGGGATGCACTAACTCGCCTAGCGACTTGGGGGGTAGTTGTAGCAACTCCACATATAACCAGTGACTTTTCGCCAATTGATTCAGGGTTGTTACCAGGAAGATATCAGTCAGTCACTCGAGCGGAGTTATATGCAGCAATACAGGCCCTTCTTTTTGCGCGCCGTCAACAGCAGCCTTTTCGCATTTGGGTGGATAACCAGTTTGTAGTGAGAAGACTCCGATCCTTTTTGACCAATGTTTCCATTGAGATCAATGTCAACAAACCAAATCACGACCTTTTGCAACAACTGCTGGAAGTGGTGCAACATACCAAACATCTTTGTCAAGGGGTCATTAAAGTGTACAGCCATCAAGCACAAAACACTGCAACTGACCCGGTCGATAGATGGGCGTTTTGTGGTAACCAGGCAGCAGATGAATTGGCCACTCATGAGTTTTACAATCATCCAGATGTCCTGACCATGCGTCAGCAGTTGATTGCAGAAGTTTCCAGGTACGAGACCTTGCGCGACCAGGCCCATCAGGTGTTTATCAAAGTAGGTAAACTGGCAATGACGAAGAGCAGAACTGAAACCCAGCAGGCAGCGGAAGACCCGCGCCGAGATTTGCAACTTGCCCCTGTCAGGATGCGACCATGGACTTTTCCAGACCAACTGCCACCCGAGGCAGAACACTATTTTCTGGACGACTGGCCATGCATTGCTGAATGGATTAACTCCTTGCACGCAGGTGTTGGTACCGTGCAGTTTTGGTCATGGGCACAATTGTATGCAGATTTTCAGATGATGTTTGCAGACAGAGGACCCTGGTTCAACCTCAAACAGTTGCGCTGGGAATCAAAACACTCCATGCCCAATGAACCTTTTGTTAAAAGGACTCGGTGGCTCACAACGTATCTCTCAAACTTGGCAAAACAACTTGGTTTTTTCCTGCCAGCGGAATACCGGTTACCTTCTTCCCATGTCATGTGTTACTGGGTAAATACGATGCCGGTACAAATCCCTGCGGAAAGAGCCACGGAAGTTGACAGATGGCTCCAAACGTGGCGAATGACTTTCTCACACTCGAAGCAACTGCGACTGATTGCATGATTTGGACTTTTGAACCCTTTCTATGTCAAGGAGCTCTGCTGCGGCTGTGTCCTCGACGCGAATCGGAAAAGCGGAAAAGTGGGTGTATCCCATTGTATCCCTATGACTCTATGACTGGGTTACACAAACACCTAGGAACCATTGTTTCTGCGGTAACATAACTGCACCAGCCCCTGATTTTTGAAACTTTGAAGCTGTCAGATTGTCAAGGGTCAGTCTTGGAAACAGCTGATTAGGCCTCAGGGCCCCTGCATAAGGATGACACGCACTTTGAAGATGTAGGTTGAAGCTGTCAGACTGTAAAGGGTCAGTCTTGGAAACAGCTGATTAGGCCTCAGGGCCCCTGCATAAGGATGACACGCACGTCACAGAGAATTTGGTGGGCCTATGGCTCAAGATTGGAAAACAAGCTGCTGCATGGAGCGTCGTGGGTTATGAGCCCAACATGTCGCTTGTGCGCCGCCGAGACGCCTCCGTGCAGAGACGTGCTGCTAGCGCTGCGGCAGCAGCAAAAGCAGCGGAAGCAGCTGATGACTTGATGGAAAGCCTCTTGGAAGACAGCGCCAAGGAAAGGGGGTCAAAAAACCAAAGAGCCTTAGAAAGCGGACCACTTAGGGAGCATGCCGGTGAAAGAGGTAGAGCTGAGGGTGGGATGCTAGGGGACTTGGTAGGAAACCCGTTGACCTTAGGCAATGTTGACCTTGAGGATAGGCCCACAAGGAGTCAGAACCCTGAAGTCCGAAAGGTTGTTGTTGGTAAGTCTGAGGGCAGTGAAGCTAGGAAGGAGTCACCGAGGTCAAAGTCAGCTGAACCCCGAGCCCGTTTTGCTGATGAACCGCCAAGGGGTGAAAGACCGAAACCTAGTGGAAATGGCAAAGGTGTAGGAACTGGTGAGAAGAATCCACCAATAAGGAATCCGAGGAATTCCCCGGATGGTGTGGCTGGAGGTGGAGTGAAAGTCATCCCGCCTCCGGGCGGCGAATCAGTTTTGGGAGGTTCAAGTAGTAGGGGAGTTGAAAGCTACTACATAGGCGAACCTGCAGGAACTGAGGAACGTCGAACTGAGGCATGCGGATCTCAGTTGGGTTCTTCGAGACCTGTTGATCCTTGGCTTCATTGTGCCTCGGCTGGTATCCCTCCGGATGGCACTTCGTATCTTGGCGGGAATCAGCAGTGCCTTGGAAGCTGGGATAGGGTGAACCCCTTCTGGAGTCGTGAAACCCAGGTTGAAGCCACCCGGATGACTTGTGGAAATGTGGGGGGATCCCAACAAAATACTCCCCAAAAAGGTCATGTGGAAACCGACCCGATTGAACTATTCCGATTGCGGTGTTTGAGGGATGCGGAAGAAAAGTTTAGGAAGGGTTTGGCACAGATGGCCGGTGACAACTGGTCTCATGGTTCGGTTGGATCCTTTGTTAGTGCAGGGGATGAAGAAGCTTTTGTGCCACCACCGCCACCGGGCCCTCCGCCGAAGTCGCCACCACGAACCCAGCAATCCACCAATTTGTTGTGTTTTGGGGGAACCAACCTGGGGCAGTTCATTCCACCCTTTCCGCAGTCAATGGATGGTAGTGGGAATTCCCGACATGTCATGGGTGAAAATGCTGGCGAGACCCTTAGGTCTTTTGAGCTTCCGGTTTTGCATGAGAATAGCACACCCCTCCAATATGGTGATTGGCTTAGCCTGGTTGACTCACTCATGGGAGACCTTTCATACACTTCAGACATGTGGTGGGGAATGGTTCGCAATGCAGTTGAGGTGAGCCACAAGGAATGGCTTGTCTCTAATCCCATGGATAGACTGAGGATCAAACCTAAGGTGGATCCCAGGGCGGCTGGTTGGCCGAGAACGGAACGACGTGCCTTGGCGATGCTCCTAGCAGCAATTCCTGAGTCAATCCGAAATGAGATCGTTTCCACCCGAAGGATGTCAACTGAACAAGTGTTGTTTAGGCTCAGCGTTGTGTTTCAGCCTGGAGGGTCCCAGGAGAGATTCAAGTTGTTGCAAAGCCTGACGGATAGCAAGTTTGGTACCAGCGCTCCTGATGTCCTGGAATGGGTGCGAACATGGAGAAGGCAGGTTCGAAGGTCTTTGGAACTGGGAATCGTGCTGCCTGATGCATTGGTTTTGACTGGTATCCTCACCAAATGTGCCGATGTGTTGTGTGCCAAGTCACCACAAATCTCATACCGGTTGAACATGGTTCGTCAACAAATTGGTTTGGACTATCAGCCCCATGTCAACACCATTTTGGTTTTTGCGGAACATTTGCAAGCTGAGGCCGAAGAGTTGTCACTGAGTAGCCATGGAAAAACTCATGTAGGACAAGTGAAGGCTGCAGCTTTGTCCGTCCCTCCGGGGATCGAGCAACAAAGTGATGCGAAGCCTGAGCCTTCCACCAAAAAGCCTTGTAAGTTTTGGATGACCGAGAAGGGATGTAGGAGGGGTGATGGTTGTCGGTTTGAACATGTTGCTTTGGATCCCAAAAGCGGTAGATGTTTTGGATGTTCGGCTGTTGGGCACTCCCGAAAAGACTGTCCCCACAAGAATGGTGAATCAAGGGGTGATGGCCACAAAAAGACTGCCAAACTCAAGCAGGTGGACAAGGAGGCCAACCCTCAAAGGGAAGGGAAGGGCACGAGCACCAAAAAACCCAAGGGTGTTGAATCCGAAAGCGGGTCAATTTCCAAGATTGATACTGGGTTGACGGTACCACCAGGGTTGGAAGAGACCACCAAGGAGTATGGGTTAGGGGAGGATGCTGTTGTTCAACTGTTGTCGGAAACCAACACCATTTTGAAGACTATGAACCCAACCATGAAGGCTGTCAAAATCAAAAGGATTGACCATGACTCAATGGGAACCGGGCTTTTGGATGGAGGTGCAACCAACCCCCTCCGACGGGGCAGTCCGCAAGAGCTTGCTGAATCTGAGGTTGTCTTGGTCGAACTAGCCCATGGTACTGTAGAGCTACGACAACACCCGTTGACTGGTTGTATCCTCACCGAAAAGCATGTTGAACCAATTGTGCCACTGAGAGGACTCATCGACCTAGGGTATGTGATCAAGTGGTCTTCAGCTGGTTGTGAAATTCGACACCCCACGAGAGGAACCATCAACTGTTGGCTACGTAGTGGTTGTCCGGTGGTTTCTGAACCTCATGCCTTGGCTCTGATCAGTGAAATTGAAGCTGTGGAGCGAGCTAAGAGAGGGTTTCCCACCATGAATGTTGAACTTTTGGATGAAGTTTCTGAATGGTGGTCCCAACGGTTCCCCGAAGTCCCCAAAAGGGTTTGGAGGTTCATGGCTGGTCAAAATGGCACTTGGAACGCTTCGGAGTTGCCGTGGAATAGGGCCCAGAGACGTCGCCATGCTACAGCCAAGGCCCTGATCATCCACTTGTACTCAGGTGCGGACTCTAAGGAATGGAGAGATCACTGGCCGGACGATGTGGAGGTGATCACGGTCGATGTCAGGGAGGGCCAAAACGCCCACCACGCAGCGACTTGGGGGTACTTGTGGCAGCTGGCGGGATCAGGAAGGGTCATTGGTATTATAGGGGGCCCACCCTGTAGAACCACTAGTAGGTTGCTTGACCAAAAACCAGGACCACCTAGATTGCGTAGTCGAGAAGGGCTGGAACGATTCGGATTTGGTCATCTGACTTTATCCCAACAACAAAAAGCTGATGGTGACACTGCCCTCCTATTCAAGCAGGTAGGACTGTACATGCACGCTGAGGAGTCATGGAAGTACGGTGGTTGGCCGAAGGGCACCGAAACGGTTCCAAATCGGGTTGGGTTTTTGTTGGAATCACCCGAAGACCCCAAAACGTACCTGTTGAATGATGAAGGTGAACATGCGGCTAGTTTTTGGACATGGCCTGAAATCATGGGTTTTTGCGAAAAGTATGCACCTATGGGAATGCAGATGGTTCACTTTGACCAGGGTTGCTTTGGTCACCAGCGGAAAAAACCCACGTCATGTATGACCAACCTGCCTGAATTTGATGAACTCAATGAATGCCGTTGTGGTCCCAAAGAAAAGTCCCTTGAAACTAATCTCCCCGAAAGGTTGGTCCAAACCGCAAGTTGGGCTACATGGGCTCCAGGGTTGAAAAGGGCTATTCGGTTGTCCTTGCTGTTGATATGTGAATGGCATGGGATCAGGTCTCCCAAAGTAGCCAAACTCACTGGGTTGGATAGCTGGAAACAACACTTGATGCAGCAGCACCGACCATACCGTAGGGATTGCCGTGAGTGTGCACTTGAGATGGCCTCCGGGCGTCCTCACAGGCGTAGGGAACATGGTGGATCATCGGCTTGGACCATGGCTATTGATGCGGTTCCCATGAAATCTGCAAAGGACTTGTGCACGGGAAAGGTCATGAAGTATGCACTAGTAGCCACAGCCCTTGTACCTGTCTTCACTCAGGAAACTCAGGACTCAGGAACGGATCCGGAAGAACGTGACCCAGCCGCTCCTTGGGATGTTGTGGATGCCTCTTGGGGGGAGGGTGATGAAAAACCGATGGCTGATGAGAATGATGCTGATGAATATGAACCATCGATTGCGGACGATGAGGTCCCCGAAGGTAACAGTGGCGAAGCTGTTCCTATGGGTCCTCCGGGTGCTTGTGATGCATCCGGGGCGGCGGAAGCTGATGATTTGGAAAAGAAAATCATGGACATGAAAACCCCATGGAAGGTTAGACATGTGACTATGGTTGAACCAATCCAATCAAGAGCTACTGCCCATGTGATTAAGGCCCTGGATACCATCCTCACCAAAATGAACTATTTGGGGGTCACGGTTAGGAGGTTGCATTCGGATAGAGCGAAGGAACTCTTGGGTGAAAGGTTTCAGTCATGGATAGCCCACCGCAACATCTATCATTCCTTTACTTCTGGTGATGATCCCCAATCCAATGGCCATGTGGAATCTGAAATTCACCAAATCAAAAGGAGAACCCGATTGTTGCTTCGGCTTTGTGATCAACCCATGGATTGTTGGCCTCAAGTGGTTAGGTATGTGGTTGACGAACGGTTGAGAACCCAACTTTCAGCACTTGGTTCACCAGTGACTCCCATGCTACCATATTGGTCTGAAGTAGCGGTCAAACGAAAACGATGGCATGATCCTGGCCCCTTGGCTTCACCGTTTGTGGCAGGTAGGCTGTTGGGTGCTAGTCCATATATGACCAATGGTTGGATGTTTTTAACCAAGGATAACCAAGTCGTTCATGCACGGGAAGTACTTGTCCCAGACCCGTTGCAAGATCAAGCACGACTGCAGTTGATTGAAGAAACAAGTGGTCCCCCTCACATGCTTGAAGTTGATCCCAAAAAACCCCCAATGCGGTTAGTGGGAAAACAGCCCATGCCGGGTCGGATGCGGATACCACCTCTCTCAGAAATGCCGAGGTTGAACCTCGGGGGGGAGTTCTCTTCTGTAGTTCAAAAGTCGGATGATCAGGTTCCACCCCAATCCACAAAAGAACGTACGGGGGAGTCGGGGGAAAGAGAAATGTTGGAGATTTGCGACCAAATTGAAAGAGACATGGATGAGAACAATGTTGAACTCAAGGGTTGTGCGGTTTTGGAAACTCCCGAGAACCACCAAGAACGTTTGGGTAGGGTTGTCAACTTGGAGGATTGGCAGAGCGCCTTGGCTTGGCACCATGGACGTGTCACCAGATCACTGGCTGCATGGTTGGAAGTTGTTCCGACGACCGAACAACTGGGAGCGCAGTGTGCCTTGCAACTTGGCTTACTGCAAGCTGAAAGGAGTGCCTTGGAAAACCAGCTTAGGGTTGGGTTGGACCTCCAAAAACTCCGAGAAGTTCGGTTGTGCGGGTTACAAGTTGATGAAGCGGCCCCGAAAGATGGTGATGATGAAGTACTGCAAACTACCACGGTTTCTTTGGTGGATGTTCGGAAGGAGTTACCACTATGGGTTGATGCCATGAAGAAGGAGTATGATAGTCTCATTCATGAAACAAAGGCCATAGAGCCAATCGATGTTGATGATCTCCCCGAAGGATCTGAACTTGTCCCCGGAAAGCTTGTGGCAGTTAGGAAGGCTGGCCCCAAAGGTGGTAGGAGGAAGTGTAGGGCTGTGGTTTGTGGTAACTTGCTAAATGGTGCTAGTGATCCCATTCCAAATAGCTATGCTTCTGGAGCTGATGGTACACTCATTCGAACCACCATACAACACTCAGTGACCAAGGGTTGGGGTATGGGTATCCTGGATGTACGTACCGCCTTTCTCTTGGCGCCTCGGCCTCAGCCCACGGAAAGCCAACGAGAAGTGATAGTGACCCCACCAAAAGTGATGGTTGAAGCGGGGGTGTGCAAGCCACGGGAAAGATGGCGTGTGCACCGTGCTCTATATGGCTTCACCTCGTCGCCGGCGCATTGGGCTATCTACCGTGACAGCACCTTGGAAAAAATGACCTGGATGGATGGTGACCAACCGTTCTTTTTGCAGTCCACTGCCGAGGGTAACCTCTGGAAAATCATGAAGGGAAAAAAGGATGAAGGGTCACCTGGTTGTGTTGGACATGTCATAGTTTATGTGGATGATATTATGGCGTTGTCTACCCCCGAAATCCGTGAAGGGTTTTTCCAAAGGGTCAAACAGGAGTGGAAATGTTCAGATGTTGAAACCGTAGGTCAGGACCAGTGGACTCGTTTTTGTGGCTTTGAACTGAAGTGGAAAAATGATACTCAGCTGATGATAGGTCAGAGTCCTATACGAGGGAGTTGCTGAAACGACACCAGGATGTTATCCCCCGAAGTAGTCCCATGCCGAAGGTTGATATCCCCGAAGAAATAGAAGATGATGCCACGGCTCAAGAGGTCAAGGCTGCTCAAGGGTTGACTGGTGAACTACTTTGGCTGGCAATTCGTAGTAGGCCCGATCTTTCCTATGCGGTGTCGGCTATGGGAAGGCAATCCACCAAGCGACCGAGGCTGACTGTGATGTTGGGAAAGCATGTGTTGGGTTTTTTGGCTACCACAGTTGAACACTGTTTGATGTATGAAGCTGCAAAACATGATCATGGACCTTTTCAAACACTCCAAGTACCTAGGCATGACAACCTGTTGGAAGCGTTTTCTGATGTGAGTTTCGCCCCTCAGGGGGACAAGAGCTGTCAGGGTGTTGTGGTGTGCCTCGGGGGCTCTCCAGTGCAGTGGGAAGCAGCTAGGCAACCGTTCCACACTCTGAGTACTGCTGAGTCGGAGTTGGTAGGGTACTGCGAATCTAAGCTTATGCTGTCGTCGGTTGAGGCCTTGTTGGAAGTCTTGAATGCCCCCCATGGACCACCTCGGCCAGTTGAAAAAGTCATTTATGGTGATAATTGTAGTGCCATTAGTATCGCTAGTAACAGTGATGGAGGATGGCGCACACGTCGCTTGAGACTGAGAGCCTCAGGGCTTAGGGAAGCTTTGAAGGATCCCGCTGAAAACCTGACTTTGAGACACCTGAAGGGTACTGAACTAGTGGCGGATCTGTTGACCAAACCAATAGTGTCAAAAACTGAATGGGTTCGGTTTTGGGTCTTCTTGAATTTTCATGTTGGCTCGTCTGACCTCCTGGCTCCTAAGGTGACTAAGGTGCGGATGGCGACTGAGGTACCTGTGGACGACCACTTCAACTCCTTCAACCAAGTTGTGGACCTCATGAAGGCGCTGGCGCGGGCGGCAGCTGAAACTGGCGGGCGGCTGCGGGCGGCTTGCTCGGTGATGCTGACGGCGCTGACTTCGGCTTGGCGTTGGATAGCTGCTGGACGTGCCGAGGCAGCTGGGACTGTAGTTGCCCTTGCTGATCCTGCAAAGGTTGAGAAGAGGGGGGAGGAAGAAATAAAAAGAGCCAATGGCCTGAAAAAGAAAACTCAAGAAGCTAGGGAGAACGAACCAGCTCAAAAAAGGAAGGAGGAACCTCCGAGGGTGAAAGGTGAACCCGGTGGTTCAAATTGGCCCAAGGAACATGAACTGGGACCAATTTCAGAAAATCCACAACCTTTTGGGGAATCCCCCAACTGTTTTGGGAGTGAGCCAAAAAACCACGAAGGGCCCCCTTTTGGGTTGTTTGATGGGCCGGTGGTAGGTGCAGTGGAACGTGGTGGAAAGGCGCTTGAACTTGAAGGTAGAAAAAGGCCAGCTGTGTGGCCAACCTCACCTCAAGTGAACCACTGCCCGCAGGGCTGCCCATCCAACCGGCCGCGACCTGTGCTGAAGGCCGTGGCGTCTACTGCGGCGGCTGCTGCTGCGAGGCCTTGGGAAGGTGGCCGTTTGATTGCTCCGCCTACTGGCCCCAAGGATCACTGGAGGGTGATGGAGGAAGGCGGCGTGATGTGGATCTTGAAATGCCATGTCAAGCCACGCTGGCAGCCTTTCCACCCCTTGAAGGGTACTTTGCCCTGTGGTGCTGCTGCCGACCTGGAACTATTGAGGGTGCAGGTTCGTTTTGGACCTACAGGGAACCGGAGTGTCTTAGAAGATTCCTGGATGGATCCGGTCCTGAAGAACCGTGAAGAGAAATGGACCGGCTATACGCTGTTCCGAATGAGGAGAGCACCAACAACGGCACCTACCGCTTCGGGGTCGAGGCTGGGCCCTCGAGCGGGCTACCTGGGGAACTACCAAGGAGATGAAGGCGGCCACTCCGATTTGGAAGTCATGGTGGGCAGGCGAGTCCACATCCAAGTCAACCGGTCCGCCGGGTCTGAGAGTGGGCCCCGCTTACACAACTATGCCGATGTGGGTGAAGCGTTGGGTATGGGCCCCTATGTCGGTATGACTTCACCGACTCCAACCACCGAGTCCTCAATGGTGCACGGCCCTGCTCGAAGCTTCGCCGCCGAAGACCAACCAGTGGTGAGCCGCAGAAGTGAGACAAGCAGCCGTTACGGAAGACCTCAATCGATCCAGGCTCGAGGACAAGCCGTGATGCCAAGGAGTTTTCGACCTGGGGAAGACCATGATTGGGAGCTTGTGACTGAGGATGAGGAGGAAGACTGAGAGCCGGGGTTTTTGTTTTCCACGAGGAAAAGGGGGAGTGCGGTAACATAACTGCACCAGCCCCTGATTTTTGAAACTTTGAAGCTGTCAGATTGTCAAGGGTCAGTCTTGGAAACAGCTGATTAGGCCTCAGGGCCCCTGCATAAGGATGACACGCACTTTGAAGATGTAGGTTGAAGCTGTCAGACTGTAAAGGGTCAGTCTTGGAAACAGCTGATTAGGCCTCAGGGCCCCTGCATAAGGATGACACGCACGTCACAGAGAACTTGGTGGGCCTATGGCTCAAGATTGGAAAACAAGCTGCTGCATGGAGCGTCGTGGTTTCAATACCTAGGTTGATTGGTTAAGACGTGTACTATGGGTTGCATACTAATTACCCCAGTTATTGGGGAAACTTGCTAACTCATAGTAAGGAAACTGCTTTCAACCAGCTAGTATTTCATGAGATGGGAAAACGGGGTATTTGTGATGGCAAATTCTTGTTGTGAGGTGACAGCCTAAAAAATTGTAAGCAGTGAAAAACTATGTCCATGGCCCAAACCCCAGATACACCGAAGTTTCTATATTTACCCTCTGGTAAACTAACATAGCTATTGAATATGGCCCATTTAGTTCGCTGATTTACCCATTAATAGCATGGTGATTTTCCAGTTCGCTATGTCATAACCAGAGGCTAGTCAATTGGTGGTTTCTCCTATGTATTGATTTTCAACCCTGGGTCCTAGCACATGATAAGGAACCAGGCTGCTGTTAGCCATATTGGTATCATATAACATTACCAAAGATGTGTTGATTGCCGCACATTCATCGACTTTGTAAGATGAATTGGGGGCAATTCCGGCGAAACCCATGCGGGCCTGCATGGAATGTTGTGTGGAGAACCAAATTCAACGGCAATCAACACATCTTTGTTCGGCTTTCTTTGGACACTCACCAGGCTGCTGTTAGCCATATGATATTTAAACCATCCAATTTTGACTATGACCTGCCCATTTCAGTTGGTCAAGTTGGTGTTTTCATATCCTAATTCAGGCCAGTTTCTGAAGAAATTCAATTTTGCGTTGCTAAAATCACTTCAAAACCATCATTTTTTTACCCACTTCCACCATGATTTTGTGGGTCCTTTCCAACATGATCCCACATAATTCCAAGACAACTAAAACAACAACACCAACAAGAATTAGTTTTACATACCATCTTTTCTTCACCAGTCAGTTGATGGTTGTTCAAAAAAAATCAACATCAATAACATCACATCCAACTTTCGAAAGCAAAACATGGGCTGCTCTTACCGTTCCACCGTTCCGGTTTTTTTTCGGCAACCCAGGTGATGCAGTTCCGCTCTTGGTTGGTCGGTGCGTTAAGTTTCTTCTTCCTCTCCGGTGTCCTCCAGGGATGTCGTCAGGAAAGCACGACCGCCACCGGGCTGAAACGGCACAGGTTGACTCCCCGCTGATTGGTCAATGAGTTGGTGTTGAAACATCAATGAGTTGGAGTCTTAGCCGTTAAACTCACTAAACCTATGGATAGAGTTGATAGATTCTGGTTCATTGGTTGTGAAATGGGAGTTATGAACCTGCCTGGCATATAGGGATTATCATCAGCCATGTTGGGCATTCCTGTTAACCAGCCGGTGGAATAGTATGACAGCGGATTTTGAACACTGTTCGAATGAACCTCCAGGAAATTCCGAAAACTATGGAAAAACCGGGAGTTTCACGAAGAAAGAAGTGGGATGTTCATGGAGATAAGATAACCAAAGATTGTGGTTTTCTAGAAAAAACATGAAACACGGTGGATGGAATTAAGGAAAAGATCGGGTTTTGAGATGATTTAAACGACAAAACGGATTTAGCCTAGAAAGTTGGGGATATCAACCCGATCCTGTCCTCCACCACGAGGGAAATGCTGAAATGTGGGTTGAAGAGAAGCACACTTTGGGGTGCAAGCACGTAGTCTAGTACCTTAAGTGTTCATGTTGATTGTAGTTTATGGATGTTTTTTGGGCTAAAACAAAATAGACCAAGTATGAGGCTTGATGGTTGTTCACTGGACTAACCATAGTTTTTTTTGTTTTAAATTTCAGCCATCGTCCACTCAACAATGATGTTTTTTGGGTCCGGAAAGAAATTTAGTGGACACATGTCACTGGAACATTGAGCAACACAAACTGGGGGAAGAGTGGGTACATCATGAAAAAAACAAAGTGCATCAGACAGGTATTCGATATGGAGACCTGGGTCATTCACTGAGTCCTTCACTCGCAAACATGAGGGAAACTCATACAAAGTCGGGACGTCAGCAACCATGGAGTGACTTCACCAAGAAAATGGCAATGTGCCAACATTGATAAGTTGGGATGAGTCTAAATTACAATGCCTGTATTATACACGTACAATATATATATATACACACTATATTATAGAGTATAGTCATGCAATTCAATTCATGTATTTATATACATACCGTCATTATACTAACAAGGCTACATATTTATAGATATGTTCCAACAGGATCACCTCTCAGAGTATATTGTAAAAATCTAGCCTCACATGTTCAGATCTTCCAGGGTTTTTAGATCTACTGTAAGAACTATAATATGACTCAGATCTCCCTTATCCTTTTCCAGTTCTGGTTTGATTTTCCAACATCCAATCTTACCTCCAATCCTGCCCCTGAAAATTGCAATCAAGTGCAAGGTGGACCCCAGTTTCATGTAAGTTGATCATGGGAGACTCAATGGAATGCGTGGATACAAAAACACTTCAGGCATATTGGGCTTCTGAGTGATAGATTGATATATCCATCATGACAAGCGTGTGAAAAGAAAGTGTTTGTTCAAATAGTCTACAGTTATGGCCATTTATCAGTTATAACTGGTTATAAGTGGGATTATACATTCTATAAATGGGATTATACATTCTATAAATGGGGTTATAAGTACTTACAACTGGTAAAGGGCCATAACTGTAGTTTGTTTCCAGCCAGCTTGGCTATCTTTTGCTTGTCCCACCTTGTATCAATCTCAGGACGATCATGATGACCACGGTGATCACGAGGGCCACACCCACACGGATACAGTGACCATGACCATGACGACCACTGTGGCTCCGTGAGTGGCGCCGAACGGCGGGCGAACAAGAACTGGCATGACCAACTGAACTGTGGGGGTCTTACAGTACCCTCTGGTAAATTAACATAGACCCTGGCAGATAGGGGTTGGAAGACTAGTTTCCATTAAAAATTGGTGATTTTCAGGGTCTATGTTTATTTACCAGAGGGTATATCGTAGGTTGAAAGGATGAAGGCATAGGGCAAGCCACTAGGTCACTAGGTCACTGGGCCATTCTCCAACATGATTTGCAAACTCTGGAGGACGTTTGTTTGAGAATCCCAAGCTACACTAACTGAAATTGGCCAAAGCCTCAGGGTAGAGTTTAGCCAGCATTGATGCCCCAGAACAGGCGGTATACAGGTGGTCGTACTGCCAGGGTCTATCTATATGGTACTCCATCGGGAAAGCCTGACCGAAGTGAATGGCTTCATGCTGCTTTGAACTGAGTCCTTTTCGCGCAAGCGATCTGCCTGGAGAAGAAATATGAAGAAATTCACATCACATGACATCCCTTCTGTGTTCCAGTGGTTCCACGGGAAGTTCTTGTTAAACAACACGAGTGGAACATAGAGGGCTTGAGTTGGACAGAAAGCCATGTAGGATAGTCATATCACGATAGGAGCTCACTAAAATGTTATTTGTCAAGACGGGTTGGCAAGTTCATGGCCTAGTTTCTTGCCACATATTGGATTTAAAACGATTTGCATTGGCTTTGGAGACTGGACGACTTGTGAAAACTAAGGTTGTTTGCCGCCATGGTTTTGATTTACTGTACTTTGGTACCAGCAGTACCGCACAAGGTGGTGTCGGAAGTTTCAAAGATAGGACGCTATAGGAGAGGTGAGTTGTTGTGATGCATGGATGGCAGAGCGAATCCACTGATGGGCCGACATGTTTTTTGGAGTGCTTGCAATGGTTGCAGTGGTCACCTCACCCACAATTGCTGGATGTAGTGTGGTGTAGTGCAGCTGTAGTTGTAGTTGTAGTGTAGTGGAGTTGTAGTTGTAGTGTAGCAAAATTAGTGTAGTGCAGTTGTAGTTGCAGTTGAAGTTGTGGTGTTGTGCCATGACTGTAGTGTAATGTAGTTTAGTGTAGTGTGCTGCAGTGTTGTGCTTTGTAGTGTAGTCTAGTGTATTGTAGTCTAGCGCAGTTGTAGTTGCAGTTGCAGTAGTAATAATAGTAGTAGTAGTAGTAGTAGTAGTGGTAGTAGTAGTAGTAGTCGTAGTGGTAGTGGTAGTAGTAGTAGAAGTAGCAGTAGCAGTAGCAGTAGAAGTAGTAGCAGTAGTAGCAGTAGTAGTAGTAGTAGAAGTAGTAGTAGCAGTAGTAGTAGTACTACCAGCAGTAGTAGATGTAGTAGAAGTAGTAGTAGTAGTAGCAGTAGTGGCAGTAGTGGCAGTAGTAGTAGTAGTAGTAGTAGTAGAAGTAGTAATAGTAGTAGTCAGTTGTTGTAGTTGTAGTTGTAGTTGTAGTAGTTGTAGTTGTTGTAGTAGTAGTAGTAGTTGTAGTAGTTGTAGTAGCTGTAGTAGTTGTAGTAGTTGTAGTTGTTGTTGTAGTAGTAGTAGTAGTAGTTGTAGTAGTTGTAGTAGCTGTAGTAGTTGTAGTAGTAGTAGTAGTAGTAGTAGTTGTTGTTGTAATAGTAGTAGTAGTAGTAGTAGTAGTAGTAGTAGTAGTACTAGTAGTAGTAGTAGTAGTAGTAGTAGTAGTTGTAGTAGTAGTTGTTGTAGTGGTAGTAGTAGTTGTAGTAGTAGTAGTAGTAGTAGCTGTTGTAGTTGTTGTTGTTGTTGTTGTTGTTGTTGTTGTTTGTATTTGTAGTAGTAGTAGTAGCAGTAGTAGTAGTTGTTGTTGTTGTTGCTGTTGTTGTAGTTGTAGTAGTAGTTGTTGTTGTAGTTGTTGTAGTTGTTGTAGTTGTTGTAGTAGTTGTAGTAGTTGTAGTAGTTGTAGTAGTTGTAGTAGTTGTAGTTGTTGTAGTTGTTGTAGTTGTAGTAGTAGTAGTAGTTGTAGTAGTTGTTGTTGTAGTTGTTGTTGTTGCTGTTGTTGTTGTTGTTGTTTGTATTTGTAGTAGTAGTAGCAGTAGTAGTAGTAGTCGTTGTTGTTGTTGTTGTTGTAGAGCTAGTAGTAGTAGTAGTAGTAGTAGTAGTAGTAGTAGTAGTAGTAGTAGTAGTTGTTGTTGTTGTTGTTGTTGTTGTTGTTGTAGTTGTAGCTGTGGTGTATTGTAATGAGTGTAGCGTAGTGTTGTGTACTGCAGTGTAGTTGTAGTTGTAGTTGTTGTTGTCTATCTATTTTTTTTGAGCTACCTGTCTGTCTGTCTATCTATCTATCTATCGATCTATCTACCTATCGATCTATCGATCTATCGATCTATCGATCTATCGATCTTTCTATCTGACTATCTATCTACCTATCTAATTTATCCATCTGTCTATCTGCAAGTTTGAAAACGAAACAATTCTGCGAGACGTCCTCAATTCTCGAAGTTGACAACAAAACGAAGCAATTCTGCGTGATTTCCTCAATTCTCGAAGTTGACAGCATCAAAAACGAAGCAATTCTGCGAGACGTCCTTCAAATATGGCAAGTTGAGTGCAGAGCTCACGGCATCGTATCGATGCGCCTTGCGATTTCTCCATTCCATCTGTCTGAAGTACGGCGCCTGCCACGAAAAAGTGATGCCAGGTCATACGAAGTGCTGTGCCTGTCACACAAAATCAGCTTAGCAAACCTGACGATCTGATGCTCCAAAATGCATCTCCTCTCAGGAAATCAGCGCCCGGACCTCCTGACATCTCTGATGAGCATCACGCCTGCCAACATTTTTGGAAATGCTACAAAGCCCTCACATCTTGCTCACTTTTGGCGAGGTGAGGAATCCCTTGCGCCCGCCACACGAAACAACGCTTCAATGTCCAAGAGTGGTCCAAGCATGTGGTGTTTACCATGTTGACTTCGAAATGTGCTTCGCGCCAAAGCGGCGCGCACTTTTTGAAGATCTCATCTTCCAAAAGTGCTCCGAACCCGTCTGTTTTTAACACTTTTGACTTGGACAGATGCTGCGCGCCACAGCGGCGTGCACTTTTCGACATCTCAACTTCCAAAAGTTGTCCGGAGCTGAGGTGTTTTGTACATTTTGACTTCGAAATGTGCTTCGCGCAACAACGGCGTGCAATTTTTCATCTCTCATCTGGACAGATGGCTCCGCACTTGCCGCTTTCGCGAGCCTATACTATACTTTTCAACCCCACGGAGCCACAAATCATTCGAAAAACATATGGTTCGCGACTTTTCTACCTTTTCGCGCACCTGCATCTTCTTCCTTCTGACTCTTTCTTCTGACCCTTTCTTCTGACTCTTTCTCTTCTCTTCTCTTCTCTGATCTTCTTTCTTCGTTCTTCGTTCTTCTTTCTTCTTCTCTTCTCTTCCTCTTCCTCTTCCTATTGCTCTTTCCTCTTTCCTCTTTCCTCTTTCTTCTTTCCTCTTTCCTCTTCTCCCTCTCCTTCTCCTTCTCCTTCTCCTTCTCCTTCTCCTTCTCCTTCTCCTTCTCCTTCTCCTTCTGCTTCTGCTTCTGCTTCTGCTTCTCCTCCTTCTCCTCCTTCTCTCCTTCTCCTTCTCCTTCTCTTTCTCTTTCTCTATCTCTTTCTCTTTCTCTTTCTCTTTCTCTTTCTCTTTCTCTTTCTCTTTCTCTTTCTCTTCTCTTCTCCTTCTCCTTCGCTTCTCTTCTCTTCTCTTATCTTCTCTTCTCTTCTCTTCTCTGACTCTTCTCTGACTCTTCCCACCGCTGCTTTTTCATCGGCCTATATTGCCGGGAATTTGACTTCTAAGCTTCCTTCGGTCAATTTTGCAGGGGCAATCGTAGACCAAAACCTGAAGGTTGTAGACGTCCATCCTCATGGTCAAAGGTTCATCGGTTGTTCTGGAGACATAAATGGAGAACAACCGAGACATGTGCATCCGAGAAAATCCCACTGAGAAACCACCCTTTCAGGCTATCCAGTATACTTTTCGCCATCTCTTTGCTGCCTAGACCTTGATGACTTCGACATTTTCAACAAAAAACACCAGTCAGTCGCATGACCTCCCTCGCACTACGACGGCATCGCAATGATCATGTGTCGCGACGCATGGCAAAAAAAGGCCGTGCGGGGCATTGCACAAACGCGCTGTGGATGGCAGGGACTACCCAAAAATACGACCGGCTGATGGATGTTTATTCCCCCGAAAGATGGCGACACTATCAACACCAGATGAACACCCAATGTTTACATCCATCAAAACCAACTATAAACACCCAGTGAACTATTTTTGTTGACCCATCCCCACCTGTGAACCCAGTAAGCGCATTCGAATTTGAAGGTCAGATGGATAGGCAGCCATGTGGATTGAGTCAAGCTGGGATATTGGCCCTTCTTGGCCCCAGAGTGTCCTGAAGGGTTGGGTTTCAAGCAACCAAAACAGCCATCATAGTCACCACAATATGTGGAGTCGACCATCCAAATGGGGGATTTCAAACGCGCCCAGCAGTTGTTGATCAAGGCGTGCTTGTCTCCTGACCGCAGGTTTTGACGAACGTTGGTCTTGGATGTCAGAAACCATCTCCAGGGTTGCTCCAACCAAGAATATAGCCTCTGGTAAACTAACATAACTATGGGAAATCACCATTTTTAATGGGAAAACCAACTATAAATCACAATTTTCAATAGCTATGTTGAATTACGAGAGGGTAGCTATTCCTAGCCACAAGGGGTGAACATGGGTCATTTGACCTCTAGAGCTTCACAAAAAAATTGCCTCCGAAGAGTAGCTTCGAACCAGCCAGTTATCCAACGTTGCTGCTTTGGCTGAACGATTACATCCCCTGTAATTTTGAAATTTAGGGAGATGAAATCACAAAACCTCTTTTTTGGGGGGTCGTTTAAAATTATATTTTTAAATTTACCTTTTGGCTGATGACCATGAAATCCTGGTGTTTGGGGGTGCCTGTCTTCCAGGCATTGAGAAATTCTGAGGCAGTGCTTCCAGACACGACGCCAGCTGTCCGGATCCATGGCAATGGGAAAATCTCCCATTTTCAATGGCCAGTAGGTTAAATCCCGCATTGGTACACCTGGCTTTGTCAACCGGCAGCCCTTCCCTTGGCCCAGTATCTTTGGAACATGAATAGGCTAAAAGATGGTAAAAGTATGTTCCAAATTGGTAGATCGCCACATTTTTCTACTTACTTGGAGACTCTGGGGCAACTAAAGCTTCAAATCCCAGCTTTGGGGTAGAACATGGTAGAACATTGACCCAGTTTTGAGGGAATGGGTCCTTTAAACTCTGGCGAAGGTTCAATGGAGCACCAACCATCTTTAAAATTTAGGTATATATAGACTTTCATTTTACAGTTGCCAATGTAATATATTGTAATATAATGTAATTAATTTAGTACTTATTATTATTATCGTCAATTATTCTTCGTGTTATTATAGTTTTTGTTACTAACTATTTATTATAATTAAAGATATAGCATTACTATGTTTATTATTATTACTCTTTGGTTATTTAACATAGCCATGGAAAGTGGTCCATTTATAGATGGTTCACCTATTAAACATGGTGATTTTCCATGGCTATGTTAAACAACCAAAGGGCACTATATATATATGTATATATATACTGGTTGGTGGTTTGGAACATGATTTTTATTTTTTCTATTAATATTGGGAATGTGATCATCCCAAGTGACTAACTCCATCATTTTTCAGAGGGGTACAGTAGTAGGTTGAAACCACCAACCAGATGAATATCTAAGAATATCTCAGAGTTCCTACAATGTGAGGCCCCCAAGATAGTGTTCAGTTGGTGCAAATAACTCCAATAACTATGGTTTATGGTACGCAAATAACTATAGTTACTGGGGCGAATCTAAGCCAACAAACATATCTGGGGGGGGCCACATTGTATGGAATATCCATGGATTTCCCATGGATTTCCCACGGATCGGAGCAGTGCCAGATTTCAATGCGAAAAAGATACGTCACGGTGGTTGCACCGTTGTCCGGGAAGTTCAGAGATTGTGCAGTCTGAAAATAGCTGCTTGGTGCTTTGGAACATTAATTTTATGACTTTCCAGAAACAGTTGGGAATGTCATCATCCCAACTGATTTTCATTTTTTTCAGAGTGGTAGGTATACCACCAACCAGATAGGCTACTCAAGATTCAAACAATTTCCTGAATCGCCATTTTCCAAAATAAAACGGTTCTTCGGGGGGGTTACCCAATTTTTTTCCGACACACCCAACGAAGTGCCACGATGAAACGTCGTCACTGGTAGAACATCCTCGCATCGCCAATTCTTCCGGTCACGTGTTTTCCTTTGTCACATTGACGTTCCCCAAGCATAGTAGTGGATAGTAGTCGTATATGGCGTCCTGTATTATGGTTTCTGTAAATCTTTATATCTGTGTATAACGTCATACGCATTGTCCTGTGTCAAAAGACCTGTATATCTGTATATAACATCATATAACATCATATCACATCATCTTTATATCTGTATTAATAACATCATACGCTGGTGCATGAGGCATCTTATTTTGTCAAAAGTTGCTATGTGTTGCTGTTCAGAGGGTCATCCTTACATGGATTTCCGTGGATTTCCGTGGATATCTTTGGTTCAAGTCCAAGTCTCACCCAATGATCAATGGGAGATCTCCAGGATCCAATACATGGAGGTAAGTTAGTACCATATGTTTGGCCATATTTTGTGGGGATATTCCATTACATAGGCCTCAAAAATAGGCCTTATATATATATGGTAGGTACCTCCAATGAATCGGATCCTGGAATGGCCATTAAAATGATGAGAAAACACGACAAAGATCGATCACTTCGCCACTGTCCATCCAAAATCCATCAGACTTAACAAAAAAAGGCACACATTCACAGGCATTCTTAGGTACACGTTGCAAAGCAGTGTATCGGCCACTCCAAAGACACTTTTCGAGCCTTGTTCTTGCTCTTGTTCTTGTTCTTCTTGTTGTAGTAGTTGTCATTGCGATTGTTGGTTGAATTCACGTACTCTTACCACTTTCATTACTGTTATCCTTACTGAGATCAAGTGTACTTTTGGTCTTGGCATCTCTTCTGACGCTGGACCCAGTTTCAAATCAGGCACAATCCGCAGCACGATGTACCTGTCTCCACCCTGTGCCATGTAGTTTATGTGTCACAGATGAGGCAGGGTCTGGTAGATACCCGTTTAACATCGGTGGCAGTTTGTCAATGGGAATTCCAGGATCCTAAAATGGAGGTATTGTACCATATAAAGCCATATTTTGTGGGGATATTCCCTTACATAGGCCTCAAAAATAGGCCTTATATATGGTAGGTACCTCCAATTTAGGTTCCTGAAATGGCCATTGAGTTTGAGAGAATACGTGTTCAATCGATGCCAGATATGCTACATCTCACAAGTCACAAGGATTAAAAAGACCAACTGGAGGGGGGACAGCTAGTGATATCATGGGGAAATGAGGGTCTGGTCACAGCGATGCACAACTTGATTTGCAGCTTTTGTAAGGTGGGGTTACAAGAAATTATCTTTATTTATTTGACTCCAATGCACAACATGTTGATATATGTTGATATGCTTTGCCTAAAGTTTAAAGTCATCCAATCGGGAAAATACACGAAAACTAACACCTTGACCCTCAAAGTGCGGCTGAAGCCATTTTCAAACGCCGAACTTTTGAAAGCCATCGTCGATTCGTGGCAGTTTCAACTCTCTCCGTGACTCGGCAGACTCTGATTGTTGGGACAGCCGTGGAGATCCGTGGATCTTGTCCTCCAGAGGTTTGAGGGAACCGACTGCGTGTCTGTTGTTGGCTTCCCAGTCCATGGATGTGGAAGCCTAATTTGTTTGCTGTGAATTTTCCTATATTTAATTGCCTTCGGCAAGCCGGCCATAGAGAGGTGGATCCAAGGGAATTTGATGTGCAGCTTCTGTGTGTAAAAGTGTCTGTGTGTAAAAGCTGCTGTGTGTATCAGCTTCTGTACAGTATGTAAAGCTTCTGTGTGAAAAAGCTTCTGTGTGTAAAAGCTTTTGTCTGTAAAAACTTCTGTGTGTAAAAGCTTCTGTGTGTAAAAGCTTCTGTGTGTAAAAGTGTCTGTGTGTAAAAAGCTTCTGTGTGTAAAAGCGTCTGTGTGTAAAAACTTTTGTGTGTAAAAGCTTCTGTGTGTAAAAGCTTCTGTGTGTAAAAGCATCTGTGTGTAAAAGCGTTTGTGTGTAAAAAAACTGTGTGTAAAAGTGTCTGTGTGTAAAAAGCTTCTGTGTGTAAAAGAGTCTGTGTGTAAAAGGTTGTGTGTGTAAAAGGTTCTGTGTGTAAAAGCTTCTGTGTGTAAAAGCTTCTGTGAGTAAAAGCTTCTGTGTGTAAAAGCTTCTGTGTGTAAAAGCTTCTTTTGTAAAAAGCTTCTGTGTGTAGAAGCTTTTGTGTGTGAAAGTTTCTGTGTGTAAAAGTGTCTGTGTGTAAGAGCTTCTGTGTGTAAAAGGTTCTGTGTGTAAAAGCTTCCCTGTGTATCAGCTTTTGTGTGTAAAAGCATCTGTTTGTAAAAGCTTCTGTGTGTAAAAGTGTCTGTGTGTAAAAGCTTCTGTGCGTAAAAGTGCCTGTGTGTAAAAGTGTTTGTGTGTAGATGCTTTTGGGTGTAAAAGCTTCTGCGTGTAAAAACTTTTGTGTGTAAAAGCTTTTGTGTGTAAAAGCTTCTGTGTGTAAAAGCTTCTCTGTGTAAAAAAACACCAAAAATCCTTCTTTCTGTTCGGGGAAAGATTTTTGGACGGAATCCGGGAAAGCCTCTTTGTGTAAAGCAAGGTCACACTACTACTACTACTTCTAGTACTTCTAGCACAAGTACATGTAGTACTTAGAGGGGGGAGGGGGGGTGACCTTGATTCAGAGGAAGCAAAATCGCGCAGCAAGAGAACAAAGGAACAAGTACAAGCCAAGAACAGAAACATGCACAAATCAAGAACAGAAACAAGAACAACACCTTCCAATCAGACACGCCAGCAGGCTGGAGGATTCAATGGCCATTTCAGGTACCTAACATATCCATTGAATGGCTATGCTACACTTCCTCTTGGGCTCCTGAAATTCCCGTAGGTGAAAATTATGATCCCATCATGCTTCTGGGACTCAAGATTTCAACGTTTTCTGGGCTAGTTGTGTGACGCTTGTAGGGCAACTATGACTAGTTGGTTCCCCTGATTGTAGGGTTGCAACATGTGGCTTTCTCATCAGTGTTCTCATTCTCCCAGTTTTTGGGCGAAGGTTTCGACTGCCTTAACTCTCCAAGTCTCTACTTTGTGACTAGCCCGAACTTGAAGCTAGCTCAGATACTTCAGTCCACCTGTAGTTGGACTTGTATTTCGTGAACATGAACTTGTAGTTCTTTAAGTTGCATAAGTAACTTGTAAATTGCACAAGTTCTCTGTGTCTAGCTGAGATAATGATAAGTAACTTGTGAACTTGTGAACTTATGCTACTTATGTTGGGTGAACTTAAGGAACTTATTTTGAACTTATTTTTAGCTATTTTTAGCTATTTTTTAGCTATTTTTAGCTATTTTTAGCTATTTTTAGCTAATTTTAGCTAATTTTTAGCTATTTTTGAGCTTATTTTTAGCTGTTTTTCATACTATTTTCCATGGATTTGTCGATTTTTTGAGGATTTCTAAGACAGTTTTTGAAGACATTTTTTCCTCAGTTTTCAATTTTTTCATATTGAGATCGTTTTTTTTTGTGGTTGGAAGCGACCTTAGCTCTTTCCAAGCGGCTTTCGGGACGCTCTGTAAGTGGGGATTCTTGTGGTTGATAGCAGTCACCATTATATTCACATTCGTATGGAACTATTTTCATTCACATCTTCAAATTGTTCCAGTCTGTTTTGAAACACTTGCCATTGATATCGCTGTGATGTCTGCAGTTTTTCTTTGTGGGCTGGCAGTTGAAACCATGTCGGACTTGCACAGCCACCTTTTGTCTGTGAGACATTTTTTGGCGGCCTTTCGAAATAATGGGGATTTCGAAAGGCTGCGTGACGAACAGTGCGAAGGTTGTCGGCAGAGAATCCGGCAGTCGAACGGCATCACCATGGATGTTGCTACGAGCTTGGCGGCAATCCTGAATGACATGCCCTTCACAGAGCAGCAAAGGAGCCAGCTGCAAATGGAATGCAATCGAAAACTTGCTGATCTTCCGTCCAGAGGTCGCAGACCAATGCAGAATTTTCAAGACTTTGAAGGTTATCTCACGAATACCCTATGGCTCGCCATCCTTGGCGACAATCCAGTGCAGAAAGCTCTGGGACCACTCGCTCATCATCTCGGTCTACTTGGACTACAGCTTCCTTCAGAGAAAACTTGTAGCAGAGTGACTGCCTTGCTATTGTACAGATCGTATGATGGCATGGACAGGGTATCCAAGCATCAGGTGTATGAGCATGTCAAGATCGTGATGAAGAAAGAGCTTGCAGTGATTCCGAATTCTGAGTTGCCCTACACGTTGATTCTTCCAGCAAACCCGTCGCTGCATGATGCAAGGTTTTTGAACCGGGCTTTTGGCAAGGAGCCCAGGGTAGTTTGCCAAGTGAATATCGCCCAGCTCACCTTCATTCAGCAAGGAATCCCTGAGCGTATGTCTTCAGATTGTCTGCCGTCAACAGTGTCAAATGCCAGCAGCAGTGGTTCGAGTGCTTTGGAGCAGGTTGTCATGGGTGCTGTGAAGAATCTGTTGGGAATTCCACAGAAGGTTGTGAAGAAACCAGAATTGGTCAATTTGCAGATCAACCCAGGCATTTGGCAGAGACAGCCAGATGCTGGGGTGGAAGCTGGCCAGCTTTCTTTGGGTTTGCCTGAGAGAAGTGGTGCTGATGCCTCGCACATGGCCTACAGGCCAGCTCAGAGTGGTGGGCCTGGTGTTCTAGCCATCCAAGACCGAGGGATCATCAATGTTGGTTCTTCAAGTTTTGCCCGAGCAGTTGCAGACGCAGCGCCGGCGGCCGAGAACGCCGCAACGCCAACGACTGAGGCGGTCGAGGCCGTTCAGGCGGTTGCAGATGCCGACAACGCCCCTTCCAAAGAGCCGATTGCAGATGCAGAGCCACAGCCAGCTGTTCCACAGGAGAAGGACACATGTTTTGAAATTGTGTTTATTCTTGAAACATATTGTCATAAGTTTGGACATCATATTTTTGTGTATGTGTAAATTTATGTCTCTATTTGTATCTCAATCCAAACATCTTGTACTGGTGCGTTCTCATTTGCCAAGAATATTTATGTATATATATATATATATGTATAATTCAGGTATCCATATACAAATATAAATATATACATATATATTGTTTATATTCATTCGAATCTGTAAGGTATATCATTGTTTCAGAATGACATTAGCAAACAATCAGCATTCATTGTCTTAGGAGATCGTGGGCGCTTTTGATAGTGTCTTGGGCAAGTTGCGTGAGAAGGTCGGCTCGCAGCCAGCATCTATGAAAAGGCCAGCCGCAGGGATGAAGAGACCTGCGGCTGCCACAAGTGAGGCCCACATCAATGCTGCAAAACCGCAAGCTTCTAAGGCAACCCCCAAGAAAAAACCTGCTGGTCCTCAGAAAATTGTGAAAAAGGGAAATGTGAAGAAGGGAAATAAGAAGAATCAGAAACCGTCCAAGCCACCGAATGCTTTGGCATTGTATCCGGGTGGCTGCGCCAAGTGTAGATACAAGCCAGGCTGTACTCCATCCTGCTTTAAGCAGCGCAAGGAGTGGCCCTAGCTGATGTGAGTTGACTTTAGAGATGCATTTTGCATTTCACGCGTGTATCTTCTGGGGAGCGGAGAGAAAAAAAAAGCGGCCTTCGGGACGCTCTGTTTTTCAGGTTTGCTTCTTGTACGCTTTGCTTGTGTCACAGTGTGGTTTTTTTCAACAGTTAGGGGACCACCAAGACGTGGATGTGGTTGTAGTCTGCTGTAAGCCTAGAATTGCCGAATCATTTCCATATCCAAGTTATGGCCATTTGTGCGTCTAAGTATGTAGGATTGTAATGGTGAAAAAATCCTGCTGCCATGGTGATCCCTTGCCATCAACCCTCGATCATGCAAAAACAATAGCGGCTAGCGATGCTTCATGTCGAAGCGAAAACTTCCTGAGGAAGGTAGGCTGACAGAGTCTCAAGCATTGCGACTAGCTGCTCTGCCCAATTGCTCCGTGGCCCAGGCTGCTGAGGTTGCGCACACGTTGAATGTGTTTGGAAATGACACCCGTGATAAAAAACAACAGCTGAAATATGTCCAGAATGCTGCTGCAAGGGTTGCCCAGAAATACCGGGAAGACTGCATTGAAATGATTCTTTGCGATGGTCAAGAGCTCTGGTTAAGCAGGCTACCACAAGTCTGCCAACGATATTGTGATCGCTCACGCGTGTTCGCTGAGACAATGAAGACAGCTCTTCGAAGCACTAATGATCCGTTGCGTCTAGTGGTTTATTGCGATGAAACTGTGAGCGGCAATCCATTGAACCCCGTGGCTTCAAAGATGCTCTGCCTTGTTTATGCATATTTTTCTCCTTTGAAGTAGAACTATAGTTGCCATGCACATTGTTCGTATTTTTTTGATCTTCACAACATCTGGGTTTTAAGGAAAAGCCACATGATATATGTCACCGCTTTGGAGTTCAACGCCAGAGTTTCATTGGAGAACTTCTGGCTTGTTGGTGGCGTCGTGACCCACGGGAAAGCCAAATCAGTACATGGTGGCTTGAGTGAGGTCATGAAAGAAGTGCTTACCCACTGGGTCAAGTCCACCCACGGTATTCTCAACCGAGCAGGCTTCAGTTTAACAATAGATGAAGAGCATTTGCTTGCGCGATTTTCTTTGCATGCCTTTGTGGCTGATGAGTCAGCATTGAGCAGTGTGCTTTCTTCCAAGTCAGCATCAGGAATGAAACCGTGTGCTAAGTGTTTCAACATCATTTCCAAGTATCATGGTGCGACGTGGGAAATCGATGACAGTGAGGAACTTCGTGATATTACAAGTACAAACTACTCGTCATTTTTGCAATTCACTGACGAACAAGTTTTTGATATTCAAGGTCGCTTGAAGGTTGTGCATGATTCGCAGAGTGCTGCCAAGTTGGCCACAGAAGAGAAACTATTGGGTTTTAATTTCTGTAGCACTGGACTCCTTGCAGATCCTTTGATGCGGATTGTCCTGCCACCTAGCAAATGCTATTACGACTTCCTGCACTGCTTGTTCAGCAATGGGATCGTGGGGGAAGAGGTGTCTGCCTTTTGGTCCAGCGTACGTGAATGTACAACACTGCGCATCGAGGATTTGCAGATGTTTTGCCAGCAAAGCGATTTCAAATTGAAGCATAGCATTGGTGATTACAAACTGAAACATGTATTCGATCCCAAATACTTGGAAAAAGACACCTATGGTGGCGATGCTGGATACACGGTCTTGGCGTTGTTTTTGCTTGAGATTTTTGCTCTGAATGTGCTGGCTGGCCTCGAACCCTTGCAAGGACATGTGCTATCTCTCACCTACTTGTGCTGGATTTGTCGCTGGTATTTTCGATTGAGGGCTGGGAAATGCAAAGGACATATTTCTCCAAGTGAACGCATGATGCCGTTGATATCCCGACATTTGCGCCAGTTTATCCTTGTATACGGGCGGTCCAAGACAAAACCGAAACACCATTTCAACTTCCATTGCGCGCAATCCATGAACATACAGGAAACAGTTCTTGACTGTTGGACCATGGAACGAAAACATCGAACGTACAAAAATGTTGGAAGACATTTCGCCAACCATGAACATTTTGAAAGATCTATCTTGAGCAAACTTCTGATGGTCCAAGAGGAACAGTTGACAGAAGCCCCTGGCGATTTTGATTTTACAGGTACCACTCGAGATCATGCTTTAGAAGCTCAACTTGGTTGTCAGCAAGCTTACGTGAGCAAAACATGTTTTTTCAATGGTCAGAGTTTCATGGCTGGCGATGTGTGCTTGTTTGAAAATGATCATTCCAAAGCTGGAACGGTGTTGATGTGCGTGGCCATTGACTGGTCATATGCGAGCAAGAAATACTATTTATTGATACATGATATGTCTCGGATCGATACTGTTTCATCCACGCGTGACCCTTGGCATTTGAGCGAATGGAAAATTAATGGTTCTAAAAGCTTGGTTTGCATAGCTACAAACGCGTGCAAGCTGCTTTGGCCCTTGTGCTGGTGGAAGCAATCGGAGCGCATCCTTGTAAGCTGCTGAACGTCCAAAAAGGAAAGCCATCAGAATTCTTTTGCTGGTATCGGTGGTATAGGTTGGAATTGCTAGAGGTCACTCTTGAACTTTGAATGATATGGCACTGTGACATTTACTTTTATTCAGCTCTTGCAAACCGTGCAGTGTATATGTGTTTGGCTGAGTTAATCCAGGATAGCCAATGCCAAGGTTATAGCATTTTGTTGCCATGGAGTTGCTGTCGCAGCAGTTCTGTGCCGATCAGCGAGTGGATGCTGACGCCTGTGAGTTTATGCGGGAAGCTACTCGTGGCATGCTAGAAGTCATATGTCCTGAAGACATCAGCATTGGAACGTGGAAACCGTTCGCTATTCAGTGCGCCATGGCATCTGTGGCTATGGCATGTGATGTCCCCCTGGCCAAGTTGACGGACATCACTTTCGAAAGCATCGTGCCGGTCTCTGGCGCCATCCCTTTGGAGCGCTTGGTTGATCTCGAGCGCCAGAGACAGGAGCGCCTTCATGATGAACTACGTGCTATGGCTACGAAGTTGGAAGGCTTACTTCAATGTGAAGAATATGCAGATTGGCATCCTGAATTTCACATTTTGATAGTTGATTTAGCTCGAGTGATGGCAGCCTTCTGGTGATGCAACAGTCATCAACTGCAGCCGTTCAGGTTTCGATTTCAACACTGATGTAATTAACGTGTATGCAAGTCCGATCCAGACTACAATTCACGGATGCAAAAAGTACAGCGGCCTAAGGGACGCTCTGAGCTTTCCAGGTTTCCTTGTCAGTGTTGAAGATGTTTCAAGCATAGCTCAAGACATTTTGTAAGACTGACTAGTTCAGATGTGGATTGCACTCCAACTGAAGGGATATTGATTTGGAATTGATTTTTGCAGATGTCATTGTTCATGAATGATCCCACCTATATTTCTTCAGACGACGATATTGTTCTTTCCATGATTTATCAATGGTTGATGGCAACTCGGACTATATGCATTGAAAATTTCAACGAAAATTATCTACCAAACCGGCCACAGAAAACCACCTCTTTTCAGCTCAAATCTGAACGTATCGGGACGTATCGGGACGTATCGGAACGTATCGGGACGTATCGGCCTTGATTTTTGGCTAAAAAACCTTCAAAAATGAACGTATCGGGACGTATCGGGACGTATCGGAACGTATCGGGACGTATCGGGCTTGATTTTTGGCTAAAAAACCTACCCCCGATACATCCCGATACATTCCGATACATTCCGATACGTTCCGATACGTCCCCATACATGATAATCAAACCCCGTGTCCCCAAAAAAATAAAACAACATTTTGGTTTAATTTTTCATCATAATTGTCAACCACCAATTGTCTTTACTTTCAATCGCCATTTGTCAACTGTGAAGTCATCACTGCAACAATGTCGTAGCTTTTTTGGTTGTTCAACCTCTTAGCTGGCATCGAGGAAACATGGCCGATGCTGCACCTGAAGCGCTTGCCATGCCCACTGAGAACGTGGCAGATCCGGCGACTGAGAACCGAGAATCAGATCTCCAGGACAATGAACCACAGCCAGTGCCAGAGGCAAAGCCTGCAGATGATCACGCAGAGACCCAAGTTGATGCCACACTTCCAGTGGACGCTGAGCAGATGATGGACAGTGCTGGTGAAACCCCTTTGGATGAAGAGAAAGCCTCAGCTGCTGCAGAGGCTTTGCAGAGCTTTCTCGGCACAAATCATTTGGTCCAGGCTGTCCAGGCCCTTGACGCTCCGACACCGGCACCTGCTTGTGCAGACCCTGTGTGGGACCAGCTCAATGGTGTTCTCAATGCTCCCACATGCCGAAAGTGCATGATGCCATGCGCGTTGGACAAGTTGGTGAACAAATCCAAGGGAGAGCAGCGCGTGCACGTTGTGTGCCGCAGCTGCAACAGTACCACAACGATGTTGTCCAGACATTTGGGCCAGTGGCCGATTGCAGGATTCCAAGGTTTATCCCCAGATCAACAAGTAGCATTCTGGAAACAATGTCACTCCATCATTCAGCGGCAAGGACGCCTGGACTATGGTTCTATCAGAGCCTTCCTGGCGGTTTCTCTTGCTGAAAAGCAATATGAAATTGCTTCGGCTGAGTTTAAGTCCAAGTACCTTCCTTTGAGTGTTTGGACGGCGAAAGGCTACAAAGAAGAAGATGTCAAGAAAGGCTTGAAGGAGACCCATCCTATCCTGGGCGATACCTACGCCGTCCCGCTGAAGACGGTGACCAAGGGCTTCTACAGAGAGAAAGTAGAAGAGATGATCACCAAGTTCGAAGCGGAGGCTCGCAAAAAAAAGGGAGCCAAGATCGAAGTTCTGACTCCAGCTGGTTCAGCTCCCGCAGCTGCTTCAGCCCCCGCAGCTGGTTCAGCTCCCGAACCCCGGATTGACGAAGTGCAAGATGATGAGGATCTGCAGCCACTGACATGGCTGCAAGAAAAGTCCCCGTGCAAGAAGCGCTCGGCCGCAGAGATGGAAGAGACTAAGCCTGAGGAGACTCCACCCCCTCAGGAGCCCTCTGCCAAGGCTCAAAGACAAGCAGCAGCCGCCCTCAGGCGACACAACGTCAACGTGCAGAAGATGGCGCAGAAGGGCTTGGACGTTTTGAATCCTCTTCTTGGATCCATGGTGAAGCATCAGGCAAATTTTCCCATTTTGCCTGCCAAGACTGTGGATGAGATCAAGGCAGTTGGCGACCAGATCGAGAAACTGGTCATGAAATGTCGTGACGGTCTCAAACTTCCTGAGACTGGAGAGCGCCTTGATGAGTTGGCCTTTGATAGCAAGTCATTGGCTCAGAAGATCAAAGAGTTCAAGGCGGTTTTCAACAATGCTGATCGATTGCTGAAGCTGATCAACAAGGCCAATGGTAAGTGAGTGATGCAGGGCATGTTCACATGTGACCAGCTATAGTACAGTATGAAGATCTTTGTGTTGTGTTGACACAGGATCAAGTCTTTGAACCGTTCCAACTGTGAATGGTGTTAGATGTGGGGTAATATCGTAAGATCAACCGGGAATGGATGATTGCAGATTTCAGCTCTTTTGCGCAGCGGTGAAAAAAAGAAAGCGGCCCTCGGGACGCTCTGTTTTGTGCGCTTGTTGTCATTGAACTTGGAACTGATCACGTTTTCAAGCCGAGATTGCAGAATTTCCATGCATGCCTTGTTTCTCTTGTGAGTCATTCATGTAGGATTCAGGGGGCGCTAATGGATATGAGATGAAGATGCCTATGTAAACACTATAAAAAAATAATGCAAATAGAACAATTTTTCCAATATATAAGTATATTTTATGTTATTCATACATGTTCTTCTGTTCGGGATACTAGTCACTTTCTTTTGGTCTCTTTTCCTGCTCCCCTTCATTCTTCCCCCCAGCATGTGCCCAACAACATGCCCAAAACACAAACAATTTTGAAGGCATCAGGCTCCAGGGCACATACGTTTCCCAACATGAAAGGTGAGATGCCAGCACCTAAGACTGTGCCATGCAAAAAGCCCGCAGCTGATCCCCCAGTCGAGGTCCCTCCCACTGACAAGCAGAAGCTTATTCTCCAAAGGTGCCCACTGCACAGGCTGCAGAAGCATTACTCCTACCTGGCCAATAGTGACGCCTGTCTGCATTTTATGGTAACATATATCTATGCATTTCTGTTTTGTGTCATAGGTTTTTTTTGACATGTAGGATTTGTCAGGCATTATCTCACACGTCTCTCTCTTGAAATGTGTATATATATATATTATATGTACTTTCTGTGCCACTCAGAACCTACGATCAGCAAAACGATTGGCAGCCGATGTGAGAGTGGAAATGAGAAGACGGGGTGTGAAATTTGTTTTGCCTACCCAAAAAAAACAATAGATCAGTCTCACTGCCTCACTGCACGAGAGCCACATGTCTTTGTTGGCAATTAGTATTTCATTTGCTTGCAATATTTCAAGCAAATTACACAGATGCATTTCGACAATGGGGCAAAAATCCATTCAGAGCACTTCTGCATTTGCTGCCAGGATCATTTCTTCATGCAACATCCTGTTGAATTTGCGCCGGTGCACTGGCTCTTTTCTTGGGGGATAGCTTTTTTCCCTCGCATCGGCATCACCAACAGCCATGGAACCAAAATGGCAATTTAAGTTTGTGCAGAGCTGCTGCGAAGATCCTGCCGAGACGTCCAGACTTTTTGCCACTTCAACTGGATGGGGAACGTTGGGGCCAATGGCAAGTCAGCGTTGCCAAGCAGCGTGGGAAAATCCGTTGCCTGGAGTCAATTTCTTTATGACATTATCCCCTATGATTAGCTTTCGCTTTCACTTGGTGGGACACTGTTCAGAAGGAATGACTCTGTGCAGATTGCGCACGGATTTGGCTGCTTGTTGCCGCTGCATCGTCAAGCCCATTGTCCCACCAATTCGGGTGACAGTGGAGGTGGTCCCTGAAGGCAATGGCACTTGCTTTCTCAGGTTTTACTCCATGGCAGGAGACTTGAAGCTCGTGGTTCAGAACAAGTCCATGCGGAGCCGATGGGGTCCAGTCCTCAAAGATGCCGCTCGGAAGATGGGAAGGACGAATATGGACTACCGCAGTGTTACCTTCCTGACTTTGAATGGCGTGGAAATCAGTGAGCAGCACCATCACGATGTCATCGGTGAGGATTTGCCTTTGCCAGTGCCTGGCAAAAAGGTCAAGAGTAAGTTCACAAAAAAGTAGCCTAGCTGAATTTTTGGACTTTCTGTGAACCGGTCGAAGGCCGTTATCAGATTCTGAGTTTTGACTCTCCATTCAGCCCCGGTGCGCTTTGAATGTTTCAGTGTTGCAGTTGAAAAAAAGAAGCGGCCTTCGGGACGCTCTGGACACCATAGTCAACCACCTTGCATGTGCTAGATATGTTAGTTTGCTTGCTTTGCCATAGTTTTATTTACTATTACCTGGATCAGCGAATATCATGATGAATTGGAAATGGAATATGGACATGGTCACTGGTCACTGGCAAATTACAACATTGAAGTGCCAATGGTTTCCAAGCAGAACTCTTGATGTCGCATCTTTGGTCCCTGGAAAGTTCAGCAAAGCGTTTGAAATGATGCATACTACACTTCAGATGGTTGGAATTAAAATGGTTTGATGAGCAGTTTGTTGCGCAAGAGTCTTTGAAGTAACACCAGTCACTTCCTTAACAATAAATGGAACTCACTGAAAGTGATGAGGTATTATCCCCCGGATCAAAAAGCAAATTAGCATTGTCGAGATTGGCATTCTTGATTATATATAAATATATATGGGCTTACTTGTTTTGGATTATGGGTATTGAATGTTGGCCTTTGCATAGCTGGCTGGTAGCACAACATGAATGCTTAGAACATATATTCATTTAGTGATTTACTTATTGACTTATTGATTCATATATCTATCTATTTGTTCATTCATTTACTCAATTACTTATGTGTCTATTTATTGTTATTTCATGCGAAAAAATATGAACATTGCACCCAGGCCACACAACACCAAACATCATTAAGCTCACCATGCATGATGAATCATCACATCATGATACACATGTTCTTGGTGACATATTGTACTTCATTTTTTCAGCTTATCCTATAGACATTGATGGCAGTCGTGGTCATTGACGCCTTCACTGCGCTCTTTGAGAGCATATGCCCATGATGAAGAAATCAGCCTCTTGAGTTGGGTTTCAGCATTCATTTCACTGCAGTCTGCAATTTTCTCTGAAATGTCAACCATCCAAATTTTGCAAAGACAGAGGCCTGTTTCATTTTTTTTCCAATGTTCGCTCCTTCCCAGGAAAGACCTCAAGATCCTCGAAAGGAAGGCAATGCTCCTAAAGACCGACCACCATGGAAAAATCTTCCCAGGGGCAAGTTCACCGAGATTACTATGGAATGTTCTGATTCAGCTTCTTCGATTGCTGCCTACAAGAAACGAGATTCTGCAGGAACTCTACTGGTGGACATAGCTATGTCGGATGCTGGCGGAGGCAAGGCTGAGGAACCATGCCATGAACCAGCTGCAGCCTCTTCTTCGAAACCGCAGGAGGACAGTTTTAGTGAGGTGCCAGCGGCCTTTGGGACGCTCTGCATATCATACAAGTTTTTCCAATTGAAAGGTGTTTGCTCTTTAGTTTGAGATAGTTGCTAGTCCAGCATGATAAACGCAACGCACTCTCAACTACAACACAGCAGAAGTTAATATACAAAATTTAATATTATAATTATTTTAGGTATATGACATGAATTCAACCGGGCAAACATTTAATGATATGTATATATATGCTATACCACTGATGAGGTGATTTGTCAGAGTCGATTCCTAGGGCAAAAAAAAAGAACCAACATATGCAAGTTGAAACGTCTTTGAAATATCCCGCAATATTTTCATTTAATCCCAAAACATTTGCAAATGTCATATCCAAACATGTCGAGCTATATGCACCATATTCAGCCGATCATCTCAGTCGTTTCCCACAGGACAAGCCCAAGACTTTGGAAGAGCTTTGGAACGAAAAACCAGAGCCAGCTCCAACCCACGTGTCTAAACTGACTTCTGAGGAGGACATTGCTGAGTTGCCCAGTGATGAAGAACCTTTGTTCTACGCAAGTGCAAAGAAGAGTGCTCGACAGAAGACTCGAGAACAAACAGGTAGGAACCGACGTCGAGCTGGTAAGGACAAGGCTTATCATCAACGTTGGCAGTACGAACCGGACCCTGCCAAACGAAAGTTTCAAAGCATATGAGAGATTTAAAAAAAAAGCGGCCCTCGGGCCGCTCCGAAGCTGTTTGCTGTGATGTTGTTAAAAAAGGAGTTAAAGTCGCTTCCAACCAAAAAGATCCAAAATCAAAAAGCGAAAAGAGTGTCCAAAATGGCCGCTTGATGTTTTTTTACATTTTAATCCGTTTCTGACAAAAAGCTCCTAAAATCATCAATTTTACAAAATCTCATTTTGAACTTATTTTTAGCTAATTTTAGCTAATTTTAGCTATTTTTTAGCTAATTTTAGCTAATTTTAGCTATTTTTTAGCTAATTTTAGCTATTTTGAACTTCTTGAACTTATGTTATAAGTTCCATAAGTTCAACATTAAGTATCTCAGCTGGACTCAAGTACCAACGAGTCACAAAGTACCGTATACATCCGTATACCGTATACCCGTTATTTTGGGACTTGTGGTGATTTTCATGGGTGCAAACGAAGGGTCACGGAGGGTCTATGTATGCCGTATGCCCCATTTCCAAAGCTGTTCGCTCTCGGGCAGCATCTCGAGGGGGAATTCAAGCGTCAAACACCGACGTTTACTGGAATGTGGTAAGGCTGTTAAGGAAAGATCTTTACAGGAACCATGGTTTTCCCCACCATTGATCTTTCTGTTGTTGTTCCTTTAAACCAATCCAATGACATGTTGCTTTTCTTTGATCAAGCAGCAGGTGGGATATATATAGTGTGGCAGACCGTTGTGTCTTCAATCTAGAATTATTTGCCAAACCATATTATATATATATACATATGGATTACATAACATTGGTTTGCAATGTATTATATGTATATATCATATATCACATATGTAAGTGCAACAAACCTTTTGCCCAGGAAGTTTCTTTATCACTCTCCCCCCCCCTCTCTCTCTATATATATATATATATATGTATGTATGTATGTATGTATGTATGTAATGTATGTATGTATGTATGTATGTATGCATGTATGTATGCATGCATGTATGTATGTATGTATGTATGTATGTATGTATGTATGTATATATGTATTTGCACATGCATACACACCGACATAGATCTATCGACAGATCCCTGACTTCCTTTGTGGATCATCCTCCTTTTCGACTATCTCCAAACATTTCTAAACCATCCAATTTTCCATGTGCCATCCAAATTTTGCTTGATTATACCGTTATACCGAGTTATACCTTGGTTTTGGTGGTAAACGATTTTTTCCCAGGGATTTTTGTCGATCTTTTTCTAAGATCAGCATTCTGAATCACAGGCGATTATTTAAGTGAAAGTGACAAACAAAAATCAACAATGTCATCAATTTTTGCAAACAAAAAATGTGTCGAAGATTAATTTCCCGAAGAAATCCACTTGTCCCAAGGTGATGCAGCTCCGCTCTTGGTTGACGGGTGCATTGACCTTCTTCTTCCTCTCGGGTGTCCTTCAGGGCTGTCGGGAGGAAAGCACCACGACCACCCATGGAGATGCTTGGCACGGATAAAACATGGTGAACACTGGAAGTTTCACTCAGAACAGGTGGGGATTTGCCATGGCCCTTTCTTGCTATGGTGGTATCTATGAGTCAAACCCGAGGACCCTAGGCTTGGACCCTAGGCCTAAGATAGCTGGTTAATGGATGTGTAGTAAAGGATGTATTTGGAAATCATAGGTTTTGACCCATTCCCATGTCTTGTGATGAAACGACAGAAAGAGAAATGTTCAGTTCTGGAACTCACCAGAATTGTCAAGGCTGGAGAAAACATATGGAGATTTCACTACAGCAAACGGGTGGCACCAAGGAAAATGGGGACTTGAGATGAAAAGTTAGCCAATAAAGAACTTAATCTATGAAATATACCTTTAAGATTGAACATTTCAATCGGCCCAAAAAGTGTAGAAATCCCAATGGAACCCTTCGCCAGGTGGATCCTCGAAGTACAGACCTACTCCAGCGCAGAATCGTTGGTATATGATGATGATCTGATGGTATATCCCATAGGATCCATGTATGCTGTATATGGTAACATTTACCATCAATATACCCCCAATGTTAGCATATATACCATACATGGATCCTATGGATATGTTGGTACACATGGCTGAAAGGAAACAACATTTCGGGGTCACAGAAGTAGGTATCTTGAGTGTTCACGTTGAGTTTCTGCCGTCACCCACTCAAAAGCATTCAAAAACGAGTGTTTTGGAAAAGCAATTCGATTTGGGAGATGGCCCATAGCCATGGCAGCAAAAGTGTCGGTGGAAATTGAACAATGAACAAGAAGGAACAAGGATTCCCCAAGAAAAAAATGCCACAAAATGCCACATCAGCACAGAAAATAGGGTGAATTTAAGCCGATGTGTTTTTTCAGTCAACTCTATCCTGCCCATTTGGTGGGTGTCCCACCTCAATCTCAGGACGATCACGATGATCACGATGATCACGACGGCCACACCCACACGGATACCGTGACCATGACGACCACGGCTCCGTGAGTGGCGCCGACGGGCGAAAAACTGGGTCAATGACCAGTTGAAAATGGTGATTTTAAGCTATAAAATGGTGATTTTCCATCGTTTTTTGTATATTCACCAGAGGGTACTATGACAAAACTATGGGGATCCTGGGAATCTATGGCACAGCATGGCACAGCCATGAAACGAAATTCATGGTCCCGTCGGCCAGCGCGAAGCCGCTCGCCGCGGGGACTTCCGAGGGGTGTCTTTGCAGCCAGCCTGAAGTGAATTGCTTCAGGTACTGGTTTAAACTGAGTCCCTTTTGACAGCGATTCGGCGAAGGGATGAGAAGCCACAACACCATGGCAAGTCATATCCGATGACTCGCAGGTAAGCCTCAGTCCAAAAAGGCGTGACCAAACACATGGATTAAAACGGTGAAATCGGCACCCCATTTTTGAGGCTCCAAAGTGCATCAATCATCCTGGTTTGGGGTTCAAGCCATTGGGTTTTGGTAAACCGTAAACCGTAAACCAGCTTAGTCTTACTTGCTTGCGATGGACTGTAGATGATTGTAGACTACTGTAGATAATTTCAAGATCTACAGTATCAAGTTTGAAGGCCCCAGCTGTGTAGGGATCTAGGATGATCTAGGATGATCATGACATGTCGTTGTGATTCTTTCACCATGTGAAAACCCATCCCTCCGCCAGTCGCATGACCTGCTGTCCGATGATTTGGGTGAAAAACATGACCTTGCGATCCTGCTCGTTTGATTATTTTGGTGAAAAGCTGTTGCTGCTCGTAAAAAAATACTTTACTTCGTGTGATCCCCACCATGACATTTATACATTTTGTTACTGGCAAATCTTCTGGCATTCTATCTGGCATATCTTCTGGCATTCAATCTGGCATATCTTCTGGCATATTATCTACTCAAATCTTCTGGCATTCTATCTGGCAAACATTCTGGCACTTTATCTGGCATATCTTCTGGCATTTTATCTGGCATATCTTCTGGCATTCTATCTGACATACCTTCTGGCATTCTATCTGGCATTCTATCTGGCATATCTTCTGGCATTCTATCTGGCATATCTTCTGGCATTCTATCTGGCATAGCTTCTGGCATTCTACCTGTCATATCTGCTGGCAGATGTTCTGGCATATCTTCTGGCATTCCATCTGGCATTCTATCTGGCATATCTTCTGGCATTCTACCTGGCATACCTTCTGGCATATGTTCTGGCATATCTTCTGGCATTCCATCTGGCATTCTATCTGGCATACCTTCTGGCATTCTATCTGGCATAGTTTCTGGCATTCTACCTGGCATATCTTCTGGCAGATGTTCTGGCATATCTTCTGGCGTTCCATCTGGCATTCTATCTGGCATATCTTCTGGCATTCTACTTGGCATATCTTCTGGCATATCTTCTGGCATTCCATCTGGCATTCTATCTGGCAAATCTTCTGGCATATTATCTGGCAAATTATCTGGCAAATCTTCTAGCATTCTATATGGCAAACATTCTGGCACTTTATCTGGCATATCTTCTCGCATTCTATCGGACATTTTATCTGACATTTTATCTGGCATTCTATCTGGCATACCTTCTGGCATTCTATCTGGAATATCTTCTGACATTCTATCTGGCATATCTTGTGGCACTCTATCTGGCATATCTTATGGCATTTTATCTGGCATACCTTCTGGCATTCTATCTGAAATTCTATTTGTCAAATCTTCTGGCATTCTATCTGGCCGTTGAGGTCCAGCGGTGCACACTGAGCTGGGAAGGTCCCAGGTTGAGGTCCAGCGGTGCACACTGAGCTGGGAAGGTCCCAGGTTTAGGTCCAGCGGTGCGCACTGAGCTGGGAAGCTCCCAGGTTGAGGTCCAGTGGTGCACACTGAGCTGGGAAGCTCCCAGGTTGAGGTCCAGCGGTGCGCACTGAGCTGGGAAGTTGGCGAAGAGCTTGGCGAAGAGTTGGCAAGGCGGAAGTTGAGGTGGAAGTTGATGCAGACATGGTCGAGGAGAAACTGGAGGAGGAGGCGAGGAGGGGGAGGACAACAACTCTGATAAAATCTAACAACCCTCACCTGGCAGGTGGGGAAACATTGTGAATGGCGGAGCTACTTGTTTATCTTTTTTTTGGCGGCCCTGTTGTTCAATTGAATCAATATAATAGTTCATCGAACAAAAGATAGACATATTATTTTACCACCATGTATTAAATATAAACGACACAACGTTAGTTTTTTGAATAATGATGTTTGTTCTGGACAAATCCTAGCGGCCTCTCACAATGACCTCATCAGAAATGATGCTTAGCAAGTGAAGATCGTCTCCCAAAAAACCGGTTTGATTCCGGCTGCAAACTATTGTCATTTGCCCAGATGTTGCAGCGTGCAATGCTGCCCATTCATTGCAGTGCAAACATTTTGCCCAAGTCCTCCGTGTATAATGAGTTTTGTGATAGATAGTTTCTACTTTCCATCCCAACAACTGCAAAATGGTGGTCTCCTTAACAGGTGGGGTGGCTCAAACGTTAAACAGTTTTGTATAGTGTTGTGCTACATCTTTTGAGGCGGCCTTCCATCTGTTCAGAATCTTCCCTGCAAGCCATGAAACTGATGAAACAAGAGAGCGTATGCTGGTGGGGTGAAAAACCCCAGTTGTGGGATAAAGTACTTAGGAAAAATTGTAATTCTAGGATCCTAAATTGAAGGTATTGTAGCATATAAAGTTATAAAGCCATACAACTTGGGACAGATCCCCTCAAATTTAGCCCTTACCAAGGGCGGTTTTCCGCAACCTCCAATCAATCGGTGCCAGGCCGCCCTCGGTTTCGGTCAGAAACACATCCAGCCCTGATTTGAAGGATTTGAAGGAGATGGGGGGCCATGACATGCCATGGCCATGCATCCAGCGCTGAGCCCCAAGAAACCATGGTGTAGTAGTGACCATGACATTTAATAACTATGGTAGCAACCTCCATAAGTTGGGATAAAAAACCTATATTTAGGCTTAGGTATATCCATTTCTAACCTCAACTGCAGCTGCACCATTTGGGACTGCCTCTTCAGGGGGTGATTTCCGCGACTTGATGTTGTTATTGTCCAGCTGGTCATCAAGGGTGACAACGGACAATCCCCGCCACTAATTGCAGTTATGGCCGTTTATCAGTTACAACTGGTTATAAGTGGGATTATACATTCTATAAATGGGGTTTTCCTAGTACTTATAACTGGTATTTCGGGCCATAACTGTGGAGGCTTTAAATGGGAGCATCATTTTGTCGGGATTTTAGTAGGTATGGGGGCAATGGATCGATGAAATTTGATGAAACCCTGGGAATGGTTTTTGGTTTCGTCGGATTTCGGGGACAAAAATTAGAGAATTGCAACTGGTCACTGATATTTAGGGCAACCCCTTAGCGATCAGCGATCAGGTTTTATTTATCCAGGGTTGATAGGGTGATGCTGCAAACCCTTGAGATGTCATGGTTTTAAGGGTCCGCAATTGCTGCGTGAAGAGTCTGGCAACATCATATTTGAGCTCAATCTTGTTCAAATCCCATGACAGTTTTTTGGTAATTCATATTGTTGCATCTTTATGTTTTACATATATATATATATATACATGCCTTGGCATCCATATGGGTGTGTCTGAAAATGGGGTACGCTATACTCGCAATGTTGATTCTTAACCAATGGATTTAGGGGAAGATGTTTCACCAAAAACTTCACACAAACACACACACACACACATACATATATATATATATTACCAATTGGTACATTTGGCATAGCTACGGAGACTCATTTTTTTCGAGACGATTCACCATGTGGTTTTCCATAGCTAACTTGTATCAGAGATATCAGAGAGCATGTGGATGATTTCAGTTAGGATATATCTTCTATTGCCATTATACCCATTATAAATAATAAAACACAGCAAGATACCCCCATGAGTATCCCATTACCATTGCATTACTATCCCTTAGATACTATCATATTACTATCACTATCATTGTTACTATCATGTTTAAAAAATGGTTACTATCATTATTGTGGGTAAATTATAACGACTTCACTGTTCTCCCTCACTGGAATCATGGTTTATTTTAGGGAAATCATCCCAAAATAGCCCAACATTTAAAGAAAATTCAGATTTGTAAATTATCATAATTTACCCACAATGTGAGGCCCCCCAGTTATAAGTTGGTTTATAAGCCCCAGTAACTATAGTTATAAGTACCATAAACCATAGTTATTGGAGTTATAAACCAACTTAGCTATCTTGGGGGCCTCGCATTGCAGATAATTACTATCCCATTATCACCATCATTGCTATCTTTAAAGGTTGTACACCACCCCTTGGACGTCCTGCCAGCAAAAAGTCACTGGATGTCGAGGACGACGACCCCAACTATACCGCGGGCTTGACTTTGTGGAACCGTTGGGCCACCGAAGACGGTTCCACCGTACCGCAGGATGTCCCTGGGCCAAACGTCCTAGGAATTTTCAATGGGTTTTTGGTGTGATGTTTTCTAGGTCAATCTCACATGGATACAAACTAGTCCTAACTAGTCTTTTGGTATCTACATGGGAATATCTACGTTCACCAGCAAAGAATTTGTCATGTTTTGCAGGGTATCTAAGATTGACAATGTTTATAGGTTCTTAATGGATTTTACAATTTTCATACTCCCGATGAGGGCATTGTTTGGTGTTATGTTTGTTATGTTTAGCCTCTGGTTATTTAACATAGCCATGGAAGCCATGGCCCATTTATAGATGATTTTCCCAGCTAGAAACCTCCATTTATAAGGGATTTGACCCATGGCTATGTTAAATAACCAGATGGTATATGAAATTACCATTTTTTTAAAGGTGTGTAATGGATTATACAATTTTCATACTCTCGATGATGGCATTGTTTGGTGTTATGTTTATTCGATGCTCTTGGGATTTAATGGGGACAATCATGGATTTTCATGTTATTTTTATGGTTAGAGATTTTGAACATGAGGAAGAGGGAGTACCCTTGGATGGCTAGTGTCAAGGGACAATGATGATACATGACAGTGATGATAAACAGTTCTATCTTGGAGTACACTATTTTCAGACAAACACACAGATAGTAATCCTCCGAATAGGAAAGAAAACCTATTTCTGTTTCCACTAGTTTCACTAGTTTAGTATAGAAACATTTTTTTTCCATACAGTACTTTTTTAAACGCATCCCCCAATTAATCGTGTTTCAGAGGATTGAGACATAGTATAGGTTCATCATTTTTTTGAAATCACCCGCCTCAACTCCACATGTTTTTGTTGCTTGGTGGGACATTAGGAGCATCAAGTGGAAGATGTGACCCGAAAACGTCCCTGGAATCACTGGAATGTTGGAAGTCGGACACCTGAAAAAAAAACCCTTGGATAAGGTTTAACCCTTAGAACCCCTAGAGTTTAGGGATCTATTCGTTTTTGGGAACCGAACTAAGGGATATTTCTTTTTATAAAAGGGGGCAGGGATTCACACACCATCCTTGAACCCGATGTTTTTGTTTTTTTGGGGGGTTAAACCTTGGAACTGAAGTGGTGGAAGCAGGATTCCAATGGAACTTTCAATCCTGTCAATCCTGTTTTGTTGGCCTTCCGCAGAACTTGTAATTTTGGTGGAACTCAACAATTTTTCGCTCTGTGAAATCATGATATATAATGATCATGACAAGATAAGAATGAACTTTACTGACAAGAATGATAATAAGCTTGGATCATGTGCCATATCAGTTTGTGTTTTTTTGTCAGGGATCCCACGCTTGAGTCATAGGAAGATTTGAAACTTCAAACCTCGAAGGTTTCGCGTTTTTTTTGATGAAAATTCCACTGACCAGTAGATGTTGGTGTGCTTGGCTTAACTGTCGTCTTTAGCAGGTTTGGGACTTGTTACTTTCGGTTTTGAGTAGCTACTGTTTTTGCTTCACTTGATTCCCTGTTTTTTTTCATAGCTTTACCCCCCAAGATTTGAAAACGGGTCAATATTTTGAATGTTGGTTGAAATCCTGAACATTCGAATCATCAATGAGTCAATCGTTTTGACCCAGGCGCATGATAAGCCTGTTATGACAAGTCATGAAACCTGCTTCCCAAAGGTCTTGAAATCCCAGCAGTTGGCAAATGTCATCACGATAAATGGAATCCATTGGAATCAGATTGGGCCAGCCACAACCACAAACAAACCAAATGTGTCCAATCGTTATAGCCACATCTGCATAAATAAACCATGACCCCAAAATAATTTCCATGAATGCCCTTTATTATGTTTCTCTCAGTATAACGGTGCAGCAATGATTCCCGCAGAAGCCAAAAAAAAAAGGCCTTACATTTACGTGTTCAGCAAGTGTTGCTGATCAAATCACCTTGTTGTTGCATTTTGAGAACATTCATTTGTTTGGTTGGCACAAAGACTGCACGAAATTAAACGTGTCCTAACAAAAACAAGAACAATCACAATTCCGGGGATCATACTAACAGGATCTAAGTGTTTTTTTTGGGATGTTGATAGGAGACAATGGACACGATATCGATACTATTTAACCATAGGATGACAATGTTATGGTATGATATCATTTGATATGGCATTGGTTTATGGCAATATATTTGCGAACATATATTAATTATATATATATACATAGGATATATTGAGAAGCACAATTGCTGGGAGATGATGCTCGGGATATATTAGTAGGGCAATTGCTGGGAGACATGTCGATAAGATTTCTGTTGGTGGACGAAGCCATGCTCCGTTGGGCCCAAATCCAGAGAATTGGAAACACGAAGCCATGCAGCCATGTTGGCTACTGTATATTATATATATAGATATATTCATTTATTTGTATGGATGTATGATATATACAACTAACCCAATACCAGTGTATACCCTCAGTGTTTGTTGCTGGCTGCTACTTTTGCTGAACTCACCCAGTTGGATTGTCATCCCACTCGGTGATCACATGGATGACATATAAACCGAACCGTTTGGTTTGCCGTTTAAAGCCATCATGTTTCATGGTTATTAATTCACTATACTTGGCATGTGAACGTGTATATTAGCATACATATGGATATTATAATTGATTCTGATTCATAAATATCCCATTAGTCATACATAGGATGTGAATCCAATATGTGTATTCATATAGATATCCCATGAAATTCATACACATCCATTGTGAATATACAAATAATAAATACCCCATTGGATGCAGGACAATGCCCCCCGGTTATAAGTTGATTTATACTCCCCTTTAGCTATTAGCTATAGTCGACAATCCCCCTAATCAACCCAACAGTTATTGGATTTACAAACGCACCAACTTAGCCAACGAACTGGGGCCCCATCCTGTACCCTCCAGTAATCGAACCTGGCAATGGATACAAGTCATATGAATATATAAAATTGTAACAATGATAAACCACCCATTTGGGAATGGTAAGCATACCTCCTATATAAACATGGTGATTTGCGGGATGGTTTATTATTGATACTAGATAATGAATAATAGAGACTAGGTAATATATAATTGATTATATATTTAATACATAAGATGTAATCGTAAAAAATATGAATAGTTTATTATTGTTTTATCTACATTACTTTCGCCAAGAACACACGATTGTCGCGATATAAACGTTCATTATGAATATATGACATGTAACTGATTGGTGGTTTGGAACATGATTTTTTTGACTTTCCATCTATTGGGAATGGAATAATCATCCCAACCGACAAAGTCCATCATGTTTCAGAGGGCTAGGGCTCAACCACCAAGCAGTTAAGGGACCTCTGATTTGGAAGATTAGTTTCCACTAAAAGTTGCTGATTTTCAGGGTCTATGTTAATTTACCGGAAGGGTAAATAATAACTATAGGTCAATCTTACATGGATACAAACTAATCCTTTGGTCTTTTGGTATCAATAGGAATATCTACGTTCACCAGCAAAGAATTTGTCATTTTTTGCAGGGTATCTAAGATTCACCATAGTAAATAGATGTAAATAGTAAATAGTGGATCAATTCAGAGTCCCATTGGATAATATTAAATTTACCAGACCTTCTACAGTTCTGGCCATTTATCAGTTGTAACTGGTTATAAGTGGGATTATACATTCTATAAATGGGGTTATAAGTACTTATAAATGGTATTTCGGGCCATAACTGTATGTTAATTTACCAGAAAATTAGTTGATTCACCATAGTAAATAGTGGATCAATTCAGAGTCCCATTGGATAATATAAAATTTACCAGACCTTCTATGTTAATTTACCAAAAGGATCTATATTATCCAAATTTACCAGACCTTCTATGTCAATTTACCAGACCTTCTATGTTATATTTACCAATATTTCTATGACATTTAGTCTATGTTAATATAAATATCCCACTGGATACATCCGTTGGTCGTTAGGATCCAGATGATCTTGATGCCACCATGGAAGAGGAGGCCATCAGGCAGCGCCCCTTCCGAACCTAGGGCGGTGAGTGAGATCGTGGTACTGCGAAATGGTCATTGAACCAACAAACATGGAGATTTTTCACCACAAAACATGGTGATTTTCAAAAACACATGGTGATTTTTCACTAATTTAACCAACAAAAATGGGGATTTAGCCAACAAACATGGTAATTTAATCAACATATTTGGTTGTTTAAGTATCAAACATTGGGGATCTGATTAGAAAAAAACGGCATATGTAATCAACTTGATATTATATTTGGGTATGTATGGACATGTGATATAAACCCAAACACTGGTTATTTTAATAGGTAAAATTATGATAAACAAAAGGATTTAGGGGTACCATTTGTTAAGGCAAACCCAGATGATGCCAGCAAAAGTTGGTTGACAAGCTGTTAAATGATTAAACATTGTTTATATAAAGCATCAATTTTTATTTGGATATATAATCATATAGTTGATGTCTAAATGATGCCTGGTTGATGATTAGTTCGAGGGTTATTTGCCTACCCTTTGATTTTAATTGGAGATTGTTGATTTCCGTGCGCGAATCAAACACAAAGCTGGCAGCCCCGATGGGAGGTTCTTTGAGTTGCCAGTGGAGAGCACTGGGGGTCGCCGAAGGCGTCTGCTCGCACAGTTCTGTGAGAACACCAAGCACCTAGCCTCCCGGCCTTGATTCATCTCAAATTCTCGCCCTGGTATCTGGGATGTTGGGAGCATTCACAGAAAAAATGATGCAAATAAGAGTGTTCCCCCTCAAAACTACCCTCCTACTGTTGGGGCTTGTTAAACACTGTTGTTGGATAGGGTTACCTTTATGGAGGTATCCTTAGCTACATATTTGTAATTGTATCTTGTTCTTTTTTGTTTGCCCTGTATACTTTATCTTTTTGTTTGTACCGTTACTGTATATTCATGTACATAGATATGTAATGATATGTACAGGGTATTTGTTAGGGTCGAAATAGATGTTCCTAAGTCCGATTTGCATTTGCACATATACTTCTCTTCGGAATGTTTTGGCGAAAGCAGACGACAATGACATTTGAACAGTCTGTTGAAAGCATGCTGCTGTGCGAGAGCCGCACTTGGAGGTTTCAGAGTTTGATTGTGCAATTTGGCTGCCATACATCAATGCTCGTTCACGTTCAATTGAAACTGATTCCAATGTTGATGGTGCGCTGATGGGGTTGGGGTTGGGAAGGTCTAGGTGCGAATGGCCGTTGGTGGCAAGGTCTTGACCGAGACATGTTTTAGGCCTAGCCTGCACAAGAAGGCGAAGCAGTTCAATGAAATTGTGGCAATGTACCCTCTTGTCATTTCACATATGGAAAATCACAATCTTTAATAGGTAAATCAACTCTACATGGGCCATTTTTCAATAGTTATGTAACAAATTACCAGAGGGTACATATTCTCATATGTTTGGCGCTACCACGCACACACTTAGGCCAATCTGGTTGTGGAAATTGCCACACTGGCTTAAGATGATATATGTCGAGCAGGAACAAATGAGGCGTAGGCGCAACTTTGGCCCTTATTTTGAATCCCCTTTACAATTACGATAGAAAAACGTCAGAAAACAGGCCAAATATATCCAAATATAGTCAATATCAGGTTAGTGACCTAATTTCAGGTTAGATTTCAGGTTAGTGATTTTGAAAAAACACCATGTATACCCTGAAGAAGCTCACCTGAAAAAACAAAAGGACACCCCCGAGGACGCCTGGCTGCGTCGTGTGGAGCCGCCAGCAGCGAATCCGGAACCCAGCGACTTGGCAAAATCGGTGCAGTTGATGTGGAAAATCGGACTCTACAGTTATAACTGATAAATGGCCATAACTGTAGAAGGTCTGGTAAATTTCATATTATCCAATGGGGCTCTGAATTGATCCACTATTTACTATGGTGAATCAACTAATTTTCTGGTAAATTAACATAGAGTTATGGCCCGAGTTATACCAGTTATAAGTACTAAGAAAAGCCCATTTATAGAATGTATAATCCCACTGAAATATCCAGTTATAACTGATAAGTAGCCATAACTCCGTAACTCTAAAAGACTTTTGAAGGTGAGGTTGACTGGGGTTGACCCTTTGATGTTTTCATTCACATGTTTCAGGAGAAATGCCTCTCAACAGTTTTGATGGACTAAACATATTGAAAAATCGGAGCTTTTTGAAGGACTTGTTGAAGAACTATGACTCTGGGTTGCCACCCAACCTTTGGTAAATGCCAAAATGAGGTGAACCTATGCGTTCTTGGCTAAAGTACATCTTTGAACGCTAGGATCCATTGATAAACATTGTCCGTGCACAAGAAAAAAACATCACAGCCTACCTACATCGCCAATACAATGTATACATGGTCCATTGCACCATGTTGCACCCGCGACCAAGGTGATGTAAGCGAGCAAAGCAGTAGCAGTCAAAGAAGGCGACTGGATTCCCTGTAGGATTTCGCTGCTGAAGGATGGCTCTTAAACTTGGGTTCCAATGATTTTACACGTTCAATATTTCCTATTTACACACACATATAAATCATATATATATATCCCCCATATAGTCCCTTGTACCATCATTGTTGATGGTTAGATCACCCATATCTCCATTTGAAGGTCATGTTTGGTCATTGTAGAAACCACGCCAGGCCTCCATATTCGAGAAAATGGCCCCGACAGATGCTGATCAAAGGATCAGTGCGCAAGGGCTATGGCATCAGGCACTGCCGGGATGGAAGAAAAGGAAAAGACGACGCGGTAAATCTACGAAAGTGATGGTATAAAATATGCAAGTTAGTTAAGAATGGAAAATTCATGGAATTTTATTATGGCATACTAACATATACTAACGGTTTTGGGGAATCGGATACTGCTATACCTGCCATAGAAAAATACTATGATATCGGTCCATGCTAATCCCATCTAATCCCTGATGATGTGTATACTATATATATATTATATCCTTAATCACATATATTTATCTAGGCAAATTAAGTTTAAATGACTGGGAATGGTAAGTAAGTTTAAATCCCACATATATATATATATATGGGTAAATTACAACGACCTCACTGTTCTCCCTCACTGGAATCATGGTTATGAGGGAAATCATCCCCAAATGGCCTTAATTCAGGTTAGTGAAATATCATTATTTACCCAGATGTATATATATATAAATCACCTGGATTTAGCCTTGTTAAACAGACATCTCATGAAGGATTCATTAAGGGTATCAACTATTTGATGGTTAGGAGCTCGTTGGGCCACGTGGAGCTCCACGAATAGAGTTTCCCAAGCACATTTTATAGCTTAGGTAGGCCAAGAATCATGGTACTTTGGCTAGATTTGGCTCATTTGTTTTTTTGGACTTTAGGAAAAACTAGGGTAATTTGACATAGCTAGTTTTTGGTAATTTGACATAGTTAGTTTTTGGAACAAAACCACCATGTTGAAGAGGTAAATCCTGGACCTCAATGGGCCATGATGTCCATAGCTTGGCTCCATCTTGGCATGGAGCCACCGGTTAAAGGAAGATCCCTCTATAGTGACTATGCTTAGGAAAACCCATGAAAACTCCTATGGATGGTTATTAAACACATGGTCTCTTTGGTGATTACTGTACACCTAGGATCTCGAATGTCTAAATAATCTATATGATGATGTATCGACCGCCTGCCCGCCTGCCTTCCAGCTGTTTCAACGATGGGAGTGAGCTCAGGAATACGAATGAGCACTAATACATAGAAGCCTCCAAGTCGAAGCATGTCCGGACTGGAACCCTTAAATGATCCTTCTGCCCGTGCGATTCTGACCCGCACAAGTCTCAGTCTCAAGTGCACAATGTGGATGGACAAGTTACCAGCAAGATCCCCAAAGATGAATGGGATTATTGAGCTGTGCACTGTGCATCTGGACTTCTGTCATTGATACTTCTGGTGGTGACTGTGTCGACTCTGCAAAGATCTTTTCATAGTCCAAAAACATTACATATATATATATGTTTGCATTTCTTCAGAACTGTATGGTTACGGTGGCAAAGTGCCAAAGGCACCATCCCCAAGTCATCACCATGTTTATCGCTAAAACCCATCCCCAAAGGTTTATGGCGGGGTTTTACCACATTCCAAGCATTTCAGCCGCTGGAGGAAGCCTCGAAGTCACGTCCGGAGTCCCGGCAGCGAACAATTTGGGGAGGCGCCAAGCTGCCAGAAGAAATCATGTTAGTAAGGGTCAATCTATTTACTGGTTGGTGGTTTGGAACATTTTTTATGATGGTTTAGAACATGACTTTTATTTTTCCATACTATATGGGACAATCATGGACAATCCTTCCCATTGACTAATTAATATGTTTCAAGATGGTTAAAACCACCAACCAGTATTTAGTTTGTGTGGTTTCAAGTTCATTGTTTGAAAATGTAGGTCTTACTTGCATCCCACATGTCTTACAAATACACGTGTGTCGTGTTTTTTTTTGTTTAAGGGTATTTAAGGCTTCCTTGTTTTTATTTGATGTTCATTTTGTTGTTCGTCGCACGCTTGCAAAATCCCATTTGAGTATTTCCCATTTAAGCCATTTATGTATTTCAACCTTTCCTACTATAGTTGAAAGATTGGATTGGCCTTACTGTACATTAGCATTAACAATTACATATCATTAACATAACATTAACATACATTAACATACATTGTAATTTCTCCTACATTAACATACATTGACACAACCTTTTTTTTGTCAAAGATCGGCCATCGAAAAAAATCATGATCCAAGCGTTTTCGAGCTTCGCTGCTGAGGCTGAGCTGTCTGAGGAGATGCTTGGGAATGTGTTTGCAAACTATGAAAGGTGTGTGACATATAGCTATACATATATATATATATACATAAACATAAACATACACATAAAGATAAACATAAGCAGATCATACATACATACATACATACATACATTGCATTACATTACATTACATTACATTGCCATTGCCATTGCCATTGCCATTGCCATTGCCATTACCATTACCATTACATTACATTACATTACATTACATACATACATAGCCAGACACAACCATACATAACCATACATAACCATACATACATACATAACCATACATAACCATACATACATACATAACCATACATGCATGCATGCATCCATCCATCCATACATACATACATACATGCAGGCATACATTTATACATTTATACATACATACATACATACATACATACATACATACATACATCCATCCATCCATCCATCCATCCATCCATCCATACATACATACATACATACATACATACACACATACACACATGCATGCATGCATCCATACATACATACGTAACCATACATAATCATACATAACCATACATAAGCATACATAACCATACATAACCATACATAACCATACATACATAACCATACATACATAACCACACATACATAACCACACATACATGACCATACATACATAACCACACATACATAACCACACATACATGACCATACATATATAACCATACATACATAACATACATACAATGGAACTCCTGATCGATGTGTATCCTTGTATAGGCAGGTGAACCCTTCAATATGGTCTGAGATGGTGGATCTTTTCGGTATTCCAAGATGCTGAGTGCAATCATTCGGCCAGGTGGATATTCCAAGATGCAAACTGGAATCACAACTGGAATATCCAGATATTCTATGTATGGCTATTATGTATGTATCCAGATATTCAAAGATATTCAAAGATCTGTGTTATCTTCTATGTGTTGTTGCCATTTCCAATCAAATTGTCCATTCCGAATGTGTCAAATATCCCATTACTATTTCAACGATAGTATATCATTCTAAGTAAGGTACTACCACATGAAAATTGTTTCCATATATATTATGTAATATGTGTCCTTGAGTTAGTACTATCATAGATGAATTCCATTATATAACATATGTTCATAGTAATACTGCGCCTAATATTCCTTTGACATATTGTTTTAAAACTACTGCATTCTTAGTGCTCGCAATATTCCAAATATTATTTGATTCCAATATTCAATTACTACTAGTATTCGAATATTCCATGACTATTTTTGTTGTGATTTGTCCAACAACAAATTTGCCGATGTGGAAAGCCTACAGTTATGGCCATGGCTATCAGTTATAACTGGTTATTTCAGTGGGATTATACATTCTATAAATATCTATAAATGGGGTTTTCTTAGTACTTATAACTGGTATTTCGGGCCATAACTGTACCATAAAATGAGGCTTCTGTGGCTTTCGCCCAGCCCAAAAAAAAAAACCATCCTGCGGTTCGCTTCATTGCAGAAATGGGATGATGCTTAAAATGACCCGAAACAGTCGGTTGGTGTTTTTTGGATGGTTGATGGATTATTTGGGATTGGCTTGGCTGAAAATGGCTTGGGATGGGATGGTTGTTTATTATTGTTGTATGGGATTTTGGTTGTTGGATTAGGGATTATGGTTGTTGTTTATTATTTGGGATTGGCTTGGCTGAAAACCAGTGATTGGAGTTTTGTGTATCCGAAACCAGTGTTTTTTTTGATTTTCCAGATTTTTTTTACGGAATTGATGGTTTTTACCCTCTGGTAAACGTTTACATAGCTATGGAAAGATCCACCATTTTCAATGGGAAAATCCACTATTTCGATCACCATTTTCAATAGCTACGTTAAATTACCAGAGGGTTCCGTTTTCCTATCTCATGAAATACTACTTGGTTGTTTATTCCACATTTTTTTACGGAAACGATGGTTTTTACCATCAAATACAGAGGTTTCCTGTAAATGTTTGCCAAACAAAATCATCCAGGAGCTTCACCTCAGCAGGCCCTCAGCGGGTTTCGTCTGACATCGCAAAAAGACATGGCATATGTGCAGGTTTCTATGATATGTATATATATATATATATATACGATATATAATATGAATACATATATGATATAATTATATGCTATATATGTATATATGTATATATATATGATATATATATATATGTTTGTTTCTTGCTCGGCCTTTTGAGTCTGCATTGCTTGTGGCGCTCATGCAATCGAGTTTCAAACCAGAAACATGAGAAATTAACAAAAAAATGCAAGTATTCAGGACAAAAAAACACATAACGTTTTTGGAGGGACTGCAACCATCCAACTTTTTGGTTCTCTAATTCTGGACCCTTGCAGGGACTAAGTACTTGACAAGGTTGCCGGTTTCCTGGTATTTGCTTTGTTTGCCCTCTGATTATCTAAGATAGCTATGGAAAATCGCCATTCTTAACAAGTAAATCATCATGAATCATCTATAAATCGGTCATTTTCCATACTTTGGAAAGATACAATCTACGCTAATAGACTTTCCAAACGTGGTTCCGTTTGGCTGGCAACGACTCAACTCGAAAGCAACGACCAGGTGATCTGGGCGTCGTATTTTACCACGCTATTTTTCTATGTGTGACTAATGGGTTTCTTAAAATGGTTTCAAAAGGTTTTGGACGTTGAAAGCACCTATTGTCGCCAACTCTTGTCTTAAGAAAGAAAACCAAACCTGGTTGGTGGTTTGAAACATGTTTTTTTTGTTTTTTCCATCTATTGGGAATGTCATCATCCCAACTGACGAAGTCATATTTTTCAGAGGGGTAGGCTCAACCACCAACCAGAAACATAACACACCTCTTAACAGCACCAGGACCGTGAACAAAGGTCGCTTCTCTCACTGATTTAGGGTCATGGTCGGGTGGCCTTGACAATGATGTGTTGGTGGTTGAGATCCCAACCTAAGCCTACTAACCATTACTAATCATATAAGTTGGTAAGTTCGGATACCCTTATATACTACCATCTGGTTATTTAACATAGCCATGGAAAATCCATTATAAATGGAGGTTTTAATGGGAAAATCATCTATGAATGGGCCATTTTCCATGGTTATGTTAAATAACCAGAGGGTAACCATAGACATATCTCAGCTGAGGGTTGTAAACCTGGTGACAGCCTGACAGCAGGCACATGTTTTCACAAAAAGGCCAGCGGCTCCTGGTAGATGTTTTGTTGCAGCCTGGGCGGTGCTCCAGGGAAGAAGACGACATGATGGTGCAATGGGAATCCCGATGGCGAGAACAGGACTGACAAAGACGGATTTTATCATTTTTATCGGAATCCCAGAAAAGAAAGACAAGTCAAATCCTTCTAACATAGTGATAATCTGCCCTACCCTCTGGTTATTTAACATAGCCATGGAAAATGGGCCATAGAAATAGATGGTTAACCTATTAAAAATGGTGATTTTCCATGGCTATGTTAAATAGCCAGATGGTATCTCTTTTGGGGCAACTATATCATCTATATTTTGATTTGCTGAAAATGTCCACAACATGCTGGTTGAGATATTTATCTTGACCTGTTTATCTCAGATATTTGGCATGTTCTTATTTGGCATTGATAAATTCACCACTTGGGGAATCTACCTATAGGGAATGTGTTTGGACGCAACTTCCAATCATGGGGCCACAATGTGGGCATTGATTGGATACTTGTGTCTACCCCTTACACCATTTTGACCCAGAGACTGTCAATAATGGGAACCTGCTAACTAGTGGAGACGAGTATTCTGGTTTCTACAGAAAAAAAGTTTATACAAGTGCTATCCAGTGGTTAGCAGAGATCGGTTTGAGTTGCTTTCCTCAAGTTTTTTGCGGTTGAGTTGCAGTTCAAGAACTCACATGTTCCATGTATTCTATGCTATTCCTATGCTATTCTCGCATGTGTGGTGTGTATCCTGTTGGTCATTGCCATAGGTCTCAAGTATTCGCCACTTGAGGCCTGAACATTGGATGAATTGGATGGGCGAATCCTTCCCTCGCTTAAGGTTGGATCAATTCAATGGTCTCAGAATAGAGTTCTTCCCCTAACCCTACGTAGCGTCATGGGAGCGGGCTAAGCCCAGCTACATTGAGATATGAGATACCATCTGATTATTTAAGAGTTTGCCATGGAAAGATCCACCATGCTATTAATAGGTAAACCATCTATTTTGATTAGGGCCATTTATACCATGGCTATGTTAAGATGATATGAGTTTGAACATAGGCTACCGTAAAATCTCATGGTTGATCAGTTGATCATCCTTCCCCCCCTTACATTGAGGCCTCAAACTTCGAATCCCCCAAGTTTGGACAAAGTTAAAATATGTCACGTAAGTGGTTGGTTCTATATACCCTCTGGTAATTTAACATAGCTATTGAAAATGCTCATTTATAGTGAGTTTTCCCATTAAAACTGGTGGTTTTCCATAGCTATGTTAGTTTACCAGAGGGTATACCAAAAAATGAGCAGTGTTCAAAAGCCCTGTGGGTTGTTGCTTGTATGAGATTACGTATATTAGCCACTATTAATAGGGGATTATCATGACCCATCATATTCCATGAACTGAGAATCCTATTATATAACATTAGATTGAACGCGCAATGGCGGAAATTATCACCCCAGCCACTCAGCCACTCAGCCACTCTCCCAGAACATTAGACTCCAGCCACTCCGCGCAATGAGTGGCTGAGTGGCTGAGTGGCTGAGTGGCTGGTCCAGCCACTCCCAGCCACTCTGGCAGAGTTGAGTGGCTGAGTGGCTGGTCCAGCCACTCTGGGAGAGTGGCTGAGTGGCTGAGTGGCCAGGATGGATAACAAACTTCCTTCACTGGTAGCAGATTACTGTAGCTGTATGGAAAAGTTTTTTCGATACATACGTACCTTAAGCCCCGTAAAAAACATCTCTGCACACATTGCATCTGAATTTATATTCTTTGCTGGCTCGGTTTCGCGATAATGTTAGTTATTTGTATGTAGTGTTTCAACACGCTATGAACCAAACTACATTCGAACTCTACAATTTTCTTGTCAATAGTTTTGGCCAATGCAAATAAATATATCCATACGTATACACGTTGAACACAAAATTATCATAATTGATCTTTCGGTCAATGTGATGCCGACAATGCTTTGCACAAGGAATTCATTTGTTGAGAACACCACTACTTTTACTTTTATCCTTTCGTCCGTCATTGCATGCCGGACGCGCTGCTGTCTTCAGCGCTGTGTACGGCAGCACCTGGTGGGAACGGATTAACAATAGGTCCTAAGTCCGTTATGCAAGCACCAGAAGCTATTTGGCATTGTTTGTGAATTGCTTATGTTCTTGAAATGTGTTCTACACCAACAGTCCGAAACTGCCAAGAACCAGCCTGAACATTGCTACTGTTAGTCAATGGTATCCCCTAGATCGCAGCTGTTCCATGCATACTGCAGCCGTCAACATTTGATCTTCAAAAAAATCAGTGCGAAACGGCATCTTTGAATTGTTCATCCAAATTCACTAAGGAGATTTTGGGTTGAGCACGAGATGGCAACAAGGTCGATACGCTTCGAATCTACGCCAAGTTACTAAAGCCAAAATCCATAAAATATGATATGGTAAACCCAACTATAAATCGTTCCCATTGGTTCAAAGATCTATCAACCTTTTTGCAAAACATATCGCATGTGAATTTATTTGCTAGTAGTCTTCTGGCAAAGTATTAAGTCGAAGGTCAGCCGTCAGATAAACGAAAGCCCCCCAGAAAGAGAGGGAACGATGGAAGCGAAGATACTTTCGATTCTTTTCTTAATTCTAAAGTTGAATGCATCCCGATTGTTTTTTTGATTCAACAATTACCAGCTGAAGAGGTGTGCCCGGTAATGACACTAACCACTAACAATTTGCATCAAATTTGCAACATAGACCCTCACCATTTTGTACACAAATTGTTAAACTAGCTCGACCATGTAATAAAAATCCATAGCACACAATGAAGTGACCATAACTTTTCAAAGCGATAGAGAAGTAATAATATATATATATGTATCTTTCATAACTTGCATACATAAAAAAATTAGAACTATACTCAAATGTATCCTTCCTTTCGCAATAATGATCCGCAGAGACCCACAGAGCGAACCCCTTTAACAAAAGTGACTAATAACTTCTTTCTTACAACCCTTTAACACAGATGTTTGCATAAAATTCCATTCAATCCATAAGAATATATGCCCCCGTTCCCTACAAGATAAAGGAAGAAACCCTAAATTAACATAAAACCTCACTCAAAAAACTACCCAGACCTAAGAAAAATTAGGTCTGGGTAATGCTGCTTAGTCTCCATTGGCTAAGTTGCACATGACTTCTTTCTCGCAACCCTTTAACACAAATGTTTGCATAAAATTCCATTCAATCCATAAGAATATATGCCCCCGTTCCCTACAAGATAAAGGAAGAAACCCTAAATTAGCTTCAAACCTCACTTTAAAAAATACCCAGACCTAAGAAAAATTAGGTCTGGGTAATACTGCTTACACTCTATTGGCTAAGTTGCACATGACTTCTTTCTCACAACCCTTTAACACAAATGTTTGCATAAAATTCCATTCAATCCATAAGAATATGCCCCCGTTCCCTACAAGATAAAGGAAGAAACCCTAAATTAGCTTCAAACCTCACTTTAAAAAATACCCAGACCTAAGAAAAATTAGGTCTGGGTAATACTGCTTACACTCTATTGGCTAAGTTGCACATGACTTCTTTCTCACAACCCTTTAACACAATGTTTGCATAAAATTCCATTCAATCCATAAGAATATATGCCCCCGTTCCCTACAAGATAAAGGAAGAAACCCTAAATTAGCTTCAAACCTCACTTAAAAAATTACCCAGACCTAAGACAAATTAGGTCTAGGTAATACTGCTTACACTCTATTGGCTAAGTTGCACGTGACTTCTTTCTCACAACCGTTTAGCACAAATGTTTGCATAAAATTCCATTCAATCCATAAGAATATGCCCCCGTTCCCTACAAGATAAAGGAAGAAACCCTAAATTAACATAAAACCTCACTCAAAAAACTACCCAGACCTAAGAAAAATTAGGTCTGGGTAATGCTGCTTAGTCTCCATTGGCAAAGCTGCACTAGCTATTCACCCACTGAGACATTCTGCCAGAGTGGCTTGGTGCAGCCACTCAGCCACTCAGCCGCTCTGCCAGAGTGGCTGGAGCAGCCACTCAGTCACTCAGAGTGGCTGAGTGGCTGAGTGGCTGGTCCAGCCACTCTGCAGAGTGGCTGAGTGGCTGAGTGGCTGCTCCGATTTCGCGAGCCGTGTTGCACATCCACTCTAACATTATATAACCACTTCTAGTGAAATATCAACTTATAATATATATATATATAATATTATATTATCATCATTGGGTATTATCACAATTATCACAATCCATCATCATGTTAATATATGTATATATATATATATGGTCAGGTCAATATACTATATATATATATACACTATATATATATATACACACTATATATACACTATATATATATATAACCAGGCAGTATCAATTAGGACTGACCAACCATTTATAGTGCATCCTCAAAGGTCCCAAGCTCCGGTCTGCCCCGAGACCTCTCGACCTCGAGAGCCTCTCGAGGAGTTGGAACATCAACACCTTGAAGAAGCTCGTGCACGTGCAGCAGGTGTCCATAACCAGAAACCCATGGAGGGGATGATTTTTCACATCTTGAGATGGACATACCTATGGAAAAACGGTAGTTTTATACGATTTTATAGTGATTTAATGGGATTTTAGACTGATTCAATGGGATATTAATGGGATATACCCTCTGGTAAACTAACAGTTTGCGAACTTGAAAATGGCTATTTAGTTCGTTGATTTACCCATTAAAAATAGTGTTTTCCCATAGTTATGTTAGTTTACCAGAGGGTAATGGGTAAATCAACTATTTCAACTGGGCCATTTGAAAAATAGCGAACTGTTGAATTACCAGTAAATGGTTTAAATGGTGGTGTTTGAGATTGGAGAGATTGAGGTTAAATGGGTATATGGCTATAATTAATCAGAATTATGTGTGCTATATTCCAACTTATGGAGGGCTACAACTATGATTTCACCGTTTTTTTTGAATTGCAACTGCAGCCCCAAGTGGTTCTTACTGTAAGTATGGTTGCAATTTGGTTTAAATCTATGAACACTTGCTCTATGTAACCATGTGACCAATTTATTCGTCCATTGTCAAGTGGTTTATGTTTCTCGAAGTAATTGCCCTTGGGAGAGAGGTCACATGATCAAATGGCATGTTCGACTGCCATGGGAACTACTAGGAGTTTTCCATGCTTCAAGCTATATACCAAAAGAATGAGGGGTCAATGGTTGGGATACATCCGAATTGTGGAATTCGGAAAAATGCCAAAGGTTTTTGGGACCAACTTTACCACAGTCACCCTGCCATTCTTCTGAGGTGTTTGGTGTCGAACCCCTTCCTTTGGGGCAGAGGTGCCACGCTGGATGTTGGACTTGTGGTTCTTAGTGACTTTGCCGATTTTTCTAAGTTTCAATACCTTCAGATTCCTTCAGATTCCTTTAGCCTTAGGCCCCCCTTGTTCCAACTATTAAGCTTTTTTAGTATTATTTGTGGCCACGCAAACTATTAAGCTCCTTTAGTATGATTTGTGGCCACGCAAGAAACAAACAAAGATCGGAAATGAAGTGGATAGTTAGATCCTTTTTTCATTGACATGGCCTCCGATCATCGTCATGTTGCTGCCTCAAAGTCTCTATGAAGCCAACCAAATCCAAAACCTTGCATATCCGTTTCTATACTCTTAACCCGCGAATGGCTCAAACCTAATCAAAACTATGTATATACCTCCTAACAATGGACAGTCAAATACAAAAAAAAAACAAACATATGGGTCGTTGAGTACCGCATGTTATGAGTCATAGCCACCTCAGCCACCATTGTGTCGGCTGAACGTTGCACCCCATGTAGACTTATCCACGATAAACCAATTTGTGAAGAAGTAAGCCAATTCATGGCTATCTATGGTAGAGATCCAACTTATAAACTTATATAAATATATAACTTATATATATAACTTATATATAATTTATATATAACTTATATATAACTTATATATAACTTATATATAACGTTTATATAACTTATATATAATTTATATATAACTTATATATAGCTTATATATAACTTATATATAACTTATATAACTTATATATAACTTATATATAACTTATATATAACTTATATATAACTTATATATATATATAACTTATATATAACTTATATATAACTTATATATATATATATTATATTTCTGGATCCCGCGTTTCTGGGAAATGTCAGCGTCAGGCTGCTTCCCCATCTTCGGAGCAGGCATGCGACCAATCCCCAGAATGCCGGTGTTTCCGCAACGACGAGAAATTGGTTGTTTGTACCCTCAACGGTTATTTCAATGGCAAAAACACCATGGAAAACCATGGAAAAACCATGATTTATAGTGATTTAATGGGATTTTACAGTGATTCAATCGGATATTAATGGGATATACCATCTGGTTATGACTAACATAGCCATGGAAGCCATGGCCCATAGAAATAGATGGTGAACAACTGGGTTTACCGAACTTAATAGCATGGTGGATCTTTCCATGGCTATGTTAGTCATAACCAGATGGTACAAATAATCCTCATTTTCCCTTCTGAATGGCATGATTTTTTGGGTACCATCTGGTTATGACTAACATATGGAAAGAGCCACCATGCTATTAATAGGTAAACCATCAATTTCTATGGGCCATGGCTTCCATGGCTATGTTAGTCATAACCAGATGGTACACTCCATTTTCGAAACTCTCATGTCGTAAGCTCAAATCATAGGTCCTTGCCTCTCCGTTTCGTAGGGAAGATGGATCCTGGATACCCCTAGCTTCGGCTTTCCGGGTCTCAAGCGACGCAAAAGAGGATGAAAGCAGTCAGATTGATCGTACTGCTATCACCACTTCTGTACCTCAACTAAAACTAGATCTATCCCAGAATCCTAGATACTCCATGGTGCTGGAATATGTACCGCACCAAAACTGTGCCATTTTTTTGGGGTTATTTTGTAGGCGATGCGTTCTCACAAAATGGCACAAAAATCACATGGCTTCCTATCCCCTGACAGTTCCCCTCGCTATTCACTATATACACCAAGATCGTACCTATCATACTTGATGGCTCATCCCACTTAGTAAGTGGCTTATAACCCCAATTATAAGTGGATTAACCCTACTTATCCCATTTATAACTGGGGTTATAACCCACTTACTAAGTGGGATGAGCCACCAAGTACACCCTTCATCAATGCAAAATAGGAAAGATGAAATAAAATATACCCGTGACTAAACACCCACTATTGTTATCATCATTATTATGGTGATTTTTTTTTTGTTAGTATTTATTGTTACCCCTAACTAGTATACCCAGCTGGTAAAATATGTATGTTATATATATATATACATATGAGTATGCCTTCCAGGAACAGCCACTTTGGGAATCCTCCTATGAGTCATGATCTATCACTATAAAAATTTATCACACTGGACTTAAAACATTTACCCTCTGGTAAACTCACATAGCTATGGAAATTCACCATTTTTCATGGGAAATTCACTATTTCAATGGCCATTTTCAATAGGAACCTGTTAGTTTACCAGAGGGTAGTCATGATGCTCCATATGATATCCCGCTTTTGCTTTCTCCAACTCCACAGGCCGCTTTTCAGGATTACTATCATAAGGGGCGTGTTTTGATAATAAACAACCAGCTATTAGTGTTGCAATAAGCTGTGTTCATCAATCCTACAACCAATATATATATATATATATTGTAATGGCATTTACTTCACATATCCATTCTACATATAATACCTGTATAAATAGATAATGATGGACATATAGTCATTCTGGAGCAGATAGAATATAGATATTTCAACATGTCCTCACAAAAATGGGAAGGACAACTATTGAATTTGATATCCTATTTACTTCAGGATGATTATATGTATAATATACACACACCCTTTGTTTTTTTTAAACATAGCTATGGATAGCTATGGAACATGTCCAATTTATAGATGACTTATGCCTATTTATGATGATTTACCTGTTGAACGCGGTGATTTTCCATAGCCACATATATCTAGACCCTCCACGTAGCTACAAAGAATGGGACTTTTAGGATTTTTTCTAAAGCTACTTGGAAAGCAGTTGGACATTGAATTTTCTGGAGGGTCCCGCAATATCCCGCATGACTTCAGAATCCGGGTTAGTAAGTCCTCATTCAGGGGTTATTATCCCAGTTATCAATGGATAAGGTAGAGTGAATATGGTAGAGTGAATCACTATAGTCCATAATACTAGTGGCTTAGGAGCTTAAATAACTCAATATCCATTTGATAATCCATACATCATCAGGGCTTATTAACCATTTGTAAATGGGTTACTCTCTGGTAAATTAAACTCTGGTCATTTAAGATAGACCCTGACACTAGCATTTTTTGAGTTGAAACTAATCTTCCAAGCCCTATCTGCCAGGGTTATGTGAATTTACTGGAGAGTACTTCATGGTTCATCCCACTTAGTAGGTTCGAATTCTAGTTGTAAATTGGATAAGTAGGCTTATTTCCTGAGAGAACTAGGGTTATAAGTTATAACCTACAAAGTATTTTCCTAGTTACAACCTGCTAAGATAAGCTACTAGTTATATTGGGGGTGAGCCACCACGTATACCCTCTGGTAATTTAACATAACTATAGAACATCAACATGCTATTAATGGGTAAATCAACGAACTAAATGGTCATTTTCCATAGCAAACTGTTAGTTTACCAGAGGGTATCATGTCTCATCATGTATCCTAAGATTCCCCATAAATGGAATGATTACCATCTGGTTATTTAACATAGCCATGGAAAATCACCATGTTTAATAGGTAAACCATCTATATATAAATGTGCCATGTTCCATGGCTATGTTAAATAACCAAAGGGTATCTATTCCCAATATATGGAAAAAATAAAACATGTTCCAGTCACCACCAACCAGATATATTAATCATTATTAACCACTATTAACCACTATATATATGTATACTGTATACTACTGGTTGGTGGTTTCAAACATTTTTTATTTTCCATTTCATATATGGGATAATAATCCTTCCCATTGACTAAAATCTTTCAGAGGGGTTGAAACCACCAACCAGTCATAATTTGCATCGATCCCGGCAGGACGACTTCGCCGATGAGGTCCGTGCCATCTGCGGCGACGCCTCCCTGGAGTTTGCAGCGCCGGAGGCGCCGGGGAAGAAGCGAAAAGAATCTCGTCCGGTGGAAATCCGTGGGGAAATCATCCCGTTATGGCCATTTATCAGTTATAACCGGTTATTTCAGTGGGATTATACATTCTATAAATGGGGTTTTCTTAGTACTTATAACTGATATTTCGGGCCATAACTGTAGAATCTCCGTAGAATTTCCGAAATGTTCTCTGTTTTGGGGCCTGGATTTTGATCTACTAGTAGGTTGATATTTGAATGTTACGAAAAAAACGAATCAAAACATCAGAAGATGAAAAAACAAGAAGAAAAAACCATAAGAAACATAGTTATTTCTTGATATTTGATGATGTTTCCAAAACATAGAATGGTCAAATATCTATGTTTTCACAAGGCTGGAACATGTGAATATATTTTGGCGAAGGATCCCCTAGTCTTCCAATTCCGTATGTATATCTGTCGAGGATGCCGCAATGATTCTTTGAAGAATTATGACCCCAACTTACAGATCCATGATACCCTCTGGTGAACTAACATAGCAATGGAAAATGGCTATTTATAGTGGATTTTCCCATTAAGAATGGTGATTTTCCATTGCTATGTTAGTTCACCAGAGGGTATCAATCTATATCAATCATGAAAAACAGGGATGCCGCAATGAGCATCAACACCATCATTTTTTTTCGGGAGAAGACTCAGGAGCATCTCCTGCTCACGGAGAAAAATACCTCCATATTTGGAGTAATTTTGAGGCTTTATTTTCAAATCATAGAGTAGATTGATATCTCCATAGAAGAAACATGATTTTTTAACACGATACTTTTTGAGCATACCCATAGGATCCATGTATGCTATATATGGCAACATTTACCATCAATATACCCCCAATGTTAGCATACATATATATATATATATCATACATGGATCCTATGGGATATAATAAATGATAATACGTCATAAGTTACATCCATAAATCTCAGGGGCCTGGAGATTCCATTCCCAGGGCAAGCAGCGGGTCACCATCACATTACCCTGCAGCTGGAATCTTAGAGCTGCGGGCTATGCGGGCTAGCAGGAGCTTGAGGGGACATGGAGCAGCAAAAATGATGTAGCTCTTGTGCTTGAAACATCTTAAAACATGGTATATAGTATGATATAGTTTGCTTATGTGTGTTTAATACATCCCTTAATGTAGGGTATAGTAAAAAGGAAAAAAACTATCGGGACAAGCGACACAAGTCTTTTTTGATACCCCTGAGGGTATCGCATCCGCTGCCTTTTTTTTTGGTGTCATCAAGCCAGATTGGTGAAATCTTACCCAGTAAGTGGGGTTATGTCCCCAGTAATAACTTGGATAGCAAAGTTCACTGGTTGCTGGTTTGAAAATGGTGATTTACCCATTGAAAATGGTGATTTTATATACTGGTTGCTGGTTTGGAACCATGGAATTTTATGACTTTCCATGAATTTTGGGGTCATGTCATCATCCCAACTAACGAAGTCCATCATTTTCCAGAGGGATACAGGATGGTGCCCCCCAGTTATAAGTTGGTTTATAAACCCCATTAACTATAGTTATATCTGCCATAAATCATAGTTATTGGAGTTATAAACCAACTTAGCTAACTATGGGGGCACCACCTTGTAGGTATACCACCAACCAGTGAAGGGACCTCTGAATGATTATTGTCCAGTTTTTTTCAGTCGGGTGGTCCTGCAGCCAAACGTTGAGATCTGGACACCCCACGAAGACGGAGGGAACTTGTTTTTTTGGAAACCCATTTTGGGTATGGGGTCAATACCTATAAAAATACCATTTTTAGGGGAATGAACATCCATAAATCCCAGCTATTTTGATGTGAACTACAGGGGTACAAGGTTTTGACACACTGCCATTTGGGTTTCTTCGAAAATAGGATGCCCCAAAATATCAACATCTATAGTGGTTGATCATCACGCAGGGTGGCGAACTACCCACGAATCGTAAGTGGGTTAGTTCACCTCAGTGATTTACATGGGATTTTTGTAGGGTCAATCCACTGAAATCACTGGGGTGAACTAACCCACTTACGATTCGTGGGATGAGCCACCAAGTGATGTTCATATTTGTCCTATGAAATTCGCAACTTGTCGGTGCTCAACCTCGGTTTGATGTAAACAGGAAGCCCGGAACCGCAGCGGTTTGATGTAAATCCATCATTTTTCAGACAGGAACCCATAGGAACCCCATTTATTTATATTTATTTGGGGTTTTCCAAGAGTTTCTATATTGTCGATATTCTTATATATTCTTAAAAAGGCAACTATAACTACAGGATGGTGCCCCCCAGTTATAAGTTGGTTTAGATTCGCCCCAGTAACTATAGTTATTTGCGTACCATAAACCATAGTTATGGGAGTTATAAACCAACTGAACGCTATCTTGGGGGCCTCACATTGTAAAAAGGCAACTACTGAACTACTGATGTTTCGGCATAGAAACCCATAGATTCTCCCGCAGTGTTTCGAGGTCCTCTCCTGACTATGGCTGAAGACGAGGAAGACGAGATCGCAAAGCATGTGCCGTGGCCGTGCGGATTTGTCATCGCTGAGTCATGGGGATTAAAGGGTCACAGTGATTCATCCATAGGGAAATTATGAGGATTCATAGGGATTTTAATGGAATTTATATGATTTTATGGTGATTCATGAGGGTTTTATGGTGATTCATGAGGGATTTTATGGTGACGATTCATAGGGATTTTGTGGTGACTAATAGGGATTTGATGGTGATTAATAGGGATTTAGCCAAAAAGAATGTCGAGATATTTATGGGAATTATCGACTAGTATATAGTGTTGCAGCTTGCAAACTGGAAAATCATGGAAACTCACAATTAATAGGGTTTGACCATCGAACTAATATGGGTCATTTGTACCATAGCAAACTGTTAAGATATTAGCTAGTGCCAAAAGTCATCGAAATGGTGATCATATTTTGGTGGGAAAATCACGATTTTGCTATACTGGTGAATCACCGAACTCAATGGGTCATTTCCTTAGCTATTTTGAATTACCAGAGGGTATTGATTAGTTCAAAAATATTGTTCCTGACCTTCTAAAAAAAAACGTGATTTTGCCTTTACGGCTCAGTATATTTAATAGTGGTGAACTATAGTCATCTATGAAGGCAAGCGTATCATAGCTCAGGTTGATCTTCTTCAGAGGTAGAGAAAGGCCAATTTCACCATGGAGGTTTCCAAAAGTAAGCAATACTCCCAAATCATCCATGTTAGTAGAATTGTCCATTGATTACAATGTGAGGCCCCCCAGTTATAAGTTGGTTTAGATTCGCCCCAGTAACTAGTTCGTTATTTGCGTACCATAAACATCCATAAACCATAGTGACATGGGAGTTATTTGCACCAACTGAACGCTATCGAACGGGGGCCTCACATTGTATAGACCATTCAATTTAATAAACAGGGGATCGCAAAAATTTCGAATCCAGTTTTTTTTATTGGAATTGACCGATTCCTTGGTGATTTCCCAGGTCAGAAAAAGCATCCGATCCATCGGAATTCCCAGGTCAGTTATGAGATTGGGAAGTCCCAAAACCAAGGACTTAGAAATGGCTTCAATGTGAGGCCCCCCAGTTAGAAGTTGGTTTATAAGCCCCAGTAACTATAGTTGTAAGTACCATAAACCATAGTTATTGGAGTTATAAACCAACCTAGCTATCTTGTGGGCCTCACATTGCAGGGACTATCAGGGACTCCCCAAACTTGCTGTACGTCGTGTACGTCAATAAGATGTTTGGATAATCCCATCATTGAGCTCACAAAAAAGATCTGGTTGGTGGTTTCAATCATGTTTTATTGCCCATTTCATATATGGAATAATCCTTCCCATTGACTAATATGTGTTCAGAGGGGTTGAAGCCACCAACCAGAATTGTATTCCAGTTATATCATGATCTATGGATAGTCCATCATGTGGTATATCCAGATCCATAGTGCTTGCTTGTGTGCACATTGATGATATAATTTGATATAATGCACGTTTTCCACAGTTATGTAAACTATATATGTATACAATTAATACAGTATATATATATATTATATTTGCAGTAGTATATACATCATATACCTATTATACATATATTTTATACATTCTACGCAATTTATAGATTATATATATTACATGTAGTATACTTATACATACATAATAATCACATAGATATAATAACATATGTAATCACATATATATATATACACATATATACATACATATATATATATATATACATATACACACATATATTTATATACACATATCATATCATATATATATACATATATATATATCTTTGTATACAGTGTATACATCAATATATGCACCGTCCTATCCCAAGATAGACAGAATCTCCCCCAGGAAATGAGCCGAGAAGAACGCCTCATGCGCTTCTGCCCCGAGGCTTCGCTTCCCAAAGATCTGAATTGAACCCAGAAGACTACAGCATATTCATGGGATATTCATGGGATATTCATGTTTACCCTCTGGTAAATTAACATAGACCCTGAAAATCACCAATTGTTAGAGGAAACTAATCTTCCAACCCCTATCTACCAGGGTCTATGTTAATTTACTGGAGGGTATATGTATATTAATATATTATATATATATATATGTATTTCAAAATATAATACAATATAATATAATATATATGTAATGTAATATATTTAAATGAGATCATATGGAACACGAATAGACCATATTAATCTGCGTAAATGATAGTGACCTCACGTGGCGACCTCACCCTGGAATGATGGTGAATGACAGGGCTTATTATCTCAAGAAGCCTTATTTGTTCAGGTTAGTTATTGAAAATTACCAAGATTTCATGGGATAATGGGGATATATATATTATATTATATTATATTATATTATGTTATATTATATTATATATATATTGGGATATATGACTATTCTATAACTATACAAAATCAAGAGTTGGATTGCCAGTGGATGGTCATTCCCATCGAAAATTGCCGGTCATCTTTTGGACAGCGGAAAGTATGGTCGGACGAAGACGTTAAGTCTGCTGTCTCCAGATGGAAACTCAGTTCGAATATCTCCTTGACTCCACATGTTATGGGGAATCTTAGGATACATGGTGAGACATGATACCCTCTGGTAACAGTTTGCTATGGAAAATGAATGATTTATAGTTGATTTACCCATAAAATGTGGTTATTTTCCATAGTTTTTTGTGTGTTTACCAGAGGGTACACGTCCCCGTATCCACGCAGACGCAGATGCAAATGGATACGTTGAACCGAACCAACCAAACATGTGACATATAGCTTCAAAGCATATACCAAACCAAATAAATATCCACATACCCTCTGGTGATTTAACATAGCTATTTAAAATGGCCATTTATAGTTGATTTTCCTATTAAAAATGGTGATTTTCCATAGTTTAGTAAATTACCAGAGGGGATATTAGAGTGAATACAATTTATACCATCCCGCTATTCATTTCCTTTACATCGGCACCATTTTTTTTCCATAGATCCAGTACTAAACGGTCAGAAGATGTGATCCAAAACTCGTCCTAAACCAGGTCACGTCATGTCATGTCAGTGGGAAGGGACTTGGGGCCACATATATAGGACTTTTTTTCTACAAGAGACAAGAAATGTTGATGTAGGTCAATGTAGATTAATGTTTCTTTTTTGGATTTTGGTCCACTATTTTTTTCTACAAGAAATGTTGATGTATCGTTTTGCATTGTTTTTGGGTCACAGTTTAGCACAAGTGACATCAAGTGACTGGTATTTGAGACGCTGAGCCGTACTTGGGTCTGAAATTTGGGTATACGGGTGGACCCCGATTATTTTAAAAGATAATAGGTACCATGCTAATCAACCATTTTGTTTTTATAGATGATCTGGTTGGTGGTTTGGAACATTTTTTTATTGTTCCATATATTGGGAATGTCATCATCCTAACTGACTTTCATATTTTTCAGAGGGGTAGGCTCAACCACCAACCAGTGATTTTAGAGGTACATGTCCCTGTTACCCTCTGGTAATTTAACATAACTATGGAAAATCACCATAGAAATAGTGAGTGTTCCCATGAAAAATGGTGATTTTCCATAGTTATGTTAGTCATTACCAGAGGGTAATGTACTTATCTTTAGGCAAAGTCAATTGAACTCTGTGTGAACACGTCGGATCTTGAAATTCGGCTCATCATTGAGGGATTGGATGGTTCCTACCTTCTGTTTTTTTTTTACATAGCGAACTGGAAAACCCAGCCATTTTTGATAGGTAAAAATCAACGAACTAATTGGCCATGGCTTCCAGTTCGCTATGTTAAATCACCAGAGGGTAGTAGGCTAACCATGCATAGCATCACTTGTTTTTTTGGGATTTATCTCGATATCCGGATAAAGCCTGCTGAAGGGCATCACCAAACCTTCATAGTATGCTATAGTCATATCATGTGATATCCAAGTTCAATACAAACTATAGTTATAACATCTTATCACTATAGTAATAACATCTTATCACTATAGTTGTAACATCTTATCACTATATATAGTTATAACATCTTATAACTATAGTGATTGCATCTTATCACTATAGTTACAACATCTTATCACTATAGTTATAACATCTTATCACTATAGTAATAACATCTTATCACTATAGTTACAACATGTTATCACTAAATGTTATAACATCTGATCACTATAGTTATAACATCTTATCACTATAGTTACAACATCTTGTCACTATAGTTATAACATATTATCACTATAGTAATAACATCTTATCACTATAGTTATAACATTTTATCACTAAATGTTATAACATCTGATCACTATAGTTATAACATCTTATCACTATAGTTACAACATCTTATCACTATAGTTATAACATATTATCACTATAGTAATAACATCTTATCACTATAGTTATAACATTTTATCACTAAATGTTATAACATCTGATCACTATAGTTTTAACATCTTATCACTATAGTTACATCATCTTATCACTATAGTTACAACATCTTATCACTATAGTAATAACATCTTATCACTATAGTTATAACATTTTATCACTAAATGTTATAACATCTGATCACTATAGTTATAACATCTTATCACTATAGTTACAACATCTTATCACTATAGTTATAACATATTATCACTATAGTAATAACATCTTATCACTATAGTTATAACAATTTATCACTAAATGTTATAACATCTGATCACTATAGTTATAACATCTTATCACTATAGTTACAACATCTTATCACTATAGTTACAACATCTTATCACTATAGTTACTATATTTATAAACTAACCCGTTATAACCCAGGGTTCTCCAACGTCTCCCCTTCGATTGCCAGGTGGTGAATCCCGCCTTCTCCCAGGAGCTGGTACCGCGATGTTCACCATGAAAACAATGATTTATAAGTGGCTGAATTCAATGGTTTATGGTAGATATAACGAACTAGTTACTGGGGATTATTTCATGGTTTATAAACCATGAAAATCTATGGGTTTTTAAGCATGAAAATCTGGCATTTTGAGCATGATAAAATGTTATTGGGGATGGTAGGTTTATTGGGTGTCCAACAGGAGATGATCATGTTACAAGCATCAGCAAGCATCCCAACTGGAGTTGATGTAGAACAAAGTTTTTGTTTGTTACCCTCTGGTAAACTAACAGTTTGCTATGGAAAGATCCACCATTTTTCATGGGTAAATCCACTATTTCTATGGCCATTTTCAATAGCTATGTTAGTTTACCAGAGGGTAATTATTATGACACGTATGACATTTCTCCATTATTACTGTTATTCTTGTTCTTACTCTGATTGTGTCATGTACTTATATATAATTATATGATCATTGATAATGACAATCAGAGTAATGATCAATCAGAGTGATATTGTCGTTAGTATATCTATATATATATATACATACACATATCTACGTAAGTCTCTTTCACACATTTGCAAGCAATTCAATTGTACGATCCAACACGGCCGTGCTTCGCGCCGTGCTGCGCGCCGGGCTTCAGGAAGTGAAGGCAGTGCTGCAAAAGAGCCTGGTCCGTGGGGCCAGTAAGGTGGGCTTTCATGGGCCCTTGAAAGGTGGGCTATGGGTTCATCAAAACAGCGGGCTTAGCCTCTGGTAAACTAACATACGTATGGAAAGACGGTGGTTTTATGGGACTTTATAGTGATTTAATGGGATTTTATACTGATTCAATGGGATATTAATGGGATATACCCTCTGGTAAACTAACAGTTTGCGAACTGGAAAATGGCCAATTAGTTCGTTGACTTACCTATGAAAAATGGTGATTTTCTGTAGTTATATTATGTTTTATTAGTTTACCAGAGGGTAAGCACCATATGTCGTTCCATCCATAATTTCCATCCACGGGTCTTGTGTTTTTCCATGTTTTTCCATCCTAGCCCGTTTGGCCATCGACACCTGGAAAGCTGGAAAATCAACGTTTTTTATGCCTTCAAAACCTTTCACTGGTCATTACTGATCCATGTTTCTGTTTACCAAACCCTATAGTTTTGGGGTTCAAACTCAATTTCAAAGAAAACACATCGAAAGCCTACCGTCCATCGCACTTGACACAATTTATCACAATTTTAAACGATCAGATCATCCATGATTTCCATGCAACGTGTGGCATTTTTTGCTCCAAAAATCCCTGGAGGTGTTGGCGGAACACCGGGGGCATCGCCTCAACTGCGAGCGCTTCCGGAGGAAGGCGGAGAACGAGGAGCCCGGTTCTTGTTGGTTCTGAAACGGGGGTTTTACGAAACTGTGAGAAAATGTGAGAAAACCCATGCCATAAACCTACCACATGGGATGATGGTTACAACCCATTTATCATGATTGTTCGGCCATTATAGTTATTAAAATGTAAATCCTATAGCCATGAACCAGGTATTTTATATGGCTCAGATGTGGGTGTCAATGCCTACGTTTTCCATTTGTGGGGATGACACCAGCAAAAGATTTAATGTAAATCAAACATCCATCCCTACACAATCGATTGTAAGACCCATGTCATGCCCGTGTCATGCCCATGTCCAATGTGATTTTTGTGTTGATGCAATATTTGGATATATTTGGTCCGTAGCCAAATCTTTCAGAAGATGGCCGATCACAGAAAGAGCCGGGAAGTGAGGCCGAAATCGAAGCCAGGTAACCCTCCATTCCACTGGTCAATAACTTTCCTGGCCATCAGGCCATCAGGACATCAATTTGGGTGGTATACCTCATGTTCAAACATGTTCAAACACACCTAAATAAATTGTCCTAAATTGTCCTAAATTGTTGTGATATTTCCAATTGATAAACCATGTCATCCCCTTAAACAAACCTACAATGTGAGGCCCCCAAGATAGCTAAGTTGGTTTATAACTCCAATAACTATAGCTATAGTTATAAGTACCATAAACCATAGTTATTGGAGTTACAAACCAACTTAGCTATCTTGGGGGCCTCACATTGTGTGTATAATATATCCCCATATTATATGCCCATTATACCTTCGCTATGGATATCAATCCCGTTCTACCAATCTGGTTGGTGGTGACTGGAACCATGGAATTTTTATGACTTTCCATTAATATTGGGAATGGAATAATCATCCCAACTGACGACTCGTCATATTTTTCAAAGGGGTAGGTATACATAGGTATACCACCAACCAGCAATGTTCCAGGAGTTTGTGATCGACGATCAACGAGGCTTGCGCCTGGCGATGCATCTGCATGCTCGGACGCAGTACCTTGGAGATCTTAAGGGCTCAGCAGAGACATCTGCGGACGTTGGCCGTTACGAGCAACAATTGGAATGTGGGATTTAGATATGGGATTTAATAGATAAATAGGATTGAACGCATGGAATTCGATGTAATTGGTGGATCTTAAAGCGTATATATACATATCATATGTCTAGTCAACAATTGGATAATGGACATATCACCAACAATATAAGGATATGCCATGGGAATATCATAAGCTATTTTATGAAGTTTAGGGGGTTCATTAGGCAGTGGTTGCTAAACACCAATTGATGATTATAGGAAGCTATACTATCCAATAGAGTGGGAAGTATTACAATCCATGATGGGAAATCATCTTAACCATCCAGTAGCGGGTTTTGAACATTGCTCAATTGGAATGCCAGTAAATATCATATTCTTAAGTGGGATTTAACATGGGATATAGCCTCGGATATATATATATATATAACTGAGTTGATGTGATTCATGACTGTGTCTTAAAATGGTGATTCTTTTGGAATATAACGCATACTACACACATATATATATATATTATATTCTCACGCAATATATCCCAGGTATGTTCCAATTAAGTAGATGGTCTGGAATACATTGGGATATAATGTACGAGATATACATTTCGAAGCAACCTAATATGTGTCATGCTCAAGACACAGGGTTGATGTTCCTACAAAAGGTGATAACCATCCCCCTGGTCACGTGGGATACTATGTACCTATATACTTGATGGCTCATCCCACTTAGTAAGTGGCTTATAACCCCAATTATAAGTGGATTAACCCTACTTATCCCATTTATAACTGGGGTTATAACCCACTTACTAAGTGGGATGAGCCACCAAGTACTATATACCTACTATATATACCCATTAAGAGGAATCCCCACTGATGATGGGATGAGTAGCCGATATACCATGTCTTAACCATGGCTCACCTGAAGATCCAGAAAAAAAGGAGACGACACCAAAAGACATGGAGATTCAACTTTACCAAGACTAGCATGAATGCCATTTAACCAGAAGATTCATGCAGATTTACTCCGGGGTATCCATCTAAGATATGGTGATTCAACCAAAATTAGTCAGTTACTACACAGAAATAATTTATGATGATTTCAGCAGCAAGAAAAAACACAGGCTAAGGAGCAGATTTTTGTGGATTATAGAAGCATAAATGTGCACTGATGTGCACTGGTTACCAGCCAAAAATTGAATTAACACCACATAAATTTGTTTTTTTAACCAACAGCAAAGTGATTTCATCACTTCCTTGGTCATCCCAATTTTGTGGGGATATACTCAAGACAATTGCTTGGTGGCTAAAAAACTGTGTTCAAACACCGAGACCCGAGACCCTGAAGAACAATGTCATTCATGTCGAATATACCATATAGACTAACCTTTTATTTGGGGGTGGTCATTCCAACATTGATAGGGGTTGCATATGGTTATTTCAATGGTACCATATGTCATTATATCAATGGTCATTATATCCCAACCTTAATGGTCATTATATCCCAACCATATATCATAAGGTTGGTTATAGTATATAGTCATTATATCAATGGTCATTTCAGGAACCGAAAAAAATGGAGGTACCGATTCCATATATTTTTGGCCTATTTTTTAGGCCTATGTAAGGGAATATCCCCACAACATATAGCCAAAAATATGGTACTAACGTACCTCCATTTTAGGATCCTGAAATTACATGTCATTATTATATGTCATTATATTATCCCTTACATGGTTATATAGTCATATAGTCATTGTAAGGACTCCCGACTGATTGTGGGATGACCATACCATCCTTTTTCGTTATTCCTTGACGGCCGCACTTTTTTGTTGATGGATCCTCGGCGTTAGATTCCAAGGGATTTCTTGCAAAAGGACACACCTTGGGAACTTGGAGATCCAAGTTTGGAAGATGAGGGTATAGACTCAAACAGAAAAAAAACTTGCAGATCCAGGATTTGAGGTCAAACATATTTCAACAGCCCCATCAGCCCCACGCTGTTAACTCGCAACTCGCAACTCCCCTCCGCCAAGGCAACACTATCGTCGAGGCTGTCCGGCCACCCCTCCGTTGCAAGGCATCACCTTGAGGTCACTCCGTTGAATTTGGTATCCCCAGGGATCCCCATGGGACATGATGGGGCATGATGGGAGGCTGTTGGTTTCAATGAGATGATTTTTTCCATGGTGATTTTATGGTGGTTTAACGCTGATCTAATAGGATTTACCCGGTTCAGGATGGTTCAGGTGAAACAAATTCATGAAGGTGAAACGACCCATACTTGTTAGCGTTGTATTTTTTTTGACCCAATACTGGCGAGTGAAAATTTCTCCAACCACGAGGTCGTTGAGGTCAACAATTGGGGCCATTTGGGACCAGCCACATGGCCAGATTTTTTTCCGCATCGTTTGGATGACACATCAGGTTGTTGATGTACAATCATTGATTAGTTAGTAACTATAGTCATTAATCAAATTTAGTCAAAAGCAAATTATTAATCCCTTCCCCTCTTCATGTTAAACACACCCGAGAATCCATGGTTTAAGGGGATGAAATTCCGTATTTGGAACCATTTAGAGGGTTCCTGATATAAGGGAATGGGATCAATCACACAAACCTTTGGTCATTGGCTACTCCCATTCATGTACCGTTAGCTTCCCTACTGGCCATACCTTTTGGTTAAATCACCATTTACACAAGTTAAATCTGCAGGTCTGATTGGATTGTGTTTTTACTTTGTTTTTCCACATGAAAAACATCGTTAAAATGCTTGGCCAACACCGGTAGAACTGTAGCCATTATATGGCAATGTTCAGCCCACGGAGATGTTCTTCCAGGCCTGGGAGCGTTGCCAGACAAAGTCCTGACTTCAGAGGTCTGCGGCAGGCGAGTGATCCTGCAATGGGGGACCCTTCGAACCCGGGCAAAAACTCCATGGGGAACTCCATGGGAACATGATCTGCGGCGGAAAACTCCATGGGATTTCACGAATGTTTAAGTTTTGTGCATTCAGAAGTGAGTGAAATCTTGAAAACGCACTGATGGGAATGTCTCAAGTTAATATCTCAAGTTAATTCACTGATCTACACCCCATTTTTTTGCGCACAGTGACAAGAATCATTACTGGTGGTTTCAAACGTTGAATTTCCCACTACCAGATGCTCCTCCAGTTTTCGGGTTAGATTTGTTTGGATGGCTTGATGTACGTGGCCTGGTAAACATACAAAAAGCTATTGAAGCCATGGCCATCGAAAAATCGTGAGAAAATTCCCATGAATAGCATGGTGATGTTCCATAGTTATGTTAGTTAGTTTACCACGTTTACCAGAGGGTACTGTAGCCATCAAGAGTTGCCATTGTTGACTCGTACATTCATTAAGACCGCTGTTGGTTTTTGTGACCCTTAGAGCATTTTGTTGTCATCCAAAGTACAGGTAAACCAAGCTGAGTAAGTGAATCAGTCTTTAGGACCTTAGCTGGTGTGTGGTTTGGAACATGAAATTTATTTTTCCATGTATTGGGAAGAATCATCCCAACTGACTTTCATATTTTTCAGAGGGTTGAAACCACCAACCAGTTGGGATGTAAATGACGATATGTTCAGCACTTTTGCAGATAACTGAATTTTGCACCGGACTTACATGGACTTACCCGCTCGATATGTTCAGCCTGTCTATTGTATCTTCGAATGCAGTACCCCTATTGGCCCCTCGAACAGCAATGATTATGATGAATTCTATGGGTTTGGGCTGTGATGTAGCTGACCCAGACTTTCCTTCATCGCGAAGTATGTTGGCATATGGAATTACATGCGCCAAATCGCAGTTTCATCGCGATAGTCTGCCTGCGTTGTCCCCTAGAATCGTCAACTTCCTGCTTGAACAGATTATCGGCGTGACATGGTCAAACTCGTCAATTTCATTTTAGACTTTAGTGAACTAGGCTTGGCTTTTGTGGGCCTATGGCCTAAGATGGCCTAAGATGGCCTAATCAGCAAGATTTCATCGGAATTTCGCAGACCAGCGCCATCTTTTTCAGGCGCTTCCGGGTAAACCAGCCATCATTGCGGCCAACCGAAAGCGCAAGAAGCCTGCGCGACAGGTTGTACTGGGCATGGTGCGGGATGTTTGGGGAATATCACGGAATATCCATTCAGAATTGCGTAGTCACTTCGTGCTTGAATAAGTTTAATGCATGAGTGGTTGGTGGTTTGGAACATTTTTTATTTTTCCATATATTGGGAATGTCATTATCCCAACTGACTTTCATATGTTTCAGAGGGGTAGGTATACCACCAACCAGTTATTTTGAAAAGTAAGTTTTGTGAAAGGTATGCAGAGCAACAATCAGAATTTTGTTTAGCAAGAAAAATGATAAACACGTTACCCTCTGGTAAACTAACACAATCTAACATAACGATGGAAAATCACCATTTTTAATGGGCAAATCCAGTATAAATGGCCATGTTCAATAGCTATTTTGACATACCCAGAGGGTAGGCTGGGCGAAGCAACGGCTCTCGTGGATGACTTCTTCAAGAGCATAGAGGCACTTCTGCGAATTCCCCCGATTTGGAGACGGTCTATTCACTGCAGGTCTTCAAGATTGGGATTTCACAACTGTGGCATATCAGGAATCGTGCCGCATGTCAGTCAGACTGTCTATGCTGACTTACCCTCTGGTAAACTAACATAGCTGTTGAAAATGGCTATTTATAGTTGATTTACCCATTAAAAGCATGGTCATTTTCCATAGTTCCGTTGGTTTACCAGAGGGTACAGAAAGACTGCTGTGGAATCATCCCCAAGACTGCTGTTTTTCATTGTTTTCCCAGATTAGTGTCATTGGAATTTCAGTCATGACCCAGTGCCGTCTGGTATTTTCATGAATCTGGGTGGCGATGCTGACCAGAGAGATACTACCCTCTGGTGTCATCAAACATGCTTGGAACATCCATTTAGGCACCAGGGATTTTCCAGCCATGTTTGACACCAGAGGGTAAGCGGGATTCAAATTGCCACTAAGCACTATATATATATAATTATATATATATATACTGGTTGGTAGTTTGGAACATGTTTTATTTTTCCATATATTGGGAATGTCATCATCTCAACTGACTTTCATATTTTTCAGAGGGATTGAAACCACCAACCAGTATATATATAATACATTATTCAGCTTTATTGACCATGAATCACTATTATTTACCATTGAAGTTCGACCCTGAAAATAACTCTACGTTTGAATGATTGAAATTGCATTATATAATTGCCTTAGTTTTTGGTTCCATGCAGTTATGGCCCTTTACCAGTTATAAGATGTCATAAGTCAGTAAGTCACGCCAATTTATGGAACGGCAACCTGGTATGACTCCATGCATTGGCCTTTCCCCGTAAAAAATAGTTGGCTTCTACAATGTGAGGCCCCCCAGTTATAAGTTGGTTTAGATTCGCCCCAGTAACTATAGTTATTTGCGCACCATAAACCATAGTTCTTGGAGTTATGTTCACCAACTTAGCTATCTTGGAGGCCTCACATTGTAGGCTTTAACTATGCCGCAGTGAAACATTTTCCCGGCCTTCCAGGTTCAATCTCTCGAACGCGGCGCTCGAGACCCTCAGCTGAGATGAAATGGTCACGGGAACGATGAGAAGTGGATTGGGGTAACTCTGATGATGTTTACAAAAAAAAACATGGATAATGCTGAATCATGAATACTGTTCACTCAATTTGTTTTATTGTTCATGTATTGTTCATGTTTCATAATGTTGACCGAATGATCATGATCATTGATCATTAACATCAAGCATCAAGGAAGTACTAATACCACAGTATTGTCCTTATAAAAATTACTGTGAATAGACGAATTGTTCAAGGAATATAATCTAGCCAATGTATGCCAATGTAACTGTGGGGATGGCCACCTGTGAATTACTATGCTATTGAAAATACTGCACCACTGCTTTCAGTGGCCATTTATTTGAAACTGTGTCAATCGGGCTTTGTGTAGATTGTGTGACCTCAACTAGGTCAATCTTAGATGGATACAAACTAATCCTTTAGTTTTTTGGTATTAATGGGAATATCTACGTTCACCAGCAAAGAATTTGTCATTTTTTGCAGGGTATCTAAGATTGGCAATGTCAAAATGGACGCAGTTGAAGTTCGAGTAACATGGAAATCCCTGAGCGACCGCGAAACATTGGGATTTTTCAGAACTAGAACAAAGTGGTGATTCTCGGGATGAGAACCAATACAAAATGGGAATTCATTGGATATTATATCCTATATATCTCTATAATATGTGTATACAGTATAACAGTATATATATATATATATGAACTGGCAGAAGATTGGAACCAACTGGAGACAAGATATGTAGATGTCTCCCAATATGAGGACAGAATCCGGACTATTCCACTCAGTATCATGTGCATTTGGTTCACGTGTTTCCTCATTGGGTAATTTGGTTATCCCAGTTGAATTTGTACAAAGTGAGTATGTGAGTAATACTCTAGAATTCGCAAAAGTTCCAGTTACACAATAATAATATGTCATATTACAGTTTATTTTTATATATGGCTATGGGTCAAAATTAGGTACACAAAAATTATGGATGGTTAATACTAAACTAGACTAACATCTGTGGTCCCCTAGGTCTTCCATTTTGACCCACATCCATATATATATATACACACACACGCAGCATTCCCCAAAAACATCCACCCAGCCCTGAGTTGGGTTTTAATTCAGGGGCCCTTGGACGGCGTCGTGGCGTGGTCGCAAAACGTTTGCGCACCGGCGGTTTTGCATTTCCTTATTTGGTGCCAGGATACGTCAGACATTTAGAACATGGCTGAAATGGAGGTTTTTGATAGAAACAACATCTACAAGGTTTGGCCCCACCATTCTAAGTTGACGAAGTAATTACCCTATTGACAATAGCTATATCGATATATTCACCATAAAAAAAAAATATAAACACTATCTAGTTATTGGAGTTATGTTCACCAACTTAGGTTTTTAAAACGGGCCCATTGCCGCAATGACTGCCACGTCAGGAGAGGCCCAGTACCAGTCGCTCCAACTCACCACGCCTGTTCGAGCCGGCCGGAAATGGGGGAAATGGGGACCTCGTTGAGGATGAAGCATATATAACATATATATATATGCATATATATATATGTATATGCAATATATATATATATATGATGCACAAAAATGCTGGCTTCACTATTAGAAAACGGGTAGAAGTGTATCAGTGATGATAGACTTGCCATATGAATTCTGAAATCGGGTGAGTGAATTATTGTTATTTATACTTTGGGCGTCGAAGCATCGTCTCATTGGGAGACCCATTGCCATAACCCACCCAATCGGGGATTTTTTATTGTTGGCTTTAGCATACCCTCTGGCAAACATACAAAAAACTATGGAAAATCACCATGTTTAATGGATAAATCAACGAACTAAATGGCCATGTTCAATAGCAAACTGTTAGTTTACAAGAGGGTATCATGTCTCATGATGTATCCTAAGATTCCCCATAACATGTGGAGTCAAGGAGATATTCGAACTAAGTTTCCAACTGGAGACAGCAGACTTAACGGTATTCAAATTGAAGCGACTATGGTCCCAACGTGATATTGTAAAATAATATGGACATGGGGGGATGAAACTTGCATACCCTCGAGTTTAGCTCCACGGCTTGCTGGAAAATCCGCCAGCGATAGTTCACCTTGTGTTTTTTCTTTTTTTTTTATGTGGTTTTCCAAAATATTGTCTGTCATGATTTTCTTGCCAGCCACGTTTGATTTTCCGGAGCACATCTTTGACCACAGCCTATTATTAGAACATCAAAAACACGTCCCGGAGGTCCTTTGTAGCTTTGAGTGCCGCAACTGGCGTGCGGCGTCGCCGCTGCAAGTTCGACTGGAACAGGAAGAGGGCGTGGTGCTGGGTAACCTGTCGGCAGACCTGCTGGTTGCTGGTTGATCTACCAAGAAAAATCCTGGAAACATGGGGGTTGTAGATCTGAATAGGGATGGAATATGATTTTTCTCTGCAAAATTAGAGGAAACTCTAATATTTAGTAGCACAAACCACAAACCCAAGTTTAAAGACGTAATTGTGTCCAAGAAAACCCATCCATTCTGGTTGATGCATCCATTTGTTTTTTGTTCCATCCCTATGGAATGATCCACATTGACGGTCGCATATTTTTCAACTGTCAGACTTCTCGACCTGCGAGGTCACCAAAAATTGGACATTGCTCAAGTGACCGGTGGCTAAACAAAGGATCAAAGGGCTATCCAGCTTCAAAAAGTGAGGACGAAGCCCTGAAAAAGAATGTTCAAGACAACAGAACTGGGGAAGATGAAAGCTCATGACAAACTGTCAACAATATAATATGATACATATATATATATATAATACCAACATATATGTGTATATATATATATATCATCATGGTACATACCGCCCGAACTCATTGGCTTTGCCGAAATCTTAGGGATGGATCGGTCTCAAAGAGATGAAATTCGTCCGCAAACAAACTTGCAGTCGATTCTGAAGTGCGATTCGCATGGCTTCACCAGAAAGAAGATATCTATACTGGTTGGTGGTTTCAAACATTTTTTATGTTCCATAATGGGATAATCCTTCCCATTGACTAATATTTTTCAAGATGGTTAAAACCACCACCCAGTATATATCTCAATTTCAACTTCCCTGTGGAGTTAGAAGTTACAACTTCCGAGGTGACACTCGAGACACATCACAGCAAGGAAAGTTGCTCAAAGTCCTGAAATTTCTCTGTGAAATCCCCATGTTGGATGGTCACTGGAATAATGGGATTTGGCGCCAATGGTAACTCTTCCAAAATGGCGCAATTTGTTTTCTCAAAGTTAGTGAATAATTATATATGAATTATTCCAAATTCTCCAGATGTACATATCTAGTAGCAGTATAGCGCCATTGTTTTTTCACCATTTATGGTTGAATGATGTTGAATTCATATCCATAAACCATGCCCACTACATTCATAGTCAATCAACCATTCATTAGTGAATGGTTGTTGTTTTTTCCCAGATGGACACATATATATATATATACACCATCTGGTTATTTAACATAGCCATGGAAAAAACACAATTTTTTAAATGTAAACCATCTATAAACGGGCCATTTCCCTTGGCTATGTTAGTCATAACCAGAGGGTACATATATATATATATATATATTACATATCGACATATCCATTGCATATCCCCGTTATATCCCCATGAAACATCTCCATTCATGTGGTTCTATCCCTATTGGAGTGTTGAGCTGGGGTTCAGCCCGAGGTAGCCAGTGGCGGGACTTTCTGGAGGACGTAGCCAGTGGCTTTTGTTTTTCTCATCGTGGTGTGAATGGGGGATTTTCTGTGGGGATATGGGTGATTTAAAGAAAACAAACATAGTGGTATAATAGTTTGGTTGGTGGTTTGGAACATCTATTAATTTTCTATATATGTATATATATGTATATATATCTTGGGAATGTCATCATCCCAACTGACGAACTCCATCATTTTTCAGAGGGGTAGGTGGCTCAACCACCAAGCAGCGGTTTTTTATGGATGATCTCTGGAGATGAGGCTTTCACATCACACCGGACCCATGATAACCCCATGGACATAGCCTCCACTTCCCTAGAGTTTCCAGTTTCCCTCTCGTTATGACTAACAGTTCGCCATGGAAAATCATCATTTTAAATAGGTAAACCATCTGTAAATGGGCCATCTATACTTTACCATGGCTATTTAACAAATAACCAGAGGGTAAATCATGAGCATGGATATTCAAATAATTATAACCTTGCTGGTTATTTATCCCATTCTATCCTTTATTTTCCATGATGGCTGGCCCATGATCAAACCCATTTGCCCTTGCCATGTTTTAAAAACTTCCGCAGGAACTACGCCTGAACCGTGGTCATGGCCGAAAACCGCCCGAGTCCTTGGACCTTTTCAGTACATCTCGGGATGGGTCAAGACCGTCAAGACCTATCACCATAAAGGGAACAACATGGAATAACCATCCATCAAGCAACATTTTTTTGTACCTAGGGTGCCAGGGTTACTCATAGCCATCTGAATTGAACCAGGAAGATTTGAATTGCAGCCACCGAAAACTGAGATCTACCAGCAGAAACGGGCAAATTGAGCAACAAAACCAATGAAATGATGAGTGGACCAGTGAGTGTGTGGATTTTCACGCAAGAGGCGGGCTCAAAGAACATGCCAATTGAATGACCAGAAGGGGAAGTTCAGCCAGAGCGCTTGTAGCAATGTTTCGCCAGATCCCAGAGACATCCAGAACTGAACGGCCTCGTGCGTAGGGATGAACCAATATGGGCCGTGGGTTGAAGAAAATTTCTCTCCTTTACAGTCCTTCAGATCCTCAACTGATTATCCGACATCATCCGAATTCTATCATCCATGTTTTAACAGAATATTTTGAAGCTGGTTGCTAATACCATCCCCCGCTATTAAACACCCCCATTCCATGGTCACAAAAATGTGTAAATCCCAACAAAAAGCCGTCGTTTCTGGGGTGTATTTCACAGGGGGATGGAATTCTTCAGTGCTGTGGTAGTTTTTAACCCACAATTGCAGATTCAAAGGCCAAGATTTCAGAACTGGTTCGATGCTATGTTTGGCTTAAATCGTATGTTTTCTTGGATTTTCTCTTACTTGTGCTTAGTAGGGAATTTTCGGGAATGATCCACTGGCTAACTATCAATAATCATCCCAGCAACCCCCAGCAACCCATCCATTCCCTATGTAAAACGCACCAGTAAGTTCTTGGTGGAATTCACCAATCTGTCAAACTTTTCATCCAATATATCTGGGCCAGAAAAGGTTAATCCTGCACTTTTATTGGTCAAGTTCCCGTATGGTCAAGTTCCCGTATGTTTGTTGAAGGTAAGCTGCTCAAAAAAAACATGTTTCTAGCTCGTTTCTCCCAGGTTTGCTGGTTTCACTTGAGTCCCCTAAACAGATACCTGTTCCTGTCCCATACCCTACAAACTGTTAATTACTTTTGAATTCACATGTTGGTAAGTTTGACATGTTTTTTTTCTAGCTTGGATCCTTGCTTGTTCTTTGACCACAAACAAATCTGCATGAATCCTGCTGTGGATGAAATTCCAGAACTTGCTGGTCTTCAATCGCCCATTATGCAGCTTAAAGATGCTTAAAGCACCTATTTAATGTTAATCTAGCTGAAATTACATTTAAATTGACCATTCTGATCCAAGGAAAAATGGGAAACCCTCTGGTAATCAGTCACATGGCTAGGAAAAAAGCCAGCTATAGTTCGAGTATTTCCCATTTACCCATGTAGTTCTTCCAGATTGCCATATTTGAATATGGTGGTTTCTTTTTTCGCGGGGAATCCCCAAAACCTGGTCTAATGACTTGGCTGATTTAAGGGCTATTCAGGAAAACTCCATAATATATATATATATACATATAATATATACATATATTTAATGTATACATATAATTGTATATATATATATGTAATTGTATATATATAATTATATAAAATTAAATACAGTACATATTCCTCTCTCTTCCTTTTGCCCGGCCCGGGGGGGGGCCATCTTCTCAGGAAAGCGGCGGCTTCGCCCATCAGCAGGAAGCAGACTGCGCAGGTGGGGCTCGCAGCCTGCGATACATTGGTTTTAGTGAAGATAGTGAAGCCTACAAGGTGGTGCCCCCAAGTTATGTGAATGTTGGTTACAGGATGGGGCCCCCCAGTTATAAGTTGGTTTATAAACCATTATAATCCCCAGTAACTATAGTTATATCTACCATAAACCATTGTTAAGCCACTTATAAACCAACTTAGCTATCTTGGGGGCCCCATCCTGTAACCATAGTAAGTATATGTCAATATATCTACCATAGACCATGGTGACATTGGAGTTATAAACCCACCAACTGAGCGATTCCGAACTGGGACACCACCTGGTAGGATATGGTAAATCATGGTTAATAGATATTGTTTTAAGGTAGATTGTACGGTAAAATCATCATAACTAGGCTTAAGAGTAGATATATCATGATGTATCATGAGATATCTACAGTTCCATGATCAGTCGTGACATGTCTATTTTTTTCCATCTACTAGGGGATGCTCATAGATACAATAAAGAATCGCTAATGGTTGGATGACTACAGCCCATCACACCATGATGGAGATCTTATGGCTTCTTATGGGATGCACATAGAACATATAGGCAACACTATGATATGTTGCTTCGTACTAGTTTGAACATGGTGCGTATACCTGACACATTTTTATGGCCAGTAAAACATCGGGAACATTTGATATTTTTATCCAGTGGATCCAGGGTATCCGACATAGACATAGACGACCCAATGCTTGGTGGTCTCATAGGACTCCTGATGGTTTTTTGGCTTCACAAATGTTCGATCCGCAGAATGGTGTATTTTTTTTTCGTGCTTCCTGCACCTTTTTTTTGGGAGATTACTATGACTAAGGGGTTATGGTTATGATACGTTGCTACAAGGTGGTGCCCCATAGTTAGCTAAGTTGGTTTATAACTCCAAATACTATGATTTATGGCAGATATAACTATAGTTAATGGGGTTTATAAACCAACTTATAACTGGGGGGCACCATCCTGTATGATGATGGAATTAATCATTGGGTATGGTTCCACACCAAAAAATGAGCTGTGAACGTTCTCCTAGTCCGATGGTGTCGCAGGTCTTGACTCATTCGCAACTGGCCATCAACATGGCGTGTTGTCAAACAGAACCCCATTGATGGATTTATCCGGTCTGGGCATATCTACCAATCTATTTGGATGGTTCTGGATGCATGTTTTTTGCGCACACAAGCAATCGCAAGCATGGGTAAACCCGACGAAAAAATGAATTAACATATGTAAGCTTTAGAGTAACTTAATAGAGAGACTTTAACAACTACCTATTAGAGTTATTACACACCAACCATTCATAGTTTTGAACCCACCGCTATTATCCAACACCGAAAGTAGCCTTCAGCAAGGAGAATACTATGAAGAATGGGGATATCAAACAGCAGCAAAAAATCATGTGGCCACCAAGAAAGGGTAGGCTGATTTCAACCACGGCTTTTCTATTGCTATTTTTCAACATCCAGTATCTTGGGTCATCTGGATTAGGCCATAGTGAAAAGAATAGAAGCATCCACCTTTTTGGGGCTCGAAAATCTTGAACATGAATCCCACATCCAAGATAATCCCAAATCTTTGCCAGTGATATATCCCATTGAAATCTCATGATTGCTATATTACTCATGTGCGCTTTCGCACCCTCAACCATTCCCAAGTCATCACCATTTTGGTGTTACAATGTGAGGCCCCCCAGTTATAAGTTGGTTTAGATTCGCCCCAGTAGCTATAGTTATAAGTGCCATAAACCATTGTTAAGCCACTTATAAACCAACTTAGCTATCTTTGGGGCCTCACTGGGAGTTCTTTATGGCAACTGTGTTCCGCCTTCACAGGACCTGGAAATGTCAGACGAAGAGCAGCTGAAGTCCAAGCTTCTTGACGTCGGAGGGGAAGCAGCTGGCAAGCGCTGGTAAAAACCTTTCTGGGTACCCTCTGGTAAACTAACATAGCTATTGAAAATGGCCATTTATAGTTGATTTTCCCATTAAAAATGATGATTTTCCATAGCTACGTTAAATTACCAGAGGGTATTAAGAATATGTAGTTTTTGGGAATACACCGGGAATTAAACATAGATATATGGGCAATTCCAAATGAATGGAGGTTTGGAAACATTTGGAAACGGGAAATCAGATCTTGAAAGAACTGCGATATCTGCGATATTTTCCAGGGATTATCAGAGGATACATTGAAACTCAAGATTTAGATCCCCTGTTGAACATGGGGGAAGGTTTAGCATGGTTCAGCACTGGCTGTTCGTGGTTATATTTAGTGGGATAAGAGTACTAACAGTTACAAACCACAAAACTTTGTTCTCAAAGTATTTAGTTTTGCTATTTATTGTGTTGATGTGTTTCTACTTACTAGTGCTAAACGCAGGGAATTTTCGGGAATGATCCACTGGCCAACTATCAATAATCATCCCAGCAACCCCCAGCAACCCATCCATTCCCTGCGTTTAGCACCATGTTTTTCTATTTTATACTAACCAATACCCTCTGGTAAATTAACATAGACCCTGAAAATAGCCTAGTTTTAATGGAAACTCATCTTCCAACCCCGTTTTCTGCCAGGGTTGTCATGTTAATTTACCAGAGGCTAACTAGCAAAACAAAACATGGCTGTCCAAGAGTCTCCATCTTGCCGCGAAGTTGTTCTAACATCTGTTGGTACCCGGCCTGGTAAACGTAGAAACAGTTTGCGACATAGAAGCCATGGCCCAGTCGAAATTTACCGTGATTTACCCATTCAAATCGCGACTGGTGGATCTTTCCAGTAAACGTTTTTTGTGAACGTTTACCAGGCCGGGTATCTGTTGTTTGTCAATGCCCCTGATGATTTTTGGGATGATCCCTAAGTACTAAGCACTCTATTTCTTTGGAGTCTGCATTGATCTGGATTGCTGCCTGCCCAAGTTAGCTTATGGGCTGCATTTCATATGCTGTCCTCAGATCTGAAAAATCAATAAAATTCATGTCTTGTCTCTCTTTAACCCTCTGGTTATGACTAACATAGCCATGGAAAATCACCATGTTTTTATAGATAAACCATCTATAAATGGGCCATGGATTCCATGGCTATGTCAAATAACCAGATGGTAACCTTTATTGAAGTTACTGCATGGTCAGAATTCCCTTGGTTTTTGCGCGGCAGAAAAACCAGCAACTTGTTTCTGTGGTCGCGCCCCAAGGGAATCCTTGGAAAGCGGTAAAGTACAAGACTGTCCCGATGCGCATGCGCACCTCGACTGAAGAAACCACTCTTGGCATCTATGCTTGGAGGGTCGTCCCAGGAATTGTAACTGTTTCTGGTTGGTGATTTCAAACATGTTTTATTTTTGAGGTTTTCCATGGTTTGCTCCAGTTTTGCCTGCATCTTCTGATTGTCTATGTCTGGTTGGTGGTTTCAAACATGGCGTTTATTTTCCATTTCATATATGGGATGTCATCCTTCCCATTCCCATTGACTTTCACTCCATCATTTTTCAAGATGGTTATTGCATCACCAACCAGTTATAATGTTTGCCACAAATTGTCAGCCAACATCGGACACGAGGATTGCGACTAGGGCTCCGAATATATCGAACTTCACAGGGGGTCCAGGTGCCCATGATCTTTTTCAGCTTTGAGGAAGCCTGAATGACATGTCCCCAATGAGTTAAAGCTCTTTACCAGTTGTTCTTTGTTTATGGTGATACATGGGGTTATCATTCCATACACGGGTTGACTTACTGACTTATAACTGGTTTCTAGAGCCATAAAAGTAGAGGTACCTTTATGGCAATGACTTCTTCTCAGTGATTTTTTTGCTGGTCTACACCAGGACTAGCCTAGCCTTGTGATGGGAGGGATGGCTACTGCAGCTTCTTTGGCTTCCCTGATCATATTTTTAGGAGCGAGAAGCATCTCAGACACAGTTGCCATTTGGATGATGTTTTTGGTTGTTGGGATATGAAAACAATATAGATCATGATCCAGTGACTATATGACTATATACTATGAATCATCATTACATGATACAGTAACATTAAATTTCAAATGTTAGAACATATATATATATATATCAAATAATCTATGATATTTATGATCAAGTTGAGGCTTTGAGAAAACGGCTGCGACAGCTGGACTGGACCTTGTAGGAACTGCAGATACAATGGCAATCCGAAGGATGTGTGAGAAATCGGAACGATAATGATGGGATTGCCATACCCATAGGCCATAGGATCCATGGTGCTGGTATATATGCTAACATTTGGGGTTTATTGATGGTAAATGTTACCATATATAGCATACATGGATCCTATGGGATAGTTGGACCACGTGATGTGTCATGGTGATTACCATTTGGTTATGACTAACATAGTCATGGAAGCCATGGCCCATAGAAATAGATGGTTTACCGGGTTTACCTATTAAAAATGGTGATTTTCCATGGCTATGTTAAATAACCAGATGGTAATAGAAATTGGTGATTTTTCTAGGACGGTTTATGGTGATGAATAATAATTTAGCCAACAAACATGGAGATATCAATTGGCATTAGCCTCTGGTAATAATGTTACTTCACCATCAACAATATAGGGAGCTGGACAATCACTTAATTTTTAATTGGTAAATCATCATCACAATTACAGTTACTATAGATAGGCTATCTAAGCGTCCATAGCTATCTTAAATATCCATCCAGCGGGTACCTTTTTTCACATCCGGTGCCATCAAACGTGGCAAGCTGGGAAATTCCCCTATCAATGATTGTTTGGTTGGTGGTTTGGAACATGATTTGTTTTTTGGCCATTTCATATATGGCTTGTCATCCTTCCCATTGATTTTCATATTGTTCAAGATGGTTATTGCACCACCAACAAGTTGTAAGCGAAGGCTTTAATGGGAAATTCTTCATGGGGGATTGTCCATTGCCACCTTTGATTACCGGAGGGTAAACCTTAAACACATGGCATTTTTTGCTTTTACAACATGAAGGGGTGTGTTTGAACATGTGCCCATGGGTGATTGCAAAAGCCCAAAGGTGGCCATTTGAGTAAGGACAATGAGGATGATCCAAACCTGATCCCATATGTTGTTTTTGAGGTTTTCCATGGTTTGCTCCAGTTTTGCCTGGATCTTCTGATTGTCTATGTCTGGTTGGTGGATTCAAACATGGCGTTTATTTTCCATTTCATATATGGGATGTCATCCTTCCCATTCCCATTGACTTTCACTCCATCATTTTTCAGGATGGTTATTGCACCACCAACCAGATATTATTATTAACCATCATCAACCATCATTAACCACTATTAACCATTATTAACCATGGAATTCCCCAAGCTTTTCAAGCTTTTCAGGTACCACTTGGTGCGCCAAGGCCGCTTGGAGGCCGCTTTTTTGTTTTGGATTCGCTGGGAAGATCATGGAAACCGTTTCCGGCACGGAAAGTTGGTGATTCATAGTGATTCATATGGGAGCCGAAATCATCCATTTTAGATTGGGATTTTCCTTATAAATTATAGGACTAAATCCATTTTGGGTACCCGCATTTATGGAAACTCTCATATAGTACTTGTTCATACTTGTTCAATGTGTCACATGGGATATTAATGGGACATTAGTGGGATATGAATGGACTATGATGATTATGGGATGATAAACAAAAACATCCGTCTGACATAATTAGACATTATATATATAATACCCCCAACTACTAAAGGGTTTGAAATGGTATACCCAGGGCTCTCCCGAGGGGGGGGTCTAGAATGGTATTTTTTCATGTTAGACCCCAACCCCCTGATGATCTCAGACCCCTCAACATAGGTTTTTATCATACTTCCCACAATCATAATAGACCCCAAAACTGATGATTCCAGACCCCCCACCGTTTAGGTCTAATATGATCAATCTCATTTTTGACAATTTGAGGGGGTGGTTTCACCCAAGACCCCTTTTTGGGGTCTGGAATCATTCCACCCCCCCCAAAACTCCTCCCACATTTGGGGTCTAAAATCAAAAACGTAAAAGGGGGGGGGTTTACAAAAAAGATATTAGACCCTGCTACGTTATCTCACATAACTTGATGTAAATTTTAACGGGTTTCCTACGTTTTTGATTGTTTTCGTACGTTTTTTGATATAATTAGGATCTGTGTGATCTCAAAGTAGGCATTTTTGTTTGTGCATTATTTTTTTGGACATGCAATGTGTTTTTCAGACCCTACATAATGGACCAACAGGGCACATCATCGCACAACATGTTTTTTTTCTGCGTCGCCTTGTCTTGTGGTCTTGTCTTGGAACTTTGCTGCCCCAAAGCAATGTTCTGATTTTATCTAATTTTGGCATCTTGCCAAGGGTTGGCATGTTGCCAACTTTCACTATCTTTCCCTGATCTGCTCCAAGCTTTTCATGGAACACAGCATCAGCAAGGCGATGGCTCTAACTCTGCAGGTTCTCTTCGCAGCTCTTTGATAGAAAGAATAGAAACGAATCCTGAAAAAAAAATGTATGAAATTATAGACGGCTATTCATTGTTATTCATGGCCAAGGCACCTCGCCACGACGCGCGAGTTATACCATTCAAACATGACAAAATGTAAGTACAATTCAACATATATAATATGACAAAATATTGCATCATTTCAAAACATGCAAGAAAAACAATGTAGAGCTCAAAAACAGGGCATAGGCTCACAACAGAGGGTCTAGGTTGGTCTTACTTGGAGGTTGAACCATTCTTTCAACAGCTGATGATGCAAAATACCATTTCAGACCCCCAATGAAACAAAAAAACTTCAATTCCACAGCTCAACCCCTGGCATTTTCTGTTGGGACTTTCAACCTGGTGGGACAAAAACACATTAACAAAAAGGGTCGTATTTCAAGATTCACACACCATTCAATTGAACATCATTTCAAAATATGCAAGAAAAACAATGTAGAGCTCACAAATAGGGTATAGGCTCACAATAGAGGGTCTAGGTTGGTCGTACTTGGAGGTTGAACCATTCTTTCAACAGCTGATGATGCAAAATACCATTTCAGACCCCCAATGAAACAAAAAAAACTGAATTCCACAGCTCAACCCCTGGCATTTTTTGTTAGGACTTTCAACCTGTTGGGACAAAAACACATTAACAAAAAGGGACGTATTTCAAGATTCACACACCATTCAATTGGACATCATTTCAAAATATGCAAGAAAAACCATGTAGAGCTCACAAACAAGGCATAGGCTCGCAACAGAGGGTCTAGGTTGGTCTTACTTAGAGGTTGAACCATGCTTTCAACAGCTGATGATGCAAAATACCATTTCAGACCCCCAATGAAACAAAAAAAACTGAATTCCACAGCTCAACCCCTGGCATTTTCTGTTGGGACTTTCAACCTGTTGGGACAAAAACACATTAACAAAAAGGGTCGTATTTCAAGATTCACACACCATTCAATTGGACATCATTTCAAAATATGCAAGAAAAACAATGCAGAGCTCACAAATAGGGTATAGGCTCACAATAGAGGGTCTAGGTTGGTCTTACTTGGAGGTTGAACCATTATTTCAACAGCTGATGATGCAAAATACCATTTCAGACCCCCAATGAAACAAAAAAACTGAATTCCACAGCTCAACCCCTGGCATTTTCTGTTGAGATTTTCAACCTGTTGGGACAAAAACACATTAACAAAAAGGGTCGTATTTCAAGATTCACACACCGTTCAATTGGACATCATTTCAAAAGATGCAAGAAAAACCATGTAGAGCTCACAAATAGGGCATAGGCTCACAATAGAGGGTCTAGGTTGGTCTTACTTGGAGGTTGAACCATGCTTTCAACAGCTGATGATGCAAAATACCATTTCAGACCCCCAATGAAACAAAAAAAACTGAATTCCACAGCTCAACCCCTGGCATTTTCTGTTGGGACTTTCAACCTGTTGGGACAAAAACACATTAACAAAAAGGGTCGTATTTCAAGATTCACACACCATTCAATTGGACATCATTTCAAAATATGCAAGAAAAACCATGTAGAGCTCACAAATAGGGTATAGGCTCACAATAGAGGGTCTAGGTTGGTCTTACTTGGAGGTTGAACCATTCTTTCAACAGCTGATGATGCAAAATACCATTTCAGACCCCCAATGAAACAAAAAAACTGAATTCCACAGCTCAACCCCTGGCATTTTCTGTTGGGATTTTCAACCTGTTGGGACAAAAACACATTAACAAAAAGGGTCGTAGTTCAAGATTCACACACCATTCAATTGGACATCATTTCAAAATATGCAAGAAAAACCATGTAGAGCTCACAAATAAGGTATAGGCTCACAATAGAGGGTCTAGGTTGGTCTTACTTGGGGGTTAAACCATTCTTTCAACAGCTGATGATGCAAAATACCATTTCAGACCCCCAATGAAACAAAAAAAACTGAATTCCACAGCTCAACCCCTGGCATTTTCTGTTGGGACTTTCAACCTGTTGGAACAAAAACACATTAACAAAAAGGGACGTATTTCAAGATTCACACACCATTCAATTGGACATCATTTCAAAATATGCAAGAAAAACCATGTAGAGCTCACAAATAAGGCTGTAGGCTCACAATAGAGGGTCTAGGTTGGTCTTACTTGGAGGTTGAACCATTCTTTCAACAGCTGATGATGCAAAATACCATTTCAGACCCCCAATGAAACAAAAAAAACTGAATTCCACAGCTCAACCCCTGGCATTTTCTGTTAGGACTTTCAACCTGTTGGGACAAAAACACATTAACAAAAAGGGTCGTATTTCAAGATTCACACACCATTCAATTGGACATCATTTCAAAATATGCAAGAAAAACCATGTAGAGCTCGCAAACAAGGCATAGGCTCGCAACAGAGGGTCTAGGTTGGTCTTACTTGGAGGTTGAACCATTCTTTCAACAGCTGATGATGCAAAATACCATTTCAGACCCCCAATGAAACAAAAAAAACTGAATTCCACAGCTCAACCCCTGGCATTTTCTGTTGGGACTTTCAACCTGTTGGGACATTGGTCAAATTTGGAATTTGCACCTTTGGGGTCTAAGATTGGTTGTCCCAGAAAGGGGGTCTGACATTGTAAGGTCACTGAAAACAAATCGATCACCAAACATGGGGTCTGAAATCTTTTCGGGCCCGTTTTTTTTGGGGGGTCTATTCTTAACCTACCCGAACTTGACATCACTTGTCAGCATCATGATAACCCTGTTCCACATGATCCTAGACCCCTATTTGGAATACCCAGGGGGGGGTCTAGGATCATGGTCTAAAAGTTACGGTTTTACTGGGAGCACACAATTTCAGACCCTTGGATTTTGGGGTCTATTATGAAAAACCAACCCCCCCCTGGCAGTAGTTGGGGGTATTATATATATATATGCGTAATGATATGGTGATCATGGGATGATATATCAGATATGGGATATTGTCCCAGATTATCCCATATAATTCTCCCATATAATTCTCCCATAATTAGATGGGATAGTATGGGATAATATGGAAGCACTGGATATGTAAACAAAAAATACATATGGGATAATATGGTCATATTATACTATAGAAGTATACAGTTAGTTATATTGGATAGTATCATATTGGGTTCCTACATAAAACATCCCAAATATGTCATACAAATCATATCTGGGATCCCATATCCAAAATCCCCCCATAATATAATGGCAAAAAATCAAATGGGGGATATAGGGGGATCCCAATTTTATATCACAATAAATATGCTAACATAGTAAATCAATATAACAATTATATGCCCATAAAGTGCCACATGATATGTAATATCAAGATTTATCACATTATCATATATGATAATGATTTATAGTGGCATTATAATATGCGGGGATTGTTTTTTTATTATACCAATGTGAGGCCCCCCAGTTATAAGTTGGTTTAGATTCGAGCCAGTAACTATAGTTATTTGCGTACCATAAACCATAGTTATTGGAGTTATTTGCACCAACTGAACGCTATCTTGGGGGCCTCACATTGTACCAATGGGGGATCCTCCAATCGACCCCCAGTGGTCGACCTGGAGTCCCCAGGCGCTGGCACGCTGGGGAGGTCTGCAGTTTGTACGGCCCTGCATGCTTCGTCCGGGGAACCCGTTTGAAGGTGAGTCAATCGTTTGAAAAATGCGGGAATTTCACACAGAAACTCTGGGATTTCACCATCCAAAAATGGGGCATTTAACTGATTTAACCAAGAAACATGAGGATCTAAATGGATTTTAACATATTTTAACGCATATGTTATGAAGATTTCTCAATATTTATCAAAAAAAACTGACATTGAACGAAAAAAGTTCACCCGCAAAACAAGGATTTAACGCACAAAAACGAGGATTTGCGAAGGAATACAGTGATTGAAACACCAATAGTACAGGCTTACTCAATTAGAGTTGTGTTTTTAGTCACCAGAGCTGGAGATCTGACCAGCTATCCCCAATCATACAATGTGAGGCCCCAGTAACTACCCTCTGGTTATGTCAAAATAGCTTTGAAAATGGCAATTTATAGTGAGATTTCCCATTAAAAATGGTGATTTTCCATAGGTATGTAACAAATTACCAGAGGGTATAGTTATTTGCGTATCATAAACCATAGTGACATTGGAGTTATTTGGACCAACTGAACGCTATCGTGGCCGGGGGCCTCACCTTGTAACATACATTTCGTCATCCTTTTTCGGGAGTTCACATCCTATCGTCATCCAACATCAGGCTGTCATCGGCTGTTGGTCACTGATGTGACCTCCATCACTTTGTCTATCACTAGTGATGTACCCTCTGGTAATTTAACATAGCTATGGAAAATCACCATTTTTAATGGGAAAATCAACTATAAATGGCAATTTTCAATAGCTACGTTAAATTACCAGAGGGTAAACCTTTGCACTGAGGACTTGTTCTTGAAATTGTGGCTGTTTTGTTTTTACATGATATCCATTTGACTAGAGTTTTTAGCAAAAAAACTACAGCCACACTAGAAGCCCTGAAAACATTGAAGGGAACATCTACACGCGATAACAAGATTTGGGTGAACAAACATGTAACATACACCTAAAACAGTGGTTTCTGGTAGGATTTGCCTACCCACAATATAAGCTGTTTGGTACATCGTCCATAAAGCCTAGTTAACCTCGTGTTTTTTAAAGCCACTTACAAATCGCAGGGTCCGGATGGAGTACGGTGCGGCAGGAGACCTATGAGATTCCCAGCCATTCCAACCCAAGCTGCAGCGGGCTTCCTGTAGAGTTTTTTTTTCGATTTGTCGGCCATCTGATGTTTCACTAAAGCCCCAAACTGAATCAAGCCTTTAGCGACCAATACGCCATCACTTGAGCCACCTAATCAGATAGGGATCATGAAATCATACGATCCATCGGGACGCATCGGATCCCTTCCGATCTGTTTGGCTCTTTCTGCCCGGATCACCAGGTGCCCGCCAGTTATAGGTTGGTTTATAACATTTTATAATCATAGCCATAGTAAGTATGTCAATATATCTACCATAAACCATAGTGACATTGGAGTTATACAGTTATAAACGCACAAATACTTTGCGATTTAGCAGACTGGGGCACAACCTTGTATCAATCCCATTAAATCAGCATTATGAACCATGATTACTGTAACCATTGTTAAGCCATATATATATATATACAATGTGAGGGCCCCCAGTTATAAGTTGGTTTAGATTCGCCCCAGTAACTATAGTGATAAGTACCATACACCATAGTTATTGGAGTTATAAACCAACTTAGCCATTTCAGGAACTGGGGCACCACCAGGTCAGTTGCTGTTCTACGTTGCCCGGAATGGCTCCGTACGCATGCTGCAGCTGCTCCTGGATGAAATGTGTCGGGGGATCCCAGCTAAGGTTGAATGATAGCTCCAGGGTCCATGGTAAATATATCTAAAAGTATACTAGATAGTGATAGAAAGATAATATTTCTTATGGTTATATATATATATATATATATATCTAAAGTATATCTAAGTTTATTTTAAAAAAATACAAGTCAACATTAAAAATTAGCAGCCTCACCATGTTTTTTCTTTTTTTACCCAAGCACTTTCTGAGCAAGCCCTAATCCCATCCACACCAGGTTGAGTTTTGGATCGCCTCATTGCGATCAATATTTAATGTGTATTTGATTAGAGGATATGTTATATGTTATATGTTATATGATATGATTTGATATGATATGATTGCTATTCATTTGTTGTTTATAGTAGTTGATTGCATCCGAGTTTAACGGGGCAGAACCCTATATGATTATATAATGTATTGAGAAACATATTTTAAGAAACAGTCAGTTGCAGAAGTCAGCGAAAACAGTGATAAGTACAATTGCCGTGCAGAAATCACAAGAACTGAGGGTTACCATCTGGTTATTGAACATGGCCATGGAAAATCACCATTTTTAATAGGTAAACCATCTATACATGGGGTATTTTCCATGTCTATGTTAGTCATAACCAGATGGTATGGGTGATGGGTTCTGAAAAATGTCAAGTTCCCACGGAACCTTTTAGTCGTCATCACGCAAGGACTCTCACTAATATCATGTTTAAGGCCAATGATCTAAATCCTAACCAATCAATAAAAACATGCCATTGTTTCCAGAAATAGGCGGTTTATAAAGCGATGTGTGTTATGGCATTGGGTTTACCCTCTGGTAAACGTTTACATAGCTATGGAAAATCACATTTTTTTTATGGGAAAATCCACTATAAATGGTCATTTTCAATAGCTATGTTAGTTTACCAGAGGGTACCACATGGTCATCCATGAAAATATCCATTCGCCTGTTTTCTCTAGGTGTGAAAAATCCCCCATATAGTTGGCCCTATTGATGAGGTAAAGCCCAAAAAGTGTTTTCATCATCCCGTTGCGAAGGGGTACACCCAGTGACCTGGGAGAGGGATCAAAAAAAAACAAATAAGGATCAAAAAAAAAATAGGTATCAAAAAAAAACAAATTTGAAACTAAAGGAGGAGAAGGAAGGAAGGAAGGAAGGAAGGAAGGAAGGAAGGAAGGAAGGAAGAAAGAAAGACAGAAAGAAAGAAAGAAAGAAGTAACCTTCTCTTGAAAAATGAAAGGAAAGCTTCCTTCTCTTGACCCCCCCACCCGCTTTTATTTTTTAGCCGGCTCCCCTTGCTACCTACTATTCTTTTTTTTCCCAAGCATCATCGTTGTTTATTTGGGTTCATTTAATCTTGATTGATATCCATCGCGACTTGTGCCTATGTACTTCTTTCTTGGTACGCATTGCGGGGGGAGGCGCTGCGCCCTCCCCCCTGCACCCCCCCACCCGCTTTTATTTTAATCGGTTCCCCTTGCTACCTACTATTCTTTTTGTTTTTCATAAGCATCGGTTATTTGGGTTCATTTTATCTTTATTGATATCCATCGAGATTTGTGCCTATGTACTTCTTTCTTGGTACGCATTGCGGGGGGAGGCGCTGCGCCCTCCCCCCTGCACCCCCACCCGCTTTTATTTCTTAATTGACTTCCCTTGCTACCTACTCTCTTTCATTTTTTTCATAGGCATCGTTTCTTTGGGTTCATCTTCTCTTTCTTAATCTTTATTTATATCCATCGAGACTTGAGCCTGTGTGCTTCTTTCTTGGTACGCATTGCGGGGGGAGGCGCTGCGCCCTCCCCCCTGCACCCCTCCACCCGCTTTTATTTTTTAATCGACTTCCCTTGCTACCTACTCTCTTTCGTTTTTTTTCATATGTATCGTTTCTTTGGGTTCATCTTCTCTTTCTTAATCTTTATTTATATCCATCGAGACTTGAGCCTGTGTGCTTCTTTCTTGGTACGCATTGCGGGGGGAGGCGCTGCGCCCTCCCCCCTGCACCCCCCCACCCGCTTTTATTTTTTCATCAGCTTCCCTTGCTACCTACTCTATTTTTTTTTCGCAAGCATCGTTTATTTGTGTTTATTTTTTATATAATCAATATGTTCATTCTTGCTGCTGCTGCTGCTACTACTACTGCTACTGCTACTGCTACTGCTACTGCTACTACTACCACTACTACTACTAGTACCATTACTACTCCTACTACTACTACTACTGCTACTACTGCTACTACTACTACTACCACCATTACTACTCCTACTACTACTACTACCACCATTACTACTACTACTACTACTACCACCACTACCACTACCGCTACCGCTACCGCTACCACTACCACTACCACTACCACTACCACTACCACTACCACTACTACTACTACTACTACTACCACTACCATTACTACTACCAGTACTACTACCATTCCTACTACTACTACTACTACTACTTCTACTACAACTACATTTTTTGTTTTTTTTGTTGATCCTTATTTGTTTTTTTTTTGATCCCTTATTTTTTGTTTTTTTTGATCCTTATTTGTTTTTTTTGATCCTCTAGCCCCCAGTGAAGCCCCAATTTTGCTAAGGGGATGGTAAAAATTGGAGTTATCCCATTATCCACCTATGATCCCATGAAAGCATCCTGCTGTATCCCACAAGAGCACATTGCGCACATTTTTCTTTGACAAAACTAACTTGATTAAGTATGGTTTACGGGTGATTTAACTATGCTAATCATGGGTTTACAAACTTATAAGTTGCATTGCTATGCTGATTCCCAACATGGGGCCCGAGGTAAAAATCACCCAGACGCCTTGCACTGGCGAGAGGCGGCACCCATGTCTATTGGATTTCACCAGCTGTGTCGATTTTTTTCTGTGGTTTGTAGGTTGCCATTCCTTGGAACGGCTTTGAATTGGTTGGAATTGTGGTGACCCTCTGGTAAACGTTTACAGTTTACGAACTGGACAATCACCATCTTTGAAAACGGTAAATCAACGAACTAAATGGGCCATGTTTTTTACGTCGCTTTGCGCGTTTGTCATTACCAGAGGGTCGTCGCCAATCGGGCTGTTGGAGTCCTTCAAGTATGATACTGGCGAGGTCGAAGTTCATTCAACAGGAGTAGCGATAGATCCCTATAGAGTGGATGTGGAAAATGATCAAATATCAATCCTATGGCATGTGAATATTAAACACTAATGTTGCAAATCCTTATATCAATGGATTGGTTTAAGGGAAAATTTACAGGAAAGCCCCATATTTAATGGGGAAATCCATGGTTTCCTGTAAAATTTCCCTTAATCCAATCCATTGATTATACTGTAGGCTAATGTTTTGAATGTATCAACCCTATCATATCACATTGGGCAAGCGTTGAACACTTTCGGCCCCAACATGAACAGGTCCTCTGACATATGTGAACTATTCACTGCCAGCCTAACGTCTATGCTAGGTAAAAACTATCTGATAAACGGAAGCAACAAAAACAGAACTGGTTGGTGGTTTGGAACATTTTTTATTTTCCATAATACATGGGATGTCATCCTTCCCAATGACGATTCGTCATATTTTTCAGAGGGGTAGGTCAACCGCCAACCATGCAGAGAATATGTCCATGTATTTCCTCAATTGCTTCAAACACAAACACCGATCCCGCTGGTGGCTATACATACTATGCCACCTTTTTTTCGGAGCTGAAAAAAATCACCAGTTACTGGAGGTCCATGATTTTCAACCGCGGAACCGTGAGGGTCACTGGATGTCACTGGAAATACTTTACCCTCTGGTAATTTGTTACATAGCTATTGAAAATGGCCATTTATATAGTGAGTTTTCCCATGAAAAATGGTGGATCTTTCCATAGTTATGTAACAAATTACCAGAGGGTACCTATAGAATGGTCAATAATCAATATATGTCCATTTTGGACTTCTTTTAGACTTATTTTAAATGGATGTGCGAATATGTGCGAATCAAAAAAATCATTTACGATACAGTCGGCCATACTTTGCAATACTTTAGCTTCCGGAACTCAAGAACAGGCTAGCTGGAAAATTACCTATTTCATTCAAATATTGTCCCGTGTAATGGCTATTGAGTTCTGAGATTTCCCAGCCACTTTTGATCACTATGATTATACCGATTTTAAATCCCCAATTGTATCCCCATTATCATCCATTATATCACTCTGTTTCATGGTCAAATCACCATCAAAGTCCTTGAAATATCCCCATTATAAATCCCCTATATCCACATTATATACCAATATTCTGATGGTTGATATCATCCAGGAGAATCAATTTGTCTCTATCGAATCCCCTATGACAAATCCCACCCATTTTAGAGATTTTTTGGTCAAATTACCGACCGTTATGACCGTTAAATCACCTATTATTAACGGTTAATCCCGATGAAATATATTGATATATGTTGATATCATCCTGAGTAGGGATACCTAGAATCTATAAATGGGGAGGATTTTTCATATTTGATAGACACATATCAATATATCATATATAGATGATCCATTTACTGTATATTGATATTTATATAGAGGATACAAGGTGGTGCCCCCACAGTTTTAAGTTGGTTTATAACCATAGTAAGTATGTTAATATATCTACCATAAACCATAGTGACATTGGAGTTATAAATGCACCAACTTAGCGATTCCGAACTGGGGCACCAAATTGTATCAATCCCATTAAATCACCATTATGAACCATGACTTACTGTAACCATTGTTAACCCATATCAATGGCCATTTCAGGAACTGGGGCACCTTGTACCAGGTCAGTTGCGAAAAAAAAATGGTTTTCCCATTGCCAAAACGCCGCGCATTTTTCGCCAGGCCGGGGCGCAAGGCGGAGGTGCAACACTCCTCCACGCAGCTGCTGAGGCCTTGGGTTAATGGTGAATCTTCTAGGATTTGCTGGTGAATTTTCCACGATTTTGTAGGATTTTATGATGAAAAAAAATTGGGATTTGGGGGATTTTGTGGTGAAGATTGGTGAATTTTATGGTGATTTAATAGAATTTAGCTAAGTTGGTAAACAGACCATCCAATAACTGGTATAGATTATAGGCATTTTACAATTTGCTGATGGATGTAAAAACCAACAAAGATACCTGGACGGCACCAACTTTCAGTCTTTTTCAATAAGGATGAAACGCTCAAACTCCACTGGGAATAGTTGTATGATATATGACATAAAACTTCATGTGGTTTATCAGACTTAAGCCTGATTTGCCATTGACTGGAAATTCATGCACAACTTGGATGATTTTGGAGGTTGGTGTAGAGGTGAGATGCGTCAATGGTTGAGCCCTGCTGGGAAGCACACTTTTAGTTTTGTTCTTCTCAATATTGAAACTGTTGGGGCTGTGACCCCCCCAAGTAGATATACAGTAACTAGGACAACTTGGATTAGAACCCCAACATAATTAGAACTTTTTTGGGTATGTCCGAAAATAGGTTAACAATTTTGGTATGTCTGAAAATAGGGTATATACCAAATTTCACCCTATGGTTTGTGATTTTATCCAATGGTTTATCACAATTTTCCCATTATTATAAAGGCTACCCTCTGGTTAATTGACATAGCTGTGCAACATGGCCCAGTTGTAGATTATTTCTATTGATTCATTGTGATTGTACTACATATCAATAACATCCAATAACCAGAGGCTATCAATTGGGGATTACCATCTTAAATCAGCAGAATCCAGAATCAATCAAATATCACCATGTTCACATTCACCATAAAATTGATGGTTAAATCATGTTGAAGCCCCGTTTTTGTTGGTTAAAGCCCCCCATCACCGCCTCATGAGGCTGACATGTTGACCATGTGCGTGCGCTTCTCAGGGATTTTCACGTGGCTGGAAAATCCCCAAACTACATGGAGGTATTACTGGGAATATCTGGGATAATCCACTATAAATTAAATATGGAACTTCACTATAAATCATCCATAGTGACATAGTGGATGTTCCCTTTCTTGTAGCTAGATTGTAAGGTACCTACGTGTACCTAGCATTTTTTCAGGCCAATTTTTGACGGCGAAAGTTCTGGCGGGATATGCTCCCAAGTTTCGATTTCGTCTGGAACTTCCCATGGATTTAATGACAGTCTCTAGGACGGTCCTAGGTGATTACCCTCTGGTAAACGTACAAAAAACTATGGACAGATCCACCATTTTTAATGGGTAAATCCACTATTTCTATGGCCATGTTCAATAGCAAACTGTTAGTTTACCAGAGGGTAGGTCCTAGGTGATTATGTGTTGGTCAGCAAAACGGACGAATCTGAATGGAATATGTTTTTGTTGATGTTGTGAGGTAGCTTGGTACCATGGTATGGGTCATTCAACGTTTCTGGTAGTACTCGGATTTAAATTCACGGCACCACCAGTAAATGAGGATGAGACCACATGGATCCTTGGTTTTGACCACAGATGGACTGGTAACTGTTGTACGTCTATTTGTGAGTACCCGATTGCAGCTGTATTGACATATTCAACATATTGCCAAAAGTAAGGAACAACGTTAAAGGCTTTCACCAGCAAACACGTGTATACTTCAAGACGTTTTATCAGATCATGGAAAACTTATTATTCAATGACGGAATGTGAGTATGTATACAGCAAACATGAATCATCACGTACTTAGTCAATCAGAACGATGGTTAAAACCCTGGGACGACTTCATGTTTTTCATGACCAGCTGGAAATTCATTCAAACAAGTGGGGACTATCCATCCCGCCATGTAAAACAATAGCAGGAGGTAATCAACCGACTAATATTTGCGCAACACTCGAAGTTCATCATCTATGTGATTTTGTCATATTTTGCAATTGGTTCTACTCTGCTTAGAATACCCACAACAACCAACATTCAAAGATACATTTGATGTGCTCTCCCCCGCAAGCAACTTAGACCCTGGCAAAAAAAGGTGGCGGAAGATTACTTTCCTGTTGTGACGGGCGGTCGTCTATGTTAGTTGGGGGGATGATAGATTTATATTATTTTATATTTATTCAACACAGGGGCTCAAGTCTGTCACATCTCCCATCAATATCCTCATATTTCTTTGGTTCATAACAGCTAAAACATGCTAAAACCACGTTGTGTTTTTTCCAGATTTCATTGATACATCCAAGTAACATACATGTTTATCCCATGTAAACCCCATAAGATGGTTACTTTGATCCGTATTTTTCTGGGAAAAGAATCTCGCTCCGGATTTCACCAGGTTCTCTTAGAGGACTTGGGTGCGGATCTGGAGGCCCAGTTACGTTTCGGCTGCGCCCCGTTTGAAGAACACGACATTCTTTGTTTGGAAGTATAGTGACTGGTTGGTGGTTTGGAACATTTGGATTATTTTTCCACATATTGGGAGTAATCATCCTAACTGACTAATATTTTTCAGAGGGGTTGAAACCACCAACCAGGTGAGATATTTTGGGGGCAAAATTCCACGCTGGAAACGGGGATACTGTATGAGAAAGAGGCTAAACTTTAAACTCTTCGTGTAGCAGGTATGTATTGGAGCGATCTGAAAGATCTAAAAACATTCAAAAAAAACATGCATTTTGACCTGTAAAACGATATATGAACTCCCAAAAGCGATAACATGAGAATTAGTTCATGTGTGAAAGCATGGTGGGATGTGAAGGGGTGGTGTTCATGACATGATGGTGGATACCTGTTTTAGAAGCATCTAGATCATCTAGGCTCTCAGTTGTGGGGTATACATCACGCCCAGCTCACACAACGGAAGATATGCAAAAGTATGCTGACACTCTTGATCCTGACCAATTTCTTTATTTCTGATTATTGCAAACGGTTTTGTGCCAATCACGTATTGTTATGTGATAATGGATTTGGATGTTCATTTTGTCTCGTCATCGCCCAAGCCCTCCGGATGAGCGTTTTGTATTTACGTGCTTTCATGCAAGCAGTGACGATGACAACAGGTCGCCTTTCCAACTTTCTTTGGTTCATGCCATTGTCCTAGAAATATTTCCCGCTTTGAACGATAACGAACACGATAACGAAACGATAAGCATTTCTTGACAAAATGTCTTTCGCTGATGGATGGCCCAGATGTGAAAAGTTTCTTGAGATGATTCTTTGCCCTTCATTATTATCACTTGCTTATTGCGACCTTTTGGCTGCTATGCATATTCTCTTCTAGCGCCCCTTTGCTTTAGTAGAATCATCTCGGGGACACAGATCGTAAAACTGCACCTGCAGGTCTGTGACTGGTGGCAGCCGTCCACGTGGCCCGTGAGCATTCTGTATTTTCTGATGATCTCATTGACCTGGCCGGGTTGCACACGTGGGCGATTTGGCGGACAGCTGGTACCAGTCAGAGAGCTGCGGTTTGACGATCTTTGTGCTAGATGAGGAAAGCCAAGGCATTGGACCATGTCCATGGTTTGACTTAGCTACGCAGACGCTGGCCAGTGAAAGGCCTGGAGCATGCTGTGAGAGCTCATCCGGACATCTTCCAACAAACTGCATTCAAAGCTCGTTTCTGAGCTTGAGAAAGGACGGTGCAACTGTGATTTGCAGTCGCAGTGGCAGGTATCATACCATACCATACATTTCCAGCGCTGCAAAAGAAAGCGCAAGGAGGTCAATGACGCTGCAGATGCTGGAGTGGAGGTGTAAAAAGTATTCCTGCTTCTATTGTAAAACAGTATGATGAACTCCCAAAAAAGATAACTTTGGCCAAAGATCGCATTTTTTAATTGAAGTTTTGCCGATCGCTCATATGATGCTGACTTTGTTTGGCAGATATTTGGTATGGTCTTGGGATTTTTCAAGGGGAATGGGGGTGACACTGGGACTTCATGGGAGAGGAATGGGCCATTTTGTAGGCAGACGTTCAGGAGATCAAGAGGGTATGGGTCAAGAAGGGGGTATGGGTCAAGATTACGCCCAACAGGACGGCAGTTGGCTTGATCCTTTGCAGTACTAGCCGGACAATTTTGTCCCATTACCCATTCCAACAGGAGAAAAATAATCCAGACCAAATTTTGCGGGATTCCATGTTTTAACTGGGGCAAACCTTGACTGAGTAGGGGCTACGTGTTTTTGTTTTGTTTTGATGGGTCAAGATACAAACCATTTGTTCGCAGGATCCTCAACCTATCTTAGAACCGCTGATAGATCCCATTCCCGGTTCATATCATTCCCAATCAATAGGTTCTATTGGTTATACATTGATGCAGAACCATAATTATAACTATGGTTGTGCCTCCATTTGCAACCTATAAAATGTATATATCCCAATTGATGGAACTTACCGCCATAATTCGACCTATATTCGACCTTGCATCCACAACGGGGTCACCGAGTGGTTTCTGGTTGTGCTTCTCCGAAGCAACAGACTGCCAGGCAACAGATCAGAATGGCAAACGACCTTGGGAGGTGGCGGTTCAAAGTGACAAATTTGGAATATGCAATTACTATTCATGTATATAATATTATATATAATTATATGTGATTATTCATCCATGAAATCATTCAGTTGGCATGAAGCATCCCTTAATGTCCAGTTAAAGGACAAAACATAGATCAATCAATAAATAAATAAATAAACATGTATGCATATATCATCATCATATATTTATATATATACATATCACTAGTATCCAAACACAACGATTGTAATTGATGTATCACTTAAACTCCTTTTTTCCCGCTTTGGACAGCATGAGAAACCCAGTTGTAAGTGGCCCATAGTACCAATGCTTTGGCTGATCGGCGGATGGGATTCCTATAAAAATTGATTTTTGGTTTCCTCACTGGACAATCATTCTGGATATGTTTTTTCTATCCGTGTGGAAATTACTACACTAGATCAGCAGTGTTTGTCGGTTTCTTTGGCCCAAACTTCCAACGAAAGTGGAGCGGCAGCATCGCAGGTTGCTGGGCCGTTTTGCGCAGAGACCTTCAATAACTACGGCTCTTTCAGGCCTGGAATACCTTCAAAGAGGTACCCGATACCCCTCCCTAAACAACATACGGATTTTAACAACCCCTGATCAAGGTTGATCGCGGTTCACAATCTGTTGGTAAGGCCTTAGTTTTTGGGAATTGCCGGGGGTACCATTCGATTCATACGAGGGATAGCGGAAGTCACAAATTTGATGATTTTGGAGTGGTAACAAAATGAAGGTGTGGTTTAGTTTAATCTTTATATTTCTGGGTGAATGTTGGTTGAAATATGCCACATTTTGTCATTATATCCTTTAAGTCTTGTTTGTTGACCTGTGTTCTCATGTTGTACTCTAACTCAGAAACATTCTCTCACAGCCATATTCATATTATTCATCAACAAAAATTGAATTTGTCCCTTTTCACATGCCGCAATCCCATGATTTTTGTTTTAAGCATTACCCATATGCTCCATGTATGGTATATTTGCCTACATTTGGGTGATTTTTAGGGCAAATGTTGGTAAATATTCCATACATGGAGCATATGGCATATGGGTTATGCTAGGGATGAGACTGGTGGGTAGGTCACGCAGTTTAGACCTGCCGGAGGTCGGCTGTAAGACCTGCCAATATCCAGGAATCCACATCATCATCGCAGGGAACGCCTGAAAAATCCAAACCCATAGGATCCATGGTGCTGGTATATATGCTAACATTGGGGGTATATTGATGGTAAATGTTACCATATATAGCATACACGGATCCTATGGGAAATTGATTATCAAATTGATAACACTGGGCAGGTTTTTTTTTAAGCGCCAGTATTAGATTGTGATTTGGGGTTGATGCTTCTGAATGTTGCTTGATCTTGCCGTCCTGTACTTCGAATGGTGTACTCAAGTCTACAGGCAACGTCACATGGAATGGTTATCCAGTTCCAGCAGATGAATTGGATGATGGGAATTGAAGTTACAGGAAAGCCCCAAAAAAGATGAGGCTAAAAACTCCCATGATTTCCGATGTTCACTTCAGCCATCTTCAGCCAACTCACTGCCAATTTCACCGAGCTTGGCACGTGCCAGGGGTGATGACAGGAGCCTGAGACATAGAGCTGTTGCCCTCGGGAAAATCATCTATAAATGGAGGATTTTGATGTGCCATCCAACAGTCACCTTTCGCCTATAAAAACAAAAAAACATAACAAGACGCTTCTGATGTGCAGATATTGTATCCCATGATGGGTTGCGTGTACTCCTTATGTGCTTTGGATCACTCAAGTCTTTTAGTTTGGACTTTGGACATGTCCAGCCTAGAGCCATGTGGCTTTTAATACTTGTATGTGCATCACACTTGGTAACTGGAGAATAGCCCCGTAGGAAGTATCCGACGTAGAACTATAATTCGCAAAACTCATCATGGGTCACCCTGCTTCTGAACCACTGCAGAGTAGAGACTATGGTAGGGTCTTACGAGTCATCACACTTGCCACCAAAGACTACAAAATATATCAAAAGATAGGGTGAACTATGGTGAACTGACCAGCGGGAAGAGGTAAATCTTTGAACACCACAAGATATATATACATATATATTATGAACGTTCCTGTTGACGAAGGCGTTACATGAGTGCGGTTATATATTTATATCTATTCAATTAATAATTATACGTAGTTATAGATCATTAAGATATACTTACCCGAAATTTGCGCGATGTATTTGTCTTGGTTTGTACAAATATGTATAGGCACAGTAATATGTATTTGAAATTAGTTAATCAACATTCATCCTAATTAATTCAATGCGCTTGTCCTCAAGTCAAAAAGCCATAGCCATTGGATTTTCTTCGAACATCACTATGGTAGATCCTGACTGACTGGTCATATTGAGATCCTGATGGGATGAAGGCGATATCCCCATAGAATTTAGATTTTTAGGCCTGGCTATACCTGGCTATCAGTCCCATTTAAGTGTATCCCATAAAACAAAAAATCCCCAAACATGATGTTTCTATATATGTTTCACAGGACACCCAGCAATTCTTGGTGCTGGAAAATCATTCTTAATTTCCCGCATCATTCTTATTTTTCTCCTATTGATAAAAGGAATAAAACATAATAAAAACCAATGAATTTTTTCCATCCCCCCAGTCTATCCCCGATTTTACCCCCCTATGAAAACCTCGCCAGCAGACCTTGCCTCTTAGGTCCCTTGGGAAGTACCTTGCGACTCACGAGCACGTTGCAGGTGGATAAGGGCAGGAGTTCATAATCCATGGGTTATAGGGAATTGTTTATAGGAGAGAGTTATCTTGGTTGATCTTTTTGTTGGTTTCTCTACTATTCCCTACTATGAATGATGGCAAGACTGGGTTTCGCCTACCTTGATAGCACATTGATAGGTTTCCTTACTTTGGGCTGAAATAGGGAATTAAAAATTACCTAGGACCTGGGTTATTTGGGACTATGAACCCACTCATAGTAGGGATGTCCTTTTTCCCATTGGTTGGTTGATGAGTAGAGGGCTTTGTTTAGAACCCCCTTTGTTACAACAGGTTTAAATGATGATAGATGGGATTAACCAAACCGGCCCAAATCTCTATTTTTACCAAAAGGACATTATTGTTTGAAATGGGATACCGGCTGGCTCGAATGGGTGTACACCAACCTTGACCATATAACCATGTGCCATGTTCAAGTTCGTTGTTTTCTATAGCATGTTACGGGATGGTCATGAATCCATTCATGGACATTTATATACCCAATATCTCCCCATACCCAAACATGTTTTGGCAAATGTTTCTCATGTTAATTGACCATCTTCCGCCGATACCTTTTCTACCTTTTTGCTGTAAAACGTCTGTGATGAAAGATATGAAAGTATTCAGATTATTCAGATGGTCAACTTCATTAAGGAATAAGTCACCCACCGGGTACCTTTTTTAATTGTCCGCCGCCTCCCTGCCCAGACCATAAGTGAGCCAGGGATTCCCAGGGGAAATTGGCGTGCTCTAAATCTCTGGTGGTTGATGATTATAAATAAATATATATATATATATAAATGTATGTATATATATATAAATATATATATATATATACATATAATCATACATATATATATATATAGTTAAATTCATATATTCATATATATATATATATATTTACGATCAGGCCGCCTGGTTCGCCGTCGGCTGGAAAGGCATTTTTCTAGGGCAGCCAAGGTAGTTTGGTCTCATCGTAACATTCGGCAGGTGTTGTTCGCACTGTTCCTGTTGAACAGGCCTGCCGATACTCTTTGATCTCCGTCAGCACTGTTTTCAGCCCTGCCTGGCGGTGAAGCGCCGCTGCTGCCAAGACCTGTAAATTGGCAGCTTTGCCTTTCTTTCGATAACGTAGCATTTCCACCCTGAAAACAATACGATAACGTAGCATTTCCACCCCGAAAACAAAGCGATAACGTAGCATTTCCACCCTGAAAACAACATAACGTAACATTTCCACCCTGAAAACAAAACGATAACGTAACATTTCCACCCTGAACACAAAGCGAGAACGTAGCATTTCCACCCTGAAAACAATACAATAACGTAGCATTTACACCCTGAAAACAAAGCGATAACGTAACATTTCCACCCTGAAAACAAAGCGATAACGTAGCATTTCCACCCGGAAAACAAAGCGATAACGTAACATTTCCACCCTGAACACAAAGCGATAACGTCATGTTTACAGCCAACAAAACGCGCGCGACAGGATGTTATTACACCCCTTCCCCCACCCCACCCCCCCCACCCCGATGCATGTCAAGCGACGGCGAACCAGGCGGCCTGAGGGTATATTTACATATGTATAAGTTATGTATATAGGATTATATATATATACACATATATGTACATATATATATATATATATCTATATAGTAAAGTGCCAACAAAACATATACACAAGTGTCTCCAGGATGGTAATTTGATTATGTTTTCGCCATTGCCATAGTTCAAGGTTTTTTGATTTTTTGGGGGTTGATACATAGAAACAAAAACAATTTGTATATAATTAAATACATACATACATGCATACATACATACCTGTGATATCCCAACACCATCAGCCATTGGGTTTGAATTCATGTGCAAAAACTGCGGATCCAGTCCAGACATGATGGACGATTAAGGATTGCTAATGCCAGGTGCTGGTGTTAACAACAACTGCTTTAGTGGAATTGATCATCGCATATCGCATTACAGTAATAGTAATATAATCGTGAGAGCATCTTGTTCTCTCCCGTTCGCATAGCATTTGCCCATATATGATATCATTATTGGATATTATATATACACGATTAAATATGTATTTCAATACATATATATATATACATATGTATTATACATATATATATATACGTATCTATTTCACTAAAAATAGACATGTTATGTTTACATCTAGATATTTGAAGCATGTCCAACATACCCTCAACATGCTTCGACTGGAGACCATTCGGCAAACGACTTCTTAGCTTCACTACGGGAATTCTCAAGCCGCGGCAGCGCGGAGTAGATCGATGTTGCAGCCCACTGAGATGGCTAAGTTGGTAGCTATACCCTTAACATAGACCCTCAAAATAACACATGTTTAGTGGAAACTAATCTTCCAACCCCTATCTGCCAGGGTCTATGTCAATTTTCTGGAGGGTAACTGTTGGGTTAAGGGTTAAGGGTTTTTAAGTCGACAACCATCACTGGGCCGGGGCACCTTGCAGAATTGTCATTAATTGTCTCCATATCAGATAGACACAGACATAGATCATTGCTGTGTAGCTAAAATTGCATCAGCTCTATCCCTAATATCCCAGTTTTGCTACTTGATTCTATGTATAATGTCAACCCTGAATTTTGAAACCCTAGGGTGTTTAATTGGGGGGTTACCATTTAAGTATCAACTTATCACAATTTGGGGAGTACCACCTAATTAATAAGCCATGGTCATCAATCTGTGCTTGACATTACACATGTATGATACTATTGTAGATGATTACACGCACTTTTCCATCCGAAGAAGTCCTGACTTGTTCCCGGAATTTCCCGGACACCGCTCCACATCTTCCAACAAGGAAACCTATGTCCAGAACAACAACACGCGGGCTCTCCCACACACAGTGTGGTTTCTCAGGGGCAAAGCTGATGGATAGCTGGGTGTTTTTTTCTAAAGTTTACCATGGGGATATTGGGTGGGGATATGGGTGATTTAACCATGAAACATATTTGCACTGCATAATGGCTTCTAACAGGGATATACTGATATACCCTCTGGTAATTTAACATTACGAACTGGAAAATCACCATAGAAATGTCGTGAATTTTCCCATGAATAGCATGGTGGATCTTTGTGGATCCAGCTGGGAAGATCATCCAGCTATAGCCTGGTTGATTCAATGGCCATGCAACAGGAACCGAAAAAAACGGAGGTACCGATTCCATATATTTGTGGCCTATTTTTTTAGGCCTATGTTTCCGGGAATATCCCAGCATATCCCAGCAAAATATGGCCAAACATATGGTACGTACGTAGCTTCATGTATTGGATCCTGAAGATCTCCCATTGGTTGATTTTGTAGCCATGGACAGTTGATGAATTTAGACTCGTTTCTGGGGACCTCAAAGGTGGCTCCAAGCCATGAGTCCCTTGAGTCCCGGGGGAGCCCCTTAGCTTTGCGAAACAGGAGAGGTGCAAAAGGTGCCCCTGTTAAATCAAGTCAATGTTGTGTGAACGACAGCACCAACTTTGGGGACATGAAAAAAGATGTTCAACTGTTCAAGCTACGTCCGAAGCATCGACTGCAGAGTCAGGAGCGGCCGATTCCAATGAGTGCAGAATAAGAGAATGGAATTGCGGTGCTTCACAAAACTGGTTTTCAGAAGTGGAGCACCTCTGTCAATAGTTTACGAGCTACCATCATCCATGAAATGCAGCTTGCTGCCCTCCGGAAAACAATCCATTGGGTAGAACTTGGTCTCTGAACATCTATCATGGGAGGCTAGGTGATCATTGGGCAGCTGTGAAATACGCTAAGGTATGCACACATACACGTATTATCTACGAAATTACATATTTCTGTCATACATATATATATACACACACACACACATATATATATATCTCTACACATGTGCCATACATGTATAGACATGGACTCACATTACACCACGTCACATTGCATCACATCCAATCACATCACATTACATATCATTCATTATAGCATATCACTTTCTACGTTACGTGCCACATGACGCAATATTTTTTTCATGCACGAAAACTACAAAAAAAACATCAATAGTCGCCTTTTTATGCATCAACTGTCTTCATGGATGATTTGGTCTTGGGCACAAAAACTGTGGTCCAGGGCCCGGGCTCGGCTCGTGTGGTCAAAACGGCCAGCGCACCGTCAGAAATTCGAGTTCAGGTACCCAGGTGGCTCTTGAGGATATCTGGGTAGTTAGTGGTTGATAAGAATGGCCTATTTAACAAAGAACCATGGGGATTAAACCATCTAAAATAATCTAAAATAGGAATATATGTTTTTTCTGTTGGAAATGATGACCTATAGTTGGTGATTTCAATCATGTTTTCTTATGTTCAACCCCAGAAAACGGGAGGAGGACCCCAACTCACACATTCGTTTTTTAGGTTTTTCAACCATCAGTGACCAGAAAAGAAGAGTAACCACAGTGACCCAAAGCCCATGACTGGGGGTCAACTGACGGCTCCGGTGGTGGAATTGTGATTTTCCTTGACAGGTTTGATAACCTAAGGAACTGGAAGGCGACCTGAGGATGCCATCTATGCAAGGCTTATATGATGAGAACCTCAGGGAATTTTCCGAACAAAACATGGCTTGAACGGCTTGAGTGTGGTGATTTGTTTTCGCCGTGGGTACTTGATGAATGTGCCATTGAAATCTCTGGCATGATCTGCATATGGCGATCTGAAAAGGGTGCGATCTGCACAGCAGCGGGTGGTTTCAACCATGGGAAAACCTTGGTGAATTGCTTGGCAATTCGTTTGATAGAGGCATCACATGGCGAAACGACAGACAACTTGTTTGATAAGAAAATCATGATCATATAAAGTAATGTGGGTAAAACAATGTCATTTGCACCATCCCCCAGTCATCACATCAAATCGCAATTTTTATAGGTGGTATAAACCATTCCCAAATGGGTATATTATTATTACCATCAATGAATTATCACCGAGTACATTTGGAGTATACTATACTATACTATACTTTACTACACTATACTAATACTATACTAATACTATACTAATACTATACTAATACTATACTATACTAATACTAATACTAATACTAATGCTAATACTAATACCAATACTAATACTAATACTAATACTAATGCTATACTATACTATACTATACTAATACTATACTAATACTATTCCAAATACTAATGCTAATACTAATACTAATGCTATACTATACTATACTATACTAATACTATACTAATACTGATACTAATACCAATTCTAATACTAATACTAATACTAATACCAATGCTAATGCTAATGCCAATACTAATACTAATACTAATACTATACTATACTATACATTTATCAATGGTTCCCAATTGATGGTACATATACACCAAATGGGTTTTAACCACATTATCTCGTATATGGAGTATACGTACCATCAATGAACCGAGCAGTGATAGATTTGCAAAGGTCAATCTCTATCAACAAGTGCAACAAGGAATGCCTTAATTGTAAACAACTATGATTGGTAACTGTTTTATTTTAGAAAACCATTATAGAGAACCAATATAGATAACTCTTATAGTTAACCATGATATTTTTTAAGCAAAAAGCATGCCTGACCGTAGGACAACAACGTTGATACACTTGATGCACTTCTCCTTGCTCCTGTTGTGCTAGGGCTGCTGAGGCTCGTAGCACGTAGCAAATGACAGCTGTCCCTGGATCTGAAGCTCTTCGTTTTGTATCATCAAGTCATGTGTCACACTTTTTTATGCATATAATATACATGTTATGAAAATATTTATATATACACATTGAATACATATATGTCATAGAAAATATATTAATATATATATATATCCAGATATACATTATAATATGTTATCTGGATATTATGTATTATTGGTTCCATCTGGATGTCGTAGAACGGGCGCGGCCTGGAATCGCCCAAGAAAAGCCCTCGAATCGACTTCCCAGGAGATGGCTAGATGGCCGGCCGGCAGGGACTCCTTGGGGCATGTATTATAGTATATGTGTATATATTATTGTATAATTATGTTATTATATATATTATATTGTATATATATGTATTATTATATATATATATAGTATGTATATATCATATATAATTAAATTGTGTATATATATATATGTATGTGTATATATATATATACGCAAGGAACTTTGTTGTTCTGTCTATGCTTGGAAGATCCTACTATGGTTACAAAATGTTTCTGCAAAGCCGAGTCAGACACGATGGACACGGTGCCTGAGAAGGCCAACCATAATCAGGAGTGAATTTCAACATCTACTGTCATGTGGGAATTGTCTGAAAATGGGGTTAACAATGGGGAATGATGGGGTTAACAATGGTGATATCCATTGGTTAACAATGGTGAATAATGGGATGATATGGGAAGATACCTTCTGGCAATTTGTTACATAGCCATTGGAAAGTGATTTGGTGATATTTTTTGCCGATTGATTGAACCAAGAAAAATTGGGGATGTTAATGGGAAATACCTTTTGGTAATTTGTTACATAGCCATTGAATGCTATTAAAAATGACCATCTGTAGTTGATTTACCCGTTAAACACAGTGATTGTCCATAGCAAACTGTAAACGTTTATTTACCAGAGGGAACACCCCAAATCCTCGGTTCATTTGAGGTCTCGCGGGTCTTTTCCATGTTGACCTTGTTTTTTTTTGTAGCTGCTCACGTCCCCATTGTGCCTCGTTGTGAAAGAACGCCTTAACCTCATTTTTGTTGGTGGACAGGCAGGTATACTCCCGCTTTCGCTTAAATAATCAACTTCTGTCATCTCCCACAGTTATGGTCCTTTACCAGTTAAAAGTACTTATAACCCCATTTATAGAATGTATAACCCCACTTAAAGCCAGTTATAACTGATAAATGGCCATAACTGCACATGTTTAAAATTTAAACATGTTAGTGACTAGCCGCACCAGGATGGCTATGCGACCCAAGAAGGTGGAGAAGGCCGTCTGCTGAAACTACCGCTAATCTTACATAGCTATGGAACATAGATCCATTTAGTTCGATGATTTACCTGGTGTTTAGTAACAATAAATTATAATAAATACAGATAACGACGGCGATTTTCCATAGCAAACTGTTTGTTAGAGGTTTACTTTTGATATGATTAGTATTTACTATCAATTTGAATTAAGCACGTATCATTCTAGTACAGTATTGTTCTAAGAATTAGTATGAGTATGAGTATTACTGTAGTAGTAGCACTATTATCCGGATTCGTTTTGATTGCCTGTATTATTATTGATTATGTTTGATGTTGTCCCATTGTTTTGAATTTGAGGGCATGAATTATATTGCACTTGCACAATATTGTATCAATCCGTAATTCAATCTTGTTCGTGCAATTGAACACATGTAGATCAAGGTTACCAACAATGTGAGGCCCCCAAGATAGCGTTCAGTTGGTGCAAATAACTCCAATGTCACTATGGTTTATGCTACTTACAACGAACTAGTTACTGGGGCGAATCTAAACCAACGTTCACATCACTGGGGGGCCTCACATTGTATATATATATATGGCTTAACAATGGTTACAGTAATCATATAATCATGGTTCAAGGTTACCAAGGTATGGTCAGTTGATAATTGATGAACTCAAAGTCAGGCTCTGATGGAAACTTTCCGATGCTGTTTGCTATACTATGTGTGTCCCATATGTTGGGGAGGAACATGCATAATAATAGTGGTTAATAGTGGTTAATAATTGTTAATAATGATCATCAATGATTAATATACTGGTTGGTGGTTTCAAACATGGCTTGTATGACTTCCATTTCATATAGGATGTCATCCTTCCCATTTGACTTTCACTCCATCATTTTTCAAGCTGGACACGTTGCACCACCAAGCAGAAATCAAGCAGAGCCAGGGCATTTCCTGGTGAGCTGAGCCAGGATTTCCCAAAAAATGGCCCAGGTGATCATCACAAACACATGGTTAGCCCTGGAGAAAAAAAGCCCCAGAGAATCAGAAAAACCATCATTAATCAGAAAAAAACAACTTATATCTCCATATTTTGATGTGAAACCCCAATAAAACCCCCCTGAAATAACCAACCAAAAGGGTTTTTTGAACGTTGGCCTGTACAGCCCCCAAACATGGACCAACAGCGGCCTCTGAGTCCGAACCATTCTTTGCTGCTGGGGCACCAAGTTGGGTGTCAACTGGCTGGGTGTCGATGCTCCGTTGCTGGTGCAGCTTAGTAAGTCCTCCTTTAAAAAAAACGTTGCACTTGTCCCCCCAACATTCAAATTCGATCAGGGAAATTGATCACTTCATTAGAAATCTTGGGATTTTATGGTGGTTTTTCCAGTAGGACCTATTTCCTGAATTCAGCATCCTAGAGGGCTTCCAGGCTTATAACAGTAGCTTTTTCCATGTTTTTCAGTGCATAAACTGGGCCGCTTGGCGGCTTGAGACCTTGAGAGACAGCCTGGTGGAAATTGGCTTCCGGGGATGGTCATGAGTGTTGGCTCTGATCGTATCATGAAAATGATTATACTAATGTCTATTTAATTTTATTATGTTTAGCCAATATATATATAATATAGATATATGATTATATGATATACTATATGTGATAAGATACAATTTGATTTCGGTTAGATCAGGTAACATGAGGTCATACCGAGTACGCAATGATTGTACGATACCTTCTCATGGGGTTTGAAGCCACCAACCTTTCTTTTCGCCGCAGCCGGCAGCTGTTCCCTTGCACGAATTCGGTCCCGGGTTTTGAAGCTCTTTCCAAACGGAAGGGTGTTGAGGGGGAAGTTTCCAAAGGGCGCGACACATCAATGACCTAAAATGACATCATGGGTCCTAAAGTGTTATAACATGGCAATCTTCCAAGAGTGTAGACGGGGATGCAGAATCTGAACTCCTACATGATTCACTGCAGTTTTATTAAGGGTTGCTTAGATTTTCCTAGATGGTTTAGTCGATTCACGACCTCATCTCGTGCTGTCCTTCGGTTCCTTCAGTTCGGGGCATCCATGGTCATCCGCTTGCAGCAAGTTAAGTAGCAACCCCAGTCGAAAGATCGAACAGTTGGAAACGTGGCTATTGCCCTCTGGTAAACTAACATAACTAAGGAAAATCACCATGTTTAATGGGTAAATCCACTATTTCTATGGCAATTTTCCATAGCTATTTTGACATAACCAGAGGGTATGGGAAATACGGTGCCCGGCATCTTTTGGGATCTCAGAAAGGATGTCGGTCGATCCATCTCCGTTCAAAAACCAGCCTCTCAACACCAGAGCTTTCCGTCGGGGCGGCCCAAACTTTTTCGGGCGCCCGGAACTTTAGAGAAGTTGGGGCCCAGGAGGTCCGATGTCAACAGCTGTGCTGTCTTTTAGCATGACAATGGTCTGGGAACATGCAACAAAATCCATCAAAATCCCATATTCCAATGATAGACAACTGAGCATTTATGATGGACATACTGTATGTCATTTTTTTTGATGCGGGTCCTATATGCAATATGTCAGCATCAGTGGGATGTTTACCAGTCCACAGACAGAGACTTGACAAATCCCAGACGCGGCCGGCAACGGCATGTGCTGTGCTGAACATGGCTTTCTCAGAGGCCAGATGTCATGCAGCAGCTGGTTTGAAGTGTTTTCACGTGATCGGTCACCGTCTAAAGATCCTGATTTTAGAAGATGAGTCTACTGCTGGGCATGATTATTGTTCATCTTCGACTTGATATGAAAAAAACGGCACACTGCGGATACAGTAAATCGAGTATCCCCAAAACATCCTAAGTTACCATAGGTTTCAATACTAAAATGGTCAAATGACTTAGATGATTTGGGGGTACCCTTATTTTAGGAAGCCTTCATTTATTGCTGGTTGGTGGTTTTCGATTCAGTTGGGAATGTCATCATCCCAACTGACGAGCATATTTTTCAGAGGGGTTGAAACCACCAACCAGCTATGATATATGGAAATTATTGGGATATGGCCCATAGAAATATCATTTATACATTATGATTATGTTGATTTACCTATCAAGAATGGTGATTTTCCGTAGTTACGTTAAATAAACTGAGGCTATATTACGTATTCACTTATTAGGTAATTTTTCTTTGTGATTTGTGAGCTACACTTTGCTGCGCAAAAACGTCAGTTACGATTATATACTCAAGACCTGCGCACCAGCCTCCGGATTTCCGGTGAACACTGCTTAAACAATGCTTAATCTGCAAGATGAATGCTTAAGGTGAATGTTGTTGGTTGAGTTGCACATAGTTAAGATAATGTCATATCATATCACAGCATATCATATCCCACTTTAACTTATTTTTAAGTGAGCTCTAAGACAATTCCCTTATGTTTTATTGGTTGAATTATCATGTGCTCTTGGTTTTGTCAATTTCTGTCGGATACATTTCTTGGATGTGAGTGCAATCCAGGAATAGTATGAGATAAAAGACGTCATTGGGTCACTCATAAATACGATGTGTACCTTACTTAGGCATGCGGTATTAATGTGTATACACACATTCTGCAGAATATTACATACATACATACATACCTACCTACCTACCTACATACATACATACATACATACACACACATACACACATACACACGCATACACACATACACACATACACACATACATACATACATACATACATACATACATACATACATACATACATACATACATACATACCAACATACAAACATACCAACATACATACATACAAACATACATGCATACAAACATACAAACATACATACAAACATACATACATACATACAAACATGCAAACATACATACAAACATACATACAAACATACATACACTTGTATTACACAGGATTATATTTTGTAATTATACATATACACAGATATAATTGGTTGATCCATTGATTGATTAACTGATTGATGGATAGATAGTGACGAATTAATAGATCAATCAACATATATTTAGATATTGTGTATATATATGTATATTTATTGACTGATTGTGTGGTTGATAGATTGATCGACTGACTTTTGGATGGATTGATTGATTGATTGATTGATTAGATAGATTATAGCGAATATATGGATTGGATAAATTGGATAAACACATAGATAGGCAGATGTACAGATAGATTGAAGAGATAGATGGATAGATAGCCAGATAATAGATATCCAATATATCTATTTATCTATGTATACATACTATAATAACAATATCATACAACAATACATGCTTTCTTTGCAACCATTTAGATTGTAGAATTTGGATGCAACTTTAATATATTATATAACTTATACAATATATTATATATTAAAGTTATATATTAAAGTTATATACGATATATGTTCACTTTAATATATTATGGTGACTTTCTATGATATTAATGTTGCATAGAAAAGTTCAGTACGTCGGAGGCCGAAGTTCGATCTCCCGCGATGATGGCTTCATTTGGAATGCCAGGCCTTCGACGTGGAAGTGGGGTCAAGTGCCCCCAGTTTTTGGTTGATAAGTTTGGAAAGTGATTTATATAATGGTATGTTATGGTGATTAATAGGTCTTGAACCAAAAAAATGAGGGTATGAATGGGAAATACCTTCAGGTAACTTAACAGTTTGCTATTGAAAATGGCCATTAGTTCGTTGATTTACGGAACTTCAACATGGTGATGTTCCAGTTCGCAAACTGTAAACGTTTACCAGACGGTAATTTGGTAAACAGATCCACTAGTCATGGGTTTGTCTAAGTTTCGTGGTACCCCCCCAAAATCCGGTGGTAAACAGATCATGTTCCCTATTGAGATGTTTAGACCAGGGATATGCCCCATTTTCAGATATGTTAAGAAAATACTCTTGGGTTCATAGTGATGAATTAAGTATATAATTATATAGTTAATCACAGGTGAACATATAACATCAAGTTAGTTGAACGGTCACTATGTGAACTTAGGGTTTTCGATGAAATAACCATGGTATACGCGGCATTGAAAAATACAGACTTGGGACCCAACTGTAACAACTGTGGAGCAGCACCTTGGAAGAAAAGTTCTTCCACTTTATGGATGATTCGCCCATGAAAGTCTCCAAATACATTGGAACATCCAAACGAACAGATACTATATTAAATAATATTATGTATATATATAAATACATATTATGTATTATCTATCTATCTATCTATTTATCTATCTATCTATCTGTCTATCTATCTTTCTTTCTATCTATATATTTGTCTATCTATCTGTCTATCTATCTATCTATCTTTCTATCTATCTATCTATCTATCTATGATTTGGGACTGATATACCTGGACTCATCGTTTTACATCAACACATCTTGCGCCGGCGAATCCGCAGGCCGTGTGCCGGACTCCGAGGTGCCACGCTTGCCTGGGCGAGTTTTCATTGCACTGGTAGCCACAAGTTGCGAGTCATACAAAAATAGACCATTGGAATAGTCACTATAGTGGTCAATAGTGATGGTTAATAGTGGTTAATAAGCTATAAATCAACAACAATGGGAATATGATGATATATGTCTGGTTTGTGTTTTGGAACATTTTTTGAATTTTACATATATTTGGAATAGTCATCCCAACTGACGAGCATATTTTTCAGAGGGGTTGAAACCACCAACCAGTATATGTATACATATTAACCTTATAACATACAAGTATATGTAGATATGTATAAGAGAAGATTTGAACATATATGTATAGCATGCAGCATACTGTTAATATATCTATACATACAATATTTTATAACATTAAATCCTTATGTAAGTACACATATGCATAATACATAAAGTATTCTATACATATTGAGACTGTATGATATATGCCATACATGTATAATGCCATGCGTAATCCTTATGAGAACTGTTATGTATACAAACATATACATACCTGAGTTATCCATATCGGTATAAGATGGTATGAGTATACGATGTGACAACACACAGATTTACATACATAGATTCATAGATCTAACGTATACATGGTAAATATGAAACCGAGAAATGCTGAGAGTTCCCCTTAGAATTCTTAGTTTCAGCTTTCAGCAGGTGTACAGCATATACAGTACATATGTATGTCATAACAGATCTAGTGTTTAGAATGAAACATATGTATTGCTGTATATATCTAGTGTGTGTATGTATATAGTGTATGTATGTATCTATATTGTATATTATTCGGCGTTGTATACCACTGTATCTAGTCTCATACATATGTATAACAACATCAACCAAATGTGTTTATATACAAAATGTGGATTGCATATAAGCACATATAGACAATATTTTACCATATAATATCATATAACATACATTTAATGTTTAGACACCATATTAGCATATATTAGTTTGTAATCTTTATAACCTATATAATGTTTAGCCGACATATAATACAAGGTGGTGCCCCCCAGGTATAAGTTGGTTTTTATAAACCATCGTATTTAAGCATATATATATATATTTACCATAAACCATAGTTATTGCTGCTATATACCAACTTAGCGAAAACCGAACTGGGGCACCCTCTTTGATATTACTACGTGTAAGGTTTTTCACACCGCTGGGATTGGAGCACAGTTTGACCCAACCCTTCGTTGGCCTTCGGATTTCCAGGGATAGCTGTTATGGGACAGATTCGTTTTGCGGGACATTTAATTTTCAGAATCTTGCACAAAGCTGCAGGGCGTGATCCCTTGATGCCATGAACCCAATAAAAGTGATATTCGTGATATTCCCATGACGGATCCATGGTGCTGGTTTTTTCTATGCTAACAATCATAGGGGGTATATTGATGGGTTCCATGGAGCACCATGTTACCATATATAGCAGCACCGTTAGGACCATGGATCCGTCATGGGATTACACATCATATGGGGTTGGGTCAAAACCCCATCCCCCTGGTGAACATCAAAATAGCTGGGATTTATGGATGTTCATCCCACTAAAAATGGATTACTATAGGTATTGATCCATACCCATATTACAAATTCAATATCTCTTTTTGGGACTTCCACTTGCCACAGGACGAAGCGCTCCGAGACGCTGCGGTCCCTGGGTCCACATTGTTGTGACCGTTTCTTCTTCAACATGTAAAATTTCGGGTGGTAAATTGGGATGCATCATTTTTCGGGAACCTTTCTATGTCAAGATTATTTCTATGTTAAACTGGTTGGTGGTTTCAAACATGAATGTTATTTTCCATGTCATATATGGGATGTCATCCTTCCCATTGACAAACTCCATCATTTTTCAAGATGGTTGTTGCACCACCACCAAGCAGATGATTGTTTTGGTTTCATCAGTTATAACAACAACATTTCATAACATTTCTAGACATATGTTGACAACATTTCTATGTTAAATTTCTAGAGAACAACTCTCTCAACATTTTTTGGGTCTCCCAGGGTCTCCTTAGGGGCCGTTGGAAGGTCATCCAGGGGATCTCCGGGTCCTTGTAGATTGATCCATGTGATGGTGATGCATGGGAATTCCATGGGAATTCTATCGGTTATTTGCCGATGTTTTTTTCAACCAATAGATTATAGTTATGCATATTCATGAATATTCATGAATATTCACCTGGACCCTCCAAGTACTTAGAAAAAAAAAAAGATTCTGGGACTTTTTACCAACTTTTATGGCTACTTAGAGGGTACAGCAAGGACATCAATCCGCAATCATTCAGATTCTACCAGCAGAACATGAAAACCAAGCATTTACCAAGGAGACGACATGGGCTACCAATTAATAAACCCATCAACGGCTATGGGTAAGTCCCTCAACGGCTAGGGTATCAATGGCCTTTGTCGTGGGGATCATCAGCGCCTGGTACGAATCCGGTTTTAACGCCATAGCCATGACGGATCCGGCTGGTGCTGGTTTTTCTATGCTAACATAAAGGGGGTATATTGATGGGATCCATGTTACCATATATATATATATACATGGATCCGTCATGGGATATAAAATTCCGTTCACAAAAATTCCGTATGAAAATCCCATGAACATCCAATGAACATCCCATGAAAATCCATTAAAAAAAACAGGCCCTATGTAGAACCTTTTTTTTGGTAACGACTATCATTCACCACGAAGACATCCTGTATGGAACCCAGAGAAACCCAGTTCCGACTATCCCATGTTTTTTTGTTTTTGAGCGACCATGATGTGAATCCCATGGCTTCTAGGTCTAGTAAATTGTACCCTCTGGTAAATAAACATAGACCCTGAAAATCACCAATTCTTATGGAAACTAGTCTTCCAACCCCGTTTTCTGCCAGGGTCTATGTTAATTTACCAGAGGGTAACAATAAATCCGCATGTTAGATCATGGAAAATGGATGAACATGGGGAAATCCCCACCAAAATAGCATGCATTTTTCCCTAAGTTGAATCCCCATGTTAGATGGTACAAAGCATGGAAAAGAATCCTGGTGCAGGACTTAGGGAATGGGGTCATGATCCAATCCATGACTATGACTCTATGACCCATCCCATTCCCTTATTCCAATTTTTGGATGTCCACATGGACTTGTTTTTTGTTTTTCCAATGTCAATGGGATGTTTATGTTCCAGAAACAATGGGAAAAACCGATGATAACAATTGTTATATGACAATCTCCTGACTATGAACAATGATTATCACAAACAATAATTATCATATGACTATAACATTGTTATTTAACTATATAGATAATTATATAACAATCAATCACTATGAACACTCATCATGATTGTAAGATCATTAGTTAATAACAATCACTATAACACCAATCACTATGAATCACTATAATGATCACTAGTTTATTTTCCTTCTTCCAATCATAAAACGCGTCACAAAAAGCAGCAGTAAGAACACGAACGCCTCACCTTGGCAAGGAAGCCGATAAGTTTGTTTTAGAGGCCGCCAAGGCTATACCCGGCCTGGTAAACGTTAACCAAAAACCTATGGAAAACCACCATGCTATTAATGGGAAAACCATGGGAAAACCATGGGAAAATGGTGATTTATATGGAAAACATGGGAAAATGGTGATTCATAGATAAATCAACTATTTCTATGGTCATGTTCAATAGCGAGCTGTTAGTTTACCAGAGGGTAATTGGAAAGAGTCATATGTCAATGGCTCCTTCATGATTTATGGCAGCTTTCCAACATGAACCAGGCTGGAGAAAACTCGAGCAGCGCGCTGCAGACGCTGGACATTGCTGGTTTTGAGCATCAGAAGTGGCGGTGTTTGAACGGTTTTACCCATCAGAAATAGTGTTTTTTGAATTATGAGAAATGGTGGTTGTACCCCGAAACATTAGGGATTTCAACTTGGAAAATTGGGCCTTATTCATGGTTAATCGGCAACAACCAACTCATAAGGGCGAACAAAAATAAGCATGTTTGGTTGGGAGGCACCTTGGGAGAGGCTCCATCTATATGGTAATTGGCATAGACGAAAACAGAACTGATTGGTGGTTTGGAACATGAATTTTATTTTTCCATATACTCTCCCGAAAACTAACGTTGGGCGGAAAAAAATAATTGGTTCTTAGTCAGGCACACCTGACTTTGATATTTTTCAGAGTCTGGTTGGTGGTTTGGAACATTTTTTCCCATAAATTGGGAATAATAAGCCGAACTGACTTTCATATTTTTCAGAGGGGTAGGTCAACCACCAAGCAGTTATAATTATTAACAATCCTTAACCATATAATAACCATTCATATTAACCATTAATATTAACAGTATATTACCAAGCAATGGTAGGTTTCAACTGGCTTTTCTTGGATCATTTTTTCAGCAAAAGCCAGTTGTTTTATCGAAATCGAATCGTTGAGGAAGAGATGGTGCAGCGGCATGAAACGCAATAGTGAGATGATCGTGCAGGAGCCACTCGGCTTCTGTGAGCTGAGTAGCCATGCTTGGAAAGGCTACCGTGCTTGGTAGCAAGATCATTCAACTGGATTCATTTTATGTTTGGAGTTTCATTTTTTAAAAGAAGAATAGTTATTGTCCGAAGAACATAAGTGTTTGTTTTATTAGCACATACTTGGAGAGAGATATGGGTTTTGGTATCTTGGGTTTACGACTTTGGGTCCAATTGAAAGGACGAAGGATGCGTGCTGCAATTCATTGTAGAAGATCCAAGCATAAATGATGTATGCGTAGGTTTCAGTTTCTGGCATTGGTTTGCACCACAAATCGATCATTGTTGTTGTCAACCATCTTTCCCATACCCGCATCGGTAGTGTCCTAACGCGGTATCCCCAAATCATTCTTGGACTATTTGACTATTTAGTTATGCCATTGTATCCATTTTAGTCTATTTTAGTATGGAAGCGCATGAGCAAACTCCCATGTATTTCTACTAATTATATACATGGTCTTTCTCTATCATTTATATATGGATCTATGTATATATGGATATGGATCTTTAAGTCATTCAAAAACATGATATAATTCCAAAGAATCCATAGAATCTCAATGGTCTCAATGATCTATATGCCACACGATCCATAAACAACTATAGTCAATGTATGTGAATCTTGGTATAATCATCTATATCCCATATAATCCATATATCATATATATTTTAAGAAACTCATTAACGTTAACGCGTTAACGTTATTCCTATGGATTTCTAACCCCTCAACGTTTTTGACGAAGATCTGAGGCTTTCAGCCGAGAAGGACTCGGAGGTGACCTTCGACGAAGTCGTCACGGCGCGGAAGGAGAGGAGTCAGCAGTACAAGCGGAAACAGCCGCTGGGCGTGGCTTGGGGTTGGGGTTGGGGTCAATCTGAAAAATGGATACAAACTAATTTGGTGAATTCCATGGTTAATAATGGATAATAATGGTCAACCATGGTTAATGATGGTTAATAATGGTTAATCCTAACTAGTCTTTTGGTATTTAGATGGGAATATCTACGTTCACCAGCAAAGAATTTGCTCCATTTTTTGCAGGGTATTTGTCAGATTGGCAATGGGCTTGGGAACATTGGATTGAAGATACCTTATTTTTGAGCAGCAGAATCAATGAATCAACTAAATGATGATGTTGGGAAATATCTCTGTGGCATAAACTACGTGATTTATGTTGAGGAAATAAACAATAATCCATATGCGCTTCGCATGGTGCTGGAATATGAATCCCAACAAAACTGCCCAACATAAATCACCCAGTTATGGCAGTTATGGTGCGGTTTTTTATATACCAGCACCATGCTTCGCATAGTAATGGTGATGACTTGCGGATCATGGGGATATGTTTCAGATACGAATGGGGTCGAGGGATGGTGCTTTGTGATATGGCTATATCAGGCTATATCAGGCTATATCAGGCTATAAGTATCATTAAGTCACGATATTAAGTAATGCTAAATGCTGCAGAATGCTGCTAACTCCCGTATGTCTTGTGTTTGCTTCCATCTTTTGAAAAAAGAATGGGGAATGTGTTTTTTTTTGCCAAAGATGTGAGATATGCATGTGCCCAGGGGTCAAGACATGCCAAGACATCTCAGAAAATCATAATTTCACTGGGAGATTGCAGGGAAATGGGGTAAGGAATCAGTACTATGGGAAAAAAGGAAGGCTGGTTGGTGGTTTGGAACCATGGAATTTTATGACTTTCCATTCAGTTGGGAATGTAATCATTCCAACTGACTCATATTTTTCAGAGGGGTAGGTTGAAACCACAAACCAGAAGATGTAGTGCATCCATCAAACTGATCAAACCCAGACGCTCCAGGTAGCTACCCTATGGTAATTTAACATAGCTATGGAAAATTGCCATTGAAATAGTGAGTTTTCCCATGAACAATTGTGATTTTCCATAGTCATGTGGCAGTTTACCAGAGGGTAACTTGAGTATTTTGACTGGAAAAGAACTCACTGTTCATGAAAAAAAACAGGGAAAACCAATGAACATCGTCTTGATGTCCCATTGCTAGGTCAGAGTCCAGAATTTTCTTGGTGATTGAACCTATCAGGGGCATGTCAGAGGGTGACCCGGTCAACGGTTATGACTCCATTGAACAGCACCGTTTCAAGCGTTATGTTCTTTTTATGTAAACAACAATCAAAACATGTCCATCCTTCGAGATCGCATCATTATTCTGCTTGGTGCAAGTTTCCCCTTTGAGTTGGTTCCCAGATGCTCCCGAGTTCGCATCGACCGTTCACAACTTGTCGATTTTTGATGCCAAAGCAAACTCCAAAACAAACTCATTCAAACTCCGAATCATGATCACGACCCATTTCACCATCAAACCTTCGAACCACCACGCTACCCTCAGGTAATCAAACATGGCTTGCTGGAAAATCCACCATTTCTACACTAAAAGCTCCATGTTGTGTTGGAAATTCCCACTCATATTTGATTTCCATTTATACCCACTGGCAATCCCAATTATAATAGAATCTAGTATTATGAACCATGAAAAATCCACAAAATAATAGATAATGGTTCATAATACTAATCCACAATCGATGATTTATTCCATTACCATTGATTTCTTCCTAGATTTTTTAGAATCCATTGATTTCGGCATCGATGACATCAGCCATCCTGGCACCGAGGATGCGTTTCCTGCTACTCCCGGGCTCACGGGAGCTGAACTTTTGGCGAGCCTCAATGGTGGTTGTGGTGACTTGGATGGCAGGTTTGGCAGCGCATGCCATGGGAATCCATATTTTAGCTATCAAAAAAAATCTAAAAATTGATTGGTGAAGAAATTTTCATAGGGACTTGTACTACCTGGAGTTAGTATACCTAATTTATTGGGGATTATGAACTAAACCATGTGAATGGGACAACCTATCAAGCAACTAGTATTTATGAGATGGGAAAACAGGGCATGTTTAATAGTTCATATGTTACTTGGAGGATTGATCTGGATATGTTACTTGCCAACCACATGTAGCTAAATCTAACTAGCTAAAGTTAACTTCAGGAACAGTCCAAATTGGATATGTATACATATATATATATATAATATATATATATATATATATATTACACACACATATATATATATAGAATAGCAATCCGTCCAATGGCAAGGGCGTGTGTCCTGCGATCTCAGTGCGTCAATGTCGAAGCCCCAAAAATGTGGATGTTGGTGAAAGTTGCAGACCCAAATAGGACAATATTGGTGCGATAATTTGTTGGTGAATGTTGGTTATGTCTCCAATGACGCCCCATGAATCCAAAACAAGAAATAGCCGTTATGTGCGAAAGTACTTGTCCCGTGGTCATGGCAGATGCCCATTTATAATTAGGGCGGGAAAAACAAATCTTGCCTCCCTTAGGCTCACTTTTCTGCTTAGTTTCAACTTTTTTGGAATGTGTCGAATGAGAAGAGGCCTCGGACGGTGCAAGGTAAATGATGGTGGACACAAGGTTTGGGGGTCATTAGGCCATCGTCGTCCGCGGGTGTCTTCGAGTCGGCTATGAACAAGCTAGTTTTAGGCATTGTTCCCGACAGAAGTGGACACAGAAGACAGCGCGGCAAGCTCAGCAGTATATAAATGTATACTATTGTATACTATGTTCATTGATCATGTGGTTGTCCGTGTGTGAGGCCCTGAAAAGGTTTTTAAGCTTTATCTTTCTAGGTGCTGGGAAAAAGGTTGTATTTCTTGCCATCAGCATGTGACGATTTCTTCTTTTGAAAGATTCTTCTTCTCCCTGTGAAAGGATTCCTCCTTCCCGGCGCCGGGTTGGGAGGATTCTCTTTTTCCCGGCGCCGGGTCTCGCTCCCGGCGCCGGGTCTCCCTCCCGGCGCCGGCTCTCCTCCCGGCGCCGGCTGAAGCCTTCCTCCTTTCCCAGTGCGGGGTGGAAGCTTAAAGACCAGCAACCGTGGCGACATACAGTATGTTTGTTGCTGAGCTCAGGGCGTCAAAGTCTTCATTCCCTTCTAACGGCGCCAGGGTGACGAGGAGGGCGCTTCGATTCAACAATGACACCCGGATACTCGAAATTCAAGGCGCAGATCAGCTTTAGCGTGGAGAGATGTATTTCGGCCATGAGATGGAGGATAATTAAGGAACAGCAACGCTGCTGACTGTTGCTAGCTTGCCGCTTCCGCGCCTACACACCCGCCCTATAGGTTTCTACGGAGCCTCCTGCTATGTCGGCAGCAGACGGGCGCCTACCCTGCCATTTTGAAAATGTATGTGTGTATATCTGGTAAGAGGCATGTACGCTTTTAAATATTCCTTCACAGTCGCACCTGCACCCAGACGGGGATGAAATAAATTCCGGCCATTGCAGGCACCAGGCGCCAATTTTCAGTGCAAATTTTCATTTTTGAAAACGTACGAAATCACCTCGCACAGCCCCGATGGCTTGGCTCTACCCACTGCCCCGCTCAAAGGGCTAGCGGCGGCCTTCCTCCGAATGCCCCGTTCAAGCTCCTTACTCGTACAAGATTCAAATCTTCCTCCCAAAGCCCCGAACGAACCATTTCCACCCAAAGCCCCGATGAAACCATTCCACCCAAAGCCCCGATGAAAAATTACACGCAAAAACGGTTAAAAAAAAACAGCAAAAAAAGTGTTTTTCTTGTTTCTGGAAAGGGCCTAGATGCTTCCCAAGTCTCGGCTGAAGGGCCCGCAGCAAGGACTTGCTTGAAAACCCCAAAAGATTGGATGGCGGCATGAAGCAATCTTGAATAGTACTTCTCCTACAAGCATCGGCACTAATGCAAGCCTAAAAGGCTTGAGGTCACGGGGTTTTCCTTCATTCCATCCGGTTCAGCTTCTTGCATCAACGCGTCTGCCAGGCATATATGGAAGCAATGCAGAAACAGACTCTGGTCCCTGTTCTGTTTTTGTTTGAAACATGCAAAGTTCAACGTCCATCGTAGCAATGCTCTTTTTCAACCAGCGTTGTGCAAAGCTTTGGCACCCAAGCCGCTGCTCCGTTTGCTCTTTGCTGTGGCCTCTGCCTTTCGGCCTGTTTTAATTTCCCGCTTAGCAGGCTTAGCAAATGAAAATGGAATTGGTAGTGTTCTGCAAGCTGTGCTTGAAACAGCTACAGGACTGAGCATGAGGGTTGAATGAGAGGGCATTGCTGCAGCTTGCTGCTCCCAGTGGCTCGGGCGTGCCTTGACGGCAAGCTTCCCCAAGTTGAGAGCTTTCCCCATGAAGGCAAGGATTCGAACGCCCGGGGTGAGTTGCCATCTTGACGAATGCAACTGCCGCTAATGCTCTAGGTGTTGCCTGCGTTAGCCTTCTCCGCGGCGTGCCCAGCGCGGGGTCGACTGTGAAATATGGCAAAGGGCGTTTCGCATGCTACTGGCCTGGTTCTAGTCGCAGGAATTCAAGGCAACATTGCGAAAGAAACAGGTGGCCACTGAGATCAGGTTGTACATACGGTTTCATACATATTGATTTTCACAGGTACATGCTGTTGAAGTAGCCCCCCAAGGACAAGAAGTGCCCAAGCGAAGGCTAAGGATTTGCTAGTGCTCAATTGCATGGGTCTGTCCTGTATTGGCCATTGCTTGTCATAAAACAAACTTACATTGCAATAGCAGAGGTTGTCGTTGAACCAAACTACATGGGGTCTTGAAATGTGTTCCGGCAGAAGATTCAGTGAACGTTTGCAAGGCTATTTAATCAGACATATCTGTTCAATGTAGCTAGGTGGGAAACCCCCCCCAAGCCCCGCTCCACCCAGTGCCCTGCAAATTCTTTCCTCCAATTTGTTTATATGGAGATTTCCTAAAATGAGCGGGAAAAAAAAATCCGCATAAATCCGTCAAATAAAGAAAATTACCATTAAATCCTTTATATGGAGGATTTCAATTGGGTAATGATCGTTTCCTAAATTTCCTAAATCCTACATTTTTATTTTCGGAGTTTCCATGATTTTTTACTATGCTACTTGGTGGCGAACTACCCACGAATCGTAAGTGGGTTAGTTCACCCCAGTTATAGGTGGATTAACCCTACAAAAATCCCATGTAAATCACTGGGGTGAACTAACCCACTTGCGAGCCGTGGGATGAACCACCAAGTAGTGGGATAGCACCATGGAAGCCCCCTGGCTCAGGTCTTGCTTGCAGTGCCCTGGCAGACGCTTGGGGTGCCCATGTGACACACCATGACAGCCTATTTAAGTTGGTGATATCTATATATATATATAATTATATAATATTATATATATATGATTATATATATATACACGATTAACATACCTATGATACATACATATACATATATCTAGATATATATATATTATATTTTATTATATATTATATTATATATATATATACACCATTAACTCACCCATTCCCGTTCTATACCCATTCTACACCCATTCCGCTATGTGCCGTGTTAGTTTCATTTGGGTTTGCCGTTTGCCCAATCCTTACGCGAGGGATGTACCTTGTGTAATCGGCCTTGCATGTCCTAATGATCCTAATGGTGTTCTGCAGCAAGCGAAAGTCATTCGTCGGCTGTGAGGCAACCTCGACATTCGCAAATTCGCCAGAGAGTGCAGCAAAATCCTTCGAACAATCCTAAACATGTGTGTTTTATCACCTGATCCCTTTCGAAACTGCGTGAATTTTCCACCTTTTAGGAACTGCATGGATTTTTGTTGTCGCCAGGTTGTTCTGGCACCGCTGGAAATGGCCTTCAGCTACTCTCGGACCATTTCATCCTTGACCTGGGCGACTGAGTTGCAGAATGTTGCAGACATGGCCGGCAGATGGTGCATACATACGGATACACATCCAACACACACACACATATATATATATATACATACCCATAGAATCCATGTATGGTATATATGCTAACATTTGGGGTATATTGATGGTAAATGTTACCATATATAGCATACATGGATCCTATGGGATATACATCAAATATAATGTAATCGACTCTAATTAATTATATATATACTATGTATAGGTATTGGAAGATATTGGAAGATATATGTGAAGATGCGAACATTAATATGTGAATACAGCTCATATGACATTCAAAGTCATATTTTCGGGATATCCACCAGTTTTATCCAGTTTAAATTTCTTGATTTCTCAGGTTCTGTCCAGAGCGAATCCCCATTTATGAGATTTTCCATGACAGGGTGGGTATAGAACATCTCGCAGCTTTGTGATGGCTTTGCGACTCCCAGTATTCCTGTTTTAACTTCTAACCATGAAACATATGGGCTTGTCATTGCAATAAGAAAATCAAACTGGCCACCAAACTGGGAACATATCCGGTTGGTGGTTTGGAACATTTCAAACATTTTCCATTTCATATATGGGATGTCATCCTTCCCATTGACGATTCGTCCATCATTTTTCAGAGGGGTAGGTTGAAACCACCAACCAGAAATATTATCCCCAAAATCACCTCATTTTGATGGGTGCTATATGGTGCGACAAAAACCATCGCCAAATACATTGGGTTTTGGATCCATGTATGGTATATTTACCTACATTTGGGTCATTATTATGGGGTAAATGTTGGTAAATATTCCACACATGGATCCTATGGGATTGGGTTTTCCAGAATATCATATAACTTTGCCTTTGCAGACCATGGCAATGGCAAGTTATAGCATTCACCATTGCACCATGCCACCGAAGACACAGATTCCACCAGGCATAGATTCGGACTGTTGAAATGGTTGAGTCCGAAGAAATCACCTGATTTTTCGAGTATTTACCCATATTTACCCTCTGGGGATGTCAAAATAGCTATTGAAAATGACAATTTATAATGGATTTTCCCATGAACAATGGTGATTTTCCCATAATTATGTTAAATTGCCAGAGGGTACATGCAATATTTGTGCAATTATCATTTTGGATAGTCTAAATACGTAGACTTAAATACTTCCGAACGCCCCGGAAATCGGCCCAGCGTTTTCATCGTGTTTTTATGATCATTCTGTTTTTTGTCTTGTTGAAATCTTGGCGTTTGCCACATGTTTACACTCATGGTGGTTCCTTTTGGTACTTCATGTCCATTGGGATTTATGAAAAATCTTGCTATTATTGCAGTGGGAGTTCAAACATGCATGCAGCACACCTCCAAAAAACGTTACGTTTTTTGGATGGTTTTGTGTTTCACCACAGGGCCAGCACTTCTTTTCTCTTCACGCCAACTTGCGGACAGTCCTGGCAGTGATGTCGCAGACATCTGCATTCCTATGAATGTACCGCCATTGCCAAGCCTTGACATATGTCATGATCATTACAAAAGTTCACCGAAGTACAAAAGACGTATGCAATGTAACATGAATTGTGCTCACTGAAGAACAAAAGACATGTGCAAAGTAACATTCACCGAAGAACAAAAGACATGCAAAAGACATGTGCAACGTAACATGAAGTGCGTTCACCAAAGTACAAAATTTGTATGCAACGTAACATGAAGTGTGTTCACCACTGTCAAAAGACATGTGCAACGTAACATAAAGTGTCTTCACCGAAGTACAAAAGACGTTCACAGTGTAACATGAAGTGTGTTCACAGAAGAACAAATGACGTGTGCAACGCAACATGAAGTGTATTCATCAAAGAACAAAAGACATGTGCAACGTAACATGAAGTGCGTTCACCAAAGTACAAAATTCGTATGCAACGTAACATGAAGTGTGTTCACCACTGTCAAAAGACATGTGCAACGTAACATAAAGTGTCTTCACCGAAGTACAAAAGACGTTCACAGTGTATCATGAAGTGTGTTCTTAGAAGAACAAATGACGTGTGCAACGCAACATGAAGTGTATTCATCAAAAAACAAAAGACATGTGCAACGTAACATGAAGTGCGTTCTGGATAACAACGAAGACACGGCACCTTATTACACCCCCACCCCACAGGAGATGTGTTCAACGTAACGTAAAGTGTGTCCACCAAAGTAAAGGAGACGTGTGCAACGTTAGATGAACTGCGTCCACCGAAGTAACTCGATGACAACGAAGACACACGACGTTATTACACCCCCCTCCCCCAACATATCACAACGCAAAAAAACGAAAAAACGTTAGGCCGGTTTTCGGGCCCTAAGCAAATACCTGGTCCCTCCTAGGAACAACTATATAGGAACACCTATAGATATGTGATGATGATATATAATGATATATATATAATTATATATGTGTCATAGATACATGATCCAGACATATCAGCCTCAGCCATGACCACTTTGACATTGGGCCACGCTGTGGCAACTCAGTTGTATCGCTTGATTGACATCCTCTTCATCTTGGCTGCTCGCTCGCAGTTTTTTTCGTTGCACGGTGCAGTGACACCCGGAGTTACCCTCTGGTTATGTCAAACATAGCTATTGAACATTGCCATTTATACTGGATTTATCCCATTAAAAATTGTGATTTTCCATAGTTATGTGGCAGTTTACCAGGGTATTTGTGGGCTTCGAACCCATGGCGCTCTACCCGTCTGCGAATCAAACATGGCTGGAAAGTGCACCAACTAGAGTTCGATGAGATTTCCCGGCCATGTTTGATGACATGTAGATGGGTACTTTGTAGATATATATTTATATTATATATACAGTGGTTAATAGTGGTTGATATTGGTTAATAATGATAATCAATGATGAATAACTTTCTAGGTTTCCATAAACTCCAACAAAACTATGGTTTATGGTAGATATATTGACATACTTAATGTGGTTTATAAACCAACTTATCTGGTTGGTGGTTTCAAACATGAATTTTATTTTCCAGTTCATATATGGGATAATCCTTCCCATTGACTTTCATATTTTTCAAGATGGTTATTGCACCACCAACCAGGATGGGTTTGAATACAAACATCAAACAACCAACTGTTGACATCACCAACATATGAAAAACACATGTTCACATGTCGCTGAAAGACCTAATTAGGAACTCCAGATGGTGGCCTCATCCAAAAAACTACGTGGTTTCATTCGTGGCACGGGTGAACATTTCTGGCACCTCGCCCTTTGAGTTCCTTTCCCAAGTCCATACAGCTGATGTTCAAACTTGGGCCCACAGAGTCATCATCCCAGATATTTTTTTAATCAGACATGGTTTACCCTCTGGTAAACTAATTTAACTATATGGAAAATCCACCATTTTGAATAGGTAAATCATCTATAAATGGCCAATGTTTCCATAGCAAACTGTTAGTTTACCAGGTAAACATGGTAAAACCATGGTAAAATCCATCCCCAAGAGGTGGTCGCTTAAGACGTGTAGGATATGATCATCACCTTCAATGTGGCCACCACCTCACATGGGAGGCCCGGTGCTGGTGGCATGTTCAGCCGATGTTTCAGATGTTGGCGATCCATAAACCATGGTGATTTTTTTCAGATGTTGGCTGGTTGGTGGTTTGGAATATGTTTATTTTCCATATATTGGGAATAGTAACCCCAACTGACTTTCATATTTTTCAGAGGGGTTGAAGCCACCAACCAGATAAAACCACGGTGAATTTTTCAGATGAGCTACGTTTTTTTTAAATATAAAAGGGTTTATATAGAGTGTAAACTGGATGTTGCTTTGGGTGTGGTTTTACCTGGCTGGCGTAAGGATTGCGTAGGATTGGCGTAGGCCTTTTTCAAGGTTCCAAATATCTTCTGGTTTGCGTAGGCAACATTCATTGTATTTCAAATGCTCGTACATGATCGGCGTTGGAATCTCACGCTTTAAAATTGATTCAATGTTATCCACAAAAGGTTCAAAGGCACCGGGTTCATTCATGGATAGTTGTCTATACGAACAAACCGTGCAACTTGCCCGGAAGAGCAGCTATACAAAGGCAGCGGAGCAGCTTAAACCGTCTTGATGTTCTTCGCTTTCCACCTGCTTGTTGCTAGATGGGCCATATTAGCTCTTGCTTAAGAGGAATGTTTCACCAGATTCCTGCCAGGAGGCCCCTGGAACAGGCGTAGGCTTCGCGTAGACTTCGCGTAGGCACCGCGTAGGCTTGGGTGCCCGGACTGACCACCAGCCCACGTCCGCACCAGTCCATATTCGACACATTGAACCGCCCAGAACTGCCCTTCACCAAGCTAGCGACAGTCGAACACGTCGCTTGGCTTGACTCCAGCATAGTCAAAAGTTACTAGCTGAGTCTTCAGTGATTTATCATGATTTATCCACCAGATGTTTAATGTGCGCTTTGGGACCTGGTTGCTGGTGCGGCTGCTGCACATGGGTGTGGCTGCAAGATGTCTATGGGCGCTTTGGAGCCTGGGCGCTCGTGCTGCAAAAATGTGAATGGAACTGTGGTCGCGTAGGCAAAAGTTCCGTTTCCAACCTTCCAAAAGCAAACAGAAGTGTGACGGCGTAGGCAAAAATTTACATTGTGGCGTCGCTTTATGCGGGCGTTGGGCTTGCGTAGGCACACCTTCAAAGGTATGAGCTGCGTAGGCTCCCGCTGTGGCCGCGTAGGCATTGCGTAGACAGTGGCGTAGGCAGCACAGGAGTAGACGGACCCAGACAACAAAAAAAAACACAGCTCAGATGTTGGCTTCGCCCCATCTGAGAACATCTGTTATAGCCAGGTCATTGTATACCCCAATGGATGGATATTGATGAGCCAGAAAAACACTGGAAAACTTGGCCCATTTTTTTCAGCAAGGGGTGAATATAAGAAACCATGACAGATGCACAAGGATCAAAGTTGGAAGGATTATCCCCATTTACTAACAGTTTGCTATGGAGAATTGCCATTTAGTTCGTTGATTTTCGCATTAACAATGGTGATTTTCCATAGTTATGTTAGTTTACCAGAAGGTACAGAATCCAGGGTTTGAAAAGCGGCAAATTCTTACAGATCAGGATTTTTCAGCATTTGACACTCCCAGAAACTGCGAAAGACTTCCTGGTGCGTTTTACGCAGGGAATTTTCGGGAATGATCCACTGGCTTTCTATCAATTTCATCATCCCAGCAACCCCCAGCAACCCATCCGGCAACCCTACGTAAAACGCACCAGTAAGTCATGAACCATTAAATCATTATGAACATACATCTGGGTAGATTATAATATTTCACGAATCTGAATAGTTCGGCCATTGGGGATGATTCCCCTAAAATAAACCATGATTCCAGGGCTCGGGTGATCCAGTAAGTCGAACAGTGGCAATCTTTGCATCCTGGAGTCCCTGGCAGGTTCTTTTCCAGTGGCTGTGTCGGTGTATTTTCCGATCCAAATGGATCCAATTTCATGGCAATTTGAAGGGGGGAAAGTGGTGATGAACCATGAAATCTAGAGTTACCATGGGTTCCCCAAGATTTTGTGAGACAAAGACAGATATTTGCCTTTTCATGTGTTGACAGATTGGTACTTGTTGGGCCGGTCACATCATGGAAAACAAATTGAACTAGTCCGCAGCGTTCCCTCCCGAACAAATGAGACCTTGCGTTTCGGGTTTACTAACCCCCATGGACCCTAATGAACGGAGCTTACTAAACCCCAAAAAAGTTGGGGTTTCTACTGTAAGGGGGATGCTATACCATTAGACTTCTGGTTGGTGGTTTGGAACATTTTCTACTTTCCCCAATAGTTGGGATGATGATCCAATCTGACTTTCATATTTTTCAGGGGTGTTGAAACATGTTGAAACCACCAATTAGACTTCCATGATCATTTGCATGTCAGAAACCATGCGTAGCACCAGGTCCAAATCATGCGTAGCCCTGAGATTTGTTCTTCGCCATGCCAGTCCTCGGGCGCCAGGTTGGAAACGAAAAGGAAGACGCTGGCAATGAACTATGCCACTCAGATTCAACATGGAACCCGGCCAGGTTGACATTTCTTCGGAGTATATGACTGGTTGGTGATTTGGAACATGAATTTTATGACTTTCCATATATTGGGAATGTCATCATCCCAACTGACTTTCATATTTTTCAGAGGGGTTGACACCACCAACCAGATGATATTAAAAATTGAATAACTATGGAATGCGATATACTATGGATATATGCCTTGCATCTGGCATACATCATCATGATATACCATATGATATGTATATTGAATGGCCCTACTTAAAGCTGTGTTTATTCATCTCCCATCCGTGGAGTAGCCGGGTTGGCTTAATGTTTGTGGAGTAAATTGGGCAAACTCCGTGGCATGGTCAACCATACAAGGTGGTGCCCCAGTGAGTGATTCATCGCGTTCAGTTGGTGCGTTTATAACTCCAATAACTCTATGGTTTATGGATGTTTATGGTAGATATATCATGATATATCTCTATACTATTCTATACTATTCTATACTATTCCTATGGTTTATAAACCAACATTCACATAACTTGTGGTAGATATGGTAGATATATAGACATACTATTCCTATGGTTTATAAACCAACATTCACATAACGTGTGGTAGATATGGTAGTTATATTGACATACTATTCCTATGGTTTATAAACCAACATTCACATAACTTGTGGTAGATATGGTAGTTATATAGACATACTATTCCTATGGTTTATAAACCAACATTCACATAACTTGTGGTAGATATGGTATATATATTGACATACTATTCCTATGGTTTATAAACCAACGTTCACATAACTAACGTTCACATATCTGGGGGGTGGCACCACCTTTTTTTTTGTAAAAAAAACATCGCGTTACAGTTTGCATGCATGGTCAATACACCAAACCACCCTCCAGGGACGATCATTGGTGATGGTTTCCTTGGTGATGGCTATCAAGAAATATTCATTTTTATATACTATGGATACCCTCTGGTAAACTAACATAGCTATTGAAAATGGGCATAGCTAACTAACAAAGTTGGAAGGATTATCCCCATTTACCCTCTGGTAATTTCACATAGCTATTGAAAATGGGCATTTAGTTCGTTGATTTACCCATGAAAATGGTGATTTTCCATCGTTTTTTGTTTACCAGAGGGTACTATCATTTTTATATGGTTTTACCAGTAATAACTATAAAGCCATCATTGGAAGCCATATATCCGTGGGATATCCGTGGGATATCTGTGGGATATATTGGTAAAACATGGCTTTATATACTATGGATATATGATGATATATGATTTTACCAAGAATAAGTATGTTTTCCTCCTGTTTCCGTGGCCTTATTAAGTCGGGACGACGTAGGCCATATAATAAACTGTAGAATTGGTCAACCTGACAGCACGACGGCCATCCTTCCTGGACCTATGAAAAAACAGGTCACCAGCACCGGAACGACAAGATTCATAAGTAATTGTATTATGATTACTATAATTAATGATAGTCCATCCTAATGATAGTTAATGACAACAAAGATTTGACAATCGAAAACCGGTGATCATCAACCAGATTGTTATAAAAAAGACCCGTTTCATGCTCTTTTTCCGCTTGCTTTACAATGGCTCTTGCCATTGCTTGGTGCAAGCGTGATGAGAGACCCGTGACAGCTTTACCCGGTGGCAAGCTAAGGGGGCAACAACTATGCGGCTCAGACGTCACAAGGGAAAGCTCGGTTACACTTTGAGGCAGATGATCCAAACCAAAAGCTAGGAGGCATATGTCCTTCATTAAAAAAAAATAATTGTGCCCTGCTCAAGCTCAATCACTTTAGCGCCCGAACTTGTCTGCCATGCCCGAACATATTGCAGATGCCTTACTGACGCTGCATCAGGGTTGGAAGGGAGACCGGCATGGATTAAGACACAGCTCTCTGTGTCTCGTGCACTCAGATACACCCCCAAGCTTCCACATTGCTCCGGGCGGCAGGGCAACAAAGCAATGGACAAAGTGGTGACTGATCAATTCAATCCAGAATTGAAGTGACCCTTCGCAAGCCAAATCACTCATGGTCTGCACTTCACTGGGCCCCAAAGACAACGTGAGCAATCTAAAAGGCAAGCCTTCAGAGTAGTGCTCAATTCAGTCCTTCAGGTCACCAGGGTGCCTCTGCCAGAGCAGCAAAGCACAACGTAGTGTCGGCCACCTTGGACCTGTCGGCGGGCAAGATGGACCAAGCCTTCCGAGGAAACTGCGGAAACTGCATGGGCTAAAGGCCAAGTCTCGCCGAAGAATAGCTACAATGTGAGGCCCCCCAGTTATAAGTTGGTTTATAAGCCCCATTAACTATAGTTGTAAGTACCATAAACCATAGTGACATTGGAGTTATAAACCAACTTAGCTATCTTGGGGGCCTCACATTGCATGAATATATATATATACTAAATCTCTGTTTTTTTCTGGGTCTTACTGTTTGACCCACAACAATTATCAGCAATTTACAAACGCTGAACTCTAAGTATTGGGAAAGATACAGCCAAAGTCCGAAGATGTTCATCTGAAAAAAATCGGTGACTTTTTTGTTCACGATGAGACACCTCAATTTCCAACAGGATGGTATTGCTGAAACGTTGGTCAATTTTTTTAGGGTTCCCTTGGCGCCAAAACACCATGGTATCCCTCAGGCGCGGACGTGGTTGGTGCCCGATTTTTTCATCAACTTTCCCTGGGACCTGGTCTTGCAGGACCCTGGGGACCCTGGGACCCTGGGGAAGCTGTGGAAAGACAACAGCAGCTCCGGTCCCATCAAAAAATGATGTAAATGATGTTCTTCGGCACTTTGGACCCGATTATATGACATATTAATGACATATTAATGATTGTATATGCAGAGTATTTTATGATTTTTTTAATGGAGATAGGCTCCATTTTTTAGACCTGGATATCCGACTGAATTGACTGAATCCATGTTTCCATACTGTTGGCCAGCCATATTGGCAGAAATCACAGCTTCACTTCCTGTATGATTGTCAAAAAGAGAATCTTTCAAAAGGGGACCGCATGGCAACATGTTCATAGACAAGCCCCTACTCTACTAGGTATTATATATTTATACGTAGATTATATAATAATAATAGTAGTAATAATAATAATAAATATATATATATATATATATATATTAATATATTCTCCATTATTTCTAGGTATGTAGAGAGTCAAGGTACACATTTTCGGGGATACGAAACGAAGGCCACAGATAGCTACTGTAGGGGTCTGGTAGAACTCGGTGAAAAGTCATGGCAGCCAGGGACCAGGGAAGACACGAAAGATCGCGAAGATTCTGAAGTTGCCCAAGGCTGACAGGGATTTTTTTTGGAGTCAACACATCAAGCCTGGCGCTTGTCATAGCTAAAATATGTTAAAATATGACACCAACTGGTTTAAAATATGTTGAAGTATGTTGAAATATCTTAAGAACATGTTAACCAGTTGGTGTTAACCCATTAACTCACTAAGAATATATATATATATATTAACTAATATTAACATAGTTAACCCATTGACATCTGCTGAATTGATGAATGCCCAGCGATCCAGAGGATTCCAGAGGCGGCACCTCTGGCCTGATCAGAACCAGCAGCCTGCTTCTATTACTCCAGTAAACATACAGGATGGTGCCCCCGAGTTATAAGTTGGTTTATAACCCCCATGAATACTATAGTTATATCTGCCATAAACCATAGTTATGGGAGCCATAAACTAACTTAGCTAACTATGGGGCACCACCTTGTAGTAAACTAAAACTAACATAGCTATTGAACCTGCAGTTATGGCCATGTAAATTAGTTATAACTGGTTATTTCTATAGGATAACAAACATTCTATAAATGGGGTTATTTATTAGTACTTATAACTGGTATTTCGGGCCATAACTGTGGGCCATGGATGAAATTGATGAGATTTTCCATACTTATGTTCGTTGAGGGCATCCATCTCAAATATTTGGAATGAATCTAGTAGTGGCCGCAGACATTGGAGGAGCTGGTGAGGGTTTGGGTGTAATGGAAAGAGAGCAGTAACCCGAACCATCCCGAAACCAACGGAGAGCTTGTGCATGCTTGTACAACCTTTGAAGAAAGTGAACAGAGTCTCGGATCTCGCAGATGTAACAAACATTTCATACAAAAATCTTGACAGCTACCATACCCATAGGATCCATGTATGCTATATATGGTAACATTTACCATCAATATACCCCAAATGTTAGCATATATTTACCACACATGGATCCTATGGGATATGTTACCGTCCATGTTTACCAACATCGAAATTTGATCCCTCAAATGACCTGATTTGTTGGTCAGGTCTTCCGTGTCACAAGGTTGCTGCGAGTATCTTGGATATCTTGGCGCTGAGGATGGGTTCATTATCAAGCCTTCCGAATCACTGGGATGTCCATTCTATTGGTATTCACAAACATTACCCTCTGGTAAACTAACATAACTATGGAAGATCACCATTTTCAATGGGAAAATCCACTATAAATGGTGATTTTCAATAGCTATGTTAAATTACCAGAGGGTATGGAGAAACGATGGAAATCCATTGATCATACCCATTATTGGGGTGATTCCCCTATGATTCATAAACTATGAGAATTCCAATATATTCCAATATATTCCATAATGGAAATCCATTCATAATTCCCCTTCATCTCGTGATACATTCAAAAAACTATGGAAATCAAACTGTTTTCTCATAGGATATTATCATTCAGAATGGTGGTTGCTCCATTTTTTTTTAGGCAAAGATACCGATGGGGAAATGATTGAAAATAGTAGGATTCAACCATCGACAGTGGGGATTCCAATAGGAATATGTGGGATTAACCGCCAACCATGGGATTTATCATGATTTATCGCATAATTTTGCTAAACCGTACCCTGGATACCCTGGATTTCCGGTTTGTCGATGATGTTTTGTTCCAATTGGAAAGCCACTAGAAACTTGGAATCGATGAACTTAATATGTTTCCCTTTTGGGATTCCTTTAGCTGATTTTCAAACTTACTCCGTAGCTCATGGATGCTACGATGCAGTTGATTCCGAATTGAGACCTCATTCATGGTCATATCAAGCTAATTCCCTCCAAATATTAAGACTATCCCGGTATCGACCCTCCATGGATACTAATGCCAAACTGATACGCTGATATGCCTCATTGGTGCTAAAAAATGCATCTACTGTAGTTCCAGCAACAGTGAGTCCCCTCAATGGTGGAAGGTTTTATTTGTTCGTTCTTCTTCTCACCAGCATCGAAATAGCTCAATGAGTTTCACCATTGGGGTTTCCACTCTCAGTGGAGGCTTTAAGGGGAATCATCGAACAAAATGGGGAAATTTCAAGCAAACCATGTTTGATTACGTGAAAGGGAATAGTACCAAATGAGTATTGTAGCAGTAAATGAGTACTGTACCACTCAAAGTCCGGGCTTGCAGAGGGTATTTACCAATTGGGGGGGGTGCACCATTATGGGGATGAAAAACAATTAAAAACCACCTAATTCACTTCACTCTAGTTTTGCCATGCTTTGCTCAAAAATCTCAGGGAAAAAGACCTTTATTAATTCGAAGAATTGTTAATCCTACCTCGACCTTCGGGAATTTTCCGCCATGTTTACAGGATACAATCGACGATGGCGGGAAATTTTCAGCCATGAGCCCTCGTGATCTCCATGAAGGATATCTGGTGGATATAAAATGAATTGAAACGCCAAGTGTAAAAAAAAGCGGTTGCGGCTTTACATGTACTTTCAACATTTTTCAACAATATTGTAAAGCAATGTCATAAACCACCCATATTGAAAATTTATACCACCCATGTATGGTATGTTTTTCTGTGAATTTGGGATGGTTTACCCCAAAGGGTAAACGTTTTAACACAACTCGCGAACAAGCGAACATGGCCATTGAAATAGTTTGTTGATTTACCGAACTTCACAGTGGTGGATTTTCCATCGTTTTGTTGTACAAAGTGCGGCCCCCAAGGTAGCGTTCAGTTGGTGCAAATAACTCCAATAACTATGGTTTATGGTACTTATAACTATAGTTACTGCAGTTATGGCCCTTTACCAGTTATAAGTACTAACAAAACCCCATTTATAGAATGTATAATCCCACTGAAATAACCAGTTATAACTGATAAATGGCCATAGCTGTGGGGCTTATCTAAACCAACAAACATCACTGGGGGGCCTCACGACTTGTAGGTTTAGCCACTGGGGAATGTCATGATCATCCTGGGGTGGGGCCCTGCAGGCTGCGGGTGAAGAGGCTCACTACTTCGGCACAGCTGCCAACATTTGTCGCCCGGCGAGAACGTAAAGTAGCAATTTTTTGAGGACTCCCCATAAAAGATACCCTCTGGTAAACTAACATAACTATGGAAAATCACCATTTTTAATGGGTAAATCCACTATAATATATAATTATATATATAACTTATCTATCTATAATCTTATAACCCATAGGATCCATGGTGCTGCTATATATGGTAACATGGATCCCATCAATATACCCCAGTCATGTTAGCATATATAGCATACATGGATCCTATGGGTAAAAGATAGACTTTGGTACAAGACATGATTAGGGATCATGATCAATTACTCCAAAGTCCTTTGGGGTTGCTAAGACTATTGACATGTGCAATTTTTTGTGAGGAGATTCATAAAGCAGCTAAGCATAGCTGCAGGGAATCTAAAGGTTGGCCGCTAGCGTTTCGGGCAAGCTCGTGTTTCACCATGATCCATGGGTGAAGCTCGCGAACTTCAAGAAAAATGCGGTGTGATATCCAGTCATCAGGAGGGAGCGATTTGGAGCTATAGGTATTCATAGTGTAATATTCCCTAAATGGGAGGCCAAGGAGGTAAGGAGCTACTATATGATCTATATCCCATAGGATCCATGTATGCTATATATGGTAACATGGATCCGATCAATATACCCCATTTATGTTAGCATATATACCAGCACCATGGATCCTGTGGGAATGAATATCCAAGGATTTCGCCACCTGACAGTTGCTGACTTGACCTTGAAGACACCTCGAAAAACACACAGAAACCTGGCCATGTCTTGGCTCCAGCTGCTGGCCACCAAGGTGGGATTCTACTGATGGGTCACTATCTCTCGTGCATTTGGGTCGCTAGGACGCTACGTTTTTTCGTCGTCTTGGGGTCAGGCATTTCGTTCAGGTTGCGAAAACTGCATATATGTGCTTGGATGTTGGAGGATGTTGGTGGTCTTTATTTTTGTTAATGACTTATTTATGTAATATATAATTAAATTATATATATAACTTATCTATCTATAACCTTATAACTTTATAGAATTATCCCGAGATATAACCAACAAATACAATTTGCTGCGAGTTGGGATGGCTTGACGTCAAGTGGCTTGACCTTTTGGCGTGAAGCTCGCGGTCGCGGTCGGAGGAGAACCATAATTAAAAGGATGGGGAATAGCCTATAACTAGGTTATATTAGCCATATAAATCCATATAACTAAGTTATAATAGCTGTATTGAATTAGGTTATACAACTGATATTAGCCATAGAACTCAGGATGTGAGAGGCCATGATAAGTGGATAAGTGGTGTTTTTCTCCACGCTGATCTTCGGCAGTTTCCCATTGAGGAACCCAAAAGTGTCAATGCTGATTTCAAGCATGGCTCAAAATCAATGTGATCAGCAATATATCACCAATTTTTTTGGAAGGGCATGGAAGGGCACTCCCGGATTTTCACAGCAAGGTACAGCCGGCCTGCAATGTCTTGATCTTCCCAGCCTTCCCGCTGTCCCAGGTAATGCTCTTGATCGACTGCACCATCGAGCTGGACGCGCAACAACTATGCCCCGATATGCTAACGGCACCATGTCCGCGGCGAGTTATCGCAACTGAAAGCGGTTTTTCCGTAGACCTGCAACATGCTTTTCTGGCTTTTGTGTCGGGTGTTCACTAAATGAATAAATGATGCCAGTTTGGGCCCGAAAGTGGAATCAATCTTGAGAGGACGCAACGCTGCGGTCCCCAGTCGCAGTTTCGGCCAAACTTGCATCCTAATGGTTTCCACCGTTTTTCCACTTTGACCATTGAACATCAACTCCTCACCAGAAGAAAAAGTACATAATATCAATCCATGGGGGTAGCCCCAAATCATCCAGTCGTCATGACCATGACTTAGTATGACTTAGTAACGTATTGAAACAAGCATGGATCCCCCACATTTGAGAAACCTTGATATGTGCCGAGCCCGAGCCGCCCTCTCTACCGAGGCGTATCTGCAGGGTCTCTCAGTGGGCTTGGCCACTCTCGGAGGCTCCGACGGATGGATGCGATTTATTCTTCCCGTGGAAAACGAGGCGCCGAACGGAAAAGTTGCGTCCCCTGAAAGGACATGGAGAGTAGCGATGATTCGCTATTTTTTGTTGAAGATATTATGTTTCGATGTTTTGCTTGGATATCATTATATTCATTATCATTACTTGGTGGCTCATCCCACGAATCGTAAGTGGGTTAGTTCACCCCAGTTTTTTGAGTGGATTAACCCTACAAAAATCCCATGTAAATCACTGGGGTGAACTAACCCACTTACTAAGTGGGATGAGCCACCAAGTATACACATGTATATTATGTTCTATTGGAATGTATTGGATACATTCCACATTTGTTTTTGCTCGCGTGCTCACATGTTTGTCGGTTGTATCCCCAACTCATCTCATGCTTATTCCTTCTTTAATCTGATTTCATCCAATTTTATCCGATGTTTCCCAATATGTTTCCCGTTTTACCCCATTTTGTTGCCTATCCTGCGTCTAAGTCGATTATCATGATACCATACCAATAGGATCCATGGTGCTGCTATATATGGTGCTCCATGGATCCCATCAATATACCCCAGTCATGTTAGCATATATACAATGTGAGGCCCCCCAGTGATGTGAACGTTGGTTAGATTCGCCCCAGTAACTAGTTCGTTATAAGTACAACTATAACTACAGGATGGTGCCCCCCAGTTATAAGTTGGTTTATAAGCCCCATTAACTATAGTTATAAGTACCACAAACCATAGTGACATTGGAGTTATCAACGCATCAACTTTTCACGCTATGGCCGGGGGCCTCACGACTTCTACCAGCGCCGGATCCACCGTAGGCGAACTCGGTGAACTCGGTGAACTTTGAATGGCCGGCCCAGCGCCTTGGATCGAAAAACCGGCTGCGAATTTTTGTTCCCAGCCATGACTGCAAAATGGTATGTTTATAGATGTTTATACCACCTATAACTATCACATACCTGATGCAATTTGACATTTTTGACATGAGATATCCTATGACTATGATATATAATATGATATAATCATGTATGACAAATTTATAATCATCTATGACAAGTTTGTCAATATAATGATATAATGATTTGAAGCAGCCATGACTGCAAATGACTGCAAAATGGTAAGTTTATACCACCGTTAATAACTGGGAATGGTGGTTTCAAACCATGGAATTTTATGACTTTCCAGAAACAGTTGGGAATGTCATGATCCCAACTGACGAAGTCCATCATTTTTCAGAGGGGTAGGTATACCACCAACCAGATAAACATTTCGTGATGCCTTTGAGATGGTTTATGACATTGTTTTAACCACATTAGTGATGTATAGGAGTATCTTTTTTTGAGGGTCAAGATGATTCAAGATGCACGGATACAGAAGCCTGAGATGGCTTGGAATCCAAGGACAAGATTATTCATTGACTATTATGTGACTATTATCCAAGATTGGCTATTTATAAATCCTGAGATGGCTATTTATTCATACGATTGACTATTATGTGACTATTTCTGCTTGGAATCCAATTATTCATAAAGGATAAATCCTTGACTATTCTTGTGAAAGTCCAAGATTGGATACCTCAAGTCAAAAGAAAATCATCCGTTGCAAGAAACTTCCAATTTAGGTCCCATATTCTGTTCATGCCACCAGCATGTTTATCATAGTAAACCCAATGCCATAAACCATCCCCCAATTTACCATCAATGGATATAAATGGCTTGTATAAACTTTTTTTTAACTATCTCCAAATGGTAGGTTTATTGCAGCTTTCCTCCATTGTCCAACATTCTCTGGTTGGTGGTTTCAAACATGTTTTATTTTCCATTTCATATATGGGATGTCATCCTTCCCATTGACTTTCACTCATATTTGTCAAGATGGTTATTGCATTATTGCACCACCAACCAGTTATCCAAATTATACGTATGTTATCCAACCAGTTAAAACAACCAACCAGTTATCCATTCATAATGTTTGATCATCCTTCCCACCAACCGGTTTCTATGTTCGACTTGGCTTCATTTCTTGGATATGACCTTCGAATAGCTCGCTCCAGTGAGAATTGATGGGCCGTGCTGGACCTGGGGGACCTGGGTATATATGTATGTAGCATTATATATTGTATATGTTTCTAGTTCTATATATCATTATATATCAGAATAAATATATATATATATATACATATATATATATATACATATATATATATATACATATATATACATATATATATACATATATATATATACATATATATATACATATATATATACATATATATATATATATATATATATATATTTGCTATATACCACTCACATGATCTTACCAAAACACCAGGCCAGGCCGGTTGGCTGTTCCATCTTCCGGCGCCAGGTATGGAGCCCTCACGGACCTGACGGCAGCCTTGAGCTGTTTGATGGGCTTCGTTTTGCTGGGACGCTAGGGCTGCGAATGGCGGAAATCGGGAGCTGAGAACCACAAGTCATGGTGTTTTTTTCCGACAAGGTGAGCCTTTGATTTCATTGTGTGTTGCTGATTCAAGCACCATTCTGAATGTTTCTTTGTTCGATGATTGCCCATCAATCTTGGAAACCCATTAACCTCTATATTTGAGAGTCTCTGCATTTGGAACCTTTTTTATTTTCCCCAATAGTTGGGATGATGATCCAATCTGACTTTCATATTTTTCAGGGGGTTGAAACCACCTATTAGATAGTATCATATATTTATATTGAAGAAATCCTACAAACATTTGAGAGAAGCTCCAAGAAATCTAAGCACAATCAAGCAACACTCAGAAAAGCCACAGGCATGAAAAAGTGGTCCTAGGTGATCCTGGAGGTTTTCTCACCTGTTCTATGATGTTGTTGTACTTTCCAAACCTATTTTTGTGTTTTTGATGCATTCCTTCCCAAAGAACACATCAAAGAATACCGTGAATTAAGACCGTTGATTTCGAATTGTTTAGTTTTCAATAAAGTTTCCTTTGGACAACCCAAGATTTCAATAATGCATCAAATCTGGACAATTTCTGAGACTAATTATTGGCATTAAATCATTGTTTTCGTTGGTCAAGGGGCCATTGTTTTAGATATCAGTACTAAGAGCCATATTGCAACAATAATTCAATGGGAATTCCAGGATCCTAAAATGGAGGTACTGTACCATATAAGGCCATATTTTGCTGGGATATTCCCTTACATAGGCCTCAAAAATAGGCCTTATATATGGTAGGTACCTCCAATTCAGGTTCCTGAAATGGCCATTGAATAATTGTGTGCCTTTTTTGTTCACAACAATTTTCATGGTTTTCTGATGATTCCTACAGTAGCCACCAGCTAGGTGCCGAAAAGTGTGAAACTAGGATGCTATGGTTATCGAGCTTTGGGAGGATGCTTCCTTTATAGCAGTCCCATAGAAATCTCCGTTTGTGGTGGGAAATCTACCCTCTGGTAATTTAACATAGCTATTGAAGATGCTGATTTATAGTGGATTTACCCATTAATAGCATGGTGGGTTTTTTATACAAATCACCATTTTCCCATGGTTTTCCCATGGTTTTCCCATTAATAGCATGGTGATTTTCCATAGTTTGTTGTAAACGTTTACCAGGCCGGGTAGCATTTTTCATGGTTTTTCATGGGTCAAATCCAGTCCCTGAGGTATGCTCTTCAGCAACTTGGCTCATGCCATGGACCGGCGCCATTCGCACACGCGTTTGTTCCACGCGCGTGTGGCGAATCTACAAGCGGCGGCCAATCAGCATCAGATCCCTAAGGAGCTCTATAGTCGGATTAAACGGCACTACTACTATGTGCCTAGGCACTTTTACTGGCTGGTGGTTGGTGATTTACCCATTGAAAATGGTGATTTACCCATTGAAATTTGTAATTTTATATACTGGTTAGGCACCAACTTCAGGTGGTTTGATAGTGATTAATAGATATTAATAGTGTTTTATAATGATTAATAATGATAATCAATGATTAATATATCTGGTTGGTGGCGACTGGAACCTTATGGAATTTTATATAAGTTTATGACTTTCCCATCATATTGGGAATAATTAATCATCCCAAGTGACGATTCGTCCATCATTTTTCAGAGGGGTAGGGTAGGGTTTAGGGTAGGTTTACCACCAGCCGGTGGTGAAACAGCAGCAGAGGTTGGTGGTTTAAACATGAACCATCGAACCGTCCTCGTCACAAAGTCTCCAAGACATGACCGGCTGAAGTGACCACGGAATGACTAACGTGTATTAAACATCTGGGGGGTTCCTACAATGTACCCCTAATGGATGGTTTATGGACAATCCATCTATAAGATGATTTGGGGGTACCCCCATTTCAGGAAACCCTCATATTTCAAATGGCTCTACTTGTATGTCGCCAAAAACAAAAGCCAGAGCCATATGGGTATGGATCAATACCTATTAATACCATTTTTAGGAGAATGAACATCCATTTACCAGCTATTTTGATGTGAACTACAGGGGTACAAGGTTTTGACACACTGCCATGTAGGACCATCGAAGCCAATTTTCCGATGGCACAACCATTCCCCATCGGAACCTTTGCCCATCTCCAGGATATTCCTGCCATCTTTGATGACCAGAGGTCGAACATGCTATAACAGTTTATTTCATGTATGTGAAATAAATATGTGTATAGATATAATATAACAGAATATAATATAATGTAATATAACCTAATATCATATAATATAACATAATATAATATAACATAATATAATATACTATAATATAATATATAATATATAATATAATATAACCTAATATCATATAATATAACATAATATAATATAATATAACATAATAAAATATAATATAATATAATATATTATAATATATAATATATAATATAATATAATATAATATACCATATATATATAATATGATATACCAGTCTTTTCTCACTAGTCAATCTGACTGGTGATCTTGCAAGGTGTGGAGCTGCGGTTCGGACACCTCCAAAGCCATCTTAGCCGATGCCACGCTTTCCTTAGACCTCAGGATGCGGGCAGTGCGAGGGCGAGAATGGTGCGGGCTGGCTGGGATGTTTTTGTTGGTATGAATGGACAAAATCAGATAAAACACCATGCATGGTGTTTTTGTTTGCCCAATAGACGATAGATATTGGTAAAATCAGGTAAAATCCTACTATTTCATGGATAACAATCACTTCTGGGCATCTTTTTCGGGCTTACTAGATGTTCTTCTTAGCATGTGTTTGGAGCAGTATCTCACATCCGAGAACATCTGTTGTGAGATATCCAAGATAGCTGGCAGGTCCCCGAGCTAGACCCTACCCACAAATATGGGATGATATTGTGTGGGGCACTTTGGGTTGAGACCCGTTGTAGTAAAATGCAGCAACATAGCTTGGCAACATAGCACAAACTGATGGATCCATTTGGTATCTCCATCCTGATTTCCAACAGTTCGAGATCAAGACTTGCTGCCAGCTGATCTATTCTCATTAATTTCCCACTATATCCCTACAATGTGAGGCCCCCAAGATAGCTAAGTTGGTTTATAACTCCAATAACTATGGTTTATGGTACTCATAACTATAGTTACTGGGGCTTATAAACCAACTTATAACTGGGGGGCATCACATTATAGTTATATTCCATTAACATCCATGAAGAGGCCCTTGAATGTCCAACTTGCTGCTGTGTCAAACTTGGCAGTGACTTTGAAAAGATCGGCAGGAGAGAACTCGCATATTGCTTCTACGGCGATATCTTGAAGCAGGCATGGCAATCCGCTTCCGAAATTTCCGGAAGCCCTTACACAGCGTCACAGCTCTTCCCTTTCTGTGTCCACTGAGCAGTGTTCAAGTTTTCCCTGTTTGTTGATGATTAGTTCGGGGATTGTACTACCCTTTATCTATCCCATAGGATCCATGTATGGTATATATGCTAACATTTGGGTATATTGATGGTAAATGTTACCATATATAGCATACATGGATCCTATGGGTATTGTTTTTTTCACAATCTAAGAACGGGGAATCCCTATGAACCAACCAAGTCATTGATGGATCTATGGTGCTACCCTCATTGTGTTACCTGGTCTTTACGGCTTAAGCATATGGTCAAACAGCCATTTTATGAAGTTCCAGATTTTTTCTAGCAAACAAATGATCTGACATAAAGAATTATGCCATCAACATTTAAGTGTTTTCTAACTTTGTTTTACAATGTTACATCATGTTAAAACTATCATGTTATAACATGTTATACCGTAGATCATCCTCATCATCATCACCACCATCATCATCATCACCACCATCATCATCATCATAATATGTATACATATTCAGCAAGACTAAGTGGTGGTGCAGGTTGCAGTAGGTTAGTTTCAACATGGTTTGGTTGGTTCAAAAGTCAAAAAATACAAGAAACTACATTTGTTTCACAAGAAAAAAAATAAAATACATAGATAGAACTCAAATGATTTTACTTCATTCTATTTAATCTGTTCAGGCTGTGGCCTATCAAAACTGACTTTGTTTTGACAACGCTGGCCACGCGCAAACAATCTCAGATTTTTCCACAGCACATCGCATCAGAAACACCCTTGCAGCACGTTTGCGATGTCCTTTTTTCGGAGAAAACAAAACATGTTTCTCATTGTTTTTTTGCATTTTCTGTTTGTCAAAAAAGAGGAAAAACGAGAAAAACAAAAAGAAAAACTGAGAACAAAAAAGAACAACAGACAAACACAATATATTTTGTTATCTCAAGAAACATGTATGTTCTCAATCAAACACCAAATGCAGGTTATCCCACTGTCGCGAAACCAACGAGATAAACAACGCAAAAAAAAAATAAACGATTTGTTTCATTTCTGTTCACTTTTTGTTCATTGTTATCATGTTTTTCATTTGTTTTCATTTTGTTCATTTCTTTACATTTCCTGCATTTTCCTTCTCTTGAAAAAAAACAACTTTACCAATCCAGACCACTTGCATGTCGACCCACTATTTAGTTTTGCTGACATATGACCCTGTTGTTTTTTTAATCAGAGCAGCATACCTGGATCTTCGAAAGGACACAAATAATTGTCCGTTTGCCCTGGAAAGAACTGTGTAACCAATGAATACTTGGTGGCTCATCCCACGAATCGTAAGTGGGTTAGTTCACCCTAGTTTTTTGAGTGGATTAACCCTACAAAAATCCAATGTAAATCACTGGGGTTATAACCCACTTACGATTCGTGGGTAGTTCGCCACCAAGTAGCCAGGTATGTCCTAAGGTCCTAACTCTGTTCGGCAGAGCCGCCTTGTGTCAGGTGCCCTTTTTGGAGATGGTGGATAAACACTTCCTTCAGCTCTGTGGTGGAATTTTCGCGGATTTTGGGAAGCCATGGGAAGCCCAAAATGAGGATTTTTGGTTGGAACATGGGCTTTGAACATGCTTGAACTCTCCAAAAAAAAAGGATGCATTGAACTCTCGGATTTAAGGTGAACTCGGATTTCACTGTCAAAGAACAGAACTTATTGGGTTTAAAACACAATTTGAATGGGCAGTTAGCCATCAAAAGACTGGGGAATGAACATCATTTTCATGTACAGTTTGCTGTACCAGGAATTTGACGCCGATTTTCAGGTTGCTTGGTTGACTTCAAATTGGCATCCATGTTTGTTCTTCTTGGACCGTGAGAATGAATCAAGATACATGAAATATGTGGGTGGCCCAGACAATATATCAAGATATATCATTATCCCAGTCAGCACTGGTTGGTGGTTTGGAACATTTTTTATTTTTCCATCATATTGGGAAGAATGAATCATCCCAACTGTTACTCACTCCATTTTTCAGAGGGGTAGGCTCAACCGCCAACCAGAGCAGTGTTCTTGAAGAAAAACCTCATGCCCAAGGGGCAAGAATGTCTCGAATTTTGACGTTGTGAGAATCGCTGAGGCAGTTGTGTGTCCGTGGCGGCATTATTTGTTTTGGGCTCACTGGTATCATGGGATGGATCAAAACCATCCAGGGGGGCCGCATAGCATCGCATAGCCATGAAGCATGAGAGTAACACGACCATCATTGGCTCCCATGCCGCGAAGCCGCATATCGCGGAGATGAAGATCCGAAGATCCGGAACTGACAGTTATATTGATGCACCAGGGGGCAATGCAGGTCAATTTCTGCTGGTTTCACGGAGAAATTGAACTGCGAAATTGCAGATGTTGAGGGTATCTGGAGAGTTCAAGGGTTTATGGCACATAATATACTACCCAGCTGAAACACTGAGGATACAGTATCTTAGACTATAGCCATTGTAAAAAAAAAATAAAGCATCGTGGCATGAGTTTTCGCTCTAGAAAAATCTGTTGCTTTGAAGCGTCATTTTTTTGGGGCCGACAAGTGACCGAAACATCCGAGAAACATGGACACCTTGTCCTATAGCATCGAGCAAGGTGAATTTGTGGAGATCGAGATTTTCGCAGCGCAGGAGCGCAGTTTTCATCACATCGAAAACATCGCCGAGATGTGCTGGTATACCCTCTGGTAAACATACAAAAAACTATGGAAAATCACCATTTTTAATGGGTAAATCCACTATAAATCACCATTTTCAATAGCAAACTGCTAGTTTACCAGGCCGGGTAAGGTAGATGTTCCATAGATGTGCCTGACACATAGCAACTGCCGAAAAACGACGGGGATGAGTATGGGTCACCGTTGCGTATATATCCTCCATGTTTTTTTTTCGTTTCACCAAAGCACGGCTTGGTGGTTGATCCAGGATACCCGCAAAGATGGTTTTGCTGGACACTCTCCCATTTGTATATAACTGTGTATATATAATATTTATTATATATATATAGATGTTGGTTGTTCCCATTTTAAGGCCCATTTACGGGGGACGTTTGAACCAGCCATGTTGGTTACCGAAGGGTACCTATGATATGTTTTAGAATGTTTTATAATGTTTTAGATATTTCTTCATGCGTTACCGCCATTGTTATGTTCCATTCACTGGTTGATGGTTCTCAATCCCCCATTTGTACCGACTTAATTTAACCATGTTCTTTTGTGTAAATCATAATAAATCATCGAAGTAAGGGGGTCATGGTTTCCATAGCAAACTGTAACAAAGTACATACTACCATATCGGGTAATTCCCATTGATATCTCCATTAATCTCTCCATGAATATCTCTATGTATTCACCATAGAATCGGTAACCTAGATTTTTCTCCATGTTTTTTTTTTCCAGTGGATTGAGAACACCAAATCCTCAGTGATCTGTCCAGGACAGGATCATCTGCGCGGGAGATGTTGGAACAGAGCTGTACTTCGTGGCAGTCGGGGAAGTTGAAGTGGTTCCGGAGCTCAAAAACGTGGGGCTTGTGTTGTGGCGTTCTAATTGGCAGACTTGGCCAAGGCAACTCTTCGGCCAACATGGCCAGCATTTCAGGCTTATGAACTAATAGTCAGTACAGTTATGGCCCTTTACCAGTTATAAGTACTTATAACCCCATTTATAGAATGTATAATCCCATTTATAACCAGTTATAACTAATAAATGGCCATAACTGTAGAGACATACATTCAGAGCTACAGCTATTGAAATGAATGGATATCAGAAAGACTGTTTCCCCTTCGGAAATGATGGACACATTGCTGGACTTTCTATATCTATGTGACTTTACATGTTTTGGCAATGAAGGATGCACAGGAGAAAGTCGAAACTGAATATTTCTGGGGTATACATCCCATCCCAATTTTGAAGAATTTATATAACTCTAAACCAATCACGAATTTATAAAACTCTAAACCAATCAGCTAAGGACTATAAACCCCCATTGATCACAAATGAGTCCTATAGCTATGAGTCTATGGTAGTCGCTAGTGGCATCGGTTGACTTGGATTTTAGTGATTTTAGTCCAAGTCAGTGGTCATTCCAGGATCCAATACATGGAGGTACCTTAAACGTACCATATTTTTGGCCATATTTTGTGGCTATATCCCCTGAAATTTAGGCCTCAAAAATAGGCCAAAAATATATGGAATCGGTAGCTCCAATATTTTTCGGTTCCTGAGTCATGGTCATTGACCAAATCAGAAATTGTTGAGTCTTAGACTCGTAGATCTTGGCTCTATGGTCTCATACAGGATGGGGCCCCATAGTTAGCTAAGTTGGTTTATAACTATAATAACCATAGTGTATGATACTTATAACTATATTTGGATGGGTTTATAAACCAACTTATAACTGGAGGGCCCCATCCTGTAGTGTCTCATATAGTTCGCAGGGTGGGCGATCTGCTCTCGGTGATTTTCTGGAGGCAATATGGGGTCCCCATCCTTACAACTCACCAGTTTCTGTTTGTTCTATTCACCATGCTGAGCTGGTTGGTTGTTTGGAATATTTTTTTATTTTTCCATATATGAATAATAATCCCAACTGACTTACTCATATTTTTCAGAGGGGTAGGCTCAACCACCAGTGAGTGAACTTCTGCATATTTCATGATACCGATACTATCGATAGCCTCTGGTAATCAAATAAGGCCTGCAAATTCCACCTACTTTTTGAACATCTATCTGGGTAAATTATAACGACCTCACTGCGACCTCACTGGAAATCATGGTTTGTTTTAGGGAAATCATCCCCAAATGGCCGCAAGATTCAGGTTAGTGAAATATTATAATTTGCCCAGATCTATGGATTCCTGTAGATTTTCCCTTAAATCAATCCATTGATATATTGATGGTGACTTGTGGCACACTTTGTCTTCAGATTGATTGATGAAAAACATATCCACCATTTAATTTGGTGATTTTCCTTTATCAATTTTCCTTTATCAAAAAGCCTCCATACTTGGTGGCTCATCCCACTTAGTAAGTGGGTTATAACCCCAGTTATAAGTGGACTAACCCTACTTATCCCATTTATAACTGGGGTTATAACCCACTTACTAAGTGGGATGAGCCACCAAGTAAGGATTTCCCAGCAGTCGCCATGTTGACACCGGCCTCGGCCCATTTCGGGCAGCCTGCTGTGTCATCTCACGCTGAGGTGCTACCTCAACCGAAACATGAGAAGGGCCCGGTGATCAAAATCCTTCATGAAGGCGATGCTGTGCATCGGGGACGTGCCTAAAATGGGGAACGAACATTGATCAAATTTTGCTGATAAGTGGTTATTCTATGTTATTCTACCATTCTAACATTCACTTACCCATTCTTTTCTAACATCCGCATGCTTGATTGAAATTGATGCAAAAACAAAAAACGACATGGTGACTGTGACGTCCCTCCCACTTTTTCATGGGGAAACAAGAGGTTGTGGGCTGGGTCAACCCTTACCAAGTGAACCCGGTTGTGTCCCGTGATGTCCCGTGTTACGACCCGCCAGGTTCGTTCTTCGGTGAGTCCCGATCTCAGTGGTGAACGCAAGTTGGAGCTATTTATTGCATAGTTTGTAGCGTTTTGGATCTATGGACTTTGACAAAAAATAGGCCTTTCTACTTGGTGGCGCATCCCACTTAGTAAGTGGGTTATAACCCCAGTTATAGATGGGATAAGTGGGGTTAATCCACTTATAACTGGGGTTATAACCCACTTACTAAGTGGGATGAGCCACCAAGTAACAAACATCAACAACCGTATTTTCCCCAGAAGATAGCCTTTGGATATGACTAACATAGCCATGGTATATATATACATAGATGGCCCATGGAATAGATGGTTTACCGAACTTAAAAATGGTGGATCTTTCCATGGCTACGTTAAATAACCAGAGGGTAACATATTCACAAACCAGAGGGAATTGGTGCAGCAAACTGTGTATATCTGTGTATATACCCGAGAAGCTTTGCTTGTCCATCATGAGTTGCTTTTCATGCTGGGAATGTCATTGAATTGGTATTTGGAGGTTTCCTATATGTTCCTATATGGATTTTCTGTTATATGTCCTATATGTTCCTATAAGTTCATGGGTATGTGCCTATATTTTTCGATTTTATGTTATATTTCCGATATTTTCCTATAATTTCATGGATGTTTTCCTATATTTTCCATGGCTGTCCTGTAAGACTACGGGATATTTTGCCCGCCACTGGATGAGCATGGAAAACTTTTTGCATCATTTTTTTGGGTTACCAGGCCGGCTATCCACATACTGTTTTTCCATGTTTGATATGTTTGATGTACGTAATTAACATATCACTATATAAACCTCCACAACAAAACTTGCAGTTTGGCTTTCACCCCGAATCTGCCGGGCAGACTGTCTAGTTCGGAATCAATCCCATGATGTGAAAAGGCTAGGATACACCCAAAATGTACCGAAACATCATATGGTAATGTCAACCCCAGATTAATAAACCATGGTTTATGAAAATTGTGGGGGGTACCCCTCTAATAGTTATTTCATCTAATACTTCAATGGTACCCTCCCAATTAAACAGCCGTTTGGTAATCCAGAGTTGACATGAATTATATATTATACACTTGTAATCACTTGTATATGTTTCTGTTGGTGACCCTGGCCCTAGCCTTATCCCATCCAGTATATGGATCTGGGTAAATTATAACGACCTCACTGTTCTCCCTCACTGGAAATCATGGTTTGTTTTAGGGAAATCATCCCCAAATGGCCGCAAGATTCAGGTTAGTGAAATATTATAATTTACCCATAATATATATATATATATGTATACCCTCTGGTTATTTAACATAGCCATGGAAAATCACCATTTTTCATAGGTAAACCATCTATATGTTCAAAATGTTGCTGATATGATATCCCGAGCTGCCGAACTGGTTTTTCAACCTACTCCGATTCGACTCCGATGTTCTATCAGGGAATGTGTAAACGTCTCACATGTTGAGAAATCTAAACATATCCGACATATCCAACAAAAAACAAGAAACCCTCTGGTAAACATACAAAAAACGATGGATAGATCCGCCTTTTTAAAGGGAAAATCCACTATTTCTATGGTCATTTTCAATAGCTATGTTAAATTAACAGAGGGTACTTTACTTTGAGTGATCCCCACCATGGCATTAAATTGTCATCTATTCTGACAATTTCTGGCATTCTTTTCCGGTCAATCAACATGTACTAACCGTTACTAACTTGTTGATGATTACTTTGGCCTCTTCACCTTAAGCTACCGATCACAAGACACCAAGGCTTGGACTTCTTTTTCCAGACTCCAAGCACAAGGTGAAGCGGAACGAAACGGAACGCATCGCTGGGAGATTTCCCGTTGATAAAATAGGGGAACATCATCCAAAAAATAGAGGTTTCACTGGACATATACAGTTATGGCCATTTACCAGTTATAAGTACTTATAACCCCATTTATAGAATGTATAATCCCATTTATAACCAGTTATAACCAACAAATGGCCATAACTGTATGGGAACATGGATGGAAAATCCCCTAGGTTGAACATGCTTGGAAGACCATCGGGGAATGTCCCATTGCCTCATTTCAGTACCGGAAAGTCGAAGGGTTGGAAATGTATACAATGCACCTTTGTTGCGTACCAGGTATATGAATGATGTACAACAAGAAACAACACCCTGCGTCGATGTCTCTGAAGACAATTGGTTTCAGGCGCATTCTACAAGCCCACTCGCCCACTGGTCTGTTTGTTTTTGGAAATGTTTTGATTAAACTTAAACCCATCAATTTTCGTGATAGTAGTGACCAGTAGCCATGGGGTTGTCTCTTCACATTCTTAAAAAAACACTGTATACAAGTTATACAACCCCGAAATCCCAAAACACATCATCAGTTTCCCGATTCAAACGGCCATTCTTTTTGATATCCCATGGTCTGAAAAAAGGGCCTTGTTGAAGTGGTCAAATGCGACGTTTTTCAGCAGGTGGATGTCTATGGTGCAACAGCTGGGTGGTTGTCACTCGGCAAGGATCTTCAAGGTCATTTCAGGTCATTCGCATCAGAACATGCTGCAGTTTGCTTGGTTTCTATACAAGGCCACAAGGCCTCGACCAAGAGAGCCCAGTACAGTTATGGCCATTTATTAGTTATAACTGGTTACAAATTGGATTATACATTCTATAAATGGGGTTATAAGTACTTATAACTGGTAAATGGCCATAACTGTAGGATCTGATTTTCCAATAGACCCCAGTCTTATCGCCCAGCTCTGAGGAAAGGCTTAGCACATAGCACCCATAGGTGTAGCTGATCCAACCATGGTCTACACCTATCTGGGACTTCAGTGTTTCACCAGCCTGGCATACCGGATTTCTGTTACCTGTCAGCGGTTCCCTGTCCACAGCGTGACCGGTTGCGGTACCTGGGCACAGCGTAGGCGACTTCCCCTACAATGTGAGGCCCCCCAGTGATGTTTGTTGGTTTAGATTCGCCCCAGTAACTCTAGTTGTAAGTACCATAAACCATAGTGACATTGGAGTTATTTGCACCAACTGAACGCTATCGTGGCCGGGGGCCTCACATTGTATGGCTGCAGCCAGGTTAGTGGTACCTCGCGGTACTTTGGAGACCTTATGTACCGAAGAGTTGCTGGAGACTTTTAGGCGGACGTCGTCGCCATCAGATGGTTCATCTATGGTAAATATAACCATGGATACCATACCCATAGGATCCATGTATGCTACATATATATGGTGATCGATCTAAAGGTCCTTGTAAGGAGTTTTAATTGCGAAAGCCGTGCATGTTATGTTGGAAACCCTCGCGAAAGTTTTTTTTCGAGTTTGCGAAAGTAAAATTTTATTTCGCGAAAGTTTCGCGAAAGTTGGGTATTAAAATCATTATATGTAAAGGGCTGCCACCCACTGCCGCCCGGGGTCCGGCAGGAGAAGGGCACCAGAGAATGCGAGTAGCAGTAGCCAAGTTTCCAAAAGTGACGCTTTGCGAGAGCCAAACACCAAGGCCCCTGGTCTTCGCTTTTCCTCCAGTGCACCCCCTGCTGATGGCCGTAAAGGGCTGCCACCCACTGCCGCCCGGGGTCCGGCAGGAGAAGAGCACCAGAGAATGCGAGTAGCAGTAGCCAAGTTTCCAAAAGTGAGGCTTTGCGAGAGCCAAACACCAAGGCCCCTGGTCTTCGCTTTTCCTTCAGTGCTGATGGCCGGGGTCTGTGAATAGGGATATTTTCGCGAAAGTTCCGCGAAAGTTATGCGAAAGAGCGGGCGAAAGTCAAAGTGCATGTTGAAGGGGGTGGGCCAGTAAACTTTGCAAAAAAAATCTGTCCTGAGAAGGAATTCCGTGATGCTAGCTGCATGTTTAAAAGCCAACCAAGAAGTGATCCGTGATTCTCTGGCGTAATTTGGCAGGTGGTGAACGAATCTTCATAAGAGGTGTTGTTGGCCAACATGGGCCCCGCGAAAGATAAACATGGAGTTCGCGAAAGTATCGCGAAAGTAAAATTTTTATTCGCGAAGAATGGCCGTTCCGGGATAAAGGAATTTTGATCAACAACCATATATATATATATTAATGGTAACATGGATCCCATCAATATATGATGTTAGCATAGAAAAACCAGCACCATGGATCCGTCATGGGTGATACTATCATTGTTTTGACACAACCATAAGTTTCTCTATGATTTCGGGACAGACATGACATGAAATGACTGGTAAATCATGGCAACATAGTGTAAATCATCATATGCCATCGCTATTTAGATGGCTACGCGGCTACAAACTGGTTGTGAAACCACCATCATATGTTTAGCACCACAATATTTACAGCAATCAAGAGCTTGCATCTCCAGCATACGATGGCAGGTTTGTGGCATTGGAGCGCATTCGAAAGCCTGGCTGGGTGGATCAGGATGGCGGTGGCCAACAACGAATAGATAATCGAAGGAAGGAAGCAGTGAAGGGACACAGAAAGGATCAAACAGGTTTAAAATCCACTTAAATGCCCGGTAGCTTCACAGATTCAAACTTGTTTTTTTTCATTGATCCCATTGTGGGTGAAGAGACTTCCATGGTTTTCCTACCAAGAACCATCTATCTTCCCAAATCTTCCACCAGATCCATGGGTCCTGGCGTTTTTCATATATTGGGGAGCCGGGAGCGGAGCTACGATTCGAGGAAATCAACTACATGAAGACTCAGTAGCTACAGTTTTTAAGGGATATAACATGATGATATAACACAACCTTTTTCTGGAAATTCCATGTGAATTTGATGGTAGAATATGGTAGAATTGGATTATAACTGGGATATAAGATATATATATATAAAAGATATATATATATAAGATATATATATATATATATTATAAATATATATATATTATAAATATATATATATATATCTATCTGGGTAAATTATAACGACGTCACTGTTCTCCCTCACTGGAATCATGCTTAGTAAGGGAAATCATCCCCAAATGGCCGGAAGATTCAGGTTAGTGAAATATTATAATTTACCCATAATATAATTATATATATATACCCTCTGGTTGTTTAACATAGCCATGGAAAATCACCATTTTTAATAGGTAAACCATCAATATACAGATGTTTTATCTTTAGATGGTCCCAACACGACTTTCTTCGGATCCCTAGATGGTTTTTCGCAAAACAGGCAGCCAGAGATGGGTTCGGGCATGATGATGGCCTATCCCACACAAGTTGAGGCGGCGGCACAGGGTGTGCTTGCCAGAAACGACTGGTTTTGATAAGGTGAATTCGACTTAATAATGGTGGTGAATAATTGATTATAAAAATGGTTAATAATGGTTAGTAATGGTGGTTATGGTTAACCATTATGGGAATTTTAACCATCAACTGGTGCGTTTTACGCAGGGAATTTTCGGGAATCCATAATTGTTAGTCATCATCCCAGCAACCCCATTCCCAACCCATCCAGCAACCCTATATAGCTACGTAAAACGCACCAGTACGTCGATGAATTATCGGGAGATCAAATGCAAAATCTCTGGCTTTGAGTTGCGAAGCACAACCGTTGACCCAAGCCTATATACAATAATGTACATATATTTCAATCATATATATATATATATATTCCTGTAATTACATGGGAGCCCCACATACTTGTTTGGTGTTTCTGGCCAGGGGAAGGGTTCAGGGTGCCTCCATGGGCTTACAGGATGGTGTTTTTAGGTCAAGAACTTGTAGCCCAAAACCATGGTCGCAAAATATCAAAAGCACAGATTCCGTGGTTTTCTATTCATGTTTGCATTTCGAGATTCCATGCCATAGATGTGTTATTTTCGCTTCCCAGGTATTAGATGTTATATAACCCATCCCCTACCAAGATCCATACCCAACCAGCCCACACATTTGGTTGACCCTACCATCTCACAAGACATTGATTTACCATGCTACCACCAGTCCAAACTGATTGTAATCTTGGTCACTACCCGCAGGATCGCTGAACTTTGTGGATGGAAATGATTAGTCGAAAGGGAAAGTATCCCCAAATGGCCAAACTTGTTAAGTGAGTGAATTTTTGTAGTTTATCATAAATTCATCAAACTTGTTTCATATTACTTGTGTATGTATATATATATATATACTATATAATTATATAGATATAAACACTATATATACAATTACATATGTATATATATATATACACATACAATATATTTAATGCAGTTACAAGGTGAGATAACCTCGTTGATTTCTATCCCCCTTTGGGCATCGAACATTTTATGAAAACGGCCAGGGCTTGACACCGTGACTGGTGGTGATGAATCATTTCCTGTGGAGAGTGGCCGTTGCGAAATCCGGGGAAATCACCAGTTGAAAACGGTGGTCAACATTCCGTTATTTATACAGTTATGGCCATTTATCAGTTATAACTGGTTATAAGTGGGATTATACATTCTATAAATGGGATTATAAGTACTTATTTATATCAATGGATTGGTTTTCACGGGAAAATCTTAAGCGGAAACCATAGATTTTACCATTAAGATCATGGGGCTTTCCTGTAAATTTTCCCTTAAACCAATCCATTGATTATAGGGTTTCAACCATCCTTTTCCCATAGGATCCCAACTGACGAAGTCATATTTTTCTAGGTGGTTATTGCACCACCAACCAGGATATATATGCCATATATATATATATATACAATGTGAGGCCCCCAAGATAGCTCAGTTGGTTTATAACTCCAATAACTATGGTTTATGGTACGCAAATAACTATAGTTACTGGGGCTTATAAACCAACTTATAACTGGGGGGCCTCACATTGCATAGTTTCAACCATTCTTTTGGTGGTGCAGGATTTTGCAACCATTCACCGTATGGGATTGGTTGAAAAGAAGGTAGCCCATTCCATCCAGAGGTTTATCCTTAAATGTTTCCCGCCTCTTTCCCGATGAAAAAGAGTACTTTGCCATTTGGAGTATAGCCCAGAAATGTGGGCAAAGCCATTTCTGGTTGGTGGTTTGGAACCATGGAATTTTATGACTGTCCCATCATATTGGGAATAATCATCCCAACTGACGAGCATATTTGTCCGAGGGTAGGCTCAACCACCAACCAGATGAATATTCATTGTATCCCCATTGATGGTTCTTTTCTTTCCCCGGATGGTACCAGGCAGACGTCAGCATCCGAAGCACCGGAAGCACGTCGCAGGAAAGCGGAAGCGACTTGGAAGGAATCCCAACTTGGGACTTAAAAGGCTATCCAGTCGTTGGTGCGTGAAGGAGCGCTTGGGTAATGGTCGTATTTTCTATGAAATGATTGAAATGGGGAGCCAGTGATCATCCATGACATTCCTTTTTGCATGCCAACAAGTTTGTTCATTTTATATAGGATGGTGGAGTACAGCAAAGAATTTCACTTTAGGGTCACCTTTTTTTAAGGTGGATGTACTGATTTTTGACCAGCATTATTTTTTTGGATTTATACAATAGACCTCTTCCAAATACATAGCGGCATAGCGCCTACCAGCTGATGGGCTGATTGCTGGGCTTGGTACACAGTCATGGCTTACCAGCATGGGAGCCTTGCAGGAAAGTGCTCTACCAATGCATCTGGGTTTGGCCATCGCGAATGGGCAAAACATACTCTGCCAACCACTTGCCATGATCATAACCATTGAGGTGACGAGAAATTTATCCATGCTTCGTTCAACATGGTTCAACATGCTTCAACATGGTTCAGCAACCTGTTTTACATTTTGAGTTTGTCTGAACATTTGGGGTGCCCCCAAATTTTTTTTCAAAGTTGATGCTTGATCATGGTGGTTTTTCCTTATTTAGGGCATGTTTTTGTTGGGAGAAGCACATCTTCAGACAGACCCAACTTGTTCGCTCGGATCCTTTCTGTGGCATGTTTGGACCAGCTCGGCCCCGGGGCGTTGTTTGGATGGTCGTTGTGAAAAAATCTGGTGCTTACCCTCTGGTAAACATAGAAAAAAATGGAAAACACTATGGAAAGATTCACCATTTTTAATGGGTAAATCAACTATTTCTATGGTCATTTTCAATAGCAAACTGTTAGTTTACCAGAGGGTAACTATTTTTTTTGTGGCTGTGTTTTTTTTAGCTGGTTGGTGGTTTGGAACCATGGAATTTTATGACTTTCCAGAAACAGTTGGGATTGTCATAATCCCAACTGACTTTCATTGTCATATTTTTCGGAGGGGTAGGTGGCTCAACCACCAACCAGTCTATATGATTATATATACATATATACATATATATATATATATTGTATAATACTATACAATAATATAATGTTCACTATAATACTATACTAATGTATACTATACTAATGTGTACTATTGTATATATACTATAATACTATACCAATACTATTATAATATACTATCATATAATGTTCATCATGGACCCATCTCGATTCACCTTTGAGCCGCTAACATGATCTCCGAACAGGAAAGCATGATGACTTTTGATGACTTTGAGCATTATTGACCATGATTAGCCAGTATTAAAAGTAACCATTACGAATCTGAACCAGTATTAACTATTATTTACCATTATGAACCAGGTATTAACCAGTATTGACCAGTATTAACCAGGTATTAACCAGTATTGACCATGATTTTAACCATTACTATAGCCATTTCAGAATCAGATCGCATTCCACCAATCCCACGACAGATTTTTCAGGTGAGGAATGGAGTCCCCACGACAAGGCCAAGGACCGCAATGCTTGGATGAACATCTGCAGGATGAAACACATGGCATATTAAATTATAATATTGTCGTTAAAAAAAACAAACATATTTGTGTAATATATATATATATATACATACTTGAACATATACACATCATGGTTCAAATATGTTTTTTTTGAGCGAATACCTCATTTTGAGAAGACACAAAATCAAAGATCCGCTGTCGTAGCGTATGCAATGCACCAACATTGTTGGGAGCATGTACTCATGATGTAGCTTATTCTATTAAAAATACATATTCATCAATATTTGCTATAATTATTGGTACAAAAACTGCCTCTTCCCAATATTGTTGGCCATCCGCCCAAGATGACAATATGTGAGTGTCTGGAAACGGGTCATACCCGCCAAAAATCACATGTTGATGGCGAACAATGATTTTCTGGCAATGAAAATGGTACTGTCCCATTTTCAGACACACATTGATAGTCATTGATACCCCGTGATTCTTAGTTTACCCATTGCATTCGGCATGTATTTCTCTTTGTTCACTTGCCTGCGAAGCCTCGAGGACGACGAGGAACCCAAGCATGCCCAGGCCATCCCATGGCCCCTGGCAACGTGGTCACGGTTGTTAGGTGAAGTCATCCGGCGGTTTTTTTCAGCGATCAACCATGATCCATGGATCGATGTTCCTTGAAGTTAACAGGTGCGAAAGGTACTGAAGGAAATGTCACACCCAAGAAGCAGGAACTATATATGACTATACTATCGGGGTGAATGGATTCCCAGTTATTGTCACCTTCACCACGTAGGTTACTTGCGGAGGAAACGTGCACAACACGAGTGGATAGAGAGGATGACTTGCCAGAGCTCCGGTTTTTTTCCACTCTATCAATGCGTGTACGTAAGTAAGTATACCCTCTGGTAAACTAACATAAGTATGGAAAATCACCATTTTGAATGGGGAAATCAACTATAAATGCAATTTTCAATAGCAAACTGTTAGTTTACCAGAGGGTATACTGAGGAGAGTGGCTTTATCCAAGAAGAATCTACTCTATTTCTTGGGGGCTGGGGTGAAATCACTATTCTTAGAGGAACTCAGACACCCTCACCCCACATGGCCAGTTGTGTGCACGATTCATCCAGTTGCTTAGTTTCAGCAGTGAAGAAACGAAAGAAACTCAGGTTTTGCAACGCTTCAATCAATCTCATTGCAGCTACAGACCGCAGTATCCCACCAGTGAGCAGCCAGGAATGGTGAGAATTTCCCTTTGATCTTTAATCTTTGTATATGGGCGGTTCTTAAAATGGGGGATCCCCAAGACGATATGTTTCTATATACTAAAATGGTCTAATTTGGGATGATTTGGGGTTACTCCTATTTTACGAAACCCCATATATTGTTGTTGCATTGGCGATCTTCAAACATGTTCGATGGCGATGTATGATGCTCCGCAGTGCCAAAGTTCAACTACAAACCAGATCCCTGTACTCAACCATGAAAGATGTGGCTAAATTCAATGGGAATTTCAGGATCCTAATATAGATAGCATCAATTTAGGTTCCTGAAATGGTCATTGATTCATTGGGCTTTTTCATAAATGGGGGTACCCCTAAATCACATACCATCATCCATTTTAGGTTGGGATTTTCCATCGTAAACATTCATAACCCATAGGATCCATGTACTAACATTGGGGGTATATTGATGGTAAATGTTACCATATATAGCATACATGGATCCTATGGGTAAAGCATCTATTTTGGGGTACCCCCCTATTGCTTAGGCTTGTTTAAGAAGATACCGTGACGTCCGATTGTCAGGTGAAAGTGGAGCGCCCCGAGATCCGCAAGAGTCGAAGCCTCTCAGGCGCGACAGCACATCATCTGGTTGGTGGTTTGGAACATGATTTTTTCCCATATATTGGGAATGTCATAATCCCAACTGACTTTCATATGTTGTGTGGTTTTATAAAACTATCATCATCTGGTTTTATATTGGGAATAGCAAGTTTAATATTAGGATGAAGGGATTATCGAACCATAACGATCCCAGGGTCACAAATATTGCGATATACTATGGGATATATTAACTAATATAATTTGTGTGGTCCCAAATGGATCACAAATAATAAATGGTCAATATTGGGATTGACCCATTGTCTAAAAATATTTGGTGCTTTTGAATATCTAACATTTTATAATCCTATCTCCAGTTCCTCGTTCTATGAATTCTACAATGTGAGGCCCTCCAGTTATAAGTTGGTTTATAAGCCCCAGTAACTATAGTTATAAGTACCATAAACCATAGTGACATTGGAGTTATAAACCAACTGAGCTATCTTGGGGGCCTCACATTGTATGGTTCCAAATATGTGATTTTTCATTCGCTCGTAAAGCCCATGGTTTCTGGATGGAGTCCAGGTGAACGGATGGGATGGGAGTTTTTTTCTGCGGCAAATATAGCTGAATAGACACTAGAATTTACCCGGCCTGGTAAACGAACAGTTAGCTATTGAAAATGATCATAGAAATAGTTGATTTACTCATTTACCTATTATAAACGGTGATTTTCCATAGCTATGTTAGTTACCAGAGGGTAAGTCGCTGGTTTGGGTTGATTTGTTTTACATGTTCTGAACTCATCAAATGGATCTGGCAAGAATGGAACAGGTTGGATGCTTCAGAGGCGTAAAGAAAAGGACATGGTTCATACATCTGGTTAAATTATAACAACCTCACTGCGACCTCACTGGAATCATAGTCAATAAGGGGAATTATCCCAAAATAACCTTATTTCATGTTAGTGAAATATTATAGTTTACCCAGATACATGCTTTCGAGGATGATTTTAATAGCGTGTACATCCATGACGCTCCGGTGGTCCAAATCCATGAAGCGAAAAACATGCGTTCGTAGCATTGATGCGCCATGTTGAATATATGTGTATTCTGACTGTCGTTGATTGTTACTATTTCTTCATAATTATATAAACTTTGATGGTAGAAACATATGTTTGGTTGGTGCTTTGGAACATTTGGATTATGTTTTCCATATATTGGGAATAAACATGCCAACTGACTTTCATATGTTTCAGAGGGGTAGGTATACCACCAACCAGTATTTGATATCATGACATGGTTGAATTTCAGAACATATTCCATGATATTATATGAAATATATTAATATATGGTTACTTGTCTGAGACCTGACTCAATAATTGAAAGGAAACTTTGCAACCGACCCACTAAGCCTGTGCTTGGTCTTGTGTAAATGCTCCCGACATATAAAAAATGATTGGATTGGGCGTTGGCGATCCCTCTATCATTTTGTGTGGGTTTTACCCGCTATGTTCACCGAGGGTTAATAGACCCCCAGTTTAGTCTATTAGCAAGGGGGACCACTGTTAATAGTACTGCATCACTATTTGGGGGTAACCCTTCCAAATTTATAGTCAGCGTTTATATATGCGGGGTTGGCACTATGATGATTCCTTCCGATGAGCTGATTGCAGAAAAGAAACTGCAATGTTTAGCCCTTGTGACCAGCAAAA